ACATAAAAACTCGCTGTGTTACACACGCGCCACCCTTTGAAAACCCGATTAAAATTGAAGACCCCATTCTCTTACAGATTTGACCCTCTGGTGTGCTTTTCAATCCAATCGGTAAGAGACACGTGTCGGGAACCCTCTTAAACCTTCTAACAAAAAGATTAGAAAGCAAAAGAACAAAACAAATTAAAAGAAAAGTGAAACTAAAAACCACAATCTCCGCTGTCTTTCGAACCCTTTCCCTCTCCTTATATACCGACTGCGAATTTCCGCCATTACAGACCATACGAAGCAGAAGAGAGCTCAAAAACTTATCAAATAACGAGATCTCTGATAATTGAAAGACAAGTTATTTGAGGCTTCTCGAGTTTTCGTTAGGGTTCCGAGAGATCTGTGAGGTATATATAATCAAATCAATCTAGGGTTTTTCAGTTATGTTGTTCGATGACAGAGAAGAGAGAGGAGGAGGAGAGTGAAGAAATGCAACAGAGAAAACTGACAGAAGAGAGTGAGCACATGCAAGCACTGTTATGTGTCCATAACTTTGCGTGTGCGTGCTCACGCTCTTTCTGTCAGTTGCCGATCTCTCGCTTTCTCTCTCTCTCTTCTCTCTCTATAATTTCTTTACACAGTTGCCTTCTTATCTTCTACTGTTCTTCTACATATCACTTACCTTCTTATCACCTCTTTTGTTGTGCACTGTGGCTGGTGATGTGGATAAGACTTATGCACTTTCACAATCATTTCGTTATGTGTAGAGATACTATATGTTTTTTTTCCGTATTGTTTTGAAGCATGTTTGTTCTCAAGCAGTTTGGTGGAGAAAAGCTCGGATTTTTATATTTGGGTTTATGATTAAATATAAATTAAAGATTTAGTGTGCTATGTTTGATTTCGGAAAAGCTCGAGTTTTGATGATCATGAACCCCCACCGGTACACATTCTTCTCTAAGATTAATTTAACTATTGATTGTCTCTGTCTATTTAGATGCAATTTGAGTGTATTTTTTTTTTTTTTTTAAATCCTGCATGTTGAAATTCTCAAATGATCTAAAACAGCAACATGCAATGGTAGCTTCTGTTAGTATGTTTTCTTCTTTTGCTTTTTCCAGAAACTGGATGTGGCATTCCGATTTCACCAGAAGCCATAAATGATGGATCTTTGTTTCAGTTGTATTTCATGTTTCCACTAGTTCTGTGTCGTTTTGATGGAAATAGGAACTTTTCTATGAGGAAGTTGGTAATGAAGCACTGAATCCAGCTGTTTGTTCTTAAAAGGTTTTTCATCTATAATTTCCTTTTCTGTGTTAGGTTTGTACGGATTAATGCTGGTTGGTGCATTGAAGTCTATCTTGGAATGTGATGCGGTGGTAGGTGGAGGAGATTCACTTATGTCTTAACTTGATTTCTTTGCAACTTGTTGTTCCAAAAGAAAAAGGTTGAACCCTATACCTAATGCTCTTTACTATCCTTTTCTCCTTCCAAGTTTTTCTTCATTTTTTGCTTCTGAAATTATTGATGTAATTAAGTTTCGGAATTGACACTATTTCAGCTAACTAATGTTGTTTTTGTTGATTACTGATCTGTTGTTGTGTTGTCTATGCCTAGTTTGCAGTGATATTGTCTAGTCTGCTTTGATAACTAAATGCGTCTTAATGGGATTAAGCAAAGGCATGAGTTGGTGTTCAGAATGTTTGGCTTTATGCTCTTTCCATGAATGAATGAGTAAGAAAAGTAAGAAGCATTTGCTAATTTTGTGTCAACCGTTCAAGTAAGAATTGTTTTTGTATTGTGTTTGATGGAATCAAATTGTGAATTGGTTTGCCGATACTAGTCTCTGATGTGCTTCACCTTGAAATCCATAATTGAAGTCGCTGCCTAATTATTCTTTTTCATTTGATCTTTAGCTTTGTTGTCGAAGCATTATGGTCTTTAAATAAGTTTTGTGAATACTAAGTGTTGGATGCTTTGATTTCAGAATGTGATATGATTTGTACGGGTTTAAGATGGCAGTGTTGTTTTTTTTTTCGAAGAGTGAGTAACCTGAGTTCTTTCGATTCTAAATCTGAAAGACAGTAGGATTTGCTATTTTTATGTCAAAATATGAAGTCCTTCTGTTGTGTCTGATACCAGTTCAAGTGTGTGCTTCACTTTGAAAATGAAGTCATAAAACAGATAACATGTGGAGACGCATAGACTAAGTGTTATCCCAGCTTATTGTCCTTAGCATATATAAAATGTCTAGCTATATACATAAGAGAGATATGGGAGATTTCATGTACTTTATAATTTTGGTTTAGGTTATTGTGATGCCTGTGTTGTTTCTGCAGCTCTACATGGGCTATTCAAATATCAGTTTTTAAAGTAATTTAACAGTGAGATGAAACGAACATGAAATTTCAGAATTCAGATTCTGTGAGGGCATAAAGAGATGATTCTGTTCCTAGACCGTTTGAAAGAGTATCATGTTTTTAGAACCAGGGATTGAATGTGGAGGTAGGTTTAATCATAACTCTGATTGAATTGTGATGCACTATCTGATCTGTTAGGCTGTCTATGTTGACATTTTCTTGCATGTCCAATTAACTAAAACCAAACAAAAAATACATTAGGATTGAGGGCATTGTTGGATTTTAGGCAAGTCTAAGACAATACTATCAAACCATGATAGAAAAAGTGTCGTCGATTGCCTTGTTTAATCCTTATAGTTGTTGAACAGGATCATGTATTGTGGATTTGCACATTGTCATCACTTTAAGACCTATGCAAGAGAACATCCAAATAAAGCAATAAGAACAACCTGATTTTGTGTGTTTCTTGCATTCCTTTTGCATTGTGTTTGTCACATTGTTCCAATCGCCTTATTATTGAACTTCGCAGTGGAAGAGCTTATGGTGGTTATTAGATTATAGAGACTTGTGCGTTCTCAAGCATGGTGGATTCTTAGTGGCTTTGTTGGCTTGAAGTTGAAGATAGGAAAAATCACTTGTTGATTACTCTATTCTGTGATCACAGATCCGCCAGCCTTCCTTCCTCTTGTTTGTCTGCGTAGGATACAAATAGAGAACATTTCAGAGGTATTATTCGATTTCTTCTCTACTTAGTTTTCTTGTTGTCACGAGCTTGATATTATGTCCATGGAGTAAATCACGAAGGTGTGTCTTGCTCTTTAATTGATTTGTCTCCCATTTTGCTTCACAAGCATATTAACAAGTGGGGAAATAATCCGCATTATATTCTAGAACCTGAATTGAACTTACTGTCATTTTTTATAAAATAAAATTATCTTGACTCTCTTTGCTAACTCACTATGTAGAACTCGGATAAATCAGTTGCATCGCAGAAATAGCCCGTTGTTCTAAGGCATATATAAGCTAGCATCTACTGGTTTCATGTATTGCTATTTGGTTTATTTTGATTTGCCATCTGACTGGACTCATACAGGATTAAGGATAAGTGGCGTCTTCTTCTTATCATAGATTCTTCATTGATCTAGTTTTTTGCCCTAGGTTCAGAAAGCTAAACCATTTCATGCTCTTGCTCTAGTTAATTCCTTTGAAACAACAGATTCAAAGGGGTAACTAAATTGTTATATCTGACTCTATGTTCTTGTTTGCATATCAATATTTGTCATCTTTCACTTAAAACAATTGATGTGACTGACTCTTAGGTTTTAGCGAAGAGATGAAACTGCAAAATCCGTTTTGAGAGGATGCTTCGTCAGCGATCCATTCCCCGGAAGCAGAAAAAAGGTTTGATCCTGTGCCAGTCTTCTCAAATCATTTTTTTTTTTCATATTTCTTGATGTTACTGTTTCAAATGGCGGCAAATCATATGGATACAAACGAAGCAAGACCTATAGATCCTAGTAAACAACATTTTTAGAAATGATGAGTATATAACATACTTGCCTTGGTAATAATTTAGGGGGTCAAGGTAATCATCTACTTTGAATCGTTGGACATGATTCCGTTTTGAAACAATGCTCGAAAGGTAAATAGTCACCCACTACTAATTAGTTGGTTTCAATTGTTTTAGTGTTAGAAACATAGTTATCTTATATTTGGAGAAACTTATTCTGATTCAAGATCATTGAGAAATTAGGATAGTTGACAAATTTTTAGACTGTAGGTTTGATTGATTGTCTCGGGTATGATTCTAAATTGTTACACCCCTTTTTGATTATTGAGAAAATGGATGGGAACCTTATCTAAGAGCCCGGTATTTTGAAGCTGTGGATACATTGGTCACACAGTAATCTGTTCATTGTGTTTTAGAAAATCACAAAAATGATTTGGTGTAGTGTGGAGTTAGTAGCCACCCACTCGTTGAGTCAAACTGTGTCCCACACACCAATTCCAAACCTCGCCGTGATTCCTTTTCCCATTTGCATGTGGCCCAAATTACATTTTATATCAAACTTGAAGTCAAAACTCATACCAAATAAAGAAAGAAGATTTTTTTTTTTTTTCATTTTTTCTTCAGACTTATTTGTTTTATAGCAAATACAAAACTTACATTACACCAAAAAAATACAAAACTTACATTGACCTCTTACTATACACAGATTTTTAATTTTTGCTCATTGAGGGGACTGAATCATTGAAATGAGGTCTTACCAATTTAATGCAATAATCGTATGTTCTAATCTGCATTGCTACTGACTATAAACCTGCTCAAATATCTATGCTAATTTTTCATACTTGTGTGGTCCGATCGGGGACGTTACATGATTAGAGGATGCAATTTAAAAACGATGCAAAATATTTGATTAATACAAAAAGTGAAAACAAGAGTGTGCCATTTGAGTGGTTTGTAGTAGATAAAAGACAGAACTAAAGTCTACAGAAATACGGTGTCGTATCCCCAAAACGCAACCTTTTATTCTTTCTAGACTTTGACCAAAACCACTTATCCCACTTTTCGCTGTCTCTGTTTTTTTGTCCCCACTCAGCAGCCTTAACCCTCCAAAAACGGAAAAGTTAAAATCCAAACGGCTGTTATCACGGCTTGGAAGCTGAGGGAGCGTCTTTAACGGTGACCAACGAGGAAACATTACCGTTAACAGTTGTTTTAGTGGCTGTGTTCGTCGACAGGTTGGGAGACAAAGGAACGCCGGCATCTTTGACGGAGGAGATCAATGCGTTACGAGAAGGACACGTGGCGGTGGAGATGGTGGTGGCTAATGAGATAGGCATTAGGCAAAGACCTTTGCCTTGTAGGTACTGCATGGCTGATCCCATGTCCTCTTCCATTAGCTTTGCCACTTGGTGCTCCGTCATCTTCGCTGCCGTCTGATTCTCGCCGGCGGAGGAGGTGTTTTCTTGGGACCCACCGGCATCCTGAAAAAGTAATTAAATTAAAAACATGAAAACTTGAAAAGCAAAAACCCTAAACCCATGGTGTAGAAATTTTTGGTTTTTTGCTTTGTTGAAGTGAAAATCAGCACGCGTGACCTGCCTTTATTAAGACAAAAGTTGCAAATTTGGTTTTGTCGTTTTGTTTCCTGCTCTTTTTAGAAATCTTTTATTTGTTTTAGCAAGAAAGTCGAAACTTGAACTACTTTTTGATTTGTCTTCTTCCTTAGCCAAATTATTTTCCATAATCTATAAACCTATCTCATTCTCAGCTAGTTGTAACTTGTAACATAAAAAAATGATAAATCTCATTCTATGTTGTAGCGATTACGTAATCCTAACATCATGTATGAAAATGATTAGAACGTGCGAATGATGTGACAACCTAAATGTTAATCTATGTGATTCGTTACATCCATTAATTAGCCGAAATAATTAGAATCGAGAAGAAGGGGAATAACTGAAATTACCTCAGAGATTTGAGAAGAAACAGATGCAGCACCTCCCAATCTACTCATGCTTAGTACCTACATACATCAATTTTAAAAGGATTTAACTTAACTATACATTTATGAGGTGACTGTGTTATTACTACTCAATACATAAATAATAACCAATAAAAAAAAACGGTGAGGGAGCATAGGGAATTTTAGTTGCAGAGGTCCATATTCGATTACATATTATTGTAATGTCAAGGTAACGAAGCTTCCACTATTATATCAATAATTATTACGTATATAAAATTACAATTCGTGTATTAAAAAAAAACATATCACAGAGAGAGAGTCACCTTGACTTGGAGCTGTAAGAACTTGACATAATCGATAATCTCATCGAGCATTGATGCTTTGTCGGTCTGTTAACAATAAAAAACTTTGTTAGCGATCCTACATCTGTTTTCATTAATATAATCTATTAGTAAACATATTGCTAATCAGTGTTTAATCATTTGATTATATAAATTATAAAAAGTCCAAAGCTCTAGATCACCTACTAAACTAGTTAGCATTTGTGGTCCAAATTATGAACTCCAAGACAAAAACACATCAGCGTGATTCATATGATCGACACACTAACTAACTTGCAGGAGCATATTAATACAATTTTAAATACAAACTGGATTTGAGTATATTCTTTTAATAAATTTTTACTATCCATAATTATAAGGTGTGATTAGTGATAGACGGTTTTTTAACTGAGAAAGTTACAAATGAAATTTACCTTGTTGCCATTAGGGACAAGTTCTTGAAGAGATTTCATTCTTTCCGCTATTCTCTCTCTCCGTAACTGTTACCATAAATTTCAAAATATTTCAATAATCACCTCAAAAAAATATCATCGTTATGGACGATTTTCTCGGTAACTGAAGGAACGCGAATAACGAGGGAAAAAAAAGAGAAAAAGATCGGACCCGTTCGGCGATACTGTGAGGATCAGTGGCTTGACCTCTCCTAGCTCGGACTTTAGGCTTAGTCTGAGGCGGCGGCGCCGTACCACCGGTGGTGGTTGACGCCGTCGCCTGCGATTGCGTTTGCGTTTGACCTTGGTTCATCAATCCTCCTCCTCCCGATCCCTGATCACAAATCACATATTAACACATGTTTTTCTTTTTGTTGTGTTGGAAAAAATCAAACATAGGAGATGAGATTATGCCTGAGGGAGGTGGAAAGGTAGAGATCCGGCGGAGAAGCCGTTGTAGAGAGCGTGGACGGAGCCATCGACGGCGTCGTTTTGATGGTGATGAGACGGCAAAGGAATCATCGTGATCTGGTTTCTGGAATCGAGGTCGTGGTGGTGGAATCCAGCGGCGGTGGAGTCGGAGGTGTGTGGAGGAGCGTCGTCGAGGACGGAGGAAGGCCAAGGAGTGGAGGAGAAGATTTGGTGGAGGAAGTCATCGTGGTCGAATGTTGCGGGAGATTGGAGATGAGGAGAAGAAGAAGAAGAGGAAGGTGTTAAAAGAGAGGAGTTCATGGCTTTTGCTTAGCTTCTTCTTGCTTGCTATCTCCAAAACTTTCGATTTTGAGTGAGAAAATGAATGTTTTGCTGTTGGAAAAATGTTTTGAGGTTTAAGAAGGCTTTAAAAGGTGTTTTAAGGAGGGATGAGGATGATAATATTTGAAATTCATAGGGTTATAAAAGTAAATTACGTTACCATTTTTGTTACTATTTCTTGACTTTTTAATTACAAAAAGAATTCGATTATTGAACTCAGAATTTATTCGGTTTTATAATTCGATTATGACAACATTGCAGTAACTACAATAGTATAAGTTAAACATGATTGTTTATAGTCTAGTCAAATTGAAAGTTGAATGGAATCAAGGTAATTAGTTTAGGTTGAACTAACTTCACTTCAACTATTTCTGATTTTTTTTAGTTAAATTTCAGAACAAATTTAAAATGTCTTTTGTTGGCCTTAAACCACTTTGAAAACTTAAGTTTGGATAAATTATTATTATGAACTTTTCGATTTCGATTAGTAGGAAAAGAAGAAGAGAAAATACTCTTCGGTTATGTTCAAACAGAAAATCTAAACTAAACTTAAAATTTTTAAATTGTAAGAAATACTGCTGCGAAAAATCTGAAAGTTTGAAAATAATTTGAGCTAAAGGAGTGATAGTGATATGATATTTTTGTGCGGTAAAAAAGTTTTTTTGTGTACGTGTGAATTTAGATTAGGAATCGACTTCCATCAACTATAGATCTTTGTTATGATTTTTAAAACTAGCCTAATCGTTTTGAATGACGATATAGTGTGGTATAAGAACTACCACGAGTACCAAAAATAATAATTCGTTTTTCATCAAAAATGCTTACAAGATAACCTGAAACCAATACTTTTTGCAATGACAAATTGACAACCATTTTAACATATAAAATGTAGACGTGTAGCAGAAATGCATGAGATTATATAATTATATTCCTTTGGGTGGATTCATCAATGATGCTGGCTCTTTGGTTTATCTCGATATTCTACTGTTTACGAATTGTCCCCAATATCACAAACATGCTATCTTCTCACTTCTCATACGAGATACTCGTGTTTAAAAGTATCCACAAAATATCACTTTTCAATAGATGAGTTTATACTTTTATTTCTGTTTTGTAGCTACATGTCACTGTTGTTTTCCATCGATCCGATTAACTTTTTTGAGTTTGTTTGTAGGATTCTCTTAGACAAGAATAAAACGAAATTCCATCATCTTTTATGAAAACAGGATATTACTAATAAGACGACAACAAGAAGGTTAGACTAACAAAAATGAATAGGTACATTTTCTCATGCTAATTGTAAATTATACAAGAATAAAGTTGAAAACCTAAGTACAAAGCGGACATTAAGATTTAATCGTAAAAGCTAAGTAAATAGTCCTACAAGAAGTATGCATGATTAAGGTAGCACATGGGACATTCTGCAAGTTTGCACAAACTCACAAGAGGTAGAGATGGGCTTTAATACACTTCCCATTTATTAATTGCGAATATTGGTAAGCATTGATGTACTACACACCAGAGAGAGAGAGAGTGAGAGATCTAAAAACTTTACTTTCAGTTCAAATCGAATTTCAATCCAAATGGAGATCTATCATCTCATTCTCATGAACGTAAAACTAATGCAATAATCATTTTTGTTTGTGCTTAATTAATAAGGACAATTATTAAAATTGTTCAATCTCCTCAATTGGTTTTGCCACGAGGCCCACGAGATACAGCATGTGCAAGTTGGGCCGCCTTGAAATCATATAAAACCTCTTAACTCGGTTTAGACTTTAGAGCTAAATCAGAGCGGTTAAGACAAGAGTGTCGGTTAAACATAAACCATAACAAAACCTAACCGTCTCGTTAAACCCAACCAAACTCAGAACAAAATAGCAGCTTAAACCCTTCTTCCTCCTTCTTCCTCAGCCGCGTTCTTACTCTTCTCTGTATCTCCCCAAGACCAATCAACCTGCTTTTCGGATTTCCAAGGTTTGTGTCGGAACTCAACATGCAGCTCTTTTGTCTTTTGTTTGTTGTTTTCAGAAACTAAGTGAATTGATTGATTAACCGAATTGCTACAGTTGCTCGCAGCAGCTTTGCTTTGTTAATTCTGGATTGAATTCTAAAGTTTCTGAATTTGATGTTTAGGAAAGGCAGAAACTTGAAATCGTTGCCTCGAGCTTGATCGTGGCGAGGTAGAATCCTTAAACAGTTTGCACTTTGCACACTCTCTCTGAGTCATGGCGACTCCAGCTGATGCTCGGGCCGTAAAGTCTCTCAACGATTCCGGCGGACATAAGAAATTCAAAGTGCGTATTCTCGTTCTGCTTCAGTTTTAAAGGAATCATCTTAGAAATTTTTGGCTGTAAGGGAAGATAGTTTCTGAGGAATTTGAGTTAGAATTCAAAGAACCGTGTGATGCATGCAGAGTGTTTTAGCTGATACATTCAGATAATCTTGGTTTTAGGTCCATAGAACTGAGTTCCGGTTAGCTTAGTGTTTCTTTGAGGGCTAAACTAAATGCAGTGGACTTGTTAAATGTCAAATGTATTCTGGAATAGATTGTCTCTTTCAGGCTTTGGTTATTTTGGGTATTGGTATCCATGCTAATACTGAGAATATGTGTTAGCACATGTCTTTGCTTTTCTCTTCTAAACTTTCTTCTAGAACTTGGTTGCTGGTTTTGTTGTTTTGGGATTACCTGTCATAGTGTTCATTGTTTCACTGCATTGATTAAGCTAATTATCAGTTTCCCTTGTGCTCTCTAATATGGCCGTTCTGTGGTTTATTACTTCTGGATGCAGTTCAAGACTATCTCTCAGAAAATCAATGACATTGACGTGTTTAGGAGCCTGGATAAGGTCAAGGCTGAGCCTTCAGAAGGATCATCATTTTTCAGAGATTGCCTCGTAGAATGGAGGGTATGTTCGATTTTGTTGCCTTAGACCTCTTTCTAAAGTTATTCTGTTTTCTCGTTAGTTTGGTCAATAGGCATCTAAGGTGAGTAGAAAAACATTAATTTTGAATATATTGTTGATGTCCGGCACAAAAACTATCATGTATCTGATGATCTATCCGGTCGTTGCTTTTGGTTTGTATATATCTAAGTCTTCTTGGTGCTCGATCACACTTACACATGTGTATCAGGGAGAGATTAAATTTGGTTCATTTGGCTGGTTGAATGCAGGAACTGAATACAGCACAAGATTTCATTTTATTTTATGAAGAAATGTTGCCATTTGTTCAGACGTTGCCTTTGGTTATTTTACAAAAAGAAATAATCTTCTCAAAACTCGTGTCTCGACTACAAATGAAAGCAAGATTGTCTCTGGAACCCATTCTCAGGTATTCTAATTTGTTAATGTTGTCAGAGGAGCTAAGAAATTGGTCGCTAAATTTCATCACTTTTTTTCTTTCCCGAAGTTATATTTTTTTTCTTTTGCAGGTTGATTGCTGCTTTATCAAGAGATCTCTTGGAGGACTTTATTCCGTGAGTGTTCTTAAACTCTTTATCCTTTGCAGATGCAGGATATTCTTAAACTTGTCAATGTTCTAACCATTTCATTTTGTATTTTTCTTGGCTAGCTTCCTTCCACGGATTGTGAACTCCTTAGTATCTCTCCTGAAAACTGGTGCTCAGAAAGAGCCGGAGATTATTGAGCAGGTTATTAGTGTTTTCTGATATATTGTACACTCAGGCCAATGCTTACTTTTGTATTTCTTTTAGCTAAAATTGGTCCTTCGTGCAGATATTCTCATCATGGTTTGACATACTGGAGAACCTGAAGAAGTATCTCATATGCGACATCGAAGCTATTCTCAGGTATGTAAAGTAAAGAATACCAATTAAATCTAGGATGTCTTACTGTGATGGATTTGATCATTGCACGTGGTCTCTCTTTTACTCACTGGGTTTAGGGAGGCTGCCAGAAATATTGATTAATTTGTTCTTATCATCCTTGAAAGACAAACATGGTTATCACATGCTGCAAATGTTGTTAAATCCAATTATTTAGGTTTTGTTCATCTGTTTAACATTTCATTTGCTATGCTGAAGGGACACGTTGGAATTGAGGTATCACCCGAAAGATGATATCAATGAACTCATGTCGAAGTCCATGTCATTTCTGTTGAGGAATGCACAGGATGAGCAACTTGAAAAAGGTGACAAATTGCTTGTCATTTATTTTCCATGTCTATGTTATAGACAGTCCAGTTGATTCATCTCTCCTAAACATTACAGGGATCAAGTGGATACTTTCCGAAGCTGCAGATCCACCAAAAAGAGATGGAGGAGTTGGTTTACTATATTATGTTATGATGAGGGGTAACTCTAGAAGTTTCCATTCAAAAGCCAAGAGAGTTTTGAAGTTCTTGCTGAGAGATTCAACACTATCTTTTTGTGATAATTCCCCTCAAGGCAAGTTCCCTTTCTAAAGATATGTTGAGAGTACTTCATTTAGAAGTCTTGTGTTGTTGATTTAGCTTCCTCTTATTTATTTCCTTCTTATCATGGTTGGATCTTGAATCTCATTGCAGGCCCTGGTACAGTCGTGGAAGTTGTGAGTTCGACTTTGGAGAGATTATGCGAGGATTTGGAAGCAGAAGAATTAAGTGTTATGTGGAAATGCTTGGATCAGGAAATAAATGAATCAATCTCAAACAAAAACTTAGTTCATCTAAGTCGACTGTTGAGTGTGCTTACTGCAGCTGTTAGGATTGACAAAGGTCGTAAGGTTAATGGTGAGTGATTGAATTGTTGACTTGCTTCTCTCTTACCCTACCTTCTTATTGTACTCTCTTTTGGTTTGCACATGGCAACATATATTTTCATGACTCGTGCTAATTTGAGTTACATTCACTGTGTAACAGATTACCCATCTTTGATTCAACTCGTGAGCCTCATTGTGTCAACTTTTGTGACTTCCCCTGAGACCGTTGTAGAAGGCGATAACTTATCTACTGTCCTTGATGAAGTTCTGCAACTAATACTATGCACAATAAACAGAGTCACTAAAATGGAAACCGTTGTTTCGCAATGGGCTCCCATTTTTGCCTTGAAAAGTACAAGGTATGTTTCTGCTGTTTATCTATTTTATACTTTTCGACCTTCTTCTTTCTTTCTTGACATTGATCATGCTTATTTTCAGTTTGCTGATTTTTTTGCGGGAGCTCCTCCAGAAGGATGTATCAGTAGTAAAAGCCTTTACAAACAATATATTAAGGTAAGACTCACAACATAATTTTTCATCACCTCTTTGATTTTCCCATCCCCATCGCTTAGCAGCTAAATTTTGTTCTGCAGTGCAATCAACAATATGATTTGGGAGCATTCTGAGGAAGTTATTCCTGTGTTACTGACATTGTGCGAGAAACAACAAACAAGTGACGACAGGGTGACCATTATTGATCAAACATTTGAGAGTAGATACGACAGAATTCATGAGTTCTTGGAAGAAAATATTAAGAAGGTTCTTCAGAATATAGAGAATGCTGGATTATCTCAAATCGAGGAAGCGGAGTTGCCTGCCGTCTGGGGAGTTGTCAAATGTTATCCTTATTTCAAAGTGGATTCATCATTACTGATTTGCTTTAAGAACACTCTCAGACAGCATTTGGCAGTGTGGGATGGTAAGTATCACTGCATATTCACTCTTTTTTCCTCGAAGATGCCACTGAAGTTATGTGCTTTACTAGTGTCATCTGATGATCAAACACATGAAGATTCATGGTCTTCCACTATACATAATCTTAAATAATTCTCATATACTATTTTTCAGTTTGTGTGCGGTGATATTTTCTTCATTGAACTGTGCTGTTCAGTTTTTATTATGTCCTGGAGTTTATCGTAACATCTTATGTATGCGACGTTCTTTGCAGTAGACACTTTGAGTGCCCCAAAATTGATGTGGCAGTGCTTACTTGGCACTGCTTTGAGGTCATATCACAAACTGCCGAGAAGTATCAATCACAGTGATCTGGAGGAAGCTTTATCTTTTGCTAAAGATTACAAGTCATGCGTACAAGTGTTGTCCCCCGTGGCCGATTTTTTGGATGTGATGCACAAGTGAGTTTGTCTGTTTTGGTTGTTATTCAGTTAATTTTCCATGTTGGATGACTCTGTGGCGGTAGGCTGATCCATTTAGCTTATGATGACAGGTCCAGTGCCTTTCCAGAACTTCAAGCAAACAAGGCTGAGGATGCTTTTGGCATCTTCTCGGAAAATCTACGTCACCCAAACAAAGACATCCGTCTTATGACTCTAAGGATTTTGTGCCATTTCGAAACTTTTCCGTCTGGCCCTTCTTTTGAAGAGCATCCTCCTAAGAAGAAAATGAAAACTGAAGAGACTAAAAGAACTCTTCCTAAAGGGAATGTGAGTAATCTTTGTTCTCTATTTTAAATCTTATTTACCCTCTGCTAGATGTTTAACCAGCAATTGCGACTATATGACTGTGTCTGCACTCTATCATGTTACCACTACTTTCTTAATTTTTTCCTTCAAAATACTAGGTTCTTCTGTTATTACGCTCAGTCGAAGAGACACCTCACTCAGTGGATACGGGTCGGATGTTGGAAAGTTTGATTTCTGAAATACAAAAGAATCTCTCTGCTGGGAGGATACATGCGAGATATTTGCAGCTAGTATTGAATGGGCTGATGGGACTGTTTCATAATAAATATAATTTGGGGGATCCAGCATCTAAGTGCCTTGCAGTTCTTTTGAGGAATCACACAGGAGCTGTGTGGAGTGATTTTCTTTGTAATTTGGACCAGTGCCAATTAAAATTTGAAGCACTCCACAATCATAGTGAGAATGCTAACCACAGCATGTCAGAGAGGCATACTGGTAAGTTCTCACCATTTAAGCAAATATCTATTTTATCCGTTCAAATAATGAGTTAGTTGGTTCTTTCCGTTTCAAATATCATTTCCCAATGCTTCTGCTCCTGTTTTAATAAGTTAGACTAAATATGTGTCTGTAACTACATCTATATCTTATTCTTTCATCTAACCATTTTCTTTGCCTTATACTAAAACAGTATTATGTTTTTCAATCTACAGACGTGCTTGGCCGCTTTAATAAATTTCTCTTTCCGCCGTCTGATAGCACACCTACTGCACAGGTGGTATCTCTGCTGCTCCAGACCTTACAAAAAGCTCCCAATGTTGCTCAGTCTCGTGCTTCTGAAATTCTCCCTTTGTTATTGAAATTTCTTGGATACGACAGTGAAAATCCTATGAGGTAACCATTTCTCTATCTGTTGTTCTTGTTACTAATTTTATACAAGTGTTTCATTTCTTCTATGTCGCAGGGTCGGATTATTTAATGCCCAAGTTTGTAAAGGAGAGGATTGGAAGGAGGTTCTTAAACAGTGGTTGACCTTAGTGAAATTGATGAAGAATCCTAGGTCGTTCTGCTTTAGCCAATTTTTAGACGACGTCCTGCAGAATAGGTTGGTGTGACTACTCAAGTAGATAATATATCGTTCTTTTTGAATTTCCTGGAGTTTGAACTTTTCTTATCATTCTGGAGTAGAAACGTTTCCTTCCTGGTATATAATTGAAATATTTCGTTGACTCTGCATGTGGTTTGTGTGTGCTTTGGGAAATTTTCAGGTTCCTGGATGACAATGATGCTGACGTACAAACCATTGTTCTAGAGTGCCTTCTGTTGTCAAATGACTTCTTAGTCCCACACCGCCAGCATTTGTTGAATTTGATCAAACCAAAGGAATTGAGAGAAGAACTCACGACCTGGAGCTTGTCCGAAGACATTGAAGAAGCTCACAGATCTGATATTTTTTCTCATGTAATTCGCATCCTTATGCCCAAAGTTAGGACATTAAAGAATTTGGCTTCACGGAAGGTACATCTTTTACTTACTTCTTTTAGTTTATTTCACTATGACAATGCAGTTTTCATTTGGGTTTGAAATGGTTCTCTTTGTTTTTTGTTTTTAGCATACAAGTATCAGTCACCGGAAGGCAGTTCTTCGCTTTATATCTCAGCTGGATGTTAATGAGCTTTCCCTGTTCTTTGCATTGCTGATAAAGCCCTTGAACATCATATCAGAGGAAACAATGCACTTGTTCTGGCATTCAGGCAAAAGTTCTCTGGATTATTTCCAAAAGTCGAATTTCCAGAAACATTTCACCGTTGACAGTATTTCGACATTATCCAGGAATCAGAAATCTGGGTTTCTTCATGTCATCCAACATATCCTTGAAGTCTTTGATGAACACCGTGTCCGACCTTTTCTACACTTTTTGATGGGATGTGTTGTCCGGCTATTGGTAAACCATGCTCCAAATATTGATGAAGAAAGCAACATTGACTCACTGGCACTAAGAAATCCCGCTGCCGCCCCATCAACTCCAGATGATAAAGAGAAAGTTTCAATAAATCACGACCAGGTAAAGTGGCTATTGACTTTGTTTTTTTTGTCTCTTTCCCTAAGATTTATGATGTTATCCGTGCACATAATCCCTTAATTTCCTTTCCTTTCTTTTTAGAATCTTTGTCTTGTTTGACATATTTCTCCGGTTTTTGTGTAGGCTGGCACTGCTTTGAAGCAGTTTAAAGAGTTGAGAACCTTATGTCTGAAAATTATCGCACATATTCTTGATAAATATGATGATTTTGATCTTGGCTCCGAATTCTGGGACCTCTTCTTTTCGGCAGTGAATCCTTTAATCAAGAATTTCAAGAAGGAGGGTTCTAGTAGTGAGAAACCAAGTTCCTTGTTCTCATGCTTCTTGTCAATGAGTAAAAGCCGCAATCTCGTGACCCTCTTATGTCGGGAAGAGTCCCTTGTTCCAGATATTTTTTCGATTCTAACAGTCACCACAGCTTCAGAAGCTATAAAATCATCTGCCTTGAAGTTCATAGAGAATCTGCTTTGTCTTGACAATGAGTTGGATGAGGATGACAATATGATCAAAGGATTCTTAAATCCGTACATAGAAGCACTGATTAACAGCTTGCATACTCTTTTCATTGTGGGTATTAAGAAAAGGTCAGGACTCTTGTAAATTGACATACTCAAGGTTAATTCCTCTTGATTTTATATTTTCTTAATGTGTTATTTATGTCCAGGAAATCCGTCAAGTATCATGGGGAAAGAGAGATTAAGATTCTTCAGTTATTGTCAAAGCACATGCAAGATCGCTCTCGCGCTATGAAGTATTTGGATATCTTGCTTTCTTTCTTGGATAAAAGTGTGAAAGATTCTGGTATGGTTACTCTCATTGCCTTTCTTTAGTAAAAAAACTTACAATATCATGTCTCTTGTATATGATTGTCTTATTGCTTTTACAGATATCCGTCGTGAGGCTTTGCTAGCCATTCAGGACATCATACCGTTGCTTGGGACAGAGAGTACCACCAAAATTGTTGATATGGTCTCTCCTCTACTTGTTGATGCTGAACTCGACACCAGATTATGCATTTGTGATCTTCTTGAATCTGTTGCAAAAATCGACTTCTCTCTGGATGATGTGGTAAGTTTCATGTCTCTGTTTGAGGTTGAGTCATTTTCTTCTCCTTCTTTTGCTTTTGCAATTGTAACAAACAATTGGCTTCCGATCGACAGGCAAAGCGTATCCGCGATATGAATGCCATCTCAGCCATGGAAGTTGATGACATTGACTATGATACGATAGTTAATGCTTATGTGGAGATTAATGCTGACTTCTTTAAAAGATCCTCGGAGCAGCACACAATGATCATACTCTCACAAAGTATATACAACCTTTCATCAGAATCCATTATGTTAAGGGGATGCGCACAGAAGCTCTTGTCTTCTTTCATTGATTTTTCAGCGTCAATACTTCTTCAAGAGGCCTCAGCTCACTCTGGCTTTGGCAAAGAGGTCAAATTTATTTTGACCCACATTGGTGATGCAATAAGTAGAGGAGGCGTTATAATGAAGGTACAGTGACCCTTCTAAATTATGTAGAAAAATGCTCAGAAGGGAGAAAATGAATTTTTTATTGGACACTAGCTTTGGGGGAGGTTTCGTAGCTTAACAAATTTATGATGCTTCTTATGGTTAGCTTACTGTAATGATTCTGCTTTAGAGATAAGTTTCTTGACCTGGGATATTGAATTGTACTTCCAATTGTAAGATGGATACCCGTGGCCCTCTTCTTTGCTCTGACGATTTCTTGATTAATTCATTGTGTCACAGGAGTGGTTTCTTTTGATACGTGAAATGGTGATAAAACTCCCGGATGCTGGAAATCTTGCTGAATTCAGACCTTTATGCTCTGAAGATGAGAACCTAGATTTTTTTAAATCCATAGTTCACATCCAGGTACGTCATTTTATCGTCTAGTTCCTCCAGTCAACAATTCGTAATCGCTCTGTGTTGAGAATCAAAGTCGATTTTATCGTCATTTTGTTTTGTTCTTCCCTCTTTGAATTCAATTTGATATGTTTGTTGAGACACACCGTAGAAATCTTACAAATGTTGATTTCCTTTCAATTTCTTGCAGGCACACCGTAGAGCAAGGGCAATTACACGTTTCACAAATGTGGTCAAAGATCGCAGTCTGCCTGAGGTTATCTCTTTTGAATATTTTTTACATTTTTAAATGCAACTGCTGTACTGTCTTGAGACTCACGAACAAATTTTGGTGTTGCAGGGAGTAGTGACAAAACTTTTGGTCTCTGTCTTTTTCAACATTGTTCTCGATGGACAAGATGGAAAAGACAATAATGTCCGCAATGCATGCTTAGAGGCCCTTGCATCTATATCTGCACATATGAGTTGGAAGTCGTACTATGCTCTATTAAATCGGTGTTTCCGTGAGATGAACAAGCATACCAGAAAGGAAAAACTTCTGCTGCGGCTTATTTGCTTGATTTTGGATAACTTTCATTTTACAGAAGATGCTTACACGAAGGAAGTTGAGGAGTGCCTTAAGAAAAAGATGGAGAAGCTGATGAATTCTGATTCTGATAGTGTTAATGTTCACAGTAGTGTGGCTGTGCTGAAGGTTCTAAAGCTGCTCCCCAAAGAAGCAATGGACTCAAATCTGTCATCTGTTATTCATAGAATTGCCAAATTTTTGAAGAACCGGATGGACAGCACACGTGAAGAGGCGAGATTGGCTCTGGTTGCTTGTTTGAAGGAACTAGGGCTGGAGTATTTGCAAGTTGTAGTCAATTGCTTACGTGCTATCTTAAAGCAAGGATCTGAGGTGCATGTGCTGGGATACACTGTCCATTTCATATTATCGGAGTGCCTGTCCAGTTCTACATGTGGGAAGCTAGATCATTGTGTAGGGGATCTCCTTGCTGTGGTGGAGAAAGATATTTTTGGAGAGGTGGCTGAACAGAAAGACGAGGAAAAATTCTCATCCAAAATGAAAGAGACGAAAACACGCAAGTCATTGGAGACTCTTAAGTTGATTGCTGAAAATGTGACATTCAGAAGCCAGGCATTGAAACTACTTTTCCCGGTAACTGCTAAGCTGCAGCGGCATTTGACTCCAAAGATAAAATCAAGTCTGGAGGACATGTTAAAACAAATTGCAGCTGGTATTGAAGGCAATCCATCTGTCAAGCGAAGAGATCTTTTTGTTTTCATATATGAGCGGGTTGATGATGGTATTAACAACAGAAGTGGTCTTGGAGATCAAGTGGCTGATACAATCAGTTCTCCACCATCCGAAAAGAAACGAAAATCAAGAGATCTGCATGAGACTGCTGGGTTGATTTCTGGTGCTAAGTCAACTCCACATCTTATAACCGTGTTTGCTCTGGACTTATTGCATAACAGAATGAAGAAAACTAAATTCGACAAGAAGAAGACTGATGGAGAGCTGCTGGGTATGTTAGATCCATTTGTCAAACTACTTACTGGATGCTTGAGTTCTAAGTATGAAGATATTGTATCTTCAGCTCTTAGATGCTTCATTTCCGTAATAAGGATTCCACTGCCTTCCCTCATTCGTGAAGCAGATGAAGTGAAAACAACATTGTTAACCATTGCTCAGACTGCAGTGAATTCCAGAAGTTCTCTTGTGGAGTCATGCCTTAAGCTGCTAACAACGCTTCTGGGTAATGAAAATATGACTTTATCATCGGAGCAGTTGAAAATAGTGATTCAGTTCCCCATGTTTGTTGATCTGGAGTCCAATCCATCTTTTCCTGCTCTTTCGCTCCTAAATGCCATCGTGAAACGGAAGCTTGTGGTTCCAGAGATTTATGACATTGCAATTCAGGTTTCAGAGTTGATGGTAAAAGGCCACGAGGAACCAATCAGGAAAAAATGTAAACAGATACTGTTGCAGTTTTTGGTCCACTATCCACTTTCTGAGAAACGTTTGGAACAACATGTGAACTCTCTGCTGGCCAATCTGAGGTATGTATACGCACTAGCTATGAATTGAGTTTGGCTCTTATATTTCCATTAGTAATTGAATTTGCCTTCCAGATATGAGCATCCAACTGGAAGAAAAGCAGTCCTTGAGATGCTCGAGGCGCTAATCTTGAAATTTTCAGAACCTAATTGCGGCAAGCCGTCAGTTCTTGACCGGCAGTCGAGAAACTTGTTTCTTCCGCTTGTTCATAGTTTGGCCAATGATGATGATAAAAATGTGCGTTTAGAAGTTGGTGGTGTGATAAAAATTCTGATAGAGCGCACCGGTAAAGATCTAGTTGGTTACAGTCTCTCGTACTGCCTGAAATGGTATAAACAAGATAACTTGCAGGCTGCCGCAGCACAGGTAACTTTTCTGAGGTTTATGTTGTTATTTGAACTCGAATCCTTACAGTACTTAGTTGTCAGACAGTAGGAAGTGGGAACTTCACTTGCTTCTAACGAGTTTATGGGTTGTAGCATGTTCACAAAGATTGATTTCGTTCACGTAGGCATCTTTTGTAGTATGTTTATTGCTTCTTCCAGAGTATTAACTTACTCGTTGGATGCCATGCAGGTGCTAGGATTTATTATTGACGCCATGAAGAAAACATTTCGGAAGCATATCAACAATACATTGCAGGAGGCTAAAACGATAATGGAGTCTGCTGTCCATGCTTGCAGCCTGCAGTTGCAAGATGCCGTTGAGGAAGCCGGTGTTCCTTTCTGGAAGGAAGCATACTACTCACTGGTTATGATAGAGAAGATGCTTAAACAGTTTCCTGATTTAAATTTCGGAAAAGATTTCGAGGTATGCACTCACTTATATGATGCTAACTGTTAGTAGACTTCTGAGAAGTGCTTGCATCTTTAACCTTTTCATTTTGAAGCTCTAATGTATATTTGCTTTTCATAGTCATAAGTTTTGTCAGGTTGTCTTAGAATATAGGACCGTTGGTCTAGCAAGAAAAATTACAGCTTTAGCTTTATCAGTTCACAGTGGCTGCATTCATTTTTCCGTCTTTGATGATTCGATGTTGACATAATTCAATTAAACCTCTCTTTTTTTTCTTGACATATTTTTCAGGATATTTGGAAAATCGTGTTTAAGTTCTTGTTGCACCCACACGCATGGTTGCGGAAAATTTCGTGCAGGCTCCTGAATCATTATTTTGAGGCATTGGCTGGGAGGAAAAAAGCAGAATCTCAGAGATTAGTAGCTGGATCCCTTCTCGAGAAGCCAAGTAGCCTGTTCATGGTGGCTGTTTCTCTTTGCTTCCAGTTAAAACAGCAACCCACCACAGACAACGTTGATGTTGATCTCCTCACTGCTAATATTGTTTTTGCGGTCTCTAGTCTTCATTTCCTGATTGGACAATCTGATCAAGCAACACAGAACGGGTTCTGGTCCAGTCTTGGCGAGGATGAGCAAGTAGTGTTCCTTAAAGCCTTTGAAGTGCTTGATTCAGGGAAAGGAAGGTCTACATTTCTGGCTCTTACCTCAGGCAATCGTACCGAGAATGATGAAACTGGTGCTAACGATGTGAGAAATGTATTGATCGGAAGTTTGATCAAAAGAATGGGGAAGGTTGCTCTTGAAATGGCGTCTGTTCAGGTTTGCTTATTCGTCTCTTCTGATCAAACCTTAGCTTTTTGCAGGCTTTAAATTAACTTGACTGATTTATGTTTGTTTGGGATAATGCAGATGAGAGTTGTGTTCAACGTCTACAAAGCCTTTGCCTCGCTGATGGATCAAGAAGAATGTCGCTTGTATGCCTACAAAATTCTTCTTCCATTGTACAAAGTTTCTGAAGGATTTGCCGGCAAAATCATCTCAGGTATCAACAAGTCATTGTGTCTTCTTCCCTCTTCATATTCATTTTTCTCTGTCAGGAATCTAACAAAGAGTTTTAAAACACACTATTGGTTTTATCAGATGAGTTGAAACAACTAGCAGAAGAGGTCCGAGACGGTATAAGAGACGAGACATTAGGCAACCAGATCTTTGTGGAGGTTTACAATGAAATAAGGAAACATATGAAAACGAAAAGGGAGAAGAGAAAGCGTGAAGATAAGCTAATGGCAGTGGTAAATCCGGAGAGAAACGCCAAGAGGAAGCTGAGATTATCTTCAAAGAATAAAGCAAACAAGAAAAGGAGAATGACGAGCATGAAAATGTCTAGATGGGCTCGCTCTTGAATCTTGAAACTGGAATCCCACTTTGCTTTGTGTGTAATCCATCCATTTTTGTCACGCTTATAAAAACCTGAGACTTGTGATTTTTGAATCTATGTTTCAGTTATAAAAATAGTCTATTGAAGTTTCTCTACCGATTTTCACTTCATCTTCGTCGTGTAAGAATCTATCATTCCTACTTAATCTGCGAGTTGTTTTTGAATGCTATGGTCGAACAATGTATAAAAACTAAAAATGCTGCGACAAAAAAAGAGATATCAAAAGAGAAAAGCAACTGCAAAATTATCGTTACAATTTGAGTAAGTGACAATGACATGTTTGTCATCATGCTCATTGTGCTCTCAGTCTCTTACAACCACAAAATAAACCTTTAAAAAACTATTCAAATTCATTTGAGTAATAATTTAGCCAATTTTTGAGAATTCAGAAGAGAGGCATGATGATGAAGCAATCGTCATGGGGTTGCACAATCTTCATCCAGTTATCTCTCTGTCTCGTCGTCTATGTGTCTCTGCATTTGGGTCACCCGTTCTTGTTCACTAGTCACGATGGTGATGACAATGCCGGAGCTCTAGATCTCCATTTCATCTCCGTCTCCGGCGGTTTCAGGCCTCTACAACGCCAAACTCGCCTTCTCCGATTGGTCTGTTTCCTTTCTTCTCTAAAGTGATGTTATGATTTTCAACATGAAATTTGTTTTCATCTCTGCAATTTCTTTAGTTATCGAATCCACTGGTCTAAAAGTTTGGTTCTTTATAGAACTTCTGGCCTCCCCAGATCGAAAAACTGAGTTTTTATTAGAACACACTGTAGATTCAACGAGAAAGGAGAAAAAAAGTGTTTCACTTCAAGGACAACAGATTATAATTTCTCCTCTGTATAAAAGCGATTATTGTACTGATTCTGTTATTGTTTTGATCGATGAAGATGGGAAGAGTTGCAGAAACTTACAAGGCGAAATTTGTGGTGAGCACAAGTGAATTTGGTGAAGAAGATCCACTCCTGCAAAATGTCAGCTCTCAAGCTTAATCTTCGGTCTGTTTATTAGTTGTGATCTCTTTTGCTCAATGAGTTACTATCAGTAATCAGTTTATTGATCTTCTTGCAGGCTACACGAGTCTCCTCTTCACTGAAACTTCCATGGTAATTTGATCTTGTTGAACAGACCCTTTTACCTAACTAATTTCAACGAGAAGACCGATGAATGTGATGCAATCTCAGGTTCACTACGAAGAAAGGATCTGGAAATTCCAGAGAGCACATCAAATTGCCATTTGGTGGATTCTTGGATGTTATTTTCGTAGACACTGGCTCGTTGCAGCAGGTAGAATCACTTTGCTTATGTGAATTTGAAGGAAATGGTGTTAGACTTTCCTTCTGATACTATTGTATTCTTTTGTTCACCATCTTACTGCAACTCAAGGAAGTCCTCGGTGGAGCATTGAATGGCTCAATGATCAGTCAACTTAAAGGACTTACAAGGATTCTAAAAGCAGCAGATGGAGACTGGTAAGCCTGCTATTCAGCTTATAGACTCTCTTGATCTCTCAAGAACTTCTAGAAATCACTGCAACACCTTCTTATGGATGAAACTGTCTATAATCATCTTTAATACAGGCGCATTGTGGTTGGATCTTCAACAGTGAATAAAGGTGCAGAGGAAGCCAAGGGGGTTTCAAGGACGTTTCATCAAATCATGACCAAATATGGAGTGGTAAGACACTGAATATTCCATCTTATGGCTGCATATAGTCCAACAAGATTGAAAACATCAAGCTGTATATGATTGATCTGAAAGTTTTAAACTTTGATGATACTAGAACTTATATATAAGCGAGAGAGGCTGCACCAGCGGAGCCAGCGACGATAGCTTCTCTTGCATTACGGTTCCTAATCAATCAGAGAGCCGAGGTTCAACGAATGATAGTAAGAGGTAACACGATCACTTATGACATTATAATCATAAACTACTATGACATCTCTATCTCAATGTCTGAGGAAAAGGCATTTTTTTCTCTTGTGATGTTAGAGAAATGGAAGATGGGTTTCTTCTGCATAGAGTTAGCTTCTCAGAGTTTGTAAGCAGTTTCTTCTACAAATTCCTTTCTTTTGTGGTTAAGATTTGTTTTTAGGACAAAATTGAAACAAATGTGTTCTTTGTTTATCATAAACAGGTTACTTATACTATCAACTTATCAGGACAAGTCATAGACACAAGATTAGTCAAGCAGAAAGGCAAAGAGGCCATCTAAGATTTCAATCTTGTATGGCTCTTCTCCATGGCTTTAAAATGTAAAGTACAAACTTTTTCTATTCTTCCATTAATGACCGAATTACCCTTTAGTCTCAGCTCTATCGTCGGAGGGTGAAACTGGAAATTGCAAGCTCGAAACAAATACTATAAAAATTGGTGCTTTAGGGTTTTGTTTTAGATCAACTCTCATTAGTTTAAGTATGAGGCTCTGCTCCCGGAGGTTTTCGATCCGGCGGCCGTAAGTGGCATAGCCGTCGATTTCCTCCGGTAGAAGTGGACGCCGATGATTTAAAAATCTGTGATGATGAGCCACTTCTTGTGAGTGGTAATGAATCATTCAATCGTCTTCTCCATTGTCTCCACCACCATCTCCATATTCAATCTTACTACTTGTTGCTTCTTCTTCTTCTTCTCTTCTTTTTATAGGTTTATCTCTCTTCTCTCTTCTTCTGGACTATGATGATTCATAAGAAGTCATTAGACCAGACATTGTGGTAAACGCTCTCTTATATGGCAGGGCTATAAGAAAAAAAAGTTTTTTTTTATTAGCAGCCAAGGGAGAAGAGTTGATCCTCTAATCTGACTGACAAAAGGCGAATCTGAGTCCTCCCCTGTAACATGCAAAGCTTATTAGCTACTGTTTGAAACTTAAGAGGCATCAATTTTGTAGAATCGAAGGTTTTGAGTAGTTAAAATTTCATCAATAGTGGACTGAGTTGCTCTGAATTTTTTTTTTTTTTTTTTTTTTTTGTTGATTTTAAAAAGAGATCTTATTTTGAAATATCAGTAATGTTCTATATCTTTTATATAATCACTTGATGTGGACAATAGGCATAATTATTTTCGGATGTGTTCCAAGAAAGGATTTCAGATTCTAAACCCAAACGAGATACAACCAAAAGGTCATAGATAGAAAGCATTAGAGGGAAAATTATCATCTTTATTGTTACTTCTGTATAATAAGCAACTGCGAAAGCTCTCACTCACAGCATTACATTAGTTGAGATAGCAATGAATGAAACAACAAATGGAAGAACTTAAACTTGAAAAATTTGTGATGCCGGATGCAATTATAATATAACAACAAATGAAAGAACTTCGAAAAAGTTTGTGATGCCGAATGCAAATTATCATGAAACAACAAATGGAAGAACTTAAACTATGAAAAAGTTTGTGGTGACCCACGCAGTTATAATTTGGTGACATCTCAACAACTGATGTGAGTGGAAAACTGTTTTGATAAAGAATCTGGCTTTTGTGGGCAAATGATTCAATTTCAAGCTTCCTAGTTTAGGTTAACTTCTTGTGTTTATTACCCTATCTTTATATTATTAATTGAGAAGTACATTCTAATGTTTGGATACAAGAATTAGAGAAACATCTATTTGGATAGAAGAATAAATGGAAACAAAAGTTGTTTGGATATAAGAATAAGAGAAAAATCTATTTGGATAGAAGAATAAATGGAAAAAATTGTTTGGATACAAGAATAATAACTTAAAATAAACCGATGGTTTAGAAAACTTCCGTTTTCCATCTCTTAAAAATCTGCAAAAAAAAAACTTAACATAATCTAACGATAATTCCAAATCAATAGAATATGCTTTTTGGATTTTCGGGTTTTTATAGACAAGTTCGGGTTTGGGTGAAAATCTGAGACATAATTTTATAGAGATATATATATATAGATATATAAAATTTCTGTTCGGGTTAGGTTCAATTTTTTTTTCAGTTTAGGGTTTTCCGGATTTTTTAGATTTCTGGTTTTCGGGTTTAGATATATTAAAAAAATTGAGTATTTTAAAATTTTGATTAGGTATTGGGGTCGGGTTCCGGGTGAAAAAGTTTCCAGATTTTTTTTGTTCAGTCAGGGTTTTCGGGATTTTTTTGATTTCGGATTTTCATGTTTAGACCTATTAAAAAAGTTTGGGTTTTTAAATTTTTTGATTAGGGTTTTTTGTCGGGTTCGGATTTAGGGTTTAAATTTTCTACACAAAACAACAACGTCACACCGCACAAACGTGCGGGTACTCTACTAGTGTGTTACAATTATTATTGCAGACTGAGAACTTGTTCCTTATCACTCATGTTTCAGACCAATCTAAGAAAAAGCAAGAATAGTCTATTGGTTTCAAATTTGGTAATGAACTAGCTTAGAGGCATGTGCGTTTCTAATATACACCCTGGAAAATCTAGTGGTCCAATCAATGGCTTTCCTGTGCGTGTGTATACAAACTATTGTTCTTCCTAATCACATAACCCTCTTTGGTATTCTTAGTCGAAGCGACCAGAGAGATTGGATACTATTGTTCTTAACTATCACTGCAACAGCCTAGTTTTTCAGAATGATTGGATCATACGTCCACTTGTATAACGTTACAGTTCGTTGTTATGTCAACATCATTCTTGAGGGAGAGAGATGGCAAAAAGACAAAGTTCCTACTTATCTCACTTTTTTTCCTCAAAAAGACCAAAGAGACTGAGAGAGAGAGATGCCTGCTTTTTTCCATCCTATTTATTGTCTCTGTGTTCAGCTTATTCTTCTCACTTCTGCTTACAGAGAAACAGAGAGAGATATGGAGAGAAAGCTTGCTTTTTCATGTCTTGTGTTACTCTTATTAGCTGTTGTTGCAGAAGCAACGTCTCTTCCACGAGGTTCCCACCATCTTCTCTCTTTGAGACAAAACATGAAGACATCCAACTCAAAGACAGAGTTACCTTTTCACTTTCAGACTCGTTACTTCCCTCAGAATCTTGACCACTTTAGTTACCAACCAGAGAGTTACGAAATCTTCCCCCAAAAGTACCTCATCAGCAGTCATTTTCTGGGGTAAAGGTGGCCCTATCTTCGTCTACACAGGCAATGAAGCTGATATCGAATGGTTTGCTTCCAACACCGGTTTCATGCTTGACATTTCTCCCAAGTTCCAGGCTCTTCTTGTCTTCATCGAAGTGAAAAACTTTTTCAAAAATATTCATAATGCAATCCAACTTAAAACGCTAATGCTGATGTGTTTTGTTCTCTGGTGTTCCTAAATCCTTGCAGCATAGATTCTATGGAGATTCGAAGCCGCACAGGTTGGCCAATAAATGGGGATACCTAAACTCACAGCAAGCTTTAGCTGATTACGCAATCTTGATAAGAAGCTTGAAGCAGAATCTATCCTCTGAAGCTTCTCCTGTCGTAGTCTTTGGTGGCTCCTATGGTGGAAGTAAGATCACAAATTTCCACTGACTTGTTCACTTTTTCTTACTACACTTCCGGTTCTTATAAACTATCTTTCTGTTGTACTCTATTTCCTGAGACAGTGCTTGCAGCGTGGTTCAGGCTAAAGTATCCGCATATAGCAATTGGAGCATTAGCATCCTCTGCTCCGATTCTTAACTTTGATAACATTGTTCCATCTACAAGCTTCTACGACACTGTTTCTCAGGACTTCAAGGACGTGAGTGTTAACTGTTTTGAAGTCATCAAGAGAACCTGGGGAGAAGTGTTGGCTTTCTCCACCATGAAAGATGGCTTACAAGAACTCAGCAAAAAGTTCAGAACTTGCAAGTAAAATAAAAACACGTTTACTCCTCTCTAATCTGTGTTGATTCATTTTATAGTCTTTTGCAATCCAAGAAAACTTTTACGAATCACAGGGATCTCCAGTCTGTCGTTTCAGCCTCAGGTTGGCTCGAGAACGCCTTTGTTTATACAGCCATGGTTAACTATCCAACAGAAGCAAATTTCATGGCTCCATTGCCTGCTTATCCAGTGGAGAAGGTAAGACGTGTGAGAGAGTAGTCAAATATTTTCTTTCTTGTAAAGAGGTTTATTCAGAACGAGACATATATCTTTATTGCATCAGATGTGCAAGATCATCGACGAGTTACCTCTAGGAGCGAGTAATCTCGAGCGTTCGTTTGCAGCTGCAAGCTTATACTACAACTATACAGGTTCAGAGAAATGCTTCGATTTAGAAAGCTACACCGATCCTCATGATACCGACAACGGTTGGGGATGGCAGGTATTCATTACCCTATACTTTCTCTGTTTCTTCTTTTATTAGCTTCATTGTCTTGTTAAGGAAAACAAAGAATCTGTTGTTGAACTTACTAATGGATCAATGTGCTTACCGAGTTTTCAAAAAAGGCGTGCACAGAGATGGTGATGCCAATGAGCTGCTCGAACCAGACCATGTTTCCACCATTCGGAAATGATGGTGACAAAGCAGACCAAGAGTCTTGTCTAGAGGGTTACGATGTCAAGCCTAGACCACACTGGATCACCACTGAATTTGGCGGACAGGTTAGTTTCATTCATTCTCATTTCTTACTTAAAGCTCAGTTTTTGACGAGAGTCCAAATATATTGCAGAGAATAGAGTTGGTGTTGAAGAGATTTGGTAGCAACATTATATTCTCAAACGGAATGCAGGATCCATGGAGCGGAGGAGGGTGAGTTTCTAGTCCCATATTTCATGCCAATATAAATTCTCTAGAATACAGATATGATGTTACCGGATTTTTGCAGGGTTCTGAAGAACATATCGATTAGCATCGTTGCGCTTGTGACCAAGAAAGGTTAATGTTTGTGAAATTTAAGAGTGAATACACACATCTGTTATAATAAGAAAGAAATGTGAACATTTTTTTGTTTGAAGCAGGAGCTCACCATACGGATCTCAGGGCTGCTACGAAAGACGACCCTGAGTGGCTGAAAGAACAGAGGAGGCAAGAAGTTGCTATTATTGAGAAATGGATCACTGAGTACTACAGTGATTTGAGACAAGAAGGACCAAAACACCATTAAGTATTGTCTGTTTCTGTATTGTGGTCCAAGAGTTAAAAAACAGTAATCGATTAATAAAATGCTTTACTTTGAATTTGAAACTTGGATACCAACATAAGCTACAGAAAGGGGTGATTTCTGAATTAAATGAAAGTATGCTCCCTTATGAGAAGATTATCGAATTCAAAAGGGTACAAGCATAAATTTGTTAAAAGAAATGTGTGAAACAAAAGAAAGTATAGCGCCTTTTCTGAAAGATTTGGGAATTCAAAAGGTGGAAACAGTAAATTAAGTGAAAAGAAACTGTTACAGTGATACCGCGAGAAATGCACCACCGACATCTGGACCGGACACATTAAAAACGCCGTCGTTTTCACACTCTCCTTCTCTAGTTTCTCCGCGTTTGGCCAATTCACACTTCAGCTAGCTGTGATTCTAATTCTGCCTTTTTCGCTGACACTCTTTCCACACTAATCAATCGCCATTGTTGCTAAACTTCCACTCTGATTTCGTTTTTGTTTGATCTACCTAGCGATGGCGCGTAGGTCTGGAGATTGCATGAGATGTCTGGTGATTTTCGCGGTTGTATCAGCATTAGTAGTGTGTGGGCCTGCTCTTTATTGGAAATTCAACAAAGGATTCGTTGGATCCACTCGTAGCAACTCTGTTTGTCCTCCTTGCGCCTGTGATTGCCCTCCTCCTTTGTCTCTCCTCGAGATTGCTCCTGGTATATAACTATCATCTCCTCTCTCCCTCTTTCTTGTTTTTGAATTGGATCTAGATGTTCCGCTGGATTCATGATGACAAGTTTGTGTTCATAGTGTTCCTTTGAGAGCAATTATCAGAATTTTGAGGTGTTCTGTTCCTTAAAATTTCGATCTTGATTTATTTGGTTTCAAAATTGGATCTTTCGATCAAGCTGTCTCTTTTAAGTTTAAGCAGTAAGAAAAAATCTCGACTTCTATACTGATTAACAACAAGTTGCATCTTTTGTTTTTGCAGGGCTTGCAAATCTCTCTGTTACAGGTTAGATCTCGATTCTGAGCTTGATTTTGTTTAGCTTCCTTTACTGTTCTGTCAAGTTACAAATATGGATTGATAGTTATTGAGGAGCCTTCGTTTCTGTCTATGGAAGTAATTTTAAAGATTGGTTTTTTTATGCCTGACAAGGTCCTCCTAATATCCTTATGTTGTTCCAAATTCTTTATCTTTCTGAGTCTATGCTTCTACTAGTTATATGGAGAACTGAAAGTTTTGATCTTTCCGTATCTTGCTGCATGATATGTAACATATAGTTATAGCTCTTGTATTCTCCTCTGAAGACGTTCCTTCTCTGAATTGTGTTGTGAACAGATTGTGGAAGCGATGATCCAGAGCTTAAACAGGAGATGGAGAAGCAGTTTGTGGATCTTCTAACCGAGGAGCTAAAGCTGCAAGAAGCAGTTGCAGATGAGCATAGCCGTCATATGAACGTTACACTCGCGGAAGCGAAAAGAGTTGCGTCTCAGTACCAAAAGGAAGCCGAGAAATGCAACGCCGCCACTGAGATTTGTGAGTCAGCTAGAGAGAGAGCTGAAGCTTTGTTGATCAGGGAGAGGAAGATGACTTCTTTGTGGGAGAAGAGAGCTCGGCAATCAGGTTGGGAAGGTGAGTAAACTGATTTCTTCTCCGTCTTCCCTGAAGTGTTAGTGTTTCTATCTGAGAAACTTATTTTTCACAACTCAACTCAAGAAAGAGAAATATTTTTTAATGGCCGAGGAAATGTCATGTTATCTTCCACGCTTCTCCATATATGTAGTAGTCATTTGTTTTGCCTTTGTATTGGAATGTAGCTAAAGAAAGGCTTGGCCCTTGTATTGACTTATTCTTCATATACAAATTGTCCATTTGAATCGATTCGATTGCATTGCAGCTTAATTTGATGCTTGTCTGTGGCTTAAGCAAAGCACAAGCGGACCAAGACTCTGTTATCTTCTTTGCTTAAATAGCTAACAGACTTTTTCAATATGGCTGAGAGAGAGACAAAATAATGGAGAAGTCAAACGCGGTTGACATAATTATGATCGCACGCGGTTTCGGTTTTCAATATTCCTCCATTTACAAGAACAGCTGTATTTCTTTTCTAGTATTTTTTAGCTTCAGCCATTAAAGCACTCTGTTTGCATTATCCAGAGGGACAAAATCCATAAAAGCTTTTAGATCTACCATTGAAAAGAAACAAATCTCGGTTTGGTTCGTACACTCCATGTGGGTTGTAAAAAAAAAAGATAGCTTTAAGACTTTTTGTTCTAGATTCAACTAATCTCTGTTACTTTTCTTCTGTGTTCTTCTCTGAAGCTTCCATAGTGTAGGAATTGCATTAAATTCGTACCTCTGCAGGCACAGAGATCGATAACTTATTTTACTTAAAATGGAAAGTTCGATGAACAAGAGAGGACAAGGACACAATCAAGAAGAGTATACAGATAACTTGCCAGAATCAAAGAGACGGAAGCTTCCTGCTTTGGCAAGGTAAATCATATTTTACATGTGTTAATAAGGTCATCAAATTTTTAAAGACGATGATGCATGGAAAAAATGACTGTATTACAGTGTCATCGTGGAAGCTGTCAAGGTAGATAGTCTACAGAGGCTATGCTCATCTTTGGAACCATTTTTCCGCAGAATTGTGAGTTTGGTATCTTATTTTCTTATAGACCGCAGTGAGGTGTTTTAGAGTTGTAAACTTGGTTATGGTGTGTACCATGGACAGGTCAGAGAAGAGGTGGAACGAGCCTTCTCGACCTTGGAGAACTCGAAATCAACTTCAAGGTACTTTATCTAGTTATGTTATATAATACCTTTCGTAGAATGATTCCATGATCTTTACAGCAATTTGAGTTATCAGATCTTCAGAACCAAAGAAGATTCAAGTCCCTGATGGAAGGAACCTGCAAATTCGCTTTAGAACACGAATGCCTCCTCATTTATTCACAGGTGGGAAAGTTGAGGGAGAGCAAGGCTCAGCCATTCACGTGGTTCTTATAGATGCAAACACAGGAAATGTAGTGCAAACGGGAGAAGAATCAGTGGCAAAACTGAATGTGGTCGTGTTAGATGGGGGATTCAAGGATGAAGATTGGACGAGAGAACATTTTGAGAGCTTTGAAGTGAAAGAGCGACAAGGAAAACGTCCCATATTGAATGGTGGCACACATGTGATACTTAAGGAAGGCGTAGGAACTCTTGGAGAACTTACTTTCACTGACAATTCGAGCTGGATTAGAAGCAGAAAGTTTAGGCTCGGTGTTAAGGCAGCTTCAGGTCTTCACATCCGTGAAGCTAAAACAGAGCCATTTGCTGTGAAAGATCATAGAGGAGAGTGTGAGTTTCTTCATACTTTGGATTATTACATTGACAAACAGAGAGTTTCTTAGATTTTGTTTTTCTTTTGGTGATGTTGTTTTTGCAGTATACAAGAAACATTATCCACCAGCTTTACATGATGAAGTTTGGAGATTGGATAGAGTAGCAAAAGATGGAGCGCTACACAAGAAGCTTTTGAAAGCTAACGTCACGACTGTTGAAGACTTTCTTCGGATTCTCGTGAAGGATCCACAGAAGCTTAGAAGCGTATGTGCATCTTTAATATAAGAAACATCTACACACAAAAAATGTTATTGTTTCTTGGTTAACATTCTTTGGTGTGTGTTTGCAGTTACTTGGAAGTGGAATGTCAAATAAAATGTGGGAAAACACAGTGGAACACGCCAAGACTTGTGTGTTGTTGGGTGGGAAACTTTACGTCTATTACACAGAGCAAACGCAAGAGACAAGCGTTGTCTTTAATCATATATATGAGTTCCAAGGCCTAATTTCCAATGGACACTTCTTATCTCTGGAATCTCTTAACCATGACCAAAAGGTAAAGACATTTTCTTCTGTAAACTAATCTTCTTTCTTCTTCCTCCCTGAGACATTTGTTTTTGCAATCCAAAAGATTTCTGCAGACATTTTGGTGAAGACAGCTTACGAAAACTGGCATAAAGTGGTTGAGTATGACGGTAAGATGTTGGATTGTTTACCAGTCGCTAAACAGGAAATAAAAAGCTTACCAGAGCCAAAAATGTCTCTGAACCATCAAATGCAGCAGAAGACATTGCAGTGTCAACAGAATGCATATAGCTACGTACCGGTTCCTCAGCAACCGATAGAGTATCCTTCTGTGCAACAACCTTGCAATCAACCAAGAGACTACACATCAAGGGAGAGTTCTTCGGTTTCAGGGTCATACAATGGAGGCCTTGAAGATATATTCACGGAGGAAATACGGATGAGGAGTTCAGAGATGCTTGAGACCGATGACATGCAGAGATTTCTCAAGACATTTGGGATATCAGGTGGGTTTGGTCGTATAGATGAGTCCTGTTACGGTTTCAGTGATCGGTATCAAGGCCAGATCGATAAGGGATATGGAAGAGAACGAGGTAGAGGATCAGGGAAAGCTGTGGTGGGATGGCTTAAACTTAAAGCTGCACTGAGATGGGGTATCTTCATACGCAAGAAAGCTGCAGAGAGGAGGCCTCAAATCGTGGAGATCGACTGAGAAACTACAAAGATTCTGGGATCTTTTTGTGAAAACTTGAGGCAATTACTATAAACGCAAGAAGTCATCTTCTGGATGAGCAAGGGATCGGAGAGAGAAGAAACTCAATCTAGGGTTTGGACTAAGAGAACTTTGCATTGTAATAATCTTATTTGTCTGCCTTCTTCTGTGTTATCTTGCTTATATAACCAAATCCAAGTAACTTATGTAATGTACTTATTTGTGTCGCTAAGGAACATCGGTTAGCTAGAGGAAAATGCTGATTAAATCTTTTCTCTGTTGCATCTCCTACAAGTAATGATTTGTTACAAAATCCCCAAACATGATCCTACATTACATCTTTTAGTATACAGGGCTACAGTAAAATACCTCTCTAGATGATCTTTCTTCCACCATTAACTGTGACCCTGTGGTTTTAGCATTGGTTTTGATCACATTGAGGAAATGACTCTGCACAAGCTTTGAGTTTAAGAGATCGGAACGAGCATTTCTTGAGTGTTCTGAGTTGAATAACACATGCGATGCAAAGGAAGGAATCTACCAATTCTCTTCTGATTCTTCTACTACCTCCAGAAAAAAACTCACCCTACCTTTTCCCAAGTCTCAAGCACCGATGGTGCTTAGGTTCAGTGATACTAGGCTCATTGGTTAGTTGTTTTGGTGGTGGGTTTGTTAAAGAGAGTTTCTCCATTGCGTTTATGAACTTGCGCAGGTGCTTAATGTACTCAGGATAAGTCTCTAGATTGCAATGCCCTCCTCCTTTCACCCATAACGGATCAAACTTCTCTTTAGCCAGCTCCCACAATCTCTTCCCATGTGAAAAATCCACAATATCATCATTTGTGCCCTGCAAGTCATCACAAACCAATCAGCACTAATCTTTAGATTTGTCTTTTTTCTTTTTTGCATCAGCTATAAAGCTTACATACATGTATGACAAGAACTTGGGAGCTGACATGTCGAATCTTGTCTATGTTCTGCAATAAGAAGACATTCAAACAAAGAGATGAGACATGGCCAGAGTGTTTATATAGACCCAAGAAAAAAAGACATCTCTTTTTGTGTTTTAGTTACTTTGAAAATGTCGAACCAGAGTGTCATTTTGACAGGATACAAGACTCTAATGCCAGAGAGAATGGCGCTGTGAAGAACCACTCCTCTCAGCCTCTTTAACCGAGAAGCCATGTGCAGCGTTGGTCCGCTTCCTACAGACTGTCCGTATAAAATCAGCTCCTCTTGCTTGATCCCATAATCGCTCCTCAAGCAATTGTACACTGCTTCAATGTCATAATATGTGTTGAACTCAGACGGCTACACCACCAAAGAACAAGAATTTAAGTCAGAAAATGATAAAAACTAATGAAAATCACAATAAGATTTTAAATTTGAATGATTTACCTTTCCTGTTGAAGCTCCATAGCCTGAATAATCATAACTGTTTCAATGACAACAGCATTTTAAAATGTAAGAATCTAACAAAACCCATGAAAGCTGTTAGATTTTCTGAGATGTGTAATAATCACCTCATGATGTTGACGCGGAGATGAGCACGGAGCTCGATGAAGAGCTCGACCATTTGGCCAAGATCAGCTGCGTTGCCATGTGAATAGAGAATCGTGAATCTCGCAAAAGGGTGTCGCCAGAACGTGGCGACGACTTTGTTACCGGACTTTGTGGTGAGCTGGTGGGCTTCCATGTTCTTGTCCGGCGAGACTCCGGCGAAGACCAGCTTCCCGGTCTCCTCATCATTTGTTATGCCGTATGTTGCCGGGTCCGGTGGGAAAAAGGCGAACTTGGCCGCCACATTTGATGTCACATTACCCATCTAATCAGAAATCTCAGAAGAAAAAAAGTAAAAAGCAGAGAAGGAGAAAACACAGAAACCCAAAATCTCTCCTCTCTCTCTGTCTAAGAAAAGAACTAAATTTCAAAAAAAATGTATTTTTTTTTTGTTATTTGTTATTAGTTTGTTTGGTGGGTTTGTGTTAACTTCTTGGGAGGTAAATTGGAGGGAGGAAAATGGAGAGAAGGTGGTGGTGGAGGAGAGAAGATTGGACCCGAACTTGGCGGGGGAAGGAAGAAGATGAGCTGTATTTATTCAATATGAAACCAACTTCTTCTATATACCTCTTCGTTTCTTTAAGGGGGTTTAAATATGAATTCTCTTAATCTTAACCAGATTCTTAGGATTTAACAAATTAGTCTATAAGAAATTCAAATTATAAATAGTAACGACACACAATTTTTGAACCTCGTGCATATAGTTTGATAATTCTGATGGCGTAATTAAAGAAATATTTTTCAGTCAAGATAGAATTCTTTGGTTGCAGTAATAAAATTCTAACCCTTGATGTAACTAAAATATTGCGTAAGCTCACCTTTAGGTGCAAGATGAATGTTCATGTGTGATATCTACTTTTGGTTGTAGACAAAGTTTTAGACTAGGAACTAGAAGTTAGATGTAGCTAAGGGTCCAAGGTGTTTCAAAATCAATACAACCAAAAGTCATCCGAACCAATCGGATAAACTTTACTCAAGAAAAACTAAGCTAAAATTAAACTATCAACGGATCATTTCCATTTTCCACATTTGTTACAAGTTCCAGCAAACCCCGTTCGCATTGAATTTTTAGTCAAATAAATTGGACATAGTTTTTAATTTTAGACATATTTATAGAGTTATTTTTATTGTATTCTGATTGCGTCTGAAAATTAGACTTACACCTTTAGAATGATAAAACAAATTTACACATGTTTAATTTGTCTTGCTTCTCGATATTAGAGTTACACACAAGAATGAAGGGCTAGGATTTGGTCAAAGTCTTCCAGTGTTGGCTTTTTAATGGAACTGCTGTCAGAGTGTCAGACATTCCTCAATCTATGTCTATTTTTTCTCTTGCCCCCTTCTTTTATTTTTATCTTTACTACTACTAGTACTTTTTTTTTTTAATTCACGTTTCACTTTACAATATCTTGTCCCAGTTTCGTTTTTCTGGTTAAAAAACAAAGGAGACATTTTCAGTTTTGACAGGTATGCTTTTAATTTCTGACACTATTCTGTGTGCTTTGGACTTTGTCGGCTTCAGATTTTGACCAAAACTTATTAGCAAATAGTGTAAAAACCAATGATACAGCTTATTCCTTGATTTACTTACATAGTGCTGATAATTTGAGGTTTTAATTGTGCAATGATCCGTGAAACCCGCTATGTCAAATAGATATATACTGCAGACCGTTCGTTGCAGATAATTTTTTTCTAGCAAAGGAATCTTACATACTATATGTACGTGAGTTGATCCAAATCCAAGATTGTGTAAATCTGTTGTTTGGATGGAAACTATATACTATATTTTGATGACATATCTAATTTAGCTCTGTAGAAAAAAAAGAGATCTCTAATTGGCTTTACACATTGCATCATTTGCCTGGCACTATCTTCTTTTGGTTCCATATCATTTTTTCTGTAGTGAAAGCATTACTTCGTAAACCTTCAACCCAAGCTACCTAACTAGTTTTTCAGTTATGTGACTTTCAAACAAAATATCTGTTTTCCAATTTTGTAATAATCAATGATTAAAGACATACAAATATTGGAGAAGTGGAAGATACAAACTTAAGCTTTTTGTTAATCAAAATTCAAAAACCTTATACATTTGCATGGTCAGCTTTGAGGGCATTGTGCTCTGTCCAAAGGAGGGGAAAGTGTCTTGAGTCAACAAAGGCATGAGAGTTTTGTGTTGAAGTTTGAGCTCTTAATTCTTAAATCCTAAGCATCAAATCAACCATCAAAAGAAAAAAAAGCCAAAGGCAAGTAAAAAAGTGACAAGACTTGCAATTCCTGCACTACTTTTTTTTTTATATTTGATAAAAGATAAAGCATAACATATTGAAGATTACTACTTCACAAGTAAGCATAAAGCCATAAACCCAAAGCCAAAAGGGCTTCATTTGTAGGTTTGTTTATTGTGTACATGACAACGTACTGTTGAGAGAGCCAATAAACAGATTATAACTTCGGCCAAAAATTCAACAAAAAGATAAATAAAAGCCCAGATGAAGGACTAAGAATAGCCTATTTTCCTCTTATGTGTATATATAAAAGCAAATCAAGCTGAAGAATGGTTTGTAATTGTATGACAGAAACAGAGATTCACGCTGAGGGATTTCAATGGTGGATACTACTTAATGACGTTTCATCTCCTGGAAAATGTTGGAAACTCTCGGAGACAGTCTTGGAAGGAACTTAAACAGCTGCACAAGAGAACAAGAATTGCAGAAGAGATAATGAGCAAAGGAGAAGATACGAAAGAGAGACACATAAAGCACAAAAAGAAGGAAATGAAAGGAGAAAAGAAGTAGATACCCAGAGCTTAACACAAGCGTCGATAATAACAGGAACCAAGCAGATGAAAATGGTAATAGTAGATTGCTCCACTTCAAGACCATAGTGTTCCATTATTATCTCTAACAATGTCTCCCATCCAGATTCAGAATGGTACCTACAAAAAGAAGCATTAAGTTATATACCTTCTTTGCACAACGTTGGAGCTCTTATTTCAACATTTGGTATGAGCTTACCCCAAGAAAATGTCGGTGATTAGGATGATGAGAAACGCCTTTCCAGTGTCAGAAATGTTGTTCAGAATCTTATATCCCGTAAATTTCAACAATGCTACCTGAAAAAGTTCATGAAACAACCCAAAACGGCACATTTAGTAACAGACTTAACAGTGATCAAGATGCCTTAACTATTATTCAGAAGATAGGAAACAGAAACTTACTTTACCCTGATTGGCGTACAAAAGAACGAACAAGGAGATTCCAAACACCATATCAGACCATATGTTGGCAAATGCTTTCCGGTTCTCTAATCTCCACTCATCTCTCAGCTCCAAGCTGTTAAAGAAACCAATGTGAGGAATAAAAAAACACATCTGGTATAAGAAACTAGACATTGTGGTGTCGAATCTTACGCTTTACCACGCAACTCCCACCATAACTCATCGTCAGAAAGAGGTGGAGATTTGCCAATCTCCACTTCAAGACGGTACCTAGCTTTCTCTCTCTTCAGATCCTTCACCATTTCTAGCTTCTGGTTTCGTCTCACATCAAGCGTCTGCGCAGCAAGTGGTACAGTCTTCACATATCTGTATGTAAAGCCAGATATGTGAAACTGGGGACTAAGTGACTAACACAATGAAGAAATCTAACAGTAGCAATGAAGAAATCACCTGTCTAAAAAGGGCATAAGTACATAATCATGAGCTAAAAAGTCCAATGCCCATGGTATAAGAATCAATACCGCCAAAAACTTTGCCTGTAAAGAGTTTACAATGTCAATGAGCATAGAAAAATAAAGAATATAACTATGTAGCCTAGTGTAACAATCTCATGACTCACCGATTTTGAAGATGCATAACGAAAAACACGGTCTTCGTAAAGAATATCTTCCTCTTCTTCTACTCCTAAAACCATATCCCTCACCGTTTCAACCAACCCTCTCTCTGGAACCATCAATTCATCGAGCTCTGATTTGTCGTCACTTCCCTCGCCACCGGAAGAGTCTCGGCTGCTCCAGGACTCGAGTAAACTATCATCCGAATCCACAATCCAATCCTCCCATTTCTTCTTGCTCACATCACCATCATCACCATCATCATTACCTCCAATCTCCGCCTTACCTTCCCGTAGCTCCACGATGGCCTCTGCTCGTCTCTTCCAAGTCTCGAATTTCTCTTCATCAGACATCTCCTCATCCTTTTCAAGCTCAGATGCCTCGTCGACAATGTCGTCGTCCCTCAAACCAAGCCAGTTCCCATCATCGTCAAAGAAAAACCTCTGCCACCAGCTTCTCCTCCTCTTGTTGTTACCCGTATGACTGTCCTTCTTCTCCGCACTCGGAACCAATCTCCAAAGCCTCTTTCTTCTCTCACCCCGCAGCGAAATCGAGTAACCGAGAGAGGATGTTGATGATGATGATGATGATTCAGGGACTGGGTTTTGGCTAGTGAATGATAAGCAGTGGCATAAGACCATAGACGAGCTCATCAAGGACATGAATCAAACCCAACATTGTTTGGACTGTAATTTCAAGGCAGCAAAACAGATTCTTCGGCGAAACCCAGACAAACCAGCATATTTCTTTGTAAAAATTCAATAGCTTTACAATCTATGAACACGGATTCAGCGAAGAAGAAGAAGCTCTGAACGGATAAGTATTAGGGGTTTTCCCAGAAATCAACCGAGAGAGAGAGAAGCAAACCCCAATTGCGAGAGGAAATGGATGATGAAGGACCAGATGATAGATAAAGCCACTCTCTTTTTTTTGTTATCTTCTTCAGATTAGCAAAGTAAAATACTATCTGTTATCCATAAGTTTGCTTTTTGATTTCAAATACTTAAATTAAAAATAATGTCAAAATTGTGGTTTCAGTCGTTTTGATTGGCTAGAAATTAAACAAGTGTAGATTCTAAAAAATAATAATTTAAAGAAATATATATCCTACAGTCCCACTGCTTCCAAGTATCCTTGTTAAGTTGTTATGGAGTCGTTGCATCAAGTACAAACTCTAATTTTTGGGCTCCATCGTCACCATCGTACTAATGTCAACAGAAACAGAGTATCTATATCTGTCAAGATCTTCAACTCGGGGATTCATGCAATCCCCAGAAAGTAAAGTTTCGGTCTTAATTTCTGTTTCAGGCATTTTAACGAACACCTTCCGTGCAATCACCATCAAATTTGCAAAACGTTTTTGCAGGTGCGAGTGTTTTGATCTCTACGACCAATTGGTTCCATACAAGAAAGCTTGGTCATGGCAGAAAAGCATTGTCGATGAGAAGAAGGCATTGATTGATAAGAACCAAGACTGCCCTGATACAGTGATTTTATTACAGCACAGTCCTGTCTACACAATGGGAACTGGAAGTTCAGAGGATTACCTCAATTTCGAAATAAAGGATGCTCCTTTCGATGTGTATCGAACTGAACGTGGTGGTGAAGTCACTTACCATGGCCCTGGTCAGGTAATAACATCAGCAATACATTGAAAGTTTTATTTTGTTTTCATATTGAGGTCTTCAAGGTGAATAATTGCTAGTAAATGTGATTGTTTGTAAAATGTAGCTGGTTATGTATCCTATAATCAACCTTCGAAATCACGAGATGGATCTTCATTGGTACCTCAGGACGCTTGAAGAGATTGTGATTCGTGTTCTTTCCTCGGCTTTCTCTATCAAAGCTTCTCGTCTTGATGGTTTAACTGGTGTTTGGGTCGGTATGTCTCAAATCTCAGCTATGTTTTCAAGATTCTTAGTGTGTTTTGGATGTTTTTGCTAGTGAACCTTAGAATAGGTTTCGAGATTGATCTCTTTTCGTTTGCAAATGTTTATACAGGCAACCAAAAAGTGGCGGCGATAGGTATTCGTGTGTCGAAATGGATAACATATCATGGTCTGGCTCTTAATGTCACGACAGATCTAACACCATTCAACTCGATAGTTCCATGTGGGATTAGAGACCGACAAGTTGGTAGCATAAAGGGCTTGCTTGAGAATGGAGATCACAGAGAGGTCGATGGTTTGAGGTTGATAGATATAGCTCACGAGTCTTTGCTAAAGGAATTCTCTGAAGCTTTCCAGCTTCAAATCGAGAAGCAAACAGTTCCAGATCCTAATATTCTGAAAGCTGAGTCTCTATAGCATTCTTGTAGAGTCTTTCAACATAAAAGGTTGATTGGCTGTTTGTGACATTGTCTGCTTTTTAGTAGATGTTTGTGTGAGTTTGGTCTCTCTACTTCTCCTTACAATGATTCTAGATTTTAGAGTTTAAGAGACTTTAGAAGAAATTTAGACTAAATACAGCAAAATGTTTTAGTGTTCCTCCTTGTTAGTTGTTGTCTCCCATTTCTCTGATTGTAGTCAATCTACAATCCTCACTTGTTTAGTTGTTTTTCAAATCTTGTGGGGAAAACAGAGAGAGCTCTTGCCATGTCTTCTTCCGTTTTATCTCTCCCGCCAAATATAATAAACAGAGATCTGAAAAAATGCACCAATGATGCTAGCCTGCTAGGCTTGGTTCCACAGATCATAGGAGTACAGCAAAGTAGTTCAGGTTCCAGAAAACCGTTTCACTTGAGGGATCAAATGTTTTCAACAAGGGATATCGGTCTAAACATTGCTTTCACTGATTTTCTTGCTGACACATGGAACATAACTGAAACTTAAGCTACTTTGGACTGATGAGATAATATCTCCAGAAACCACGGTGATCCTTACGCGTGTCTCAACTTGGAAAAAAAAAAACGGTCATCTTACTCGTAACAACCTCTAGGTTCTTTCCTCTCCTTTTTACTTTCTTTTTTGGCTGTGTCTCTTTTATTACAAGAAACGTATACTTCACATATAAACTGGCTTTTACCTTGTCAGTCGAATAGTCGATCCCCCAATATGAAAACTCTACAATGCTGGCACAATCGCAGTTTCTTGATCGCCACGTGTTGTTGATAAAACCCCCGTGCCTCTCCATTTCATCTCCATCTGCTCCATGCTTCAACACAAATGTTCCTCTGCCTTTGATTCCGTTTCTACAGTCCCTATACTTGTTCATAAAACTGTTAAACACTCATCTGCATCTGTTATAGATATGATGCCACCCTCTACTCCCAAATCTCCTTTTCTTAGCTCTTCACTCGAAGAGTCTCACGTTAAATGCTATAGGGGTGTCCGGAAGAGGTCGTGGGGCAAGTGGGTGTCTGAAATCAGAGTTCCAAGGACTGGAAGACGAATATGGCTAGGTTCATATGATGCTCCAGAGAAGGCAGCTCGAGCCTATGACGCTGCTTTGTTCTGCATTAGGGGTGAGAGAGGAGTTTTCAATTTTCCCAATGATAAAAAGCCGCAGCTTCCGGAAGGTTCTGTCAGGCCTCTGTCCAAGCATGACATACAGACAATAGCAGCAGACTATGCTTTATCAGTTGTGTCTGTGCCCTCTCCTACCGCCACAATCTCTGTAACAGCTCAGGTTCCTGCTTCCTCTGATGTATCTGTTTCTACTGAGACTGTAGAGATTGCCAATGATCATTATCTCCCGGTCCACGCAACTGAAGAATCAATATTCTCAGTAGAAGACTTACAACTGGAAAATTTCCTCATGATGGACATTGACTGGATAAACAATCTAGTATGATCATCATGCGTTACTTTCCGGTTGTAGTTACTTTTAGCTTTAATGTGGTTTAACTAGTGGTAACATGTGTCTCTTTAGCTGTTTCTTGTAAGGGTATACTTGCATACTTGTCTTTGAACTTGCTTCATTAAGCATGCAGTTTCTTCTTGTTTTGCATGTTGTATTCTCTTTGTTATTTGTCTGGCCGGACTTATGAGATGTTGAACATGAATGAAATGATTAGGAGTTGGTGTCCAACCAAAATATTCTGTTGCATGGTTAAGCCATTTTTTACCCATTCCGTTCCCACAAACTCTTTCTGTGTAACACAAATCTCATCATCACCAATATTGATGATGGTCATGATTATGAGCAAGAAAGATACTGCATGGTAGTTAAAACAATTCTAAACAAAGAATCCCAGTTTTGTAAATGGTTTTGTGAGAAAAGAAATTAAAAACTGAAACTTCTATCAGTTGAAGTATGGATCCTTTATGCAATTTTTGCTTGCAAAATCATTTATTAAACTACAAGCACCCATGGCCTAATGGATAAGGCGCTTGACTTCTAATCAAGCGATTGTGGGTTCGAGTCCCACTGGGTGTGCCTGATTTTCTAAAGCACTTATCTCACTTCAATCTTTTTTGTGACCCCATTGGTAGTATCTACTAGGCCCTTGCAAGAAAAGGATAAAAAAGCACTGATGAGCTCAAGATTGAGTGATGCTGCTTTTGAACTGCAGACAGAGAACAATGCTTACATAGAATCTTCATCTAGAATGTTGAGATTTTCCTCAGTAATCTACAATCTACAGTATGTAATTCAAAATTCAATTTTACTGAATCCATAGCTTTTGTTCAGTCCCCGTCTCTGCATAACCCTCCTCACTTCTTCTGCATTATAGCAATCACCAAATCCTGTGTGAATCTTGCTCATCAATACATAATTGGCTGGATTTTCAGGTTCAGCTTTCATTAGCTCATTTGCAATAATTTTCCTTGCAACATCAAGCCTTCCATGAATCTCGCAAGCAGATAGCAGAGAACTCCATATTCTTGCACTTGGTTCCAAGGGCATATTTCTCACAGCCTCAAGGGCATCGTCAATCTTCCCACACCTGCCAAGAAGATTGATATAGCAAGCATAGTGCTCCAACGTGAGCGGCATTTTGTAAGTTTTTCCAGCTTGCGTGAATATGGTTTGAGCTTCTTCTACAAGGCCAGCATGGTTGCAAGCCGATAAAATTGCAAGAAACGCCATTGCATCTACTTCCTCTCCACTTTTTATCATCCCTTGAAAGATTTCTAAAGCTTCTGAACCATGCCCATGAAGACCGTATGCATTTATCATTGAGCTCCATGACACAAGATCTTTCTCATCAAGTTCATAAAATACTTCACACGCCCCAAGAAGACAGCCACACTTTGCATACATATCTATGAGAGCATTGCCCAATATGATATTTGACATGAAGCCACACTTCAGGATGTGAGAATGAATTCCAGAAGCAAATCTCAGTGATTCTAAATGGGTGCAAGCTGAGACAATAGCCAACAGAGTAACCGAGTTTGGTTCAGTTCCTTCTTTTCTCATTTGACTTAACAGTTTCATAGCTTCGGTGAAGTCTCCAGTTTCAGCGTAGCCACCAATCATTGAACTCCACATTACAACATCTCTCACTTTTGATTCTTCGAATAGTAACCTAGAGAGACTCACATTACCACATCTGCAGTACATTGTCATAAGAGCAGTTGTTAACCGATCGTCTGGATTTAACCCATGACGGAAACAAAATCCATGAATTTCCTTCACCATCTTTAAGCCAGAACCCAATTCCACACATGCAGGTAGAATAGACATCAGTGTGACACGATTAGGCCTCAAGTTTTCTCTCTGCATTTCAAGAAACAAACCAATACCCATTTCGTATTTCTGATTTGCAACACAACCAGAGATCATGGCGGTCCAAGAGACCTCATTCTTCACATCCATTTGATCAAACACATGAAAGGCCGCTGCAGGATCATCAAACTTTAAGTACATATCAACCAATGCCGTCGATAATAGAACTGATCCATGCATTCTCTCATCAACAAGAGAAAGAGCATGAACCATTCTTGCTACCTTACTGCTGCTTCCTATGCGAGTGCAGAGAGCCATTATAGATGCAACCAGCTCAGACTTCGGAACAAGACCATCAAAATACATCCCCTTTACCAAATTTAACGCTTGATACAACAACCCATCCTGGCAATAGCAATTGACGATGGAGCAATAGCTAACGGTGTCTCTTTGAAGCATTTCATCGAATATCTTGCGTGCGGAGTACGTGCTAGAGAATTTCGCATACATAGAGACGAGAGAATTGGAGATTACGGTATCACGATCAGCGCCGGATTTGACACAAACGCAGTGAAGCTGTTCGCCAAATAAAAATGGCTCTTTTTGAAAAGAGCAAGCTTTGATGACGGAAGGAAGAATCGCTGTGAAGCCATCAGTGCCTAAAGGATGAATATTTTGCTTGTACAGTCTCAATGCTTCATCGTGGAGTTGTTGCGACACCAATCCCTTCAGCTTATTGCCGAGCTCCAAGTTTAGGCGGGAAGAGAAAGGTCTTGCCATTATAAGACGGTTAAATCATCTCTAACGAACATACGATATAAATAAACGAATTTTATTACTTTTAAATGAATAATAATATATCTTTGGAATGTAAATAACAAGCACCCATGGCCTAATGGATAAGGCGCTTGACTTCTAATCAAGCGATTGTGGGTTCGAGTCCCACTGGGTGTGAATGCTTTTCTAAAATACTTTTAGTTTTTGTAAAATTAACAGACATGATTTGGAGCCCAAAAAGTTGAAAGATGGTGGGCTCGTGAAGGGCCCACTCTTTGAAATTATGATACAGAAGCACGTGATGATCACGTGCGTTGATGTGGATCTCGTGTTCTTCCCCATTTCCATTTGCTTTCTCGAAAGGGGAAGCAAACTGTCGCAGAGAGAGAGGGGAAGACAATCATCGCCAGTTGTTCTCCTCTTCGAGATTTTCAATTCCACCTTATCTAGAGAATTATCGATCAATAGGATCAGGCAAGTGTGGCGATATTCAGATCCCGAGTGAACATTTCTGGTTTCTCAAGTCACCGGTTCTGATGATCGATTGTTTGAAATTGCAGTGGTTTCGGTTAACTTTTGTGGCGGGAAGGTGATAGGAAATGGCGCAGGAGCAGGAAGGGGCGGTGGTTGAGAGCGGTGAGCAAAATGATCCCCCCGTCGCCGCAGTTGCCGCAACGGCAAACGCAACCTCCGATAGCGTGAAGGAGAAGCGAAAGGGATTATTCTCGCGTGTTTGGAATGCTATATTCAGGGTTAGGGGAGACGATTTCGAGAAGAGACTTCAATACATTTCAAAGGAAGAAGCGACTGTTCTATCACGGATGAAGCGCAGATTAATTACATGGAGGAAACTCACTAGAAATCTCATCGTCTCCTCTGTGATAATTGAGGTCAGCAATTTTTTTTCCTGTCGATTGTGAATTTGAATTTGATGTTTTAGTTAGTGTGTGGTGAATAAATATGATTCCTTTCAGATAATTGCTGTGGGTTATGCGATCATGACAACGAGAGCAGGTGATTTGGATTGGAGAATGAGGAGTTTCCGAATATTGCCGATGTTTCTTTTACCTCCTGTGGCTGCTCTTGCTTATTCCTCGATCGTCAGCTTCTCCAAGATGTGTGAGTCTTTTTCGTTTGGATGCTGATTTAATGTATGGAATTGGTGTTTGCTCGTAGCTTCAGTCTTTCTGATCATTTCTCTGTGCAAAATGGTTGAATAGTTGACCGCAGAGATCAAAAGAATTTGGAAAATCTTCGAGCAGAAAGGTTGGCAAAAATCAATGAGCTTAAAGAAAGGACCAATTATTACACCACCCAACAACTTATTCAGGTGAGTAAGTAGACCTGAACAAAGCAAATTTTGTGAATGCTGGCATCTTGGATTCTATCATATCTATTCAAAGATTGTTTGCCATATTTTGGGATAATAGGCAATTATGGATAGAGAGTTAGAATCTTAGTGTGACAATTGAAATTCATTTCGATATGTGTGCCATAGTATATAGTTGATTGGTAAACCATTGTTTTCTGAAAGTACATGTGGCATAGCCGTGCAAAATGTTCAATGGCTCAGAAGAAAGACATGGATGCTTGTCACTGTACTGCAACTAGAGCTGGTGCTAACATGAGCCTTTACGATGCAGAGATATGACCCCGATCCAGCTGCAAAAGCAGCAGCTGCGACTGTCCTGGCATCGAAATTGGGAGCCGATTCAGGTTTGAAAGTATTTTTAGGAGATGAATCCCAACTCGATCCATCCTCAGGGAAGAGCAATGACATGGAGGTCAACCACTCACGAGGGCTGAGGAATCGAAGACGACCAAATACTAGACGCCACAGTTCTGGAAGCACTTCAGCACATCATTCTGATGATGAGTCTCACCATTCTGGGACAAGCGAGAGATTCCCCGGCACTGCAGAGCAAAACCAGCAGATGTTGGTTGAGCATTATAGTCCTCAGGGACATGCGGCTCCTGATGGCAGTTGGATCTCACGCATCGCAGCACTCCTCGTGGGCGAAGATCCCACACAGTCATTTGCACTCATTTGTGGAAACTGTCATATGCATAACGGTGAATGAATCTCTAAGCATCATCCTTTACATAAATCTTCTACTATATATTGCTGATTTCTTACATAAGTTTGCTATGTGTTTGTATAATTGCGCAGGACTTGCTCGGAAAGAGGATTTCGATTACGTTACGTATTATTGCCCTCACTGTAACGCTCTGAACAAACCGAAGCATTCAGAGGAAAACCCACTTATTCGTCCTGTTTCCGCTCCACTGCTCACAAATTCTGCAACATTGGTTGAAACCAGTGAAGTGGTTAATAGCAGCAGCTCGAGTAGTGAACGTGGAAATAGTCCCACCCCAGAAATAAAGGAGGAAGCTGCGACTACTGAGACCGGGACACCGAGCTGAGGAAGATCCAGTTGAGATAAAGAAGAACGCTTTCGTGTGTTTGTGCTACAGAGAGATTGCGTGTGCGTGTGCGTGTGTGTGTGTGGATGCGAGTACTCTTTCAGGTAATTATATGCTATGGATTGCAAATATCTGAAGCTGCTTACAATTTTGATTCTGGTCTGTTTCTATACAACTATACTATACGGTTTTGGTGGGTAAATATACGATTCTAATGTCATAAACGATAATTGTTATACGTTTCTTGGGGTTGGAATCTTTTTAGTTTCTTTACCTTTACAGATTTGTCTCTGTATTTTTGTTAATTTGGATAATTTTATATTTAATACATGATCTGGAGTTTCTTTAACTTTAGTTTGCTTTCTACAGACCTGAATTTCAAGTTATTGACGTTGTTCAGTGTCTTTTTGTATTGCTAGTTCATGATATGAATGTGACTTTTGCAAGAAACTGCATGTGCAAGAGTACTGTTTCTTTTTTTATTATATTTTGTTGTTAAGTACCAAACTTCTTTGCAAAAGCAGTGATGATTTTGAAAACTTTCCACCATATTTAAACCAAAAAGAAAGCTTTCGGGCATATAATTTGGTCTTATCAAGAAAAACAGAGAGGGAGCAATAAAAAAATTCAGAGATGAAGACCATTAGTGGATGGAACTTTATCTTCCGTCTCCACTTACAAAGGCCGTCTGGTAAAGTAAAAACAGTAAGGAACAAACTCAGGAACACTTTCAGTAGAGAAACATGAGCTTTAAGAAGAATACTAACTGCTCTCCCTTGTTGATTCTCTTGAAGCTGCAGCTTTTGTTGATCCTTTATTCTGCAGATCTCGCTGCTTGTCCAACTAAATGTGGAAAAATCGAGATCCCATACCCTTTTGGTATCGGAAATGATTGCTATCTCGACAAGTACTACGAAGTTGAATGTCGTGAGACCAATACTTCAAGAAAGCCAGCCCCTTTCCTTCCTGCAATTGGCAAAGAAGTTGTGAGTATCACTCTTCCTAACGAAGAACATTAGTTTAGCTCTGTTTCATCTGGGTTTGTTAGTTCTGAAGCATATGGTTTAGTTCGTGTCAAGAACCCGATAACATCCACTGGATGTGGGAACAAGTCTACAGAACCGGTAATGAACTTGACCGGTAGCCCTTTTTTCAGTGATGGCCTCAACAGCCTCATAGCAGCTGGTTGCAACGCCAAAGTGTCGTTGACACATATAAAGCCGAGTATGATGGGATGCGAGCTGAACTGCAATGCAAGAAGAGACTCGCATCTCAATAACATCCCTTTCTTCAACAAAACGGGGTGCTCGACGCACGTTTTTTACTATGATAACAGCGAGGCTTGTGAAGATGACAAACCAGGAGATACAGAATGCGATGGTAACGGATGTTGCAAGGCAAATCTTGGTGCCGAGCCTCGACAAGTTATTGGTATCAGGATAGAGAGCAATGGTGGAAACTCGACTACAAGAGAAGATTGTAGAGTCGCTTTCTTAACAGATGAAGTCTACACTTTGTCGAATGCCACCAAACCAGAAGAGTTGTTTGCTAAAGGATATGCTACACTTAGTCTTGGATGGATAATCCAGACGAAGAATACTTCGTTCCTCAACTCCTTGGCCTGCACAATGGGAAAAGATAATGATCATACCACTTACTCTGCTGAAACCGAACCAACGTGTAGATGCGGAAAAAGAACCATGTCTGAGATTAGTCATGCAAACTGTGAATGCAAGAAAGGTTACTTAGGTAACCCTTATGTTCCGAAAGGATGCGAAGGTCAGTATATGTTCTTTCCTTATGCTCTCCTTTTTGATCCGCTCAAGTATCTCATGTTATAGTTATAAGATCTTCTTGGTCAGCCTTTGATTATAAGACCATGGTCTTTCTCAAATGCAGATATTGATGAATGTAAAAGGACACCCAAAGTATGTGGAAAAGGAGAAAAGTGTGAGAATACAATTGGAGGCTATCAATGTGTGGCTGATAAAACTAAAGCAATACTGATAGGTACAGTTTCCCCTCCAACTTGATGAGTCGGAGATTTTTGATGATCAACATATAGTATTCTTGTGCGGTTTTGCAGGGGTGGGTGCAGGTTTTGGAGTCTTAGTCCTAGTCGGTGGAGTATGGGGGCTGAGGAAGTTTCTAATAAAGAGAAGGATGTCAAAGAGGAAGAAGAAATTCTTCAAACGTAATGGAGGACTACTGTTGCAACAAGAACTAAACACAAGACAAGGAAATGTCGAAAAGACGAGAATCTTCAGCTCAAGAGAGTTGGGGAAAGCCACTGAGAGCTTCAGTGAAAACAGAGTTCTTGGACACGGTGGTCAAGGCACTGTGTACAAAGGAATGCTCCTAGATGGTAGAACCGTGGCGGTCAAGAAATCCAAAGTTATTGATGAGGACAAACTACAAGAGTTTATCAACGAGGTGGTGATTCTCTCTCAGATCAACCACAGACATGTTGTTAAACTCTTGGGGTGCTGTCTTGAGACGGAAGTTCCAATGCTGGTTTACGAGTTTATCATCAATGGAAACCTCTATCAGCATTTGCATGAAGAGTCTGATGATTACACTATGAGTTGGGAAATGCGTCTACGCATTGCTGTGGATATAGCAGGAGCTCTCTCTTATCTCCATTCTTCTGCAAGTTCTCCGATTTATCACAGAGACATCAAATCATCAAACATATTACTAGACGAGAAGTACAGAGCCAAGGTTGCTGATTTCGGAACATCAAGGTCCATAACTATAGATCAAACTCACTGGACAACGGTTGTTTCAGGTACAGTTGGATATTTAGATCCAGAGTATTACCGGTCAAGTCAATACACTGACAAGAGCGATGTTTATAGCTTTGGAGTTGTTCTCGCTGAGCTTGTCACTGGAGATAAGCCTGTGGTAATTGTAGAAAACGCTCAAGAGAAAAGAAGTTTGGCAGAGCATTTCAGAGATGCCATGAAAGAGGCGAGATTTTTTGAGATTATGGATGCTCGAATAAGAGATGAATGCAAACCGGAGCAAGTAATGGCAGTAGCCAAGCTGGCGATGAAGTGCTTGAGCTCAAAAGGAAAGAATCGTCCCAACATGAGACAAGTTTTTACCGAGTTGGAGAGGATATGTACTTCTCCAGAGGATTCACAAGTGCCGGTTCACATTGACGAAGAAGAAGAAGATGAAGAAGAAGAGGAAGTTATGAAGACTATAAACAGAAGCCATTCTTGGAGGATCGGTGTTACAGCTCCGATTGTGGCTTCAACTTCTTCTTCAGATGTTGAACCATTGTTTCCTCGTCTCAAAACGTTTGGGTGATGAATGTTGTAAGATTTATGTTGTAGAGACTCTGTTTCCGCTTAGGATTGACCGTTAATTGGTTAAAAATAAGACATATGTTTGTGTTTGAGATCGTGTTCACATTTGTCTTTGTAAATTAACTGTGGTGACACAAAATTTACTGCGAGTGAAAGAAACAAACGTCGAAACGCATATCCATTTATTGGCGGAGATAGATTCGTGGGTCACTGTACTTCTCGAGAACTCACCTGGTCTCTATGTCTTTTGTCGGAGACGATGATCATGCAAGAGCAAAGAAGCGATAAGGCACGAATCAAATTTTAAGAATTAGGGTTTCCTTCATTTTGGCTCCTTAATTCTCTCTCAAAGAGTCAGTAAAGTTCATAGAGAAATGGATATTGGGATTCACAACGGATGGAGAACTTCAGCAGCTTCACAAGGCCTAAGGAATCTCCTGGGATTGCGCAGATCTTACCCTAACTCAATTCTCAGGTCTTTAAACATTTCTAAATCTGTCTTCTTTTTCCGGTTTAGGGATTTGATTAGGCCAAGAGCTCTGTTTCAGGAAGAGAATCCATGTGGAGGGTAGTAATGTTCATAGTGGCAAAAGAGCAGTGGTGATTTCTAATTCAAAGCAAGCGAATCTCTCTGCTTCGAGGAAGCAGAGGATTAAGCTACAGAACAATGGAGAAAAGAAGCTTACTTTCAGTGAGTTCTTGAAACATCCATCTGGCATGGAAGCTGTAATCAACGCTAAGGCTTTACACAGTTATCATTTAGTTGATGATAATGATAATACTTACAGGTTCTTTCTTTTAACCCTTTAGTATCAATCTTCACAAAACACTATAAATTCTCTTGAACCCTAGATTGTAAACACTATGAAAAGGGAGATGGTAAATATTTGTCTTACAGTGCAGATGTAGATTGCCCAAAATTCAGTTAATGAGCTTTGAGGTTACTCCAGTGCTGGTTTTGAAGGTCACTCCCACACAGGAAGATTGTACAGTCGAGCTGCTTTCCTGCAAGGTTGAATGAAAAAGACCTCACCTTCATGATTTATCGAATATTTTCTGTTGTTATATCTATTCACCGAGGTATGTTTTGATCTGCTGTCTTGCAGTTGGAGGGGTCAGAGTTGTTGGAGAACCAAAGTGAAAGGTTTTCAGGTAAATTTCGTCTTGTAAAAAAGTTCATCTGAAAGTAGCACTGCAAATCTGAGGTTTCTAAAGCTGACACAAATGTTTCTCCATTAGCGGTTATGATAAATTGCATGACTTGGGAAATGGAAGATCCAGAGCCATTTCTGGAGGTTGACGTGAGATTGAATGTCACTCTAGAGGTTATCTTCTATAGCAACTCGGCTTCATGCAGTTGTTTATATGAGTAAGCTTTAGTTATGCTGTTGATAAGAGCCTCCCCTTTTCATGCCAGATCTCAACGCGGCCATTCACAATGCTTCCAGTATCAGCTGTTGAGGTTCCTGGGAATCTGTAAGTAGACATTATTGTTCACTTTACCTCTTTTCTCCTTATTAGCTGTTGAGCAACGTTGATATTTTGATAACAGAGTGATGCAGACACTGGTAGATTCACTAGTACCTCTTCTGCTTCAGCAATTACTCAAAGATTACGACGACTGGTCTCAAAAGCAGCAACTAAACTCCTTATAAGCACAATGTAAACACAGCTTCATAATGTTTCGTCAAGTGGAAGATTTGGGAACTGTTGTTTTGTACTGGCCGTTTCAGATGGCATACATGTAGTAGAAGTCAGTCACACAAGTCACAAAACTCTGTATTAAAAGTGCAGAAATAACACTTAACATTATAAGGTCAAAAGAGATCTGGTTCAATTGTAAACTTTGGTCTTTCTTTTGTCATAAAAATACAACAAGATTACATCACTTCTTCATCATGATTCCAAGGCTCTCTTCTCTGTCTCCTCTAATCCTAAAGGCCGACCCAGTACGAACGGCCATTGGTGTTGTGAATTGGAGATGGAGTAGGCGAAGACACCGCCCATTCATACCAAACCTGAACACGAACATCAAAGGATCAACAATGGTTCTCAAGACCAAGAGAGCTAGTCGTGTGGATTCATTGTGGTTTTAACGTTTTTTTACCTTTGAGGAACCACAGCACCTCCAGAAGTGTACTTCTAACGGAGAATCAGGATGAACCTCTACAGGCTTTCTTAGTGGGAAAAAGATAGGGAACCTGCAAAAAACGGAACATAATATTACATCAGCTTTATTTTTCGTTGTTTTTAAGCAAGAGGTTCAATAGACAGAACAGTTTGATGCCATTTCTAAACATTAAGACATTACCAGCTGAACATGTTTGGTGTTGCTGTTGTAGGCTCGATCCCAAGATGGACATCTTTATAAAGGACGGAATCAAAATAGCCAGCGAATCCTGTTTTTGGTGAGTTATGAGTTATCACACAGATTCAGTTTCAAATTAGGAAAAATGGAGATTATCATTCCCGTTTTAACAGACAAAAGACTAGAAAAGTTTATACCATGCACCAAGGCTGACCCAGCGTCGCTTGGTAGATTGAAACGAAGCTTTTTGTAGCGTTGGTTGTTAGCTTTTGTTGAGAAATTTGGATGAGTAAATGTGAAAACCTAAGTAACACCAAAAGAAAACACCTGAGTTAGTTCGAGAGATCGACAAGAATTGCATAAATGTATTCAAAGAGAACACTTTAAGCTGTTAAGCGATCCTGAAGACTGAGAGACTCACAGATTGGGAAGGAGCAAGTTTAGCTACACTGTGCAGCTTGACAACATAGGCAGTTTCAAAGTGTGCAAGGTCTTTATGTGCCTTAACCTGCCAAATAATGTAAAAGACTAAGCTGGACCGAAAAATTTCGTGAGAAAAAGTACACAGCAGAAACCAAAAGAACCTACATCATTGTAAAGCTTTACAGCTGTTACAGGTTGTATGAAACTTGTATACCTGAAAAAGTAACGATGATGATACTCGAGTTAGAGAAACAGAAGAACAGATGTAGTCCTTCAAACTTTAAAACTGGCCTAGCAGTTAACATATCAAAGTTTTTTAATGAAAATTCGACTAAGTGAAGGAGTACACATACGAGGATGGTATTGAAATTCCATCTGGCTTCAGAAACCTTTGGGCCCCATCAAGGCACTCAGGAGAGAGTTCATTGTCTCCAAAAGAACCAAGCAGTTCGCTAACCTGCATAGCAGAAGCAAACGAGAATTAGATGAGCTGTATAATTACGGCATGAGTAATAGCTAACCAAAATCTGTGCAATCTGACCAATATATCAGCTTGCTCAGGAGCAGTCCAAAAGCGCATGTCACAGGATATTATCGTAACAATGCCTTCCCATCCTTCCAACTTAACCAAATTCTGTAATAAAGGATAACAATGCTCTATAAGTCAATTATAAACTGTGTCACAGTCCGAAAGAATCACCATAAAATTTAGTTTAAATTGATTCTGTTGCTGACAACTCACATGGAGCGTTACAACTGCATTAGGATTCTTTTCCACGGCATAAACTTTCAACTTCCGGTCAGTTTCTTCAGCTGCCTGGGAAAGGAAACCAATGAACACAATAGAGTAAGGAAAAAAGTGAATTTCAAAGTCTACTTGTCATCAGCATTGAACTGCATCAGAACTTTACCTGCAATGATGCCCTCACAAGGGGCCCTCTTCCTGCTCCTACAACCATCAAGACCTATAAACTAAAACTTCAGTCCTATTGAAATATTTCATAAGAATACCAGAAACAAAACTTAAAAATGAAAATGCTATTTCGTAAGCATTCAAACCGAAACATTGACATGTGACATACAGTAGTTATCTCGGATGCCTTTTCATCAGGGACCCTATCCACCAAGGCTTTGGCAACTGCCCTTTGATACTAGCAACACAAAGATGGACAAAAGTTAGGCATGAGATACAAAACCAACCACACAAAGATATTGGTATGATACTGAATTGTGTAAAAAATTCCATCCATCAGTCTCTCCGTATTTCTACTAACTGAAGCAGGAATAGAAGAAGGGTATTCCAGAAAACAGAGGTTCTAAAGTATAAGATGTGAAGAAAATGAAACTAGCATACGAAACTTACTTGGATGTATTTAACAGAGTCTCTCTCAAACGTCTCATAGGTTTGGGCTTCGAGGTTATCCATCAGAGGCTGCATTAAATAAACAATAGAAGATATTGAAGTAAGAATAGAGCATTTTCATGACAGGTTAAGGTATTATAATGAACAGGCGGAAACTAATGTTACTTATGAAGAGAGACTAACCTGCAGGGGTGCTTGCAAAAAATCCCTGTAGCCAAGCTGTGAAAAGAATAAGACAACTGTCAGAATTGAGTTTGTTTCTGCCTGCTTGCATCTCTGGTGATAAAAAAAATAGAGAGAACTGAGACAAGAGATCCAAAAAAAACGACCTCTATGCGTTCCTGTTCAGGAAGCGATTCCATTTTTTGGAACAGATAAGCCACATAGTCCAGATATGACCGCAGGGGATGTCTCTGGGTACCTGAAAACCAAAACATTTGGGAAATTTTCAAAAAATCAATGTTATACATGGAACGGCTATGCTTATAAACAGCGCCCGTGATAAATTGAACTACGAAAAAACAAGCCCCAAGGTTAACAGCTAACTGTCGGCGGACCAACAGAAAAAAAAAAAAAAAAAAAAACATTACCCTCAGTGTTAGAATTTGAAGCCTTTGGAAGATTATGAACAGGATTTCCAGAAACTACAACCTGCAATTACAAGATAGATGCTAATGAGCCCTAGGACGAGAGAACTCTATCTTCTGATTTAAAAGACGATTACATATCAAACACTTAGATATTTATTACCTGAGCAGCATGATCAAAAAATCCAGCTACTAGCTTTTGGTGGCGTTTTGACAAGCAAGGATAACCCCGAGCATTTGTTAAGAAAGACTGCACACCAAAATCAGAACCAGTTTGTAAATCACACGACTTCAAACTCGAGTTTTTAACAATGTGTCCAATGGTGAGGCACTTACATCAGTGCTTATAATGGCTGCTCTCACAGACTCTCCCATCCAGCGTCCTAGTGAGGCTTCAGAGGGTAGTGTACTCCTAGATAAATGAAATGGTGTTATATTTGCAAAGGAAAATTCCACAAAAACAAAAAAAAAACAATCAAGAGTTTCTCTGAACTCACATAACATCAAGAGCAACAGACAGCTTACTGTCATGCTCACAAAGAAGACGAAACGAATTCCACAGTTCCCAGGAATCATTCTGCATAGAAGTGAGTATATATTAAAGCCTCAATACATTCATTTGTATTTATAGGTCTAAAGGCCTATAATCTTAAGTTTGCATTAACTTTGATCCTACGTCTTACCTGACCCTCTGAGGTAGCATCCGCTGAACCACCATCAGACTTCACCAGTGGAACCCTCAGCCATAACTTCATTGAAGAATGACATTTAAACAAAACAAAAGAAAGAAGGAAAAAAATGTTAGAGCTTGATTGAAGATTCTCTTGTGAAGAAAAAGGCTTATCTTCAATAATAAAGCTTGACCGAAAGAAAGAAACTTGTAGTTGTAACCCACCTGCAAACTAGTCAGCCCTTGTAAGATCTGGTTAACACATCTTGCATAATTGGCACAGGAGGTCCCTTTAGGAGTAGGAAGAAGGCACGCCTGCAATAAAATAAACAAACATTAGCAACACGCAACAAGAAAACAACAGGGCATAACTTGAATCCAGAGATTCACAAGCACCTGTAAGGAGAGATGTGTAGCCCAAGAAATTTCTTGCTTCAGTGTGGTTTCAGAATCCTTACGCAAGACCTCATCTTCAGAATCCAAGTCAATCCACGAACTAATTTTTCCTAGAAAAATTGAAAATTAACCCTAATCAAAACCCATCATTCAAAACCAATAGAGAAGAGCAGAGAGAGAGAATCATACCAACGACATGACTGCTCCATTGAGAAGGTGCCAAGACTAAGTCAGAGCCAGAGACTGGAAGAACCTGAGTATCGGAACCGTTTCCTTCAACCAAGCTCGGTCTATACGAAGGGTTCATCTAATAACATTTTCCACAGCTCAATCAGGCAAGGGACGTGAGAATCAATGAGAAGGAAGAGTAGGAAAAGAGACAAACCAGAGGAGCAAGGACATAGTCAAAACCGCCGGTGGAGATGTGGAAGGAGAGAAGAGAAGGAACATCGTCAGAGAAATCAGTCTCAACGCCACAGTATCTCGACTCGCTCCTCTCCCATCCTCCTCTCTCTCCGAGCGGCATCTCTTCTCTCTTCTCTTAATCGAGCTAACAAGGATTGAGTGAAGTAATTGCAGATTAAGCTGAATCTGTCCTCGAGCCGACGAATAAAACGAAAGGGTTTTTGGAGGGTTTAATTTTACAGGTGTGAGTTTATATGAGGCTTCTCTAATGGGCTTTCTTATCACCAATAATTAGGCCCAATTAAGTCCGTTTATACCGTTCCAAAAGCTGCCTGGTGAACAAAATCAGAACTGTTCGAAGAATGGTAGGATTTTAACCGTTTTGTAAATAAGATGATACCACAATTAAACAGTTCTTGTTAAGAAATAAGCATCCAGCAATTCTCTTATACTTGTTGAATTTAGATTCTTAAAATGTTAAACTGGTGTGATTTGTATTTCTCCAAAATAATATGAAAACAGTGACAGATAAAACCAAATCAAAAGACTATTAAATCAAGAATCTGAGTAGATATATACAGCTTAACCATGACAATGAAACAATCTGCTCAGAGAGAGTTCATGGCATCTTTAAAAATCAAACATAAAAGAAACGATTTGTTGTTTTCCTAATGAAACAAGTAGAGGATAAAGTAAAAACCTTTCGTATAACATCCAAACACCAATAAGCAGATGCAGAATCAATCATTCTCTCAAGCATCAATCTTGACGTTCACATCCCTGGAGGAAGAGTTCCCATCACTGCTTCTGTTTTCAACTTCATCGAAATGGTCTTCACGGGCGTTATCAGCGAGCATCAGAGCGATCAGCCAGAAAAGGCAAGAGTCCAACGACACAAAGGCACCTCCACCAAGCAGACCGGTCTTAGCCGTGGGGCAAGTGGTCTCTAAGTTCCTGTGAACATTACGGGTCAAGTGAAGCTGCTCTGTAATGGTTGGCCATAGCAACAAAGACATTGCCAGTCCAGATGTCACCCTACAAGATAAAACCACACAGGCCAATTTTATGACTTAAAGTTTTTGGTATTTCAAGTTATGTATTGCTGAAACTAAGATGATAGAATAGGCTTACAAGGCAATGTTGAAGAACACAGAGAAGCTGGTGCTTTTGAACAGGACAGAGTTGGGAACAGACTTTCCCTTGTACGAGATGAACAGGGCTTTGTATCCAGCTATAGTGCAGGCAAGAAGAAACGCAGCAGAAAGGTATCCCAAGGCAACAGTTGGATCAGATGGATATTTGCAGATTATGACTCCCTTTCCGTTTATTGGAGTCCCAGACGCAGGCTATCACAAAATCCCAAATAACATAAACAAAGAAGCGCACAATCAGATAACAATTACAAATAAGAACGGCCGAGTGTATAGGCACTAGTAACCACATGAAAATGGAGTCATTGGTGAGGTCAAACAGTTGTGGGGTCATTTGTTATCAAATGTAAGATCAAACAATTGGTTTCTCTATCACTAGATACAGTTATGAATGTGACAAAGAGTAGTGCACAAGGTCATATATTAACATCTTCCATTCAGCAACATGAGCAAAAGATAGCAGAAACAATAGCCAAAAAAGCACCCTAAGCAAACAGGTAATCAAAGAGGATCACTGTTAGATTCTCCATCGTTAGATACACTTATGAAGCTGTAACAAGTGTGGTGCAGGGGATCAATCCAGCTCAAAACAATCTCAAAGAACAAATCCAAATTCCGCTATTCAGCAACACAAAGAATAAGCACAAATGGCAAGCAGAATCATCCCAAAACAAGCAGGAAATCAAAACACTATGTATACGAAAATCAAAGTTTTCTCAATTAAATGAGAACACGAAGAAACAAGTTGTTGACTTTTTTTTTACCTTCTTGTTCTCCGCGATCACTCCAAGAACAAAGGACAAGACGCCAAACGCAGAGACGATCAACGACATATGCTTCATAGTAACCGCCATTTGATCTCTTCTTCTCCGTCTACCTATATCTGACCCCAGAGATATAAAATTCGATTCAGAAAAACAAAAAACTGGAAATTTATTCGCTGGAATCGAAATCGAGCAAACGAAAAGGCGACGGAAAATCAGAAGAAGGACTCACCAAGACGACGAATCTGGAGATGGAATACAGAGAGGAGAAGTCAGAGGATAAGGCCTCTATGATTTGGGTTTTGATGCTAACTTGTCCAGTTGCACTGATAATTCGGAGTTAGCCCTAAAAAGTCTCTGCGTTAAAGATTCTGTTGACCTTTCGATTTATTAATTTCTTACTGAGCAGATATATGAACTGTAACAAAAAGATTCGGTATATTTATTTTAATTTTCCGACAAAAAGATTCAATATTTATCCTCTCTTTTTTTGTTAACAAGATTTAAATTACTTCGGTTGTAGATCATTATCTTCTTGATATTTTATGAAGATAATCAGATAATCACGTCGGTTTTCTCAAATTCCATATAGACCCCCTATCATTGTTGTTTTTACAATTTCTTATACTCGAGAGAGTATTGGATTTGAAGTTGTATGTTCACATCCAAAATTAACATTTTTGTTTGTATATAAGAAAGCACAACATCGAGAGAAAGGAATCAGGATCGCTGGATGCGTTATCCGGTCGGTGAACGATCGTGAAACACACACAAAAGTGAACAATTCACCGACCAAAATAGGCCACACCATTGGATGCTCTCTCTGTCTCTCTCTTCTACCCCGCGAGCTTTACTTGTCCTCATCACTTCTCTTTTTTCATCTGATTTTTTTTTTCTTCTTTTTGTCAACTTTTCAGCTGAATTATCATTACATTTTTTTAGTGATGCTTTTATAAGTTTTAATCCAACGAATATAAATCAAATCAAACCAACCAACCAACCAACCAACCAACCAGTCACTTTCGCTTTCAACTCTCATCACCTAAGTTAAATATTGTTGTTATCCATAACTTGAACCGGCTTTTCATACTAGTTTATAAATGGGCCGAAAATGGGCTCGATAATGCTACGAGGAGGGGAAAATTGAGTGCTTTCAATGAGAATAAATGCTTCTTCACCAAACCGTATCTGCCGACTTCCTTTCATCCTCTGTTTCACTATTACTTTCACACGGAAATAAAATTGTGTCCTTCAACTTTATTTCCAGGAGCAGCATTACGTAAGACTGACACTGCTCATCAATCTTTTTAAGATTCTTCCTTTACACCTCTGCTTGACCTCAGCCACATGCCCCTGCCTCACATCAAAACAATCTTATTAACACAGATAAAATGTAATTATTAGTTCTACAAGTTACTAATTAGATAATGAAGATAAACATAATAAGTCAACGCAAAATCATTTTCTCATAGCCGTTGCCAAATTTTGTTGTTTATCATAACAGGCGTATATATAATAATTATTTTTACATTGAGTGGTATTGTGATTAGCTAAAGCTACAAAGTAGACCAACACCTAATGGAAATTAGAGCATTAATGTTTCTCTTTTAGTTCTTTTAAAAAAAAGAATCTTATTTTAAATATTCTGCTAATTTAAGTTATTTTTTTATATCAAAGCATATACACACCTTTCAGACATTGGGACAGACAATAAAAAAGCCATTTTCGTTTATGTTCGATTTCTGCAAAGCAAAGGAAAAAAAAACAAAACATTCTCAAGTCTCACGTCTTTCACCGATTCTCATTTTTAAATCCTCGAAACCTCTTCCTTCTTCTTCTCCAAATCCACCCTAGAGAATTAAAAATAGCAATTATACTTTATACCGTATCGTTGTTTTCCATACTCAGATTGTTGAAGTAGCCAAAACCCAGCTCTGCTCTTCTTCAAACCAAAAACTTAACCACTTCACTGATTCTTACATCTGAGCTCGTTTTAAACCACAAAGCTCAGATTTTTTTGTTTGTTATTTCCTTTTTCGGTATTTTTGGTCTTTGGGTGTCGATTTATCTTCCGATTCCGATGTTGTCTAAAGGCGTTTTTACCGTCTCTTTCGTAATCACTCTGTTGTACGGAAGCTTGTTAACTGAAGTCGAAGGGATTGGTGTGAACTGGGGCTCACAGGCAAGTCATCCGCTTCCTCCGGCGACCGTGGTGAGGCTTCTCCTGGAAAACGGTATCCAAAAGGTGAAACTTTTCGAGGCCGACTCGGAGATTCTCAGCGCTTTAAGTCGGTCGGGGATTCAGGTCATGGTCGGAATCCCTAACGACTTACTCGCTCCTTTAGCCGGCAGCGTTGCAGCCGCTGAGAGATGGGTTTCCCAGAATGTCTCTGCTCATGTCTCCTCTAATGGCGTCGATATCAGGTTTGTGCTTTATACCTCACTGAAACAGCATATTCGCTTTCTTTCCCTTTTAACAAGATAAAGTTTCAATCTTTAGATTTTGATTACAGTAAGTGAGAAAAAAAATAGAAACTTTTAAGCTAATTTTGATTTGAAGTAACAAAATGTGTTGATTTGTGTTTGAATTTAGGTATGTGGCAGTTGGGAACGAGCCATTCCTAAAGGCATTCAACAAAACATTCGAGAGCATAACTCTCCCTGCTCTTCAGAACATACAGTCTGCAATCATCAAAGCCGGTTTAGCGACTCAGGTGAAAGTCACAGTGCCGCTTAACGCCGACGTGTACCAAAGCGCGTCTAACCTGCCTTCGGATGGAGACTTCAGGCCAGACATCCGCGACCTCATGATCTCGATCGTCAAGTTTCTTAGCGATAACGGCGCTCCATTCACCATCAACATCTACCCTTTCATCAGTCTCTACAACGACCCCAACTTCCCCGTGGAGTTTGCCTTCTTTGATGGAACAGGTGATCCTATAAACGACAATGGAAGAATCTACAACAACGTTCTTGATGCGAACTACGACACGCTCGTGTGGTCCTTGCAGAAGAACGGGTTTGCGAACTTGTCCATCATCGTTGGGGAAGTTGGTTGGCCTACGGATGGAGATAAGAACGCAAACATGCAGTACGCGAGGCGGTACAATCAAGGGTTTATGAACCGTCAAAAGGCTAATAGAGGAACACCTATGAGACCTGGCGCGATGGATGCTTACTTGTTCAGTCTTATAGATGAAGATGCCAAAAGCATTCAGCCTGGAAACTTTGAGAGACACTGGGGGATTTTCTACATTGATGGGCAGCCAAAGTATCAGCTGAGTCTTGGAAACGGTCCAGGGCTGATCCCGGCGAAGGGTGTGCGTCATATGGCTAAGAAATGGTGTGTTCTTGCTCCATCAGCTAATCTTCAAGATCCTCAACTGGGACCGAGCGTGAGCTACGCTTGTGATCATGCTGATTGCACCAGCCTTGGTTATGGCTCCTCTTGTGGTAGTTTGAATCTGGCGCAGAATGTTTCGTATGCGTTCAACAGCTATTATCAGGTAAGTGATCAGCTTGACAGTGCGTGTAAGTTCCCGGGTCTCTCTGTGACCACTACCAATGATCCTTCTGTTGGGAGTTGCAAATTCAAGATAATGATCAAGTCAGAGTCTTCAGATAGTGAAGCAGGTGCCATGGTGTCTTTAACGCGATCAATGGGTGTGGTGTTACTCTACTCTGTGTGTCTGTATATTCTTCTGTGAATACTGAAGAAAATTTGATGGGTTTGAATCGTTTGATTGCTATTTTTTTTTCTTTTGCAAAACTTTTGTGTTTATGGAGAAACAAAAAGATATATTGAGATTGGTGTATAACTTGCCTGTTTGATCTCTTATTTCCCCAAGAAGAGTTTGGTGTGCCCTGTCTATCTTTTGCCTCTCTTGCTTGTAGTAATCAAAGCTCACAATGACTCAAAATCTCTCCTTTCAATATGCGAATTAGACATTGCCTAACCCGAATTTTTCATATACTTTCGAAATAACAACCTTGTTAGTCAAGTAGGTTTGCTGCAAAAGAGGAGGCGATGAGGCTTCTGTGCTATGATTCTGTCCAAAAATTGATAAATCTGTTAAAATTGAGAAACAATGCTGCTTTATTACTGAATGAGAAACGAGTTACAGACGCTGAATTAGGAGATATACCAAACCAAATAACACAAAATCTCCCAAGAGGTCCCTAGACCAGTTTCCTATTCTTCCTATTCCAATGTATTCGATACACCTAATATACAACAAGACTAATCCGTTTATATCTTTGTTAGAGTCAGTGAATTAATAAAGGAGAAGCTTGGTGCGGACCTCCAGTGCCTTGAATCTGTCCACCATTGCATAACTCTCTTTAATGTGGAAAAGTGCTCACAGCCTTCTTTGGTTGTTTTACAGACTAATGCTCAATCTGCTGACAAGAAAAAAGAGAGAAGCAAATGGACATGTGAGCTACTATACAGTGCTTTCATTGTAAGACAAGGTTTATAAGAGTAAAGGAAACACCAAAAGTTACCCATTACGAGTGGTTCCAAATCTTTTAAAAGACGAAGTTGATGCTTTTGGAGATATGCTCTTGATCTGATATCTGCCTACATATAGTGGATGGTATACTTTTCACTTTCCACAGTAATTTAAAAGGATACATTTTGGCATATCAAAATGCAGCATTTTTACCTGTCTAATAGGTTCCGGAACACGGTACTTGCAGGTCATATTGACAATCTTAACCGCAGAGTCAAGTGATATGCGATGGCCAACTGATATGTATATGGGCTTCAGAGATCTCAGAGCTGGCCTAAATCCCTGTTGAAAAGAATGTTTAAAACTTGACCATGTTAACAAAACTACACAGAGAGACAGATTGAGCTTATGGACAGTAAATGTTGAGGCAAAGTCACTTACTACTCCCCACGTAAATCCGGAGTTCCCTACCAAATTGATAACTTGCTCATTCTCGTTTTCTTTGAGCTGAAGCGACCGTCTAATCTCGGATTGATTCAGACCATCCACATGGTGCAGCTAAAATGTTACAAAACCATACATTCCCACATCAACGATCAAATCGAAATGAAGGCAGAACAAAAATCATAATAAATTACAGAGCTTGAGATTCTAACAAGATCGTACGTTCTTTCCGACTCCAATAGTAGGGAGGTCTGCAAGAACACCTAAATGACACGCCAAGCCAAATCCTAGAATACATATTTAGATCCAACACCATAAATTACAGAGCTCGAGATGCATGAGAAAACTAAGGTAAACGAAGAAAGCTTGTGTGTTATATACCACGTGGGTGAAGTATTCCATTTCCATCCACCATCAGTACCTTTGTAAGAGCAAAGCAAGAGAGTTTCAGAGAAAGCGAACAAGCAGCATACTTTAAGAGTAGCCAATTGCATTAGACAAGGCAAACCCAAAACCTGAGGGTAAAAAGGATTCTGATCATCCCTCATTTTTTGCAGAAGCTGCAAGAGAACCGGAGCCTGTAACATTGAGAAAACCAATTTTGGGAACTGAGATACTTAATGAAGCAAATGAAAACAGCAGAGCAATCGCTCGTGGACACGAAGAAGAAGAAGACGAGAACCTCGCGAAAGGCAAGAAATCCAGGGACATAAGGAACATGGAGGCGGAGGAGAGAGAAGTCATGGTGGACCACACGCAGAGAAGGTAGCTCGAGAACGACGAGACAAGCGCACGCGACGGAAGAATCTTCCTTGGAAAAGCTCATGTCCACACCTCCAACGTACTTAAGCATCTCCGATCCCTGAGGCAGCTCTATTGGTGACGACAATTCCCATGGGAAGTCATCGTACGCGATCAGTTTCTTCTTCAGCCGATCCTGCTCTCTGAAAGAAATTAAACAAATCCCCTGATCGATTTGATTGCCCGGAATCGAAGTAAAATCTAATGCGACACCTACTCTGTCCACTTCTCGAGCTGAGCTCCTGACGAAGACTCGCCTGAAGCTCCTTCTACGTCCATTTCCGGAAAAGTTCAGTCGCCGGAGACAAACTCCACCGGAATCGTGTCAGTAAAACAGCGTCGTACAAGTATGGGCCTATATTAGGCCCATTTAGTGAAGTAATGGGCTAGGGTTTGTTTTTGTGAATAAACGGGTCGGGTTACATTTTAGTAGAGTCGGTTTTGCTTTGTCGTCTCCATCTACCACCTCCTCTGCTGCGTTTCTTACTCTACAACTAAACCATTTTTCGTTCCCACTTTCGATTTCTCTCGTTCTCTTCTGTAAACTTCTAATTTCCGCGATCCCAACGTCTGAATTGATCGCCGTTTCTGGGTATTTCCTAGGAAACAGAGTTTATTATGGACGGGCAAGGGCATGAACCCGAGGTCCATAATCAGACTGTTGAGGATGAACAATTGGCTGCTGCGGCGGGGGCGATTGTGTTAGCGGCGGAGACGGAAAATTCAACCGGCGGAGCTGGTGGAGAAGAAGGAGAACAACATGAAGGAGAAGAGCTGGGTGTGGATGACGAGCTTATAGACAAGGCGCAGAAGCTCATGGAAAAAATCACCTCTTCTGCTAATAACCCTAATCCTAATATCCTCCACGCCCTTAGCCATCTCCTCGAATCTCAGGAGTCTCTGTATGTCTCTCTCTCGCTCACTTTTACTCTCTTCTTAATTTCTTAATTTGTAAATTTCTTGGTTGCCTTTAGTTTAAGCTTGACGCTTACTTGTATTCGCAGGTTCTTAAAGAAGAATGGGTACTACTCCAATGACCGCGGTAATCATACCAGTGGCAAGCTGTGTAGTCTCATCCGAGTAAGTCATTTTCCATAGATTAATTCGTAGTTTTTTCTTGGGTGGGTTCTCTCTTTCTTACTCTGTTACTTGATTCTACAGGAAAATGATGAGTTCTTTGAATTGATTTCCTCAAATTTTCTATCTGAGAATACTTACTCAACGGCGGTGAAGGCAGCCTCTGCAAGGTTGCTAATGAACTGTTCGCTTACTTGGATGGTAAGAAGTTACGACCTTCCTTGCTCCTTGACCTTACGTTTAGCTCTTCGGTTGGTTCATGACGCAATTCCTTTTTTTTTTATCAGTACCCTCATGTTTTCGACGATGCTGTTACGGACAATTTCAAAAATTGGGTCATGGAAGATGCAGTCAAGTTTCCCGTTGAAGACTCTGGCAGGAAAGAAGCCTCAGATTCCGAAATGTTAAAGACTTATTCTACAGGTCTTCTTGCTCTCTCTCTGGTGAGGTATTGATTAAACTCTCACAACTTGTCGTCTCTTTTGATTTTTGTATTTTTTTTGGCGCCCACAACTGAAATAAAAAATTTATTCTTTTTGGTCTGATCGAGAAAAGCCGTGGGCAATTAGTTGAAGACGTCTTGAAGTTAGGACTATCTACTAAGCTTATGCATTATCTTCGAGTACGAGTTATTGGAGAGCCAAGCACAAGCCGTAGAGATGCGCCTCACACAGCTGAGGTCAAACATGTGTCCTTAAAAACGAAAGAAGAAGGTCGAAGTAGGGTGCGGAAGGTTGTGGATACAGTTGAAGGCGATCGTGTTCTTGACATAGACTCCGGCAGAGAGATGGGACAATCTGATGTGTGGTCTGAAGGCGAATTGGAAATGGATGGAAGCGAAAGATGTAATGTTTCAGGTGTTGTTGATTGTAAAATGAAACCTGGAGATGACAATAGTGGAAGAGAGGACCCCCCAAAACCCAGACTGAACCGCTCAAGATCCCAGGGGAGAGGAAGGGTTCACGAAGGTGCAACTGATGCAGAAACTCTCTTGGCATCTCCTAAATCAGGTCGTCTGGTTGTCAGAGATAGAGATCCATCAAAAAGATTAGATGTCAGAAATGCAGATAGAAAGAAGTCTGACACTGTGGAGATAGAAAGAGAGGAGAATGATGAGTGCTTTCAAGGTTGCGTAATAGGAACCATAAACATAACTGATCTAGTAAAGCGTGCAGTTGGAGCTGCTGAAACTGAAGCTAGAGCTGCCCATTTTCCTCCGGACGCTGTTAAAGCAGCTGGCGATCATGCAGCATACCTTGTTAAAACTGCTGCTTTGGAGGCATGTTTTTTTAGCTGTTTGTGATTGTATTTCATTTCCTTAATGATTATCGGGTGCAGGTGATCTGATATTTATATGGCTTATTTCTTTCTTTTATCTTATCCAGGAATTCAGTTCTTCTGGTAGTGAAGAAGCTGCTGTATCTGCTGCTACTCGTGCAGTTATAGATGCCGATAATGCTACTGAGGCTTTAAGGTCAGTCATGTTATTCCATCGTCGATATCATTGCTGTTTACTGTTTAGCTCTGGTTGTTTAGGGCTTTAACTCTGCTAATTTGTTGGTGGCAGAAATCCTACTTGTGTTAACGCTGAGCAGACTACAGATTTGAGCAGTGTGGAAACAGACGCAATTGAGGATGTTGGAGAAGTTTCACTTCCGGATATGGAATCGTTGGCTCAGTTACAGGAAAAATATTGCATCCAGTGCCTTGAAACACTGGGAGAATATGTGGAGGTGCTCGGGCCTGTACTCCATGAAAAAGGTGTTGACGTATGCATTATGCTGTTGGAACGTACATCCCAATTTGATGATAGTTCTGCTCTGTCTCCTTTGTTACCTAATGTGATGAAGTTAATTTGCGCTTTGGCTGCGCACCGGAAATTTGCTGCAATGTTTGTTGACCGGGGTGGCATACAAAAATTACTTGCTGTTCCAAGGGTTACTGAGACCTTTTATGGTCTCTCATCTTGCTTATACACCATAGGCTCTCTTCAGGTAATAACAATAGCAAACTTATACGGCTTCCAATGCAATTTTCGTTCACCTGTTATCTCTGTATCTCCTTATCCGGCTTCTTCTTACCTTCAAAATTGATCTCAGGGTATAATGGAGCGTGTCTGTGCACTTCCAACAGAACTCATACGTCGAGTGGTTGATTTAGCTATCGAACTTCTAGAGTGTTCCCAGGATCAAGCAAGAAAAAATTCTGCTTTATTCTTTGCTGCTGCGTTTGTCTTCAGAGCCATTTTAGATGCATTTGATAAAGATAAAGATAAAGATACTAGTAAAGATACTAGTAAAGATACTAGTTTGCAGAAACTCCTTGCAGTACTTAAAGATGCAGCCTCAGTTAGAACAGGTGCTAATTCAGACCGATCAGCTCCGGAAGTCATGACGTCTTCAGAGAAACAGATGGCTTTTCACACCTGTTTTGCCTTGCGCCAATATTTTAGAGCTCATCTTCTTTTGCTTGTGGATTCCATCCGTCCTAGCAAAAGTAACCGAGGTGGTGTAAGGGCTGTCTATAAACCCCTTGACATCAGCAATGAAGCTGTAGATGCCGTCTTCGCTCAGTTACAAAAGGATAGGAAGTTGGGTCAGACCTTCGCTAAAACTCCATGGATTGCTGTCAACAAATTTTTGGAGTCGTCTGGACATGTTACCATGTTGGAACTATGTCAGGTATGTAGCATTTTACTTTCCACAGGTACTTTGTCTTGCGACCATGTATTTACGTTATGGTCACATGCGCAGACTCCACCGGTAGACCGTTATCTGCATGATCTACTTCAGTATGCTTTTGGTGTACTTCACATTCTTACATCTATACCTGAGGGCCGCAAAGCAATTGTGAATGCCACACTCAGTAACAATCGTGCTGGCATTGCTGTCATTCTGGATGCAACAAATATTTCTAACAGCATAGTGGATCCTGAGGTCAGCAGTCCGCTTCTATCCCTTATTTATATGAGTTTGGTCTTTCATCTTCCCGCTTCTCATTGGTACTTTCATTCTTAATGTTTTATTTGCTATTGCAGATCATACAGCCTGCACTAAATGTTCTAATCAATCTGGTATGCCCACCACCATCATTAACCTATAAGCCGACAACATCTTCAGTTGGGAGCGGAAGAATTTACCTAGGAGCAGGAGCTGGTTCTGCTGGTCTTTCTGCTAAGTTGGAGCAGGTCTATCGTCAAGCACGTGAAGCAGTGCGTGGAAATGATGGTATAAAAATTCTCTTAAAACTTCTTCAGCCCAGAATATACGTGAATCCCCCTGCTAGCCCAGATTGTCTACGGGCGCTGGCTTGCAGGGTACTTCTTGGTCTGGCTAGAGATGATACAATTGCACACATACTGACCAAACTTGAGGTAGAATAGCAATTTTCTTTTCTCAGTTATCTTCATATCTTTTTCATTTCTCAGAAACATTTGATGAAGTTGAGCAGGCATCATAGGTGACAGATACTGACTTTCCAAGTATGGTTTCTAGGTTGGTAAGAGTTTATCGGAACTTATTCGAGATTCAGGTGGTCAGTCAAGTGGAACAGATCAGGTCAAATGGCAGTCTCAACTTGCTCAGGTGGCGCTTGAGCTAATAGGGGTAATCATCTGAGTTGATTTATTTTTCATAAGTCATTAGTGTTTATTTCCTTCCTTGTTTCTTTGTTGCAGTTTTGCAGACGATCTCAATTGTGTTTTTATATGTGCTTGCAGATAGTGACAAATTCTGGGCATGCGACTACACTAACAGCCAGCGATGCTGCTACTCCAACATTGCGGCGCATTGAAAGAGCAGCCATTGCAGCAGCTACACCTATAACATATGATTCCAAGGAGCTTTTGCTCCTTATCCATGAGCACCTCCAGGCATCAGGTCTTGGTGAAACTGCTTCATCACTGTTAAAAGAGGCTCATTTAGCTCCTCTATCTTCGTTGGCTCCCCCTTGTTCAATTGCATATCCCTCTACACAGGAGATGGCTACGCCCGTAGCTCAGCAACAATGGCCCTCTGGCCGTGCTAACAGTGGATTTTTCTCCAGCAAACCCGAAGTCAGTGGATTTTCCACCAGCAAACCCGAAGTCTGTGCACAATGGCCCTCTGGGCGTGCTAATGGTGGTTTTTTCCCCAGGAAACCCAAAGTCGATGCACATGACGAAGATCCTAGCTCGAGAGGTAATGCAGCTCCATCCGCAAAGAAAAAACAGTTGACTTTTTCACCTGGCTTTAGTTCGCAGTCACGAAAGCAATATTTTCCCCGTGACGCTCAACCTCAGTCCACGCAGAGATTAAATAGTAGTTCAAATCCAGATCCTGCTTGTTCAAATGCTTCAGAAGCTGATGCCGATGCTCAACTTAAGACCCCGACTTCCTATCTGAGAAAACGGAAGTCGTCTGAACTTAGAGACCACCCAGAGTTCTCAAATTCGGCAAAGAGAATGAATTTGGGAGAGTCAGGACCACGATCTCCGGCTTGTCCAACCACGACTTCCTTACGTAGGTATCCCACCATTGCGGATGGTTCAGGTATCCAAACACCAGCTCCAGCTTCAGATGTCAACCAACCTGGGAGCTCCAGACTGGGCCAGATGACACCTGGTTCCCAGCTAAATGTTGCAAACGATCCCCAACCTTCGATTCCGGAACGGTTAACACTAGACTCCCTTGTGGTTCAGTATTTGAAGCACCAACACAGGCAGTGCCTGGCTCCAATCACAACTCTTCCCCCTGTGTCTCTCCTACATCCTCATGTCTGTCCTGAACCTAAACGGTTACGAGAAGCTCCACTGAACATCACTGGCCGCATTGGCACCCGTGAGCTTAAAAGTTTCTATGGTGGAGTCCATGGGAATCGCAGGGACCGTCAGTTGATTTTCAGCAGATTTAAATCTTGGAGATCTTGCCGGGATGAGAATGCACTCTTAACATGCATTTCACTTCTTGGAGGTACTAATCATTTAGCAGTTGGTAGTCATGCTGGAGAAATCAAGATCTTTGAAGCTGGCAGCGGTACCTTGCTTGAGAGTTTCTCGGGTCACCAGGCTCCGGTTACACTTGTTCAGCCATATGTCTCTGGTGATACTCAGTTGTTGCTTTCTTCGAGCTCCAGTGATGTGCAGTTGTGGGACGCCTCTTGTATACTTGGTGGGTCTAAACACTCCTTTGATGGATGCAAGGCTGCAAAATTCAACCACTCTGGGCTACATTTTGGAGCGCTCTCTTGTGAAGCATCAAAAGATGTTCTTCTATATGACGTACAGACCTGCAAGTCTATTTTGAAACTCACTGACACAGTCACTTCTTCACGGAGCAATCCCTATTCTCTTGTACACTTCAGCCCTTGTGATAATCTGATATTGTGGAATGGTGTTCTCTGGGACATCCGTAAACAAGAGCATATCAATCGGTTTGATCAATTTACTGATTATGGCGGCGGTGGTTATCATCCCTCTGGGAACGAGGTAATGAACAATTTATATTACTCTTGAAGCTCAATCCTGTTTATCTGTTACAAGACCAAAGCTTTGAAACTCTTTTGGCTTATCAATCTATATCTTGTTTGTTATTGCAGATCATCATCAACTCAGAGGTCTGGGATCTGAGAAACTTCAGGCTTCTTCGAAGTGTACCATCACTAGACCAGACAGCTATTACGTTCAACTCCGGGGGTGATGTGATATACGCAATGCTGAGGAGAAACATCGAGGATGTCATGTCTGCTGTTCACACACGCCGTGTGAAGCATCCGTTGTTTGCTGCTTTCCGCACCCTTGATGCGATCAACTACTCTGACATTGCCACTATACCCGTGGACCGGTGTCTTCTCGACTTTGCCACAGAACCAACAGATTCTTTCCTTGGGCTGATCACAATGGAAGATCAGGAAGACATGTTTTCCTCGGCCAGGGTGTATGAGATTGGTAGGCGGAGACCAACAGAGGATGACTCTGATCCCGACGATGATGATGAGACAGAGGATGAAGACGAAGATGATGAAGATGACGATGACTTGGACCGCATTCTGGGACTAGGTGGAGATGATAGCGACAGTGGAGATGATGACATCGAAGATATTGGGAGCGATATGGATGATGAAGAAAGAGATATGTTCCTCAACGCTAGTGCTGGCTTGATGGAATTAATATCTGAGGGCGAGTATGAAGACGATGACCACGATGACGATGATGATGATGATGATGGTGATGAAGACATAAGCAGTGGCGAAGAGGAGGATTATCTAGAGTTCTAGACAACATTACGTTTTTCTGTTCTTTTTTTGGTTGATCTGTAAGATGGTATATCAATATCCAAAGTTTTGATGATAAGTAGTTGTATTTTTCTTCTCTTGATTTTTTTTATGATCACTAACAGTTATAAAAGAAACCGATTCATTATCATGACATTAAAATCCTGATTTCTCTTGGCACACATGAAAAGACAAACATGCATCTCCACTACCACATACATGAACAATCAATTCAAGGAAAACTAAACCAAACACTTCAGACAGTGGCAGTGTCGCACGTACATGTTTCTTTTCAATACAAAAATCTAGAAAATCATTAGTCTAAAATGGTTGGGTTACTTCTCCTATCTTGGGAAAAGAGATACAATCGGATATCATAGATACACACACACAAAACATACATATATATCTAAAGCCCTTCTTACTTACTCTCCTTCTAGCTCCTCTTTTATGTTCTCTTCTCTGTTTATTCCTCTTCTCTCTCATCTCTCTCTTTAGCTTCACAAGAGATTAGTCGATTGTCATTGGCTGCGTCATGCAACATCTGAAACGTGCTTTCCTCACAGTCGTCATTATCTCAGTCTCAGCCGCCTCGAGAAGATTGACAATCTCTGCAAAACAAGGACGCACTTCAGGGTCCGCATCCCAGCAACGTGTCATGATCTCTCCAAGCACAGGCAGACAATCCGCTGGCACTGTCGGACGAACCCCTCGGTTAACCACTGCAAACGCAGCTTGAACCGCTGTCATGTTCTGAAACGGCAACAGACCCGTTATCAACTCCCACAGCACGATTCCAAAACTATACACGTCCACTTTCTGAGTGTAGGGTCTGTGCTGGATCATCTCTCTGCATCAATCAAACACACAAGAACATAACTAGCTGACATTTCATTAAGGTTATAAAAGAACAAGTCAATGAACTTACGGAGCCATCCATCTATAAGTCCCAGTCTCTGGTGTCATCCCTTCAGTCTGAACTTCAATCCTCGCAACGCCGAAATCAGCAACCTTGATGGACCGATCAGCTGATATGAGGAGGTTATCCGACTTGAGATCACGGTGTATAAAGTTGCGCTCGTGGACGTAAGCCATACCCCTCGCAACATCCAGCGCCTGCTTCACAGCCAGCTTCAACGGCACAGCTCGGTTCTGTCTCTTGGTCAAAAACTGTCTAACCGAACCTCCTTTAGCATACTCAGTCACAATGCACCACACCATCGGTTTAACACAAGCTCCGATAAACCTAACGATGTTCGGATGCTTCAGATACGAAAGCATAGAAACCTCCTGCTGAAACTGCTGCTCCAGCGCTTGTGCCTTCTCAGGGCTGTTCTCTGGCCTCTCGAGAAGCTTAATCGCCACATCTTCTCCGTTGTAAGTCCCTTTGTATAACTTACCGAACGCTCCTTGCGCGAAAGCAGGACCCATGTGAAGCTTCCTCAGATCTATCGTCCACTCTTCGTAGTTCGCAAGTCCTTGTGTCGGATAGCTACTGTCCATCAACGCTTGCGCTAATGCGTCGTCGTTGAGCGCGTGCGTGACTCTCCCGGGACGAAACACGCTTTGTCCAACGGAGAGAGAGTAGACGTGGCGCATAGGCTTTAAACCGGGATGGCCAATGAGAGCGTCGCTGGAGCCAACGCTACTGTTGTCCACGGACATTGACACTGATCCTCCGGCGTTACTTGTCTGCATACTGTCCGTTGACATGTTTGTTCCTTCCTCGCCGAGCTTTTGGTAAAAGTCTTGTGTGAATGCATAGTAGTTGTTGTCGTTGTTGTTGTTGTTGTGATTGCCTAGATCGAACTTTGGTCCTTCGAGCATCTTTTATAATCTCGTGTTTACGTGTTATGTATGTATGATGAAGTTGCGAGTCACATGTAGATCTCTTTCAATCACTTCAAACAATGAACCTAGAAGCAAAACGATACAATAGTCAATAAAAGAGACAAATCGAGCAATCTGTATTAAAACTAAGGATGCTTAACACCATCTACGTCCTAAAAATAGAAACATTCATGAAATTAAAAGAATGAAGATTTTGGTGAATTGAGCTGAGAAACCAACAAAAAAGATTCATTTTCCACAGATCCGATGGTTACATGGAGAGATGAGCTATAAGAGGAAGTCATGGTTTACCTAGAGCTTCATAGGCTCCAAAACTGATGGATATGAGCTGGAAGACATGAAAGGAACACGAAACCCTTGACTTGGGAGTAGTGGATAAGTAGTGAAGGATCGTAAGGCTGATCGAGAAATCAAAAACCTCCCAAGTAATCAAATCGAAATCTAAATCTAAAAGCCTTACTTCCGATCGAATATAGAGCTAGAGCCGAGAAACCTAAAGAAGAGGTGGAGGAGGAAGAGGAAGAAGAAGGAAGAGTCGTCAGTCGTCGCTTCCCATTTACTTTTCCACACTCCGATTTTCCGATTTTCCTCTTTCTTTCTTCTTTTATTTGTTTTGTTTTTTATTTAATTTTGGTCCGTCCTTTGCTGGCAAATTCGTTTTCTTATTTATTGGGACAGCTTTGTCCGAAAGAAAAAAGATTATCGGGACAGCTACCAAGCCACACTCTCTCCAAGAGAAAGTGTTCCATACGCTCTTGAATATGCGGACACGTGTCCCACTCGCCGTGTCATTTCGCAGCGGATGATTCGTCGTCGTATGAGGCGGCGCGTAGTATATCCTTCAAGCTACGAGCAACAGTCTTTTTGTTTGCTTCGTTAATTTGGGCTCAAAATAACAGATTATGGGCTCTCGGCCCAAACAGGCTGTAGACAAAAATATTGGTCAAAAGTTAAAATTTTATTTTGTTTCTTCACAGTTTATGCTCTAGCTGCCTCCTAGCGATATACCATCAAGTTTAGGGTTTCATTTTTCAGTGACCTGTTCATTTGAGGAGCTATTGAAATCGAACCCTTCGAAGGAGCCCAAATGTCGTCGGAGCCTGAGATTTCGTCGTCTTCGACCTCCGCGCCGGAGCAATCTGGAGAGAACATCAGCAAGAAAGCAGCAAAGAAGGAAGCCGCGAGACTGGAGAAGTTGCGCCGCAAACAGGAACACGAAGAAGCTGCGCGTAAGACATCTTCTCTTTCTCTTGAGGATGAATCCTTTACTAGGAACTACGGCGACGTGACTCTTACCGAGTTACAGTCAACGGAGGATCCTAGAGCCGGAAAGTGGAGAGAGGCTATCGAGGGAAAGAAATTGACCGATTTGAGCTGTTTGGTGGAAGAGACGGTGGGATCAGAGGTTCTGATCAGAGGCCGAGTGAACACGAATCGCCAGAAGTCTAGCAAATTAGGTTTCCTGATCTTGAGGCAAAGTATATTCACGGTGCAATGCGTGGCTACACAATCGGAGGAGACGAAAGTGAGCGTGAACTTTATCAAATACCTCAAGCAGCTTAGTAACGAATCTGTTGTCGATGTCATCGGTGTCGTCGTCAAACCCAAGGAAGAGGTGAAAGGAACGACGCAGCAGGTTGGTTTCCTCTTCTTCCTTTTCCTCCTCCCAATTCGATTGATGATTTAACTGTGACATGAAAACACACTAACTCTTGTTTAATCGCATCATCGTAGGTTGAAATCCAAGTGAGAAAAGCTTACTGCCTCAGCGGTGCCATGCCACAGTTACCACTTCTTATCGAGGATGCTTCCCGAAGCGAAATAGAGATTGAGGTAGTCTAATGATTTAAGATTTGGAGATTAGTCTGTGTTAGCTGGTTCAGTAGCTGTATTGTGAGAATTCTGATAGTTTTGTGTTCTTCTGGTTAATTCTATGAAGGTTTATGCTAATTCATAAGAGCTGTTGTCTGCATGATTGTTGCAGGCTGGGTTATCTGGAGCCAAAGCCAATCAGGATACACGTTTGAATAACAGAGTGATCGACCTCAGGACACCGGCTAATCAAGCCATTTTCCGCATTCAGGCCCAAGTCCAAAAGGTAAGCTCTCTTCTGAAGCATTTGCTATGCAGCATTGTGGATTTTATCATTTGTGAGCCTTGTTATTGTATGCTTTGAGATTAGGATACGATTTGTTATTATAGATATGTGTTAGCAGAACTGTTCTAAAAGCAAGTTTGATCATTGTGTAGGCGTTTAGAGAATTCTTAGATGCCAAGGATTTTGTTGAAATCCACACACCGAAACTGATGGCTGGTAGTAGTGAAGGAGGTTCTGCTGTATTTAGGCTGGAGTACAAAGGGCAGCCTGCTTGTCTGGCTCAGTCTCCTCAGCTTCACAAGCAGATGGCGATTTGTGGTGACTTGCGACGCGTCTACGAGGTCGGTCCTGTTTTCAGAGCTGAAGACTCCTTCACTCATAGACATTTGTGTGAATTCGTTGGTCTTGATGTGGAGATGGAGATTCAAAGCCACTATTCTGAGGTAAGACTGTTCGTTTTAAAAAAGTGTTATCTCATTTCTGTTATGCTGGTGCTAATATTTCTTGTTTGTGCAGATAATGGATATTGTGGATGAGTTGTTTGTGTCCATATTCACTAGAGTGAACGACAGATGCGAAAAGGAACTGGCTGCTGTTGGAAAGCAGTTCCCATTTGCACCTTTGAAGGTGACAATGCACTCTTGTTAGTAAACCGAGTATTGTTGTATTTTATTGGATTCTGATGATTGGCATTACACTTGCAGTTTCTTCCAAAAACATTGAGGCTAACATTTGCAGAAGGGATTCAAATGCTTAAGGTATGACTGGTCCTTTTGCATTCGTCATGTTGAGTTATTTGAATTGAATATATCAATAATAATTGGTAATCTGTGATGCGTTGACAGGATGCTGGTGTGGAGGTTGATCCTCTTGGAGATCTGAATACAGAATCTGAGAGAAAACTTGGGCAGCTCGTTCTTGAAAAGTACGACACAGAGTTCTACATGCTACATCGCTATCCTGCAGCAGTTAGGCCATTCTACACTATGCCATGTGCAGACGATTCTCGCTACAGCAACTCATTCGATGTCTTCATCAGAGGTGCATCTTTTAGTTTTTTTTTGGTTTATAGTACCTTATCAGCTATTATGTATGTTGCCACACATTTTGATACTGAATTTGCGGTTTTATTTTAGGGGAGGAGATTATATCTGGAGCTCAACGTGTCCATATCCCAGAGTTCTTGGAGAAACGTGCAGGAGAATGTGGCATTGATGTCAATACAATAAAAACATACGTCGATTCATTCAGGTAAACCAGAAAGTGGACCAGTTTGGTTCCTAGTATTTGGTAGTCAGAGCTGGACGATGGCTAACGATAATAATGTTACAGGTACGGTGCACCTCTTCACGGTGGATTCGGAGTGGGGCTGGAGCGAGTGGTGATGCTCTTCTGTGCCCTCAATAACATCCGCAAAACGTCCATGTTCCCTCGTGACCCTCAAAGGCTCGCTCCCTAGATACCTTTTTCAACTTCAAAGGCTAAAGCGTGGATAAATTGTCAGACTCTACTGATATCTTTCTCATGAAGCTTTTTGAGAGTTTTAAAGGGATTATTTTCTTGCTGCCAGATTCTTTGTGCAAGTGAATCTTGATTTAGTTCTGTGATGCTTATGTTTCTTTCACGTTACCGAGTAAACTAAAGCCTTTCTCCCGACATTTTTGTTGAGAATTGATTTTTAATGAAGAAATATATGTTCCTCTAATGCTGTTTCTTTTCTGTATATATTATGTTCTTTTATCAAGGTTTTGCTTTACCACTACAAAAATTCATGAGTTCTGGTAAAAGAAAATAAAAGGAAACAGGAAGGCTTCATTACTCTTAAGTCTAAAACTCTAAACAGACACAACCATGCAAAACTGGAAGTCTGGAACCCGAGTGATATGAATTTGTACTCCTGTGAGATGAATCATTATGCTGAGTTAGTTTGTGTTATTTATTAACAAAGGTTCAAGAGCTCTGTTGTGTGACTGAAAAGAGGATACATATTTCAAAAAGCTTTAGTTTAGTGCCAAAAATTAATGGAATGGATGTATTGACTAGTGTTCAAAGCTGAGAAGATCAGATATTTGTCTTAGTAGTAACAGATACGAGACAAGAAGGCTCAACTTTGTTACTCAGACTGAACCAGCCATTATAAGATGTGAAATGGAACCGAATCTCATCTTGCTGTAGATCTTGCACTCATGGATGTGTGATAGTTCGTACTTCTATGTTTCCTGTAAGATGTATAAACATCATCATACTGAGTTGGTTCGTTGGGATCAGCTGTTGCTCCAAGTCCCAATCTCCCAGATGAGCTCTTCTTATCGGTGCTTCCATCCGCATATGTTCCTGTCTCAGGGTCCACTTGTAGGTTTGGAGGTGGGGGAATGCAGGCACCTCCTTTCCGCTGTGGACTATCCCGCTCGTAGTCCTCATAGTCGTCTTGCGATTCAGATCCCATGGGACCTTCACTCGGGTTGACCTCACCAATCTTCTTGAAGAACTTTGATACCATCTCGAGTACTTGAGACTGAGGTATATCAGATGGTGGTATGACGGTTGGGATATCAAGCGGGCTCAATGGGGAATAAGGCACGCCACTACCGACCTGCATCTTTCTGACCATCCCAGGGATCAGACCAGGAGGAAAGAGAGGATAAGGAGGCGGCTTCTCAACAGCAGGTGGTTGTGCTGGAGGTGGAACAGAAGGTATGGAACCGGGGAAGCCAACAGGATGCATCACATTTGGGATAAACTGTTGAGCTGCGACCGGGTTACTGGTCAGATGCTCTAAAGGAACATTACTGCTTGGTGGCTGTTGCAGCATTCCTGCAAGTGGAGAAAAAGTAAAAGAAACTGTTGGTGTCTGGTCAAAACTACACCAAATTCATAGGTCGAGTTATGTTTTCTGTTTCTATCACGGAAGAGCAGGGAGTAAGTACCTGTATGTTGTAAGGAGTTTGCTGCTACAATGGGTAAACGAGAAAAGGTATTTGCAGGTGCTCCGCTTTTCATCTCTTTATCAATGGAGGAGATGGTATCTTGATCAAAAACCTCCTTAGAAGCCCAAAACTGCAAAATCTTTTCCAGGCGTGACTGGTTCTCTTCCTTGTTTTGTGGAAAGTGGTAAATCCTCCCTAGCATGGAACCCAAAACAGGTCTGAAAGCAAGGGCTTCGTTGTCAAACTCGTGCAAGTTTGTCCTCCGCTGCAAACTACGTTGAAGGAAGCAAAACGTCAGTGGCAATAAACGAGACAGACAATAGTAAGGTAGAAGCATCATAAAGTTGCTAAACAGATATATATCAAATGAACCAAAATTTGAAAGCATGGATTCCTAATAAGCTAGAATAAACGAAATAACAAAGACTATAACAGAAATCAGTGATTTAGTTTGAGATACCTGTCAAAGAGAATGTCATTAGCTAGATAAACGATGTGCATCTGTCGATCAGAATCATCCATTGCAAACACCCTGTCTCTAAGTGCCTCAGCTAGTGCTGGTGCAAAGGGAGATCTCTGCATGAACCAAATCTTGGCACTTTTGATAGACTCTTTTGTGCCATTGAGGTTGGCCAAGACACCATTAAGTTCCATCCCAACATCAGCAGGGAGTGGACCAGAAAGACCTCTGAATGCATGAGTCGACTGATCAAACTCAGGACGAGCATGAGGCACAAAAGGATGATGAGGTTGCAGCTGCTGGTGGTCATGGAACGGTGGGAAAGGAGGTTGGCGAATTGGCGGAACTCCCAATGGACCAGGCACATTGTTCACTGTAGGGCTCATCATGGGATTTGGCGGATGATGTATCATAGGCATAGAAGCTGACGGAAACGGAGGATCAAAAGGTCCTCCAGGAGGATGCATGGAGAGAAACTGCTTATACCGGTAATAACCATGGCCTTCACCCCCAAAGAGAAACGCATAATCAGGATTATCCTTCTGTCTATCACGCATCATAGCCTCAAACTCTGGACCGTTCTTAACCGAATACTCAACTAGCTTATCGATTCGCTTCTGCAACTCAGGGTCAGCTGGAGGAGGAGGAGGAGGAGCTGAATCATAAGGTCCAGGGAATGGAGAAGGAAGGTGATGTGGAGGTAAATGTTGACCAAACATCTGTGGGTGAGGAGGAGGGTGATGAAGTTGCTGCTGCTGCTGCATAGGATGCTGCTGGTAAGGGAACTGCTGCATAGAAGGATGAGGAGGCATGAAACCAGAAGCGTTCATTGGTGGTGGTGGATATTGTTGATGTTGTGGATGGAATCCGAATTGCTGCTGTTGTTGTTGCTGTGGGAAGTTTGGGACTTGTTGCTGTTGCTGAGGATACGGCAATCCTGAAGACGCAGCGTAATCGTGCTGCCTTCGATCCATTTATAAACGATGAAACAGTTTGAGCTCTAGAGATTCAGCTACTGTGCGTTCCTGAGGAAAGCAGAAAAAAAACAGAAGCTTTCGAAATTGGTCAAATCAATCAACGCAATCAAACTAATCAGTATCTACGCCAAAGAGAAACATCGAGCTAGAAATTATCGAAATTTGAAGAGTCTAACAACAAAGCGACATCGATTAAGAATCACCAACCTAACCGGAAGAAACTTCGAGAAAGTGTAAGTCAAAATTGGAGAGAGCGAGATAACAATCTGAGAAAATATTCGAACCCGATGGAGCAGAAGCTAAACTTAGCTGAAGAAGGAGAAGAAGGAGAAGAGAAAGCAACGAAAGAGACCTTATTTGGGCCACGAAAATCGTACCGGGTCGAATTGATCCTGACCCGGCTAGACCCGACCCGAATTATAAGCAGATAAACCTCAGTGAGTAAACCCTTAAGAGTCATGAAATAATTTTCTTTACCAGAAATCTCCTCCGCCATTAGCGAAATCTTTCTTCTTCTTCAGCTGGATGGATTTATGAACAGCAAAGGAAGCAGTCGTGGGACGATTTGAAACTTATCGAATCAAGCAGACTCTTCTCTTCTCAATGCAGAGAACCATTTCACTTGCGGCTGCTAAGTCTTCTTCTTCGACTTCAGCACTCTCTCTTCGTCCTCTCATGGCTAAGGTTTGTGTTTGAATTTTCATTTCGGATTACCGACTTTTAGATTATCGATTCAAATCTTTTCACTTTCGTCCTTGATGAAATGAAGTCCAATTCGTTTCAATTCTTCGATTTCTGCTCTGTTTGAAAAATCATCACCTAGAACTCATTGAGATTCTGGCGATTACTTGCAGTTGCAGTGCAGGGCGATTCAGAATTTCCCAGGCTCATCTTCCTCTTCAATAGTACGGGTGGATAAAGTGTTTAGAAATGTGTGCCAGCTTCAGTTTAAAAGGGAAAATGCAAGTTGTTTTAAGTTAGCTTGCGCACTTCCTTCGCATCTAAGGCCTCTCAGTTCTGTTAGTTATGCAGCGCATTGGAGAACTTCGAGTTTAAGGTCGTTTGGAAATAGTTTCAGTCCGTTTCTGGGGAGATGTTTTTCTCAAGTCCCGAATACTGGAAATAAGGATAAGGTTGTTGGTGGTGATGGAAAGGCTGGTGGTGTCAAAAAGTTTAATAAGAAGTGGAAGAAGCATAAAGTTATGGCATCCTCAGAAGTTGAATTGGTGGCTTCTACTGAACCAGTTAGTGGCGTCAAGGTGGACCTATCAAGTACAGCTTCACCTCTTAGCAATGGTAAGCTAGCCTCTACTGTCAAACCAAGACGGCGTCCAAAGAGCAAGAAAGTCGAAGATAAATCTTCTTCAACTGTATCGGCTTTGGAGGTGGCAAAAAATCCGTCGGTGGAGGGGCCCAATAAGAAGTCGAAGAAGCATAAGGTCTTGGCTTCTACTGAACCAGTTACTGGAGATGTTAGCGGTGGGATCAATGCGGAACTATCAACCGAAGCTTCACCTGCTAGCAATGGTAAGGAAGCCTCTACTGTCAAACCAAAACGGCGGCCAAAGAACAAGAAAGTCGATGATAAGTCTCCTTCAGCGGCACCAGTTTTGGAGGCGGTCTCTGTGGAAGAGAGTTCAAAAAGCGTTCCCAAGCCAAAACGTTCTGGTTCTGGAAATCGGAAGTCTTCATCTGCAAAGGTATTAAACTTTTTAAATTTTTGGGACATAACAGTTATAGCCTTGCTTATTTTACCTAACAGTACAGTTCTCAGAAGGAGGTGGTTAAAAATCCCGTTGTAGAGGGGTCCAAAAGCTCTGCTTCATCGAAATCCAAGTTGGAGCCTCAACCCATGAAAAACAGCATAGAGCATCGAGGTCAAAATGCTTCTAAACCGCTTTATCCGCCAAGTGGAAAATCCGTCGTTGTCGTGGAGTCGCTCACAAAAGCAAAAGTTATTCAGGGATATCTCGGTGACATGTATGAGGTTTTGCCAAGTTATGGTCATATCAGGGACCTGGCCTCAAGGTCTGGTTCAGTGAGGCCAGATGACGATTTTAGCATGGTTTGGGAGGTTCCATCTTCCGCCTGGACTCATATTAAGAGCATAAAGGTGGCACTAAATGGGTATGGATTCTTACCTGTTAAACTACTTTTAAAAAATCCACAGTTACTGTTATCATTTATTCCCTATTTGAGTATAGTTTCCGGGTGTGTCGTTGTGCTGTCTAGCTATTGAGATATATGACTGCTTGTGAGCTACGTTTTTGTTGCTGTGCTTTTAGCTCATTGTGTTTACCTTATTCCTCAGAGCTGAAAATCTGATTCTTGCGTCGGATCCAGATCGTGAAGGAGAGGCAATTGCCTGGCACATCATTGAGATGTTGCAGCAGCAGGGGGCCTTACATGAGAGTATGACAGTAGCAAGGGTTGTTTTCCATGAGATAACTGAGTCAGCAATAAAAAGTGCACTTCAGTCCCCACGAGAAATTGACGGGGACCTGGTACACGCATATCTTGCACGGCGTGCTCTTGATTATCTGATCGGATTTAATATTTCACCACTACTTTGGAGGAAACTTCCGGGTTGCCCTTCAGCTGGGAGAGTCCAGTCTGCTGCTTTGGCTCTTTTATGTGATAGAGAAAGTGAAATTGACGGATTTAAGCCTCAGGAGTACTGGACCGTCGGAATCAAAGTGCAAGGGAATGATAATTCAGCCACTTTTTCAGCTCACTTGACCAGTTTAAATTCGAAAAAGTTAAATCAGCTTTCTATCAGCTCTGAAGCAAATGCACGTGACATTGAGCATAAGATCACATCAGAAGGTTTTCTAGTGAAGGGCACTAAAAAGAGCAGTGCGCGGAGAAAGCCACCAACTCCATATATAACATCAACCCTCCAGCAAGATGCTGCTCACAAATTGCATTTTTCATCAGCATATACTATGAGGGTTGAGAAAACTGAAACCTTTTTCTGCTTTGTTTTTATTCACTTCTCAATGAGTGCACATTTTTCTGATAATATAAGTACTTTGCAGCTTGCTCAAAAACTATATGAGGGTGTCCAACTGTCCGATGGTAAATCAGCTGGTCTTATAACATACATGCGGACAGATGGTTTACATGTGGGTGATCTCTTAAACTGTGTATTCTCTGCTATGGACATTCATCTTGCTATCTGTTACAGATTTATTTGTTTTGTTTTTCATTTGTTTCTGTTCCCATCAGATAGCTGATGAAGCTCTTAAAGATATACAGTCCTTAGTGACAGAAAGGTACGACATAAATGCATTTGTGAAGTTATTCCATTTGACTCGAGAATACTATAGCTGCTACTTACTGATTATCGGCAGGTATGGGAAGAATTTTACACCAGAGAGTCCTCGTAAATATTTTAAAAAGGTCAAGAACGCTCAGGAGGCCCATGAAGCTATTAGACCTACCAATATACGCAGATTACCATGTAAGTAAATAATTTACCATGCTTCCTTAAGATTAGAGGATTTTTTAGTCATCATCAACAATATACCATATAATTTATTGTTGTAACTCTCAACATCTTTTGTATGCATTTCCAGCAACAATTGCTGGCCTGCTTGATGCGGATTCTCTAAAACTATATACCTTAATATGGTCACGAGCTGTAGCATGTCAGATGGAGCCGGCTTCCATTGCGCAGGTAAGATATGTGCTATTTTGCACTTCAAATTACGCATACAATGCCAAGTAGGTTCTTATTGATCAGTGAGAGAAAAAGAAAGGAAAAAGAGAGTATGTAACTGAATTTTCCCATCGAATGTTTAAGGTTAATATCTCGAATCCAACATAATTCTCCAATTATTCCCAACTCTTTTCTTGCTCAGATACAACTTGATATTGGAAACGCCGCTGGATCTATTATCTTCAGATCATCATGCTCAAAAGTCGAATTCCTTGGATACCAAGCAGTTTATGAGGTACAGCCTATTTCATATTGTTGTTGATTACCTGGCAGTTCTATCATTAGGTGGGGTTTTTAAATCGTCACTTGTGCGGATGATTCCTTAGACTTGGCTTTAAGACAACTTTTTCGTAATTTTTTTCTTTTCTTTGCTATGATTGTCATCTGCAGGTTTATTTTGTCGCTTTTGCCTGTTGCGGATTTTAATTTTGTTTGTTATCAGCTAATTCCTGAACCTTCTTCTCTTTGGACATGTGCTAAAGCAGTTTTTATTGTTTTTCTCCTGGTGATATTGTAGGATCCTGAAGCTAAGGCAATCAAAAACAAAGATGATGATCAGAGTGGTGAGCGGGAGGCAACTTTTGAAACTCTCAGTTTATTGAAGGTACCATTTCTGATCACAACCTTTTTTTCACCTCTGCTTTGTACTCTGGCTTCTTTAGGTGTTCCTCCTTTTTTCAGGATGGGGATCTGCTAAATATTGGTGAAGTGGAGCTCAAGCAGCACCATACTCAGCACCCACCACGCTATAACGAGGGGTCACTGGTATAGCACTCCCATTTCCTTCTCGTTAAAAATGTCTTAAGATCCAGTTCCAATACATAATTTGTTAAACATGTTTTAATGTGTTTCAGATTAAGAAGCTTGAGGAGTTCGGGATAGGTAGACCCTCGACATATGCATCCATATTCAAGGTTTTACAGGTATGTGCTCGTGTTAGTAACCTGGTGGTATTTTTTCTATTGCTTCTGTTTTTTGCTGAAGGTTAAGAGGCTCTAACGGCACCTGAAATTAGCAATTACATCCTTTTATTTTGACACATTTTATTTTTTTCACAGGACAGAAAGTACGTAACAATAAAGAGCCGTGTACTGCATCCAGAATTCCGTGGGAGGATGGTACTTTCCTTATTAATCGCGCTCACTAATTGATGATTTAGTAAACCAACCATTGCAGCAGCATTCTTCTTAACCTCTGTACTATCTTTCCAGGTTTCAGCTTTTCTTACCAACTACTTCACTGAGGTCACAGACTATAGTTTTACTGCTGATATGGAGACCGAGGTGGGTATTTATCTTGTTCTTCACTTGACTCTACATATTCCATAGATATTATCCAATGTTGCAAGATCAGATACTCATTTTTTCCCTTTCGATTGATTTTCCTTTCAGCTCGACAACGTGTCTGGTGGTGTAACTGAATGGAAAGGTCTCCTAAGAGACTACTGGACACGATTTAGTGCGTATTGTAAACGTGTTGAAAGTGTCCAAATCACACAGGTTCCTAGAAGAATGAACTCTGCAAGTCTACTTTCTTACTATAATTTTCTTATTAGCTTCTTACGTTATCATACATTTACAGGTGGAGAAAATGTTGGAAAAAAGATACGAAGAGTTTCTGTTTTCTTCCTTTCCTGATCCCACTAGGACTTGCCCGAGGTATGTATCCCTTTTCCCCTTCCACATAATCCAAATTAGAAATGCTAATCAATTTCGGGATTGAGAATCTGCTTTAAAATATTGAAGAAACTCAGACTTTCATAACTGTCGGCCAATGGTAAAGATCCTTTCAGGATTCTTATGTTGACTCTTATTTGGTTATCTTTCCATATCTCAGTTGTTCGGAAGGCACCTTAATTTTCAAAATAAGCAAGTTTGCTTCGGGGTATTTCATTGGTTGTGATCATTACCCTGCATGCAAGTAAGTCGCAGGCTGTTGATCTCTAACTTTTTACACCTAAGATGCTTACTCATGATACTGATATAATTTGAGCTGTGCGGTTCATATACAGGTTCATTGCTAAAACGCTTTATGGAGAAGATGAAGATGAAGATGATCCTCCAAAGAATACCTGCGTGGAAGAGCCCAAATTGCTGGGTCTTCATCCCAATACCAGTGAGAAGGTCTCGCTGTTCTGACCGTACTCTGTTGAAATTTTCTCTTACAACTTAAATTTGCTGAAAATCCATTTCCTTGTTCAGGTTATTTTAAAGTGTGGCCCCTATGGGTATTATGTACAGCTTGGTGAGGATAGAAAAGGGCACTTACCAAAACGAGCAAATGCAGCCCATGTATGTTGGATTTTTATCAATCCATATAAACATTTTCTCTATGTTTATCTTCTTACTTAATTGGACGCATACTGATTACTGAGTAAACGCTTGGTGATAAAATGGTTTGGTTTCCTTGCTGAGAAAATCTCTTGCAACCTTAATTTTTCAGATAAAGGATGTGAGCTCTATTACGCTTGAAGGTGCTCTCGAGTTATTACGCTATCCTCTGACACTGGTAAGACTGATAGCAAAGGTTAAAAGTTAATTGCATTTCTGTTTTAACATCTTGGAGTACTGAAGACTTGGTATGCTGATTTCTGACCAGGGAACACACCCTGAAGATGGGCAGCCTGTACTTTTGAAGCTTAGTAAATCTGGATTTACTGTTCGACATCGCCGCACTATTGCTACTGTTCCAAAGGTATAGTTATGTAGTGTTGTTATATAATGCCACCTTAGAATATGACATAGGTAGAATAAGAGGAGTATGAATTGAGAGATGTTGGTCCTGTATCTGATAATGAAATGAGGTGTAGATCTGCATCCATAATATGCTAGGATCTATTGTCGTCTATGTTATGACATTGAGGAACTTGGTACTTGGCAGAACGTGGAACCAGGTGAGGTTACTTTAGAGAAAGCAATGAAGCTCTTGTCTGGCAAGAATGTGAGACAGTGTGGCAGACCTAAGAGGATCCAGCCAACAGTAGATACGGAAGAGGAAGAAGTTGCTGCGTAGGCGACTTAATCTAGTCCACAAGGCGACGCCATTGTGCTAATGTACAATTAGTTGGTGAGCTTACACTGATGGAGAAGAGCATTAGCTTTGATGGAGACTATTTTTTTTAATATTCTTTTTGGTTATCAGAAATAATAATCGCAAGGGAAAAAGATTGGATACTGTTGTAAAAACTGTAACATATTCGTTAAAGATATAATAATGGATCTTCATTTTCTTCTATGGTTTATGGAAATGTGGTATACTCTCTGTTCATCTTTCAATTTGCTTTTATGTTAGAGAAGGCAGGACAAGACGGTTTCATCTTTGAATTCTCTCCATCTATACAATTTGAACACTTTCTACGTTGGAAGGACACTCTACTGCATTATACATTGATCATGCAAATTCAACTGCTCTTTGCATGAGCATACAGAGGTGACTGCGGCACTAAGATAGAAGTAGCATTCACTTGTCCCTGCAAATAGACAGTGAAGAGGAGGGCATGAGTTGTGTAAAAGGATTCGACGTTGAAATGGAAATCTTTGTATTGGTTTATCAGTTCTCACAACTTTGGGGACGAAGTTTGGCTTTCGCAGGGGGTTGGTCCAGAGCTGTTGATGACAACTGCAGACTGAGTTGATTCAGCAAGTGCTCTTAACCTGTTGAGCTCTGGCAAGATAACTTTGGAAAGATCAGGCCTGTCTTTTCTCCTAATCTCTGCACACTTGAGAGCCAACTTGGCAAACTCTGTGGTGTCTTCAACAGGCCAATCAGACACAGAAGGATCAAGCAAACCTTTAAAATTCCCTTTCTCGAGTGCCTTTTCGACATAATGAGTCAGTCCCATCGGTGCTTTCCCTGTTATCAACTGCAGAAACATGATGCCGAGCGAATAAATGTCAGATTTGACACCAAGCATACCGGTCTGCTGATACTCCGGGTCGATGTAGCAAAACGTGCCAGCGGTTGACGTCATGCGGTATTGTGTCACGGTGTTTGCAACCGAGGGAGGAACCAGCCTAGCCAAGCCAACATCAGCAACCTTGCTGACAAAGTTGCGGTCTAGCAAGATGTTGGCTGGTTTGAGATCACGGTGCACAAGTGGTTCTGGTTTTGTCTGGTGGAGGAACAGCAGCACAGTGCCTATCTCTGCAGCAATTCTGAACCTCGTTTGCCAAGAGAGAGGAGGACTATCTCCTTGTCGGAAAAGACGGTCTTCTAAGCTCCCATTGGCCATATACTCATACACTAAGCATCCGCATTCAGGGCATGCTCCAAGAAGAAGTACCATGTTAGGGTGCCTCATGCAGCTTAACACTTCAACCTCTTGCTGAAACTGTGACCTGCCTTGAGTTGCATCTGGTCGCAAGACTTTCACAGCCACAGGTGTGTGGTCAAGATAACACTTGTAGACAGGTCCATAACTGCCTTCTCCGATCTTGTATTTATCATCAAAGTACTCTGTTGCATCTTCAATCTCCTCGATGGTGTACTTCCTGTATCTGATATCAGAGTGCGCTAAAGCATCAACGGCTTTCTTCTTCTCCTCTGATTCCTTGAGAGCTTTCATCTCAGCATTGATTCTCTTCTTTGACTCGATCTCAGCAATCCTTTGAGCTGCTTCAGCTGCTTCTATTGCTGCTTTGGATTTTGCTCTCTCTTTCTCTACAGTGGCTAGCGCTGCTTCCTCTGCATGCTTTGCCTCTTCGAATTTCCGTTCTTCTTCTAGCTTCCACCGTTGAAGCTCCGTTGCCTTCTGTTTTGCTGTGAGCGCTTCTTTGCAAGCTGTGCTGTACATTTCCATGGTTTGTTTTAGCTCCAGTTTAAGCCTCCTCATCTCAGCTTCTACGTCACCATCCTGCTTTTCCAAAAATCATCAGCCATAAAACTTCTTGCATCTAATAGTACTTTGTTACAAACATGCAAGAAAGATTCATAGATGAGTCAGCCTTACCCCTCCTTGTGAAGCAGATGAAGATCTTTCATTGTCAAATGAGCCGATTGAGAAAGCAGTTGGTGAGTTTATATCCATTGACTTCCGTCCGTAGCTCATTGACTCAAAGCTTCCATAGTCAACGTCTGAGAAATTAGACAGCCTTGGAGGAGGAGGAGTCCGGTTTGAATCATAGTTGTCGTATAAGGAGGAAAGAGAGTTACGCTCAGTGCTTGGTCTTCCAGAGCTCATAAAGGATATGTCAGAGTCGGCGAATGATAGTTCTCCGTATGATCTCCCATTCAAGCCTCTTCTACTGGAGGGTGGCCTGTTTTCAACCAAGAAGTTTCTCACCGTCTAAAGTCTAGTGTCCAAATGAAAAAAAAAAAAAAAACAAGAGAGATGTGTACCTGAAGGAGGAATCTGATTGATCGTCAATGGACCTGCGATTCTGAGACTCAAATGATTGTCTCTCAGCTACAAGAACACAAGAAAAAAAAAGAAAGAAACTGTCAGGAGACTGAAACGTGTGAAGCAAGAAACAAGAAATTGACATTCTCTTTATGTTTTGAAACCTCTTGTATTGTGATTAGTAGAAGGAGAAGGAGAAGGCAGACGAGGATGTGGCTTTAAGCTATTCTGTTGAAGCTGAGTGCGCAATGGAGAAACAGAAGGCGCAGCACGAGAGGCTGTTTTCTTTGTTGTAAGCTTTCCTTTGGCTATGACGTAAACCGTGCAGAAATCAGGAGCGGTCTTTGTAATGGTTCCTGGTATATCTGTAGGTTTGTTGAACCTGCAAAGTTGTGTGTCAACGCCAAATTCTTTACACATCTGATCCGGTGAAAGAGAGAGAGAGAGAGAAGAACAAAACAAAACACACCTGAGAAAGCCACTTTTCGAGGAGGAACCAACCACCAATACCTCAATGAAGACCTGATTTGCATATTCAACTAAACCTTTCCCCACATCTGACTCCTCCAGTAACACATCTTTGCATTGTATCTGAACAAGTTTCCATTTCAAGAAAGCACATAATAAGCATAAGAAGAGACAGAGCAAAGAGAAGTATAAAAGACTGGAGAGTCACATCTTTGCGTGAACAGAGGCAACGGAAGGGAAGGAACAACTGTCTGTAAGAGCCATCCGGGTCTCCACACACCAATGGAGCGTCATTATTTACTTGGCACGTCTCTGAAAACAACCACAGAGACAAAACCCAATCAGGCTAACGAGAAAGGAACATAAAAGAATCACAAGGAAGTAGAAACAGAGAAGAAGAAAAAAAAGAGCTATTTTCTTTTACTTGTGGTAATAGAACACACAGAGGGAGCACGAGGCTTGACATGTATGAGAAGGATGGTTTGGCCTTTCTGCAACAAATTGTCGACAGCCCATTTCAGAGCATTTTGGCTGCTTTTGTCTCTGTCTATCGCCACAGCAATCAATCCATCCGTGCCAAATGCTCCTCCGTCTTTGTCCCTCCTGTTCTTCGCCATTCAACACTCTCTATCTATATATGAATCTCTCTGAATCACTAAAAACAGAGGAAATGAATATGGAAGAGCACTACACTGAGAGGGTTTTTTAAGCTTCGATGGACAAATATATTTCTTGTGTTCTTTAGGTTTCTGGGTTTGTTTCCTTTCTAAGATCTTCCCGATTTTTAGTCATCTGATTTTGTTGGCAAGGAAAAAGGGTATGAAGAAAAGAGACAAAGAGGTTTTCTATAAAAATTGATGGACTCTGTTTCTCTCTCTGTTTTGACCGCATCTCCTTCTTTCCCGCTCTCTTTACCCACATTTCCCATCATTTTGTGTGTTATACATTTATCCACAAACGACTTCTTTTCTTTGTGATGCAAAAATCTACAAAAATATCATTAAAGGTTAAGTTTATAGGCAAATAAAAATTAAAGAAATTGGCTCTTTAAAAAAAAAAAAACAGAATTTCTTATTCTTATTTTTCATGTCGTAATTACAAACGTTGCCAGAATATGCAAGTAAGAGAACAAAAATTGGAGATAATAATGTTTACAATGAATTTGAATCATTATTCTCTTCTTTTTCTTTGTCGATTTTCATGAATAGTCATGCGAACTGCACAAGATTGGTACATTTAATGTTTTACTTTTGCCATATACTATACATCAGCCAAAGTTGTCATATATCTTGAATTACCACAAATCCAACATTACATGAATTACAATTAAATTTAATCAACACTAAATGTATAGTATATACAGTTTCAGCTTTCAATTGTGATTAATTTATTCATTTTCGACACTAAAAGTCTCTATTTGAGTTTAATATATTTCTTGTGTTCTTTAGGTTTCTGGGTTTGTTTTCTTTCTAAGATTTTCTCGATTTTTTTTCATCTAATTTTGTTGGCTAGCCAAAAAGGTATGAAGAAAAAAGAAAGAGGATTTTCTATAAAAATCGATGGACTCTAATTCAACGAAGTACTAAAGAACCTCCATCAGACCTAAAATAGGGTCTCTTCAGTCCTTCGTATAAAACGAAGGAAGTCTCGAAGACATAGATTCAAATATCTTGATGAGATTTTGAAGATCTTGGTAATTGACATAAGACTTGCTAATGCCGATATACACAGAGGTAACATATTACGAGTCAGTCAGAGACATCTACGTGCCTATTGACCATGGCTACTGCCTGAAAGCGTAAGACTGGATCAATGATCTCATGGCAATCACGAACATGCTCATATCGCTAATGTTCACAACAACAATCATAAAATGCATAAGAGAGTAAACAATGAAGTATTCTACATACACTACTCTCTTAATCTTTAGCGATCAATAACTATAAACCTTTGACCTACACTAGTCTTCACCAGTGTTTTTAAAACCGGACCGGAAGCCGAACTGGATAAGCATTCGGGTCATGGTTCAATCTGGTTCGACCGGTTTGACCCCGGTTCATAACATTTATATTATAATTATTTTTAAATATATAAATTTTAAAATAAAAATATAAATAGTTAAAAATTGATATATAGGTATAAATATAAATATAATAATATTAAAAACTTATATTTTCATTGTTCTAATTAATTATTTATAGTATAAACATATATAATTTCAAAAAAAAATCAAAAGTGAAAATAAATAAAAGAAAATAATTAATTAATTGATCGTATTAATTGTTTTTAAACCAGACCGGAAATCCAACCCGATCACATGTCCGGTTCATGGTCGAACCCGGTCCGACCACCGGGTCGGTCCGGTTTTCAAAACACTGGTCTTCACTTATCCACGTCAGCTTCTTAACTACCATTGAAAAACAGCTTGCCCTCAAGCTTATAGATAGGGAAGTCAGCAACATTGGTCCTTGCCCTAGTTAATACAGGATTTTAGGACCAAAATACTCTGAAATGAACTAAACACCATACTAAAAGTTGTGCCTCTTAAATATATAGTTAGGCAAGTGAGATTCTTCTAACCTTGTTCAAGATGGTGGGGAAGGGATCCGATACAGCCAACGCGGGAGAAAAAACGTGGAATAATTTGAATAGAGGCGTTCAATCTTCTGGGGGACCAATACTCCCTCAAAACTCAGAGTGTGACCGAAGCTGCTACGTTCCTTAAGCCCAAACTTGGCTCCCTTGTGGAGCAAGTTAGTAAATGTCAAACAGGTATGCACATCGCTCTTGAAGTACATTTTATTAGCATCAAAAGGGTTCATTCCAAGCAGAATGCAGTCGAAAGCGGTCTCCAGTAATATCTCTGACACTATTTGCCACTCCCCGCTCTTTAGCCTCCATACACGTAAACTCAAATCATCTTTGTATGAGTTTATATACATGATAAACCCTTGAGAAGCTGTGACAGCTCTTCTGAAATAAGGGTTTTTTTCGGAGTCAGGGAAATGTATAATTAGGCATTGTTCAGATTCCGCATAGAAATCATGTGATACAACAGCTTCTTTACCGTCTAAGCACATTCCGCGCCAGTAAAGCTTTCCTTTCAAGCTAACAGGAAGAGCTGAGTAGTGGATAGTCTTGAAACTCCACAAGCCTGCCTCAGATGAATAGATTAATACATCTATGGAAACGTTAGATCTGATACATCTTGTCCTCACCAGAACAACTTTGTAACCTAAAAGTAAGCCGTTTTCAATTCGTGTGACGAGTCCAGAGACACCGAAAAAATGAACCTCTAGACTAAGAGGAATAGGAGGTAGTTCAACACATTGTCTTGAAATCGGATTAGCCACATAGTAGGAGAAAGCGGGCATTCCAATCAACATCAATCCGACTTCCGTGTAAGACACGTATCTAACCTTCTCTGTCTCGAATTTTTCGTTTAGGAAAGAGATGTAAGAACCCAAAGATCGTGAAAGTCCCCAGATCTCGCATCCGTAGTGAGCCATGACTTCATGTTCTCTGTCCATGAGCGACCACGAGGACTGCGAGTTTTGATGGTGAGAATCGAAAATCTTGCGGAGCAACGGCGATTCCACGATCGCTTTCCATTGCTTGCAAACCAATTTGGAACTCGTCATGCTCTTTAGCGGCAACCTCGCTAGTATCATCTCCCATAGATCCTCTGTGAAGGATTCCATCTTCTTCTTCTTCCAATCGGATTAGGGTTTGTTCTGTTTCAAAAGACTGGTCCATATGTTTAATAAATAAACCCTAAAAAATAAATAGCCTATATAAAAAAGTCCATCTACTTTTGAGTCTTAAGGCCATTTAATCTCGTCATAACATACAGATCATAACATACAGTATCTTCTTTGTTTGTTTACTAAAGTTACAAAAATCTTTCACGACGACTATGTTTTTGCTAAACCGATAATGCTTCTTGTTCTTCCACACATGTAGGATGAAGATCATAATCACAACCGTCGCAAGAAAACGCCCAAAACCTGCCTTGCTTCTTACAGAAATCACACACATACGCTTTCGCCATATCCAGCTTTAGCTCATGCTCATGCTTCTTATCTTTCACTCTCCTCGGAAACGAATCACCTTCTTTCTTCAAACAAGCTTTTAACTCAACAATCCTCGATTCCGTGAACGGATAACTCCTCGATCCATACAACGACACCATTTCTCTCGCGTTTGTGTTCACAGTCTTCCCTTCGGGTCCTACGATGACTAGTGCCGGTATGAGTTTGATGTTGAAGATTCTACAGAGATCTTGCCTTCTTCTGTCCTCATAAGGTATTGCAAGCCATGGCATGTTGGTCATGTTGATGTTGAACTCTCTCGAGTCTCTGTCTGTTGAGACTAAGATGACTTCAAAGCAGCCTTTTGTTGCGGTCACAAGCTCATTGTACACATCTACGAGCTGAGAAGTGAAGGATCGAAAAGGCGGACACCAATGTGCACCAAAGTATAAACCTATGGTCTTGCCCACAAGCTCAGAAACTACTACCTGCATATCATAAAAGGAACATTTGATCAGACAAGAGATCATTGAACTTTATAAGTCAATTGTCTTTTTACCTTGCTTCCATTTCTAGAGACAACGTAGTTCCGGGATTCATGCGTAAGGAGTTTCTCCAACTGTCCTCCAAAGCGTTTGGAGTCATCAATGGCCTTGAGTTCTTCTTTTCTCTTTTTAGTGAAAGGGAATGCTTCAGGGCCATAGTCTTCAACTAGACCAATCACATCTTCAGCGACCGAGGTTTCGTCTGGATACAGAGGAACGAGTGATGGGACACGAGCAATCCTGTACTTTTCCGCTAACTTGTTGCGTAGGCTTAAACTGAAAGGAACTGCAAGCCACGGCATGCACCAAAAGTGCTCATAGAATGAAGTCATATCATGATCAAACGAGACAAAGATGATCTCGAGTTCTTCTCCTCGTTTCTGAAGACTCTCGTAGAGCTTTACCAGCTCTGGAGTGAAGTCCTTGCAAGGCCTGCACCAGCTTGCAGAGAAGAAGAGACAAATCGTTTTTCCGTGGAGATACTCCAACGGCACCTGATTGAAGCGAGCTTTTAGTTTAAGTAAAAGATCACACACGACTCAAAACATGTTCTGTTGTGTAACAACAAGGAGGGAGAATGATTTTGGTACCTCTCCACTATGTGACAAAAGGAACTCAATCTCCTCAGCTGCTAGTGTAGAGTAAATACCATCTGTTGATACTGCCATCTAAACTGCAACACCACTATTGCTCTTTTATGCTTCTTCTGTTCAGACACTTTGATAGAGAAACCTAAACCAATATGAGAATGAACATGCTTCATTACGAACAGAGACCTTAGCCTTCTTGTAGGACATACTAAATGCTATAATATGCTAACCAAAACGGCTTAAGCGACTTCCAACTCCAAAAGCTTCTAAAGAAACAGAGCACATCCGTTGTGATATTCATGAAGAGTGAGATGTTCTAAACTGCTATACAATTTTTTCTAGTGATTAAAATCCCCTATTTTTTATCTTCATGAATATATGAGATGATACAAAAAAACATAAAGAAATATCAAGACCAGTTTCAAAACATCATAAACCCAGAACCCAACATGAAGGAACATACAACTAAAAAAAACTGAAACAGAGACCATTTCTAACAGGTTTTACAGACGATGAACTCTATCAAAAGACCTGTCGAGAAAAGGTAGCAATATCAGCTCAACATACCTGATACCAGAGGCAGAGAAATACTGATATAACCTTTGACACGAACAAAATTCAATACAGAGTAGATTGTAACAAGATTTCACCACAGGTATTTCTGATTGATTTTCCTCTCGGTTGATCAAAATCTCTTGTATATTCCAAGAAAAGGGGATGAAGCAAAAATCACATGGGGGAAACAAAATATAGGTGGAGAAAAAGACATAAACTTTATTAAGGTCTCTATCAAAACGAACATGTGAAAGTAAATCAAAAAGTATCCGCAAAGAATATAGCACCTGCAAACGTTACCCAATAGCTAAAGCAACAAGCTTGTGAGAGCCATAAATTAATATTCTTGCTTATCTCAACAGTGCATCAGAAAGTGGACAAGTTGAACAAGAAATGGACATCAATGCCATTCTTTTGCGTCTAGATGTTACCAAACGAGAGCACGAATATTCAATTCAATTAAAGAACAAAAGCTTGAAGCTTGAACTCATAAACCATAACTAGCAATAGAAATGAATGGGAATAAGCCTTGCAGTTAAAAAATTAAACAAGTAATCGTCTTTACCTACAGACAGAGACACGAAACATGATTAACAAACACCAAGGAAACAAGAATTAGACGAAGAAGACGACTAGTGGAGAGAGAGAGAGGCCTTCAATGGAAGCTATCACATTAGCGAGAACTCCTCAGTCATGGCTCTTGAAGAACGATGATCACCTTCACTAGCAGTCACGTACGAAGATCGAACACTCTCTTGACCACCACCTGCGTCTCTCTCAACTTCTTCTATCCGATCAACAGCCTCGTGAAGCTCAATTCTCCTCTCTATGTCCCAATCACAGCATCTCAACCCAATCTTGAGCAGCTTCAGCATTTGCGCTTCGTGCTCTTTCCCTGCTTTCATCTCCTTATCAAACACATCAGCCGTCCACTCCGTCCTCGCTACCGACTCAACCCAAGCAGCCAGCTCGTCGTCAGCTCCTTTCCCTTGCCGGAGATAGTTTGCCGGGAACTTCCCCGTCAGAATCTCGAGAATCAAAATCCCAAGGCTCCACACATCGGACCTTCTCGAGGTCCGGTCCTGCTGAGTGAACTCCGGCGCCTTGTAAGCCACCATGAACTGCTGCGATTGTTCCCTGTTCACCACCGGAACGAGAGCGTAGTCCGTTAGGAGCGGCTCGAAGTCATGGTCAAGCAACACATTGGAAGATTTGAGATGGCCGTGAGGGAGATTCAGATCCGGGAACACTCTGTAGAGATAAGCCAAACCTCTCGTAACTCCTCTCACAATCTTCAACCGGATCGGCCAATCCAAAACCATCTGACCCGGTGTCCGGTTTGCTGCAAATCAAAACAAATTTCATCAGATTCGTCGGAAATTCATCAGATTGAGATGAACATAGTGTTCTATTATCCTATCTACATTTTGTATATAGTTTCTATTGAGTTTCATGTAATTCGGTTTAGAAGGTTGGTTTAACCTGGTCAGGTGTTGTATATAAGTCAACTAATTTGGTAAAATGTTGATTAATCTTTACCGTGGAGGAGATTGGCGAGGCTGCCATTGGGAATGTAATTGGTGACGAGAAGCTTCTCCTCTTTTCGGTAGTAGAAGGCGACCAGTGGAAGGAGATTAGGGTGAGACAACCGTCCGATCTTCTTCATATGATCGTAGAACTCTTCTCTCCCGATATTGCTCATAAACCTAAACCGCTTCACGACCACCGCACGGCCGCTAGTCAAAGCCGCCTTGTACGAAGATCCGAATCCGCCGCTTCCAAGAACCTCCGCTGAGGCACGGAGCATGTCCTGGAGCGTGAACCTCTCTTGATCATTTCGAACGAAATGTAGCTTCCGCTGATCGCCTCGTTTGTCTTCGTCTGGGGACGGAGCTCCCTCGGATAATGTTGTTGTTGTGGAATCTCGCTGCACAGCTTCATTGGCTAGTTTCCTGTAGACCTTCGAGTCCTGCGAGCTCTTCTCACTGTGTTGCTCGGTTTGCCCGTATATTACGCCGAGGCCGTGGCCGTGGTTGGGGGTTTGGCTTTGGCGTTGACGACGGCCGAGAATGCAAACGGAACAAAAGACAGTGATGAGAACCAAGACGGCAAGAACGGTGATGGCAAGTAGAAACACCGTTAACAACGGCGGACGAGTGTATCTACACGGAAGCAAAGGTGGTCCACACAGCCCCTTATTTCCTGTTTTCAACCCAAACAAAACTATTGAATTAATATATGGCCCAAACGGAAAACTAATTTTTTGGTCAGTTATATATCAACAATATTTGGCGGGGAAAACTGTTAATCTGTTAATTCCGAATATTAGTTTATAGACTAAAGAGTATTGTTCATATGTATTTTTTGTTTGACTCCTAAAAGAAATCTTATCATAATGCACATTTTGACAAATAAAAACTATATTGTAAACTTCCATGGAAAACTCAAACGTGCCTTACAGCCTTACTAACGTGCTCGCTACTCAGAAAGTGTCCGTGATGATCAATAAGTTCAAATTTCCCCATGGACGGTAATAATAATAATCGGACATGACTACATGACTAAAGAACTACATGTCCGATAGATATTCGTAAAATAAAATCGCAATCGTTATTTTATAGACATATATATTCACATGGTGGAAGATTGTCACGATTATGCTAATTAATAATCAAAGAGAAGCAAAAGATGATGATGATGATGATTACCTAAGAAGAAAGTGGGGTTCATGAGCCCAAGAGTTAAGGGAATTCGACCCTCTAATTGATTATTAGCAACGTTAACCGTAACGAGATTCTTCTGTTTAAACGCCGGTAAGCTCCCGGTGAACATATTGCCCTCGAGATTCAGCTCAGTGAGCTTCGGTAATTTTCCCAACGACATCGGAATCTTACCGGAAAACTGGTTTCCTTCAAGATGAACCTTCACCAAATTCTTCATTCCGTCAAACAAATCCCCGTCAATCTCACCCGAAAACTGGTTATGGGCTATGTATAGATGCACCAACGAGACAAGCCTGTCAAGTCCACGTGGCACCAGACCTTCGAAGCCGTTACGCATAAAGCTAACACTCTTGAGCCCATGCATCGACCCGAGCGCTTGCACGTCCAGCGCGCCGGAGAGGCTCATGTTCTCAAGCCGGAGCGCGAAAACGGTGCCGTTTGAACACATCACTCCTTTCCATTTGGAGTCGCTTCCTCTTTCCCCGGAGCAAGGTGGATCACCGGAGTCCCATCCGCCAAGAACGGTGGCGTTTGCTAGAGATGACTTGAACTTCAAAAGAGCATCCGCATCACCGTCGCCGCCGGAGATGGGAGTGGCGAAGCAGACGGTGATCAATAGCAGAGAGTATACGATCGTGGAGTATATGTCATCACGGGTCATAACTTCGATCGCCGGAGCGAGGTTTGTGAGAGAAACAAATCCAAAATGGGTTTTGAGAGGAAGAAGGGAGATATAATGTCGGCAGTTTGACGGATTCTTGTGGATTAATCAAAAGAGATGAAGTTGTTGCCGGAAGAAGAATGAAAGGGCGGCTGATGGTGAAATGACAGCAAAGGTCAAGCGCAATCGTTTTCGCCTGCTAAGCTAAAATGTGAGTTTTCTTTTGGAGAGCTCCAAGAACGTGGAACCAAGTAACTGTGAGCTTTCCATGGTCTTTAGTCACAGTTGTGTATTATATTACCTTGAAAATCTTGATTACGTGGCTTTCTCTTATGTTTATATACTGTATATATCATTCTACTTGGATTTCATTTAACTTTTCTGTACTAATTTGTTTTTATAGAATACATGAAAGCTATTCATCTTCACATTCTGTTTATTCCATCAAAGTTTATTGATTTCAAACTTAAATTGTTCATCTTCACATATTTCGTGTTGTTAAAACACATGAATTGTAGTAGAAAAATTAATTGATTTTGTTTATAGATTGCATTCCACATTATTTATCAAACAAATACCACTGGTTGATAACAAAAATTAATCACAATAAAGACTCAGTCCAAAGATATAGTACTTTAATGGATGAACCATAGATATATGCACGGCTTCAAAATTCATTCAATTTTGGTTTGATTGATCTGATTTTCATTGGTTCCAACCTGAGATATTCTAGTGACTATACTAATATGTTTATGGAATATTGAACATGTAAGACTTCATGGCCCAATGGATAAGGCGCTGGTCTACGAAACCAGAGATTCTGGGTTCGATCCCCAGTGAAGTCGATTTTTTTTCTTCATTATAGCTGTTTTTTAAGTTTGTATACAAACACCTTTTCTTCACATTATAATACAAACAGCTTTTGAATTAAGTCTACAATAAAATTAGATAAACTCCAACGAAGCTAAAAGTTATTCACCTTTGAAATCACTCCAGTTTCTAGAGGAACTTAACGGAGCCTATTAAGGGTATACACAATTTCACTCAGAGAAGCGATTAGCTCGTCTCCTTGCTCTCTCACAAACTTTAATCTATCGTCAATACTAATACCATCCCCTGTTTCACCATCCTTTCTTGCATCTCTCCTCCCTACTATTGCATGTATCAAGTCAGCTTTCTCACCTAGCTTTGCCTTCACCGTTTCCACCTCTTCAACGGTCATCATCTCCTCCTCTTCCACTGGCTTCTTCTCTTCCTTGGTTTTCTTCTGACTGGCTCCTTTTGCACATTGCTCTTGAATGTTCTCCACAACTCGTTTGCTCCGTGGCTCCTCTTCTGTCTTTCTCTTATGTGGCGGATTCTCCTTCATCACCACCATGGTTTGCTGTCTTGACCTTTTTGACCCTGCAATAGCTGAGTTTCACAACCGAGTGATCAGAAGCGGTTAGCAAATATCACAACAATAGTCAGTGATTCTTGAGTTATGTACCTAATTCAGTAGTGAGATCAAGAATCTCAGAGTCTTCTTGAGCTTCAGGGTCACTATCATCACTACCATCAGGTTCGGTTCCAGCTTTATCCTCTTGGATCATCACAACCGCATTGATAGCTTCAAGTAGCTCGTTATCGATATTCCCACGGAGATTCAGCTTCTTCCTCTTCTCATCACTCAGGGACCGATACGAACAACCACCGCCTTGTTTCTTGGATTCCCACTGCTTGATCTGATTGTAATCAGAGACCAAAGAATCCCATTTCCTCCTGCATTGGTTTAGAGTTCTGTGTACATCCAAAGCGTTACAGTTCTCTGAGATCATTGTCCATTTCTGGAAGGTGGATAAAGCATTCGAGCAATCCGCTTCGACCGCAGCGATCTCATTCACCAGAATCAGACAGTCTTTCACTGTCCAGTCCGGAGCTACTTGAGACCTCGTCCTCCGTGAGCCTGAACTGCCTTCCTCCATTTAAAAAAGCCACTGCAATTTTTGGTTAATGAAGCTTGTGAATAATCATCATCAGTTATATTCACGTTACAGCATAACTGTAACTGAAACATTAAACATGACCAAGATGATACATATAGTAGTGACTAGTGAGGATGATCTGCATTTTTTGTCTCTGTGACTGTTTGAATCATAAGTAGGCATGCAATGTTAGATCGGAACTTAAATAAATAAGAAGGAAAAACAATGAGATTCAAAAAAATTAGTCATTCGTGAACATTTAGCTGTTTGGAACCATAGTTTTTGCAGGAATCTAAGAATGGAAAACTTTCAAATTGGTAAGTGATTTTCAGCAACGAATAGCTCTGCGAACTATAAATCAAATTGATACGAGAATTCCAAATGGCGAAAGAAGAGAAATTTGGGCATTACCGGATCGTCAGAAACTGCTTCTGGTGAACGGCACGTCGAGAGGCAGCGAGTCCACTGTGGTGATCCGACGACGGAAATGGAAGTTGGAGGAGATCTGTTTTGAGTGATGTGCTATAACTTGTATCTGTCCACAGGCCCAAAACGTTTTTGCCGACTTTCAGGCCCAAAATATTTCACACATGCATAGTCTTTGCTCCATTTTAACGCATAACAAATTATTTATATCATCTCACAAATAAACTTATCGTGCCACACATACCTTTCTCTCGACGTGGCCTAACCCGAACCTTCGTGAGACTCAACCTTCTCTATGTTCTATTTTTGCCAAATTTTCTAGTTTTCGACCAACTCATATGATCTTATCACTAATTTGAGTGCTAGAGAATTCACACAAGACACTACACTACCGTATTTCAGAATACTACGACATGTATTTTCCTTATTCACATGACGAATTAGGTCATTACTGTTTTAAAGATATACAATATATAGTTCATTTCAAATCTGATATATCAAAAATCAAAGACGGTTTCGTGTGAAAGAGTTCTGGTTTTAGCCTTCTCGGAATCTGTTACGGCGTATTTCATGAACAAGCAAACTTTAATAAATTAGTCATGTTTACCTCAAGTTAAGCCCCAACAATATTGTTTTTTCCTTATTTTCTCTCCTCATGTAGCAGTGACGTTGGCAATGCATGTATATGCGTTTGTGTAACAAATACATTCTGACTTTTTTTCGGAAAATAAAATAAAATAATAATACATTCTGACTCCTGTGTTTTGTGATGTTGATTGAGCAAGCTTTTATTAAAAATCTTAATACTGAAAAAAGGAACACCTTTTGTCTTCAGTGTTCTTTGAAAATTTATCATTTTGTAAAATTTAGAAATTGCATCTCTATTCGCTTCGAAAAATTTGCATAAATTGATAGGAAATAAACTTATACTAGTAAATATTTCGGAGATATGGGTTTATTTTATCCTTAGAAAAGAAATCAATATCAATTAAGATAATATAATTAGATTCGAAGAAAGATATTTTTGGAAAGGCCAGAAACAAGCGTCTACACCGGGTCCGTCACGTGACGGATGGACCGCGGAACAGACAATAATCAGATGAACTCGAAACAACATGCGTGGCATGAACACGCGGTTCTGTCTCTCTCTCTCTCTCTCTCTCTCTCTCTCTCTATAAATGCTCTTCGTCCTCCACATCGCCTCCTCCTCATTTTAATACACCTCGAAAGCAGAGAGAAAAAGAATAGAGAGAGAGAGAGAGGTTCAGAGAAAGGAGGGAGAAAGGAGCTGAGTGATCTCATTACCAGCTCCAAAGGAAGCTAAACGACGTCGTCCCTCAAATATTCTCTGCAATCTCTCCTCCGACGAGTTTCTCAGCTTTTCTCGGGTTGTAATTAATCTTATCACGAGGAAGAGATCTTGTCTCACGGTGGGATTGGTTTGTTTCTTCACGACAATCGTCCCAGAGGGTAAAGTTTTGATCTTTTTTGTTTTGTTCTTTTTCCATCCGCATTTCGGTTTAGGTAGCGTCTGATGAAGCTTTATGTTTATTATTGCCATCTAAGGAAATGGTTTCACTGTTTGATTATCATTGTTGCACCAAATCTGGATAAAAAAAGCTAATCCCTTTTTCCTTCTCTTTCTAGAATTTGGGAATTAAGACATGTCTACTGACTTCTGTCTTTGTCCCAAAAGTTTGGTGATTTATTATCTCCTTTACCTGCGTCACTGCCATGGATAACTCATAAGCTACCTAGAACAGTTTTAAACATAAAAAAAGTTTTGGGCTTTAATCTTGTCTGAACTGTCCTGAAGAGAATTCAAAAACTGAGCATATCTATTGACATTTAAGACTGAACTAACAATTGGAACACTGGTCCACTCGTGATTTGTCTTAATTGTTTCAATGCACATGTGTATTTTAGCTCTCTTCTTGTCTTTACATGCTGTACCTTTTCCTCCGGCATTTACCCTCCACAAAATCATGATTTGTAAATCTTAGAATTTGTCTTTTGGTGTTTTACAGCTTACAGCATTCAACTGCAGAAATGGTGATGTGGGTCTTTGGCTATGGTTCTCTTGTGTGGAACCCAGGCTTTCACTACGATGAGAAAGTGTTGGGTTTCATCAAGGGATATAAACGTGTCTTTGATCTTGGTAACGGATTCATTTCTTGGTTTTGTTAAAGAAAACAATTTTGTTCCTTTTTGCTTATTTGATTGATTTATCTCTTCTCCTCAACTATCTATGACTGAATAGATTCTCTTGTGTTTTGCTTTGACTTTGTAGCTTGCATTGACCATAGAGGTACACCAGAACACCCTGCAAGAACTTGCACCCTCGAGAAAGATGAAGAAGCCATATGCGTAAGTACATTTGTTTGTTTGAAGATCTTAGATTCTGTACATGATGCTTGTGCTTAGTGATCATACAGTCCTCTTTTCTTACTAACAATCTAATACTTTCTTGACAGTGGGGTTTTGCATTCTGTGTTCGCGGAGGTCCGGAAAAAGAACGTCTGGCTATGGAGGTATGTCCCTGCATCTAAAAAAATAGACCGGGTTTATGTATCATGTCAATGCCTTTGTATTGATCATTCTGTTTATGCACAGTACTTGGAGCGTAGAGAGTGTGAATATGATCTTAAGACAACTGTAGACTTTTACAAGGTGAGTTCACTCATCACTTTGCCCAGTTCTATTGAATAAGCCTATTCTCTTATGCTCCTAAAAGTTTACCTCAAATTGTTCTTCTCTTAACTCACACAGGAAGATGATCCCCTGAAGCCAGCTGTAACTGGAGTGATAGTGTAAGTTGTTTTCTATAGAGGCTGTTCTCACATCGATAAGGCGGCGAATAACGCCGTGTCTTTTTCTTTTCTTCTACAAGTCTTTGTGTTGTGATTTGTTATGGATGAACTTTTCTTTTACAATCTTCAGATTCACTTCTACTCCAGACAAGGTCAACAACAAGTATTACCTTGGACCTGCGCCATTAGAAGACATGGCAAGGTAAAACACTTCGCCTCTCCTACCAACTTCTTTAGTTTCTTACAAATTATATAGATTCTTGTTCTCGCATTAACTTGTTGTTTTGTGTGTTGGAAGACAAATTGCGACAGCCAATGGACCGTTTGGTAACAACAGAGATTATCTCTTTCTGCTAGAGAAGGCAATGCACGACATCGGTTAGTCCAAACTCCCTTTTTCTCCAACATGATTAGGAATTACGGGTTTGGGGTTTGAAACTGCACAAATTTTGAAGTCTTTACGCAATTTGAACATGGATAATCACTCTTTAAAAACAACAGTGCTTAAAGATTTGTAATCTCTTCTGAGCCATTTGTTATTCTACACAGGGCATGAGGAGGATTATGTGATAGAGCTGGCGAACGAGGTGAGGAAAGTTCTCGCTGAGTCGTCGAAGGTGTCACCAGTGAAGGGGTCAAGAGCGAGCCATGTGGCTAACAAGACCAAGAGCAATGTCCCCTCGGCTCATCAGATACTTCCTCATCAGCCTGAAGCTGTTGCCACTACGATATAGCTCTTGCAATTGTCTTTTGATTGGCTTTAGAGACTAAGTGATTTGTGAAAGCAGATCGTTTGCTTTTCATTTCTTCTTTAACAAATGTTGGTTCTCTAAGTAGGAGTGTACTGTTTGTCTGTTTGGAACTCGTTGTCTTCGGTGTTGTCCTAACGACTGCTGTTTGTGTTATGTCTCTGGCTCTGCTGCGCCTTTTAATAAATGACCAACATAAAAAAAAAAATTAATGTGTTGCAAAATAATCATCAAACACAAAAACCATACTCTGGAGTAGATTGTATCATTTTTGTTCAGACATCCAAATTCGTGTTGGGCTTGTATTAAGAATCCGATGACAATTAGATATTGGGCTAATATTTGGAAAGGCCCATGTTGACAATTTGGCATTGGGCTTATACGTAAACAAACATTTTCATCTTTTGCACAAAGAAAAAGGAGAGAAAAGAGAAGCCGACTTGGGGTATAAGCCAGTTCTTCTATTTCACCCTTTCTCATCAGTCATCATCGTAATCTGGAACTTTAGTCGCGAAACTCTCAACTCAGTGATTCTTTTCGTTCGAAAGAAGTTTCAAATCTTACAGCGATGGATCTCAATCTCGATGCACCGCACTCCATGGGAACGACCATCATCGGCGTCACTTACAATGGAGGTGTCGTCCTCGGAGCCGACTCCCGTACCAGCACCGGTTAGATTCCTCTTCTCTACTCTTCTAGGTTTTTTTTCTTCTGTTCGTTGGGTTGGGTTGGTCTTTGAGCAGTGCTTTCGTTTCAATTGGAACCGAGAATTAGCGTATCCGATTGTTCAATTTGGGAAATTTTTGAGCAAGCTGAATGAAATTGGGATCTATTATTTACTTTCTCAGGGATGTACGTAGCGAATCGGGCTTCAGATAAGATCACACAGCTCACTGACAATGTCTACGTCTGCCGTTCTGGATCGGTAAATCTCTCCTTCTTCGGATGCCTATTTAGGGATTTTTTTTGTTCTCGACGTTCTTACTTCGCTATACTTTTTATTCGGATGTTTATGCCTTATACTGATTTTGCTTGCTGGGTTTCGTTCTCGGATCTTTGTTTTTTCATGAATAACTTAGCAGATGCATTTTACTCATTTCCACGAGCTCTTCTTGTTCCTTTTACAGGCTGCTGATTCTCAGGTTGTCTCGGACTATGTTCGCTACTTCCTTCACCAGCATACGTGAGTGTTTCATTCTTTTCCCTGATTCAACCAAACTTCACAACTTGATACTAAGGCTTATCTTATATATTTGAAGATACAAATAATTCGTTTGCTTATGTTTTGCAGAATTCAGCTGGGGCAGCCTGCAACCGTAAAGGTTTCTGCCAACCTTATCAGGATGCTTGCGTATAACAACAAGGTACAATTTCGCTTTAGAGCTTGCTGTTTAGTTTGATTTATTACCTGCGACTTAAACTCAGAGTAGTGGAGAATTTGGAAGTGTGGCCTTTGTGAAACATGACAACTTGCTTACGTTTACTTGGACTCGAGCTTAAAAATTTGGGTTTACAGAGATTGGTGTTACATGCCACACCTAGCTTGTTAGTATATATGAATCTCCTGTTGTACATAGTATTGTTGTAATGGTCATCTAGCGTGAAGAACTAAACAAATTAAATGGATCGAAAGCATGTATTTGATTGTGTAAATATATATACGCTACAATTTCAGTTATCTGTAGTCTGAATCCATGTCTATCTATGCTGTTTAACAAAGTTGTATATCCAATGTGTTAGTGTATGGGTGTTCCTTGTTTTGATTAGATGGATTTTTGACTAAAGATTGTATGTCTTTGTTGGGCAGAACATGCTGCAAACCGGCCTTATTGTTGGTGGCTGGGACAAATATGAAGGCGGGAAGATCTACGGGATCCCTCTCGGTGGAACAGTAGTGGAGCAACCATTTGCTATTGGAGGTAACCAAACTGTTCTGCGTCTTAAGATCTTTGAGTTTTATTGTTGCTGTTACGATTAAGTCCGTCTTGTTATTTACTAATGTATGATACTTAGTCTTCCTGCTAATAACTACTGCAATTGTGTGGTGTTTGTGTAGGCTCTGGTTCGAGTTACCTCTACGGGTTCTTTGATCAGGCCTGGAAAGAAAACATGACCAAAGAAGAAGCCGAGGTAAGGCCGGTTCTGATCATTAAACTCTCTGCATATGCTGAAAACTCACAAACCCATTTGTTGTAAACGGACCTTGCTAATTTTTTTCTCCTCATGTGCCTGTCTGCAGGAACTTGTTGTGAAGGCGGTTTCACTTGCCATCGCCCGTGATGGAGCCAGTGGTGGTGTTGTACGAACTGTCATAGTAAGTGGAGGTTTCACTTACGCTAGCTAGACTTGTAAACTTTCTTGATGTAACTTAGTTAACAAACTGGTTTTGTTGTTTTTGAGCAGATCAATGAAGAGGGAGTGACGAGAAATTTCTACCCAGGAGATAAGTTGCAGCTTTGGCACGAGGAGTTGGAGCCACAGAACTCTCTATTGGATATTCTGAACGCTGCTGGTCCTGTACCAATGGCCATGTGATTCAGACAAGGGTCCTTATCTTACTATGTTGGACAAGTTTTAGATGCTTCATTTACATTTTCCAGCGTCTTTAAAACTCTAAACTCTGTGGAGGTTCTTTTGTATTGACCCTATCTGTTTTCTAAGATAAAAAAATGGATATCGTGTTTGTTATTGTTATGGTTTCAATTCCTCTGCTCTCAAATTGATTTAGTAGAAAACTTCGCCATCTTTGCCATAGTTTAAGAGCACCTATTATTATTTTTTTCCGGCAAACTGTAATTTATTAATGGGGAAAACAACCTGTTATATGTTTACACGTGGCTGGGTAATGGACACTTCAACTTGTATACTATGTTAGTGACATTGAGACGCATGAAGTGAACGGAGTCGGAGAGACCGAGGAAGATACAGAGATGAGTATCTTGTCAGGGAAAGCTGCTCACGATGTCTTTGTGTATGGCAGTCTCCAGGAGCCCAAAGTCCTTTACGTGCTTCTTAATCGCGTCCCTGACCGTGTCTCCGCCATTCTATCCGGCTTGTGCGTCTCAATCTAACTCAATCGTTGTATTGATTTCAATCGTTTTTTGGATCCAATTGAGGTTGATTAGCGGCGATGATTGGATTTTTCAGTCACAGGTTTAGACTCAAAGGTCGTATTTATCCAACGATTCTACCGGACGGTACCAAACAAGTCACCGGAAAGGTTCATCAATTATCCCTTTTTCACATTCCTCATTTTGTATGTAGAGATGCTGGAAAAACGTTAAGGAGATTGTACTTTGTTTGGAAGAAGATGGTTTTTTTCCGAATAATCCCTGATTTTGAAGGAACTTTGCTGCTGTTTTTTGAAGGTGCTAAAGGGAATAACAGATGATGAACTGAAGTTGTTAGATGACTTTGAGGATGTTGAATATGACAGAAAGTCTGTTCAAGTGGTGCTTGCGGTAATTACTTCTTCATTTTCATCTCGGATTGGATTTTACAAGGTTTAATTTTTCCTTTTTGATGTTTTGTCATGTGCAGGATACTTCAGAGAAGATGCACGTAGGAACATATGTATGGAGGAACAAGGATGATCCGGATCTTTATGGAGAATGGGATTTCGAGGTTTACAAATCTGACATTATATATCTCCCTTGTCTTGTTTTTTTGTTTTAGAACCTAAAAGTTTGAACTTTTGGAACATGTTACAATTGTATATAGGAATGGAAACGACGTGACAGTGAAGATTTCATAACAGCGACCAAGAAATTTATGGAAGAGAGGAAATTACCAGAAGCGAAGACTAGGATCGACACTTTCAAAACATTCTTTAAGCAGGAGCATACCGAGAATGGGAAAGTTATAGATTCTTGATCATCTCCTGCATCATAATGAGGCCATTGCTTCACTTGAAATAAAAAGTTATAAGAAACAGAGACATGAATGTTATGAAGTCTTGTGATTTGTAATTTCATGACATGATCATGTAATCGGAAGATCTCTTATGATTTGTAATTTCTTTGCACTGTTTTCTTTCTTTCATTTGATTCGTGTGTTTTGGTTTGATTAATGATTATGGGCCCGTAATAGTCCATATTGAGCTAAATTTAAGCCCATTATGAACTAAATCTCTTGTTCGTCTACTGATGTGGATCGCTTGGCTGGCTTTTGGTCAAATGGATCACTGTCTATATTGTTTAATCCCTTAAGAAGTAAACCTTTTCAATCCTTGTTTCTCTGACTGTCTGTTAGCTCATAACGTTGAAGAACAATCTGTATTAAGAAAGCAGTAAACTATTATGATTCATGGACGTACACTACGTACTCACAACGGTTTTTAAGTTGTCCGAGGCATATGGTCTGCTCATGCTATATTTCCTGCTGGATCTTGCTGTCTTTTATAGAACCAGCAATATCCTCTAGTTGCTCGTATATAATCTCTAACTATTCACTATCTTTGAGATCAGGCTGAAGAGATAATTTAATAACACATGTATACTGTTGGGTGATTGCTTTAGATGGGTGTTAACTGTTAAGTCTCACGTTGCATATTTCATGTGACCTTTCCGTTTTATCAGATCTCAGCTGCTTTAAGCTTTGACTTTGACCATAGGTGAAGGGTGAGAGAGAGCATATCAGCATTCCATGAAAACCTCACTCTCTTTCTCTCTCTCTCTCTTGAATCTTGATTTGATTTAGGGAGGATACCAAGATCATTCCTTTTGATTTTGCCGTACTCATGTTTGGAGAAGAATCGTTAATTGCATGTGATTTCAATAATGAGAGGTACTTAGTTTAGAGAAAAAGGTGCCTGTGATGCTGTGACTTTGTTATAATATTCACTAATTAAGATTAAGATACTTAATATAGCATAAGTTCTAGTTGTTAAAAGCATAGGATGCTCTTAGGTTGTTAATCTAAATAGTATTAAAACCACAGTCCACTTGGTGATTAAAAAGTACAATGCCGTAGGTACTCATCTTTTGTACACTATTTTTAGTTGGTGTTAACTTCTCTATTAATTAGTTTATGTTAAATCTCTGATTACTTGGCATAACTGCAACATCAAGACACATGGGTAGTAGTTCCCGGAGAAAACGTAGATGCATAGACAAAAACATGAACCTTTTACGCTAAAACTGCCGTTTGAATAACACAGTGGTCAACTATAATTCAAGCGGACATCCAACTTTTAAAATGCCTGAATGCTCTGGCCACTGGAGCATACCGTACCATTGTGCCACCACTTCTTGCTTCATTTTTTCCAATAGAAATGGCATTCTTGAGCTGATGTGGGTTTGATTTCTACTTCTAGTTAAATGACAAATGCAGATGTTGAAAAAGGAAACTAAACCATGTTCTTGCTTTTCTTTAGATTCTGTGACTGGACATGACATTCTTAAACTACTCATGTGACAGATTTTCTCCTCCACATTCATTGTACTGATACAGTTATCTGCTGAGATGAAAGGTTGAGTTATTTCAACATACAATAACAGTGATCTAGAAAGCGGGGAGGTTGCAACTTGCGAACAAGGAGTTTGGATATTTTCTTCCTCAATTCATTTTAGGGAAAAGGAAAAAAAAAAAAAGAGAGTTTTTTCATTCTTTTTTCAATCTGTTTTAATGATCCGTTTGTACATTCCATTATTCAAAAATTTCTTTATCTATCATTCTTTTTCTCTTTGAATTTTCAGAGTACACAAGTCCAAATCCCCAAGGGAAAAAGTGGGAACATAGGGAAGAGGAAGAATAAATGATTCAAAGCAACAACAAGCAAATTATAATTAGAAACTATCTGCACATTGGGCTGTGAGGTTGATGAGATGGAGTCCGAGGGCAATCCGAAGGATGACGATAACTTATAACTTCCTCAGCCGTTGCATTGAACCTACACTCCTGAGTGGTTAGGTAGGCATCACTCTTGTTGTCCTCCATTATCTTAAGAATGCTCTCGAACACAGCAACTTCACAAGGAATCTTCAACACACCAGCTTGTTGAAACCCAAACTCTTCTTCTGCTTCACGCAACAGCACGTGGAAAGCTTGGTGGCTAAGGTAGTCCGTTGGTATCTTGTATCGCTTCTCCTCCTTCCCCACCGAGACAGCTAAGAAGCCTTTAGGAACAGCTGTTACATCTGTGAAGGATAGTGTCCTCTTCAGAAACTTGATGCTCTTACTTCCACTTCCACTTCCACTTCCACTCCCACTCCCATTTCTGCTGATGTTGTTGCTGTCCTCTTCGTTGTCAATCTTGTTGTCGTTGTTGTTGGCTTGTTTTGATGCGTGTGCTACTTTTCGCCATTTCTTGAGGATCTGTTGAAGCTTTACGATCTCTCTGATTTTGTTTGACTTTTTGGCTTCCATGGCAGAAACAGAAGAAGAAGAAGAAATGGCTCTGTTCTTTGTGTTTGTATCTCTATGTGTTGTGTAATGATGGAGGACATGGTGGTTTTTGGAGATTAGGGAGATATATAGAGATGGTGATGGCATTTTGGAATCTTGTTTTAATTATTTTATAGATTAATTTTGAAATTAAATGTTTAAAGTATTAGACTAATCATATGATTGGTTTTCATAATGCCCCACTTGAAAACCTCTGCATGTTGTTTGACCTTCTCTCAACTTAATTCGTTTATTAAGGCCATGTTTGTTTATGCGTTTAAGATTTATTACCATTTAATCTTCATATTGAACCCATGATCACTGTTTATTTTATAGATCCAATTTACTGTAGAATTTATTTTTGGACAACAACAGAAGTATTGAACCCATGATATTTAATTTGTTTCAACCACGCAAGATACAATTAATGGTGTATTTTCCATCAATTTGCAAAAACAACATACTACTGATTTCAAAGTGATTAAAAAAAAAATCATTAATTGTTGTTAGAATGTAGAAAAATAAAAATAAATACAGGGGGAAATTGATATGCAAAAAAGAAATGTAACTTGGAACGTAAGAAACTGAGAAGTGGTATTTGTTGTGGTGACAAGAGAGTAGAGAGAGAAGAGAAAAGAAACAATGAAACATGGGTAAGGCTTCAGTTCCCAAAGCAAACGGCTTCGCAGTTTAACAGTTCTGTTCCCGGGAATCTAACGATTGGATCTCCTCTCTCTTTTGCTTTTCTAGAAACGTACTTGTACTATTTAACTTTATATACTCCATTTTAAAGCTCAAGATCACTAACGACAAACAACAAAAAAGAGAATACTGTAATACTTTATTTTTGACCGACGCATTTCAGAAGCCTATTCGAAACATAGAGGGCCGTGCCGGTAAAGGTCTTCTATTTCCACGTCACTAATGCGGTTTCGGGTTTTAAGTTTTTAACTGCACCTCCCCATGTGAACTTCTTTACCTTTCTCATTTTAAAGTGATTTTTTATTTTCTCCAGATCCGATCATTTTATAATGTTTCAATTCTTCTTGCTACAGGCTCAAGTAAAATAGCTTTCTAAGTAAATTAACAAAATATCAAGAAAGAAATTTGGGAAAAAAAATAATCATCTATGAGCAAATAATGATTGGTTTCAACGACTAAATCATATTTTTTCAATCGTATTAAATATATGTTCAGTTTCTTATGATACCAACAACCAAGTCGGTTTGTTAGCAAATTAACAACAAAGTCGGCTTAATATTACGTAAAATACATGATAAAAAGTTGACGCCGAATTTATTTGTTATTAAAAGAAAGTTATCGTTAATTCCTTCTTCAATATTATAGCATTCATAGTTTTCTGACTGGCTATCGTTGCATGTGCTGGTAATAAACTAGCGGGAAAGCAATGAATATATCAGCAACGATTACGCAAAAAGCATAAAACATTGTACAAAATTATATACTGTTATCAGCTTATTATATTGTTTTTAACAAGTGAGTTTAATTTAGACTACATCTTATAATTGGGGTGGGAGGGGGGGGGGAAACCTAATATAATAGAAACCCAAAACATATAAATTTTATGTAAAAACTTAAAAATGTGTGTATAAGATTTAATTAACCGGTAGGTCAACTACTTGTCTACCGGTTTTTGTCTACCAATTTGATCCCCATCGCAACTGCTTACTGCTATCCACGAGACCATTAGGCCACCAATCCACCATTTACTTTTATATTAAACAAATAACCTCTAAATGATTCATACGTAGTGGCCCGTACGACATGGCCTTTATCATACATACTTCACGTTCTTATTATTTTGTACGCATTAGTGAATTAATTTTAGTTATTTATTCTGAAAATTTAGTTACTCCAAGTTCAAATGATTAACTTCGTCCGTCGAGAAAAACTATCAAAAAGTTCTATTTTTGGTGGTTAGTAGATTTTTAATTCCGTACACTGTTCAAGATTTTTAATGTTTTTTATAAAAATGGAAATTTGATGTTAAGTTGTTAAGTAGTACTAGCTAGTAACCACCATGAAGAAACAAACATAAATGATTGCACCGTATGAATAATTGAGAAAATGTAATTAAAATTGGAAAGGACTAGCTGGCTTATATTTCCTGATCTCTCTACGTGCCACAAATCAATAATGATTTTCATGATTGTTATTAGTTTTAGATGATTATTTGAAAATAACATATAAAATCTGTTTATTATATGATACACAAATATAGACTCGCTTTTTGTTTAATCTGATTCTGCATTTGCATCTACTTGATCTGATTTCCAATGTCGTCATTATTTGATTTGCTGTTTTTACAAAATGGATAGATGTACAATAATTAAGTTAGCCAGAATAACAATGGGTGTATAACAACATCTCATCGGCGTAGACCGTCCATTCATATAAAAACCCATACACGCCTAGTTTCGCAACTCTCAAACCCAAATCATCTTGTAATTTATATTGGGCCAATAATATCTTGAGATCAACATACACTTCTTTGATAAAATTTAAAAATTATGGAAGAGGATAGCTCAAATGGTACTACATCAAATAGCCTACAAGTATCTCGACAGGTATCAATGAATTTGTTTGGTTTTCCAATAACCGTTGGTTTGATTTTTATTTTCATACAAAGGATTCAGTGAGAGTACTGTATCGATATATACTTTACTCGATTTTGATGCTTAAAGGTGTTTCAAAAGAAAAAGAAAAGTCCAACGAGTTTCAACTTCTGATTTTTGTTGTATGTTCCTTTTGATAGTTTCTATTCTTCATTTTCGTTTTCTTTAAAAAATGAAGTCGCCCAAGAAATTAATTCTTACGCAAAATTAAGCATCACTTTCTAAATTGGATTCCACAGATGAGAGCATGCATATATCTTTATTCCATAATGCGGGAAACAGGATTTCGAACACCAACCGACCAATGCGCCTATACATGATGTCGGATCTATGGCGAATGACTAAGCTAAAGAACACTGACATTCAAAGCCACAAATCAGTAAGTCGATCTCCAAGCCACTAAAAAGCTATGCAATTGATAACATTAATAGCTTGTGTGTTTCTAGAGTGTTTCATTGAATTGTAAGACATAGTGTCGGTATTGAATTAGGTCATTAACACTGAAACACTACGATACTTCGAACAATAAAGTCCAATTAATAACTGAAGAACAACAGCCAACAAACTAGGCTATTCAAATAATTGTAATCCTCAATATTTAATCCAATATATTGTTCGATGATTGATTCAGCTTTTAAAGTTTCCTTTAGTGTTAACCAATGAGAATATAAAGAAGGAGCAATATAAAGTTTGGATTACGTACAAAAGACGCAATATACGAACCAAGCCTCACTTCCCGTCCAAGAACGTCGCGACCAAAAGCTTGACTCTCTTAAACAATTATTGTCTTTTTGTTTTACCCTTTTATAAATTTTGAATTGATTCTTCAGATATAGCAACAAAAGATTCAAAGAACTAGTTGATCTTCTACATCATAAATGTTGAATCCGAGATAGCACTCGTCAAGACGGGCTATCAAAGATGTGAGTTTAGGAAACTGGAGCGCTGAATTCGACTCTTAGATTATTAAGAAGATTACAAGAGGATTAATCTCGCTAACAAGCCTAGCGAGATCGTGATGGTGAACAAGACAAGGGAAATAAAGTTAGTATGAAGGCCTAATGATTCTAGGTGATTTCGGATCATTCTGGATCCCTTTCCCCATGGGAAGGGTCTTCAATATATAGTGCTCATGTCATGGTCGAATGATGAAGGTTTTCCTTCCGGCAAGATGGAAAACTTCCTCTTTTCCGATATGGAAAACTTCCTCTTGTTTTTGGATTCTCTTCTATTTTTCAAGTCGGCGCAAAAATTTATTTACTTTTCTTCATGGATTATGCCTTCTTCTTCAAGCCTTGCCTTTTTCTTAAAGAAGTTAGGTCTAAAATCGGATTGGGCTTTATGATTTTACTAATGATGACGGGCTCAGGGAAATATGCTAATTTCTCCTCTAACAATAAATTCTCCGCAATAGAATTCGAACCATCAAGTCACCATGCATAAATTTAAAACTAAACCAAATTCGAACCGAGTCATTAAAATGATTAAGCTGACCTTTTCAGTTAAACCGGAACAAACCGTGTTTTTCAGTTTATTTTCTTGGACACGTATGCGTAGTTACTTTATTACCGGAGTGTGTAGCGTATATCATACGTTTTCTCCATTTTTCAGCTTGATATACAACTACGCAAGATGTCTAAAAAGTTTAGATTAATTACGGGATTATGTTGTTACTCGTCTCTCTGTAGCTAGATCCTCCAGAAAGGAAAGTCCACAATAACAGAAGTAGAAATAAGTAAGATGATGACAATTGCAAAAGTAATAGTTAGGATTCCTGCGTGTTGTAAGATAAGTGGGTGAGATTAACACACCAAAATCAAATGAGAAAGACTTGAAATGGTTAAAGATCCGCCTGATGTGTCTTCTCTTATCTCATATGATATGGCCTGTTGGTCCTCATCATACTATCTGTTTATGGTCCTCGTCAGATTTCACTCAATTTTCTTTTTTAGGAATCATGCAATACTAATTATTGGATTACGCTATGTGTCCGGTTCTCATTGATCAATTTTATAGTATAAAATAAATTGTAAAGATATGTTGTTATTTATAATAAAATAAATATAAATGATGTAATGTGAAGTTGTGTTAGAGAATAATTATCTGTAAACAGAGAAAAACAAATCATTTTTTGAATTTTGATGGCTAACTGGCTATTGATTGGTGTGATATGTTGGTTGTATTGGGGGGGAGTATAATGTTTTCTTTTCTTATTTCAGTTATTAATCAGATAGATATGCGATATTCTGATGGACCAAAACATCTCAAACATATGCCTATATATTAAAAGAAATAATTAACTTACGAATAAATGAGTTTAAGTAACATTATAGTGTTGGCTGATTTGGGGTTTTTTTCCTGTTCAATAACCCTTTACATTTTACGTTCGAACACTAATAAATAAATAATGATCAGTTTAACCAACCAAAATTTTTTTTAAAGAAAGCCCCATTGTATTTGTCGGATTCACCAGATATTAGGAAAGTAAATCAGACTTTGATGTTCAAGGCTTTAATAATGTAGTACGACAAAAATAAAATGTCGATATATAATACGACTTTGCTTTTCAAGGCTTTAATATACGTACGTGTCGGTGTGCATGTATTAGCGTATACAGACATACACATACTACAACATATCCTCTCAATAAAATCAAGATAAACAAGTCTATATATGTATGCTGGAATAAACGCAAATGTTTAAAACCGAGTCTAATACAAATAGTACGTGCTTTCAGTGCTATCCATACTTGTGAAGAAATCAAATTGAAAAGTATGGAATGGACAGTTGATATAGTACGTATGCTCTGTCACAAAATAAACCAGGTTATCTCTGTTTCAAATGATTCGGACTTGTTAGCATACGATAGAGAGACCGCAAGCTTACTGCCATGCCAGTCATCTTTTAAATATCAATCCATGAAGTTGAATAATTTTTATTTTAAAGTTATAAAGGCTAGAGAGTTAAACCAACGGTTTCAAACAAAGGAACGTACGTTTCTAATCGCCAAAATATTACTACGAAAAACCGATGGCAGTCTACATGTAGCCCGAGTGTCAAACTGTCAATGTGTCATCTATTGATGGTTACATGATTTCTTTGCTGGTGAATTGTTTTCCTCTTCTGTCTGATCTCTCTTTGCTCCTCCTTTTGTTGTTTCAGTTTTTCTGATCATTTTTTTCCGGGACATATAGGTGTCTGTATAGGAGAGTACCTACTAGCTAGTCGATCGTTTACTTTCTGTTTGAATTGTGTAATCAGATCCTATTACCTCTATAAATATTTAGATGACAAAAACAAATAAAGACTTGTAGTTTGGGTTACTTATCGTAAAATCGACTTTCAATAAAGAAATTTCGTTTTCGATTACAAAGAAAAAACGGAGCATAACCTTTACTTGACGGCTACAAATACGTGATTAATAGGCCTTTGCTCAAAATTTATGACTAAAAAGCATGACAAACGAAAAAGGAATGATAGAAGAATAGAAATCAAAAGCGTGCAAGAATTATAAATATTATGATGGACTCCAACTATAGATCACTTGTTGACAAAGATGAAAAAAAAGAGAGAGATCACTTTGGAAACTAACAATGGCGAACAAAAGGACAAAATATGCCACGGCATCCCTCTCCCTCCACCACACTCCACACGTGCCTAATGCGTTTTCCTCTAGTTTTTTTTTTGTTCTGAATAATAATTTCCTCTAAATTTTTTATTTTCATTTCTTAATTTTTATCATCAGTTTTCTTATAAATAGGGTCTTTTTCTTCTCCAAACCAGTAAGTCATATTCATAAAGCGGCGTCCCAAAACAAAGGAAAAAGATATTGAAATTTGATAAGTTTTGAACAAGAAATGGAATGGAGGGAGTGCTATCTTGATGTGATTTTGGTGCCGTTAGGGCTAATGGCGTATGCAGCTTATCATGTTTACTTGTGGCACAAGTTACGTACAGAGCCTCTTACCACCATCATCGGCACTAACGCTAGAGCTCGCCGTTTCTGGGTCGCTTCCATCATCAAGGTACGTAACCTCCTAAATTTCTTATATATACATCTAAACATAAACATATGATGTGTTTGCTTTATCAGGACAACGAGAAGAAGAACATTTTGGCTGTTCAGACGCTGAGAAACTGCATAATGGGCTCGACTTTAATGGCAACAACATCAATCCTCCTATCAGCGGGCCTAGCTGCAGTTATAAGCAGCACATACGCAGTGAAGAAGCCTCTAAACGACGCTGTTTATGGAGCTCACGGAGAGTTCATGGTGGCTCTCAAGTATGTCACAATCCTCACCATCTTCCTCTTCTCCTTCTTCTCTCACTCCCTCTCGATTAGATTCATCAATCAAGTCAACATACTCATCAACACACCTTTTCCTCCTGAGGATCTGGAGGAGGAGATGATGATGACGCCGGAGGATTACGTGGCGGAGTTGCTGGAGAGAGGGTTTGTTCTGAATACGGTGGGGAATCGGCTGTTCTACGCGGCGTTGCCTTTGATGCTTTGGATATTTGGACCGATTCTTGTCTTCTTGTGTTCGGTCGTGATGGTTCCTCTTCTTTATAACCTCGATTTCTTCTTCTTCGGTAAAGAAAGAAGAAAAATCGATAGAAAATTTAGTTTTGGCTCTGTGTAGATATCAAATGATTTTTAGTTAATTAAGTGGTTATCGTCCTAAGGCCAGGACTAGTTACATGGTGGTTGCAAATTCCTATGACTAGTTCAGGTTCCGTAGTATAGTATAATTATCACATATTGACTAGGGTTTGTTGAGCAATGAGCGCGTAGATGATGAAAGAGTATGAGTATGTACATGAGAAGTATAAGATATTATATTTGAAGTATGTGTGTTGTGTGGTTTTAATGTGTGACGTACGTTTTGCTTTTGTGAGCGTTATAACTGGCATTTCCATGTGGGTGGCTTTATAACGTATACGCGTATGAAAATGTACGTTGTTTTCTGTTTGTGTTTATAATTCACGTGCCATACGTAGTCAAGCAAGAAACGAGCCAAAAAAATGTGACGTACATATTTATTCCGTGCACTAGTATCTCTCTTGCTTTTGTGGTGGTATGAAATCAGAATGTTTAAAACAAAGCGGATACTGTTTCCCACTACACCAATTTGCAGTGTTATTTCCGCGCCTTAAATTCGAATAGCCATTAATTTGAAACCAATAATATGATAGTATTTGATATCTACTTAACCACAAAACAGTCATAATTGAACAGTGGCTATAGTTAGCTACGAGAATGCTATGAAACAATGATGGCTAAATTGTCGGTTGGTAGTATATAGGAGCTTTATTAATAGCAGCTGAAATTCAACTGATAGTTTTTTTTTATACCTACTCATAATTTGGCCACATATATATGCCTCAGCCATTAATTAGCCAAAAGAGTAATGTCTATATGATCAAAGAAAATGTTGAGAAAAATATTCGTTAGAAAATGTAAAAAGAACGACTAAAAAAAAAGAGCCAAACCGTGGATTATCAAACCAGGAATGTACCGAGTTTGAATTTCCAAACCGAAGAGTAACATTGAACCAATCGAACCGAACAAAAGAAACCGAAATTTTTATTTCTTTTTGCGGGAAACCGAATTTAGCTAAACTTTTGCCATGTGTTTTAAATGGTTTTACAAAATAGGATCGAAATACCCGCATAAGCCCTAACTTTGGTTTATCGGTCCTCCCAGTTCTCGCCGTCTCTGATTACTCACAGAGTCGCCGTTGGAACTAGTTGGAAGCTTCTTTCTACTGTCAGAATTAGCTATGGAGAACATTCTAGCTACGGCTGAGAAAAATGTAGGTCTCTTTCCTTAATATCTACATTGGTAGGATTTCTTGCTTGATCCGAGGCTAATTTTCAAAATTTCGGGTGGGATTTAGGTGCTGGTAGACCTGGTGAAAATAATGCAGAAGCGAGGATTAGAAGGACAAAAAGGAGGATGGAAAGATTTTCTAAATGTTTACGACAAGCAGGCAGGATCGAGCTTGAGTGATCCTTCGAGGCGGTCCAAAGATGTCTTGGTTGCTTTTCTTTCGACACTCAACAAGAAACAAGATTTGCAGGTCGTGAACAGAAACATACACACACACACACAGTAGTTGTTTTATTATTTAATCTTACTTAAAAATATTTAGTTATGTTTTTTTTTATATACTCAGCTACTGGCTAGGGTTCTGAAACCCAACCCTTATCTTGCTGAGGAATTCAAACAGGATTCTCTAGATGAGACTGCTGAAGAGGTGAGAGGTTAACATTTTTATTGACTAGACATAAGTTTTGGTTGTGTTCTGTAATGCAATGAGTTTAAAACATGAATTGTATTGGCAGTGCAGAGGCTAGTTAGAATGACTATGACGCATGATGAGTACTTTTTAGATTATTTGTTCCCATCTAATGCTGAGGTTCGTATGTTTTCATCCAATATATTACATTTATCCTTTATATGGGAAATGGACAAGCTAATTATAAAATCTTAAGCTTTTGAATTGCACAAAAACAGGATTGGTTGGTAACGGGTATTGGAAAGAAGAAGTCACAAGCCATGAAATCGACCAAAATCGAAATGGTTGCTATTGATTGTGAGATGGTTCTTTGTGAAAATGGGAGTGAAGCTGTTGTTAGAGTTGCTGCTGTTGACCGTGATTTAAAGGTTTTTTTAGCTCTTTATTATTAGTGATCAGCCTTTCTAGACAAAACTGGACATGTTGTGTTTTAACTTTATAAATAATGAATCAGGTGATTATTAACGAATTTGTGAAACCAGATCAACCAGTTGTTGACTATAGGACTGATATTACCGGACTTACAGCTGAGGATCTCGAAAATGCTACTACTTTACCTCTCGTAGATATTCAGGTACATTTAATACATCATAAGTACTATAAAGTTTTGTGTGTGTGGAGGTTTCAACATATTGTCCTGATTCCATCTAAATGAATAACTTTCCATGAAAAAATGCAAATGTTTTTGTCTGAGGATACTATTTTGGTAGGTCAAAGTTTGAACAATGATTTGAAAGGTAACTAAAAAGTGGTTGAATTTCTCCTAATGATCTCTCTTAAGTCCCTGGTTTCTTGACGGTTTACTTTGATTGCTCTCAGTACTAAAGATAGATCATGCAAGAGTAATCGATACTTCTCTAGTATTTAAGTATGAGTATCCCGGTGCAAGAACGCCTCGAAAACTTCAAAGACCTTCTTTGAATTATTTGTGCAAGGTAAGCCTTAATTTCTCTGCTCTTGATGAGATAAAATCCAAATATGTAAATGACATTGTTTTAATTTTATTTTTGGCCAAGTCTGTATTGGGATATGCGGTGCAGAAAGACGGTGTACCTCACAATTGTGTCGATGACGCAGCAGCTGCTATGAAACTTGTACTTGCTATAGTAGAGAAAGGAGTAGAAACCTCCATTCCAGTTACTAAAGAGGTAAGGCTGCTTACTTACAAAATTTTAAAAGTTCCATCAAAAGATATTAAAAGATAAGTACGTTTAATCAACATAGATATTGGAAAGTGAGAAGTCGAGGCTATACCTTCATAGAATCCCTCACAGTGTTCCATCTGAAGAGTTGATTGAAGTTATTTCCAGAGATTTCACTCCCAAAGTTAAGGTATGGTGGATCACCTCTAACATGTGTATCTTGAGATCATAATCTCATCATCTCATTTTTCGTTTCTTTTTTTTTCACGAGAATTTGTTGTTTGTTGTTTTTTGTTTTTTGATTTTGGAAGCTGTCGAAAAGACAAGGAAGTAGCTATTATAGTGCGATTGCTGTTTTTAATAGTCCAGCAGAAGCAAATCAAGCTTTTGAAAACATTACTGGAGACTTGGGAAAGGTATTTTTATCACTACATCTCTAGTATTAATTTCGTGATATAGATTTGAGTGATATATATTATAAGCTCCACGCATTTTTTATTTTCTTTTACAGGATTCAGCGGGATTGCCGCAAAAACAGGTTTTTCTAGAGGCAAACTCTGGCTCAGGAACTGGATTATATTTCCACGTGCGTAAATTGGTTGAAGGTGATTCTGTTGAGGAAGTCTCTGCAACAAAGAGAAGTTATCCAGACGATAAGAAGACGAGTTGTAAGAGACAGAAGAGAGAGTGTGATACTGAGTTAGAGACCAGAGAAGCAGATGCTGGAGAAGAGAAGACAGAGGAGAAAACAGAGAAGCTACGTGAAGATGATGATATGATAAAGGAAATTGAAGAATTGAAGCAGAAACTCAAAGAGAAAGATGAGATGATTGATTACCTAAAAATGAAACTAAGGAAGAAGAAGAAGAAGTCTCGGTAATTATTTAACCATGACCATTATGTGTGGAAGTTCGTTTCACTGTTTTGTGTTTGATCATAATCACGATGCATCTGATTTTTGTAGCTTGAAATCAATGCACTATTGGGTTAAGGAAAAATACTTTTGATGCCATTACTTCTGTCCAGCTGAGCTGGCATTGTTCATGTATTTTACTCTTATTGATTCGTAGCTAATTGTTATTGGTACTTTCAAGAGAGACCAGACACATCTCTGAAGATCCAGCGGTACATACTGTCGTGAATCTTAATTCAATAATTTCCCGTAATTCTAAAGTTTTTTTTTCTATCTCAAAAAAAAAAATAATAAATTAAGGGCAAGTCGTGTTGGATCAAACGTAATATTATTAGCGTGTGGTGTTGTTGCTTAGAGGATAAAAACAAAGATTCTTAGCTAAGGGCATGTCTATCCGGGGATCTAAACAAGGTTTTAAAGAAAATAGATAATTAAAATAAATATTTAATCTACAAATAAACTAAATCTGAGTCTACTGTAAGCCTCGTTTGCTTATTTTAGAACCAGACACGCGTCAACCTTAAGTTAAAAGATGATTTCAGGGAAAAAAATAACAATAAAAAATCAGACATTTCTTGCTTTCTCTCTCTCTTCCTCTCTCTCTCTCGACTCTCCACCGGCGTGACAAATTCGACATTCGAATCCACGATCCGTTGATCGGATTTGGTCCGATCTATTCTCGGGAAGGTGTCTCTTTCTCCGTTCGAGTATCTAAGTCTTCCGATTCACATCTCTTCAGTTCACACCTCTTCCGATTCACATCTCTTCAGATTCACACCTCTTCCGATTCACACCTCTTCTGATTTCATGCCGTCGACGGACTGAGAAAGACGGTGGCTTCCTGTATGTTTGGCATCCCTCTCAAGGCCGGTCGGAAAAGGAAAGTATATGTCTTGTCTCTTCTCTTATAAATGGTTTTTGCATGTTTGTGATTTCGTTTTTTCATGTTTGTGATTTGGTTTCTTGAGACTTTGAATTGAAAATCCATGCAATTGATTGTGTTTTTGAAGCCCTTTACACTTTGAATATAGAACTTCTGCAAAATCCCCTGAAAAATGATTTGTGTTTTGATTTCATTGTGTTTGGTTGAGATTGTTCTTGGGTTATGTTATTTCGATTTGTGAATATGCAGAGACTGAGAAGCTTATTTATTTGTGATTCCAATTTATGAATATGCAATTGATTGTTTATTTGTACCCTTGAGGTCACCAAATTTTCATATGATTCATTTCATTCATCGTGTTTCTGTAATTGTTTCTGAAAGTTTCAATTGTTCTTTTTGCTTGTGCTCAATTTTAAGTTATTCGTTTGATCTAATAAGTATAGGTTTTTTTTTCATGGTTTCAATTGTTCATTTTTTTTATGTGTCCGAAATTAGATATTTGGTTCACATCTAAAATAATTTGTAACTTGCTGTTTGGTTCGGCTGGTAGTGTTCTCTCATATCTTAATTGTTCTCTCTATATTATGGTGATAAGATATGTGTTAGTTGTATGTCATTTATGGTGGTGTTAGTTGAGAGCATATTGATGTGTGTTGAAAATCTAACTTATGGATATGTTATTTAATGATGTGATATTGCTTTTGATTTCATTGGCTATTTGCTTTAATTATCAATCTCTGAAATCGTAGCTAGTCATAATTTTAAAAGTTTCTTGATGTTTTTCTTTTCAAGGTGAATCATGGAATTGTGACATCAACTAGAGCAACGTATTCGGCTGAGGATGTGATGGCGGGTGTTGGGACTAGATCAAAGTATTAACTCCTTTTACATTCAGGTACTTCTCTCTCATTGTCTCTATCTTCTGCAACGTCCCTTGTAATTGAATGTTGTTGTGTGTTTACATTTTGATTCCTTTTTGGTTTCATTGCTTGGTTAGAGTTCTCTATGTCTGAAAAAAAATGTTTAGTTTTCTTTTGGTTGCTAACTAGATCTTTAGATTAGTTTCTCTGTGATATTGCTATGTACCGTTTAATTCCACTTGAAACATACATTCTCTGTAGATTAGTTTCTTTTTGATAAAGCATTCTTATTGCTCTACCTTTAATGCGATTAGATAAGTGTTAGTTGTATGTCATTGATGAGTGGTGTAACTATTAGAGATTAGATGTTGGGTAATGGTGTGTGCGCCTTGAGTTACGTTTTAAGTAGGTGTAGAAGCTTAAAAACATTGAATGCTTAAAACACAAACCAACGTTCATATTTTCTATATAATCAAGAGGCTTGATCTTTTCGAAAACACACCATTTACCATCTCTAGCCCTAAGCTTGTTTTCTTTCCATATCAGTTTCCAGTTGTTTTCGTTTCCTTTTACTTTTCCTTTTCCTTCTCCTTCATTTGGAAATGGATTCATATACACTTGGTAACAGCCGCAGCTATCTTGAGCTTTTACAAAGACAGCAAGAGAGTTTCCACCCAGTAGGATCATCCGCCATCCCACCTTTCTTTCAACCGCTTGATGATCCACTCACAGAAGAAGAGTCACCTGTTGAGCGCAAAGTAAGGAGAAAGTGGACTCAGCCAGAAGACGTTGTTTTAATTAGCGCCTGGCTACACACCAGCAAAGATCCTTTAAGGGCAAATCAGCAGAAGGCTGGAACTTTTTGGAAACGTATCACTGAATTCTTTAACTCAAGCCCTACGCTTGATGGCCTTCAACCGCGAGCTCCTACTCATTGTAAGCAGAGGTGGCAGAAGATGAACAATCTTGTTTGCAAGTTTGTCGGGGCTTATGATGCGGCAATGAAGCAGACATCCAGTGGTCAAAACGACAACGACACTTTGTTCATGGCTCACCAGATCTTCTACAACGATTACAAGTTCAACTTCAACCTTGAGTATGCATGGACGAAGCTTCGACATGACCAGAAATGGTTGTCTATGTTTATAACCGAAACTGGTGGAAGCTCAAAGAGAAGCAGGGGTGAGGCTGCACGTGAAGAAGGAGATGCAGATGAAGCTAGGGCTCGGCCTATGGGAGTCAAAGCAGCAAAAGCAAAAGCTAAGAAGGGCACAAGGGAAAGTGAACCCATTTCCGCTGAGAAATACGAGAGCATGTCCGCAGATAGGAAGCATGACTTAGCCGTGAGGGAAAGGCTGTCGAAGCAGGCAGTTCTAGATAGTCTGCTAGCTAAAAAGGAACCACTTACTGAGAAAGAGATTGCTCTGAAGGACAAGCTACTCGATTTCATGCTGTTAGATTAGCTTCTATGTGTTTTCTAGGATCTAAATATGTTTGAATTAAGTTCGGCTTCTATGTTTTCCATGTTCTCTTAACTTAAGTTTGGTTTTCCATGTCTTAAGTTAGTTTTCAGATTAGAGAATCATTTACCCTTTGTAATTTGTCTTTCCTTTCCTCGGATAATAAGTATTTTCTGATTTTCATGTGTTTGGTACCAGCTAATGATATAAACATATTTATTCTGCTTTTAACATAAACAAACATATTTATCCTCGGATAATAAGTGTTTTCTGATTCTCATGGGTTTGTTTCATTGCTTGGTTTTGATTTTGCAAGTGATTAACATCATACTTGTTTCATGTTCAACGAGATACACATGTTCAAGAAGATACACATAAAGATGGATTTGATATGGTTTTGTCTCTCAGGTTTGTTGTTAACTTATCTCTGGTTTTTTCTTTGGATTGGTTCTGTTGCTTGTTCTTGATTTTGTTGCTTGTTCTTCTTTTCCAGAATCAATGTTTAGGTGATATGCAATTCATTGGTCATTATCTAACACTTTTAAAATCTTCATTGGTCATTAGATTGCTGAAGAAAGGAATAAATTAGCTTTGTGGTTAATCTATATGGGTGATGGAACGTGAGTGCAAGAGACAAAACTTACTCACGTGAAGAAAGGAGTCAAACGCATCAGACAAAGCTTGTACTCACGGGAAGGCTGAAGGAGGAGACAAAGGTCAAGGACAAAGCTTCACGTGCTTTGTTTTCTTCTTTACTCTGTTTGCTCACATGAGCTTTCTTCTGTTGTTGTTTTTGTGTTCTTGCTTTCCAAATTTGCTATATATTGAAGTGTTCGTTGTTCATTGAAAACCAACGAGAATAACATAACATTTCTCTTTTCTTGTTCTTGTTCCATGTTCAGATTTCTATTGTTTCTTGTTCCTTGTTCAAATTTCTATTGTTTCTTGTTCCGAGAACAACAAAAATAAACTTATCTTCTCTTGTTCCTTGTTCATGCAAAACCAAATTAACAAACCCCTTCAAGTTTCCCTTCTCTGCAAATCCAAACTACTTTAAAAAAACCCCAAGTCTCTAGTAAACACCAAGATTATGGGTTCTTCTTCAAATCATCACTTCTCTATTCATGATCACCATGATCCGTATGACCAAGAATCTGACCAAGCATGGGATCAAGTCTTTGAGCAAGCTACCCGTGAGTATGGTCGGCCTAGAAAAGAGAAGAAAAAGAAGCAATATATAGAAAGAAACCGTGAGGAAGGCCAGGAACGCTTATTCAATGATTATTTCGCCGAAGATGCCACATACCCGGCGCATATGTTCCGTCGCCGTTTCAGAATGAACAAATCCTTGTTCCTGAAAATAGTTGATCGACTCTCCACTCAAACTACATTCTTTTCAACACGACCGGATGGTTTGGGAAGGAGTAGTTTAACAGGACTACAAAAGTGCACAGCAGCTATCCGTATGTTGGCTTATGGTTGTGCGGCTGACAAGAATGACGAATACCTTCGGATCGCTCAAACTACTACACTCTTATGTGTAGAAAATTTTGTGGATGAAATCATATCTTTGTACGGGAAAGACTATCTAAGAAGACCCACAAAAATGATCTTAAACGGCTACTTGACGTTGGAGAGGCACGTGGATTTCCCGGAATGATAGGGAGCATCGACTGTATGCATTGGGAGTGGAAGAATTGCCCAGCTCCTTGGGCAGGACAATATACGCGTGGCTCTGCAAAACCAACAATTGTTTTAGAGGCCGTAGCTTCACATGATCTTTGGATTTGGCATGCGTTTTTTGGATGCCCAGGTACCTTAAACGACATCAATGTTCTTGATCGTTCACCCGTTTTTGATGATATTTTACAAGGGCGAGCTCCACCAGTGAGTTACTATGTCAATGGACGAAAATATAAGTTGGCTTACTATCTCACAGATGGTATTTATCCTAAATGGGCAACTTTTATGCCAACAATTAAAGATCCACCTGATCCCAAATCATCGTTATATGCTGCGTTTCAAGAACATTATCGGAAAGATGTTGAACGAGCTTTTGGAGTCTTGCAAGCTCGATTTGCCATCGTGAAGAACCCGGCTCTTTTTTGGGATAAGGAAAAGGTTGGAAAAATTATGAGAGCATGTATCATACTGCATAATATGATAGTTGAAGACGAACGGATGGATACACTCTTATCAATGTATCTGAATTCGAGCAAGGAGGAGGAAGCACTTCACAAGTGGATAATCCGATCTTTACGGATATGGATACAACTCTAGATGTCGACAGTATGATGGCCAATCGAAATCAAATTCGTGATTTAATAAAACACGAACAATTGAAAGCGGATTTGATTGAGCATGTATGGCATAAACATCACCCGAATGCTAACTAGTTCTTCTTTGTATGTCTTTCTATGTTTGATTTCTAAAATTTTAATTAAATATGTTGTATGTCTTTGTATGTTTTAAAAATTATTAAATGTACTATATTTTATGTTTTTATATATTATGATTTTTTTTTTTAAGAACCAAATTAAAAGTTTTAGGGATGAAGGAAGAAAAAAGTTTAAAACCCACACAAAGTTTGTTAGCATTGAATCGTGTGAAAAATATTTATAAAAAATGATTTAGAACCCAAAACATGGTTTTAGGGATGGAGATGACCTTAGGCAATGTAATAAATTGTCATTTCGTATGAAATTGGAAAACTTAGAAAAGTAGTTGCTTGATCTAACGAGAAACTAATTGGCACTGCTGGACCATACATGGTGGTGTGCATTGATTGATAATGCACATCTTATACATAATAGATTACTAGTCTATGAAGAATCTTGTAAAGGCTGGAAAATGGTTTTATTAGAAGACAAACATCATTTAAACCTCAATCTGCCTTTGCCTAACAGCATAACCAAAGAACTATTGCTTTGATCATACGATTCTTAAGGCATATCAATCGAGCTTAGACAGAGCAATTCGCAACCACATGCACCATTTTTCAATATGTACTCAATAACACGATATCATCACGTTGATTTGCTAGCTTGTTACGTTTATTTCATTCTTCCTTCTGTTATTCAAAACTAATTAAACAAGACTGCCAGAATGTAGCTTCATTGATCAAATTATACACTTGTTTTGTAGTAATATTATTTATCATGCTTATTGTGGGTTACTGGGTTATGTTTCTTTGATCAACAATATTATCATGAATTAAGGCTATTTTAAAGCATGATAATTATTTGATCATAAAATCACTGAAATTGCAATCTGCATATATTTACGAGTCTGAATCCAATTTTGTGAATTTCTATATATCAAAGCATTTGAATTAGGTTGTGGAAAGGTAAACCCTTGACCCAAAAAAGAAAATATCATTTGAGATCTGTGTGATAAGAAATTAAGAATACATCGACCGGTAAATGGTTGTCACATCTTACAAAGAAAATTGTTAAAAAAACAAAGAATAGTCAAAAGACTCAAAACCATTGGATGTCCGCCCACGTCACTAGTGTAAGAACATAAGAAGGTAGATCTGATGGATGCCACATGTCGGTCACGACTCACGACATGCCCACGAAGCCCATTAACCTCACGTTGTAAGTAAAGTTACACAAATCCTTCTTTTATCGTCTTCTTGTCTTCTTTCTCTTTGGCACGCTGTTTCTCATTTTCCTAACAACAAAAGTGAAAAAGAAATTCTACGGTCCATGGTCAAAAAAACACCTTCATAAATATATATCTCAGACAGAGAGACAGACAGAGAAATCGTGAGAGCGAGAGAGAGAGAGGAAACGTTTGTTTCTCTTGGTTTTGTTTGGAATCTCCGTCCCTTTTGTGGTGAATCTAAAGACATGTCGGCCGCGAAGATCGTGGCTTTGCTACTTGTGATTGCTTTGGTTTTCACCACCACTGTCTTCGCCGATGACTCGGAGATTGGTGACTCCGCCGGATCCGACGGCTCCTCTAAGATCCAACTGGATCAGCTTCACGCCAAGATCCGTGCCCTAGGTTAGTTAGCAAGTTGCATTGCTCAGACTCTTCCCTCCAAATTCAATAACTGCAACTTCTGAATTTGATTTTGATTTTTACTTGAATCATTATGACATTTGAAATCAGAGTCTACAGAGTTCGCATGCTATTGGTTAGATGCTTATAGAATTATCATTGTTCCTGTTCTTAGAAGCATTGACTTAAACTGTTAGCTTTCCGATCGATTTCAGATGCGAATTGTATAATCTTGTTGATTTATGAGCTTAATGTCTTCTTCTATTTTTGTTTCTGTTGTGGTGAAGAATCGCAAATCGATGAGAAAAGCCGCGAGGTTAAGGGCAAAGACGAGTTAGTCGCAGAGAAGGTGAGACTGCTTCAACAGAAGGAAGACAAGATTGCTTCTTTGCAAACTGAAGTCTCATCACTACAAGTAATGCATCTTTAATCTTATGGTTTCAGTCTTAGTTACTTCCTTGTCGTAATTTGTCTTAATCTTTTATGTTTTTTTCACAGAAAAAAGAATCATCAGATTCTGAAAAACAGTTGGAGAAGGCTCAATCACGAGCTGTTGAATTAGAGAAGCAGGTGAGACTATAAGTTCGAGAGATTGCTCTGTTTGTTTGTATGGTTAGAATAATATGCAAAACGGAAAATCTGATTTTTTGTGATGATACTTGTGGCTTTCAGGTAGATGTACTCAGGAAATTCTTGGAGCAAAAGAACAAGGAGAAAGATTCCACAGAAGCTCGGACTCATGAAGTTGAAAAAAAACTAAGCGAACTAAACTCAAGCCTAGACAAAGTATGCTTCTTTACTTTGGTGGTGAATGCTTATTTATGTCTTTAATTAAGCTTTTAGCTAGAATTTGTTTAGGTTGAGGTTAAGATATCGTGAATCTCTAAGCCTTATCATCTATGTTTATGGTGTTTCCTTTGCAGTTTCCATTCACACCTCCTTGCATGATATATTACTTGTGTTTTAATTGTAGTCTCTCTGATGTCTTGCAGCTTCACAAGACAAATGAGGAGCAGAAGAACAAAATAGGCAAACTTGAACGTGCTATTAAGATAGCTGAGGTATAATAATAGTACACTCTTATTACATTAGACTTCCCTACGGTTTTGGGTTTCTGTCTCATGGTTTGCTTAATTTCAGGAAGAAATGTTGAGGACAAAGCTTGAAGCAACCTCAAAGGCTAAGGAACTCCTCGAGGTAATGGTTTTGACTAAACATTAGTTCCAAAATTAAGCCGGAATGAAGAGGAAGTTAACGTCAATTTTGTTTTGGTCAGGCTCATGGTTCGTGGCTTCCTCCTTGGCTTCTCGTTCACTGGATTAATTTCCATGTAAGTTTCATGCTGGTCTTCTCTACTCTTTTTGTAACAAAGCTATGTTTCCACCAATTAACTTGACCATTTCGTGTACCAATAGACATATACCGGGAGACATTGGGAGGCTCACGGGAAGCCTGCTCTGGACACAGTAATTCTTAAGGTACTGTTTTTAGATTTTTGTCCTGTAAAGAGAGTTATGCCTCTTAGGAGCATCTGAATAATGAAACTTTACTTATTATCTATTAGGTGAGTGAAGCAAAGACTCACGCTGAGAAATGGGCTGGACCACATGTGGAAAACGTTAAAACTGTAAGCATCTTATTTACTTGAATGCCTCCATCTTTGATAAGACAATAATCTGTAGAGTTATAATTCTATGTTTTTTGACGCACCACTTGCAGAAGTATATTCCAGCCGTCAAGGAAACTGTAACTACACATGTTCAGCCACACTTCCGAACACTATCCATCAAAGCAAAAGAAGGTTACCATGCATCCAAGAGTGCTGTTTCTCCTCACATTGTTACTGTTCAAGAACTTGTAGACCCATATTATCAGGTAATGTATAGTGTCTTTATCAGTTTGTTCTTTCAACGGAGTACACTTTTTTTTTTTCAGTTTAAACTTAACTCGTGGTTACCCTTTTGCAGGATGCTAAAAAGTTTACCAAGCCATATGTTGACCAAGTGGCAACGGCCGCAAAACCACATGTTGATAATATTAAGGTTGCGATGAAGCCTTACACAACCAAGGTGATCATCGTCTACACGGAGTTCCTTGAATCCGCCACGACTTATCACAGTCAGGTCTGAAATTAAATCCCTGCTCTTGTATTACTTAAGTTGTTGCCACTTCTTGGATCAATCAATGAGTATTTTTTTTGTTTTTCTAAAACTCTGCGAAGGTCCAAAGCCATGTGGAACAAAAACTAAAGAGCCATGAGCTGACGGAGGCTTTTGCTACCAAGGAGTTTGTTTGGTTTGCGGTAATTTGTCTTTACTTTCTTCTACAACGTATCCTGAGATTCCATGCTTTTTTATTTTTGTTTCCTCTCTTAACTTGAAATCTACATCTTTTTTTTTCTCACTGCAGGCATCGGCGTTGTTGGCGTTGCCCATCTTCTTTGCATACAGAGTGCTCTCTTCCCTCTTCTGGCGAGTCACCTAATTAACTTCCTCAAAATTTTAATGTAAAGTTGATCTTCAATTTAATCATGGAAATATCTCATATTGTTGTTTATTGCAGCACAAAGACAAAGAAAGCTGTTAAACAGCCTCATCACCATGGTCGTCGTAAGACCAAAAGGGGTCACACTGACAAGTGAAATTCATTGTTCCACGCGCTCAAAATAGTTGAGGTACGCTCTCACATACTGTAATAATGAGAATTCTAGTTTCCAGGCTCAGGAGGAATCATGTAGTGTTGTTAATGTGAAGATGAGCAGAGTGTATGTAGTGTTAGTAACAGAACCAAACTCATTTTATCTATGATATGGTTTCAAAGTCCGTTGCTTATTATTCACACTCCAGGTAACGAGGTTAGAATGCCTTTGTCGCGGACTCTTGTAAGGTCATGGGATCACAGGTCGGGGTTTGCTTGTTGAACGAAGGAAAAATCCCCGAGTTGGTGTTCCTGATGGGCTGCTCTGTGTGCAAAAGTGTTGGACTTCTTATCCTTTATTATTTTGTGTTGTTTTGGACAACTTTTTCAGTATTTTTACACACAAGATTAGACATTACTGTACTATCTAGCAAAGCAATGTGTATTTTTAGTATTTTCTTTCCATTACACTTGACGTGTGAGATATTGGGAACTTGTATGATTTCTTTCACACTGTTCTTTCTTGTTTTCAGTCATCTTTTAGCATGTCTTTTTCTTGTTTGGATACAAAGCTCTTGTTATAGGAAGGACAAACAAGATGTTTTTGAATTCGACAGAAAAAAATCTTTTGCTTAAGAAACGTTTTCAACCAATAACTATATTATTTTACTTGTGAAGAAAATTTCGAGATGCACACGCATAGTTTGATCATAGAAAGAGTTTATTGAAAATAAAAACCCGAAAGACACCAAATGTCACTGGGGAATGGGTGTTGTGAACCAGATAGCATGATAGATTATCGATACGTTAACTATTAAGACAATTTTTTCTTAAATAGTAATAATATCATAACAAATGGCCTTCAATTAATGACCAATGCAGAGTTGCAATTGACTCGGTCTTCCTTGACGTTGCCATTGTCATCAGAAGACAAACTCACCGACTTGTCACCGAGCTGGTTCCTATGCATAGCCACATAATAGTCTACTTCACATAACTCTGCATTGGTCCTTAACTTCATAGCAACAGCAGTGAGCGTGGGGAAGTTGGAACGGTCAAGTATAGCGTAGCTCTCAGGATCTTCGAAGATCATATAATAACAAGGAAATTCAGTAGCCAGTACTGCTTCACATGCCCTTCTAAAATTTTCTATTTCATCTGCTAATCTAGGGGCTCTAAGAACAGGGGAGCCTCGAAGAATGGTAAAGATGAAAAAAAATGTTGCCACATGAGAATTTCTGCAACATAAGAACAAACTACACCAAAAGAATTTTTGTCCTTCTTATGATTAAGAATACCTTTAAGGACCCTGTACGGATCCCATGGTTCTGACCATAGGAGTTTCGGTAGTACATAGCATGTTCCGCATCACTGAAAACTGACACATCTTCTCCTTCCCTCGGAACAAAACCAGATATATCAAAAAGTTTCTTCAAATGATCCTCAAAAAATCCTCTAAAGAGGACTTCGTCAACATTCTTGTAAAGCATGATCAATAAGTAACCAAAGAGAGCCATAGACTTTTTGGGCTCTACCTCCTTCGGTGGGACGATTAAACCATTCCTTGCGGCAGCTGAAGGGAAGCTTATTGTCCGAACTCTCAGGTCCATCGAACGAAGAGCTTCTTGCAGATCATCTGTTACGTCCGGCAATAAGCAACAGATCCCTCCAAGGTAATAGGTCGCTCTCTGGTCTTCATCGGTCAGGTATTCATTCTTTGCACACTCAAGACTCAACTGAAAGGCAGCGTAGTTACGATTGGCCTCTATTGCTGTGGCAGGTGGATCACCAAGAACCATATCTACTTCCATGCTCATACTTTCATCAGTAGACCTCTCTATGAAGTTTGACATCGACACAGATCACGATCAATGTAGCCTTTAGATCTCTCTGTGAGTTTTGGGTTTCTTTGGAGAGTGGAAGTGGAGACGTTTATAAAGTACGGAATAGCTGGAAGTTGGAACGTTGGTTAAACACGTGGCTCTTCGTGATTGCCCTGCTCTTTGGTTTGTACATGCATGGGCTAGTCAGGTCCCAATGTATTGTGTTTGGTCTTTCCAGTTTCCATTGTACTTTTATTTATTTCTCATATTGCCTTACTTCAAACGGCGTACCGTTTAACTCTTACGGCGGGATTAGTTATGTATTCGCGTGGTTCCAAAAATACGACTTTCTTTTTATTTTGATTGCACATTTGTCGTGTTTCAGTTTGTCTAGTTAAGGAGAAAAAAAAACTAAATCTAGGAGTATAATTGAATCGGATATAAATCTAGGAGTACATGTAACAAGAAAATCTACTTTATTTTTTTTATTACAACCCTTTTTGTTCCTAAAATCTGATTAATTATCTCTTTATTTTTCATAGTCAGTATGTAATCTGAATTATTTTTCCATCAAATAATGTGAATTGATTATCAATAAAAAACAAATAATATGGAATTATGAGTTAAAATACTTTATTGGAAAAAAAAAATTGGAGAAAAAAAAGAAGTCCGTTCGTTCCTCATTTGGAGCTACAGTGACCGTTTCTAGTGCGTAGAGAGAGAGAGAAGCGCTTTGGGTTTTTTTGGGAGATTAGGGACAAAGAATTTCGCTTACTCTCACTGAGTGAATCTTTCTCCGATCTTCAGATTGTCCGTGAGAGATTATCTTTTCTCTTGAGCTGAATCTTACTCCTGCAGTTGTTCGTGTCCCCCGCTTCTTCTGCCGAGGGTCGTGGCGGCGGTTGTGGCGGCTCTGCGCCACCGGTGATTTTTGATCGTCCGATCTTTTGACGTTCGTCTTCTCTCTTATGCTCTGAATTCCTTTTCTTATAAAAATCCTTTTTCAGAGAGCTGCAAATATGATTACATGATTACATCGCATTTTGCCAGTTTCTATCTTTTTATCTACGGTAGTTTTGACGACGAAAGTGATGATCTTTGCTACGCTTCGAAATTTGAATTTCAATTTCCGGTTCGATCTTCTGATGTGGTGAATTGATATTTCGTGGTTCTGATTTATCAATCTCCCGATTGGCTTCGAGTGACTGATTGTCTTTTCATTGATTGATATTCTGTTTAATCAAATTGAATTTGAGTTATGTGTTTGTGAGGTAATCTATATATTTGCACATTGTTCTCAATGATGAAAAGTTTTTACTTTTTGTTCAGGGAATGAAGACTAATATGAATTTGATACATACAATGGTAGCTTAAGAGAGATAGTGGTTATGTCAGAGTCTCGCCAAAGGCCTCCTTTTAAGGGCCCGAGATGGATTATCACGCTCGTTGTTCTGGTTACAGTCGTTGTAATCACGGCATTAGTATACCCTCCACGGAATTCTGTGGCCTGCTATATGTTTTCTGGTCCTGGATGTCCGTTTTACCAACAGTCTTTCTTCGTACCTACAAGGGAACTCACTGACACTGAAGCTGCTGCTCAGGTTGTGAGTAACGAAATTATGAACCTACCTGAATCTAAGCCAGCGAATCCGAAAGTTGCCTTCATGTTCTTAACACCAGGGACTCTGCCTTTTGAGCCTCTCTGGGAAATGTTCCTCCGTGTAAGATTTTATCTCATTGCAATAAAAAGCTCTCAAGAGTGCATTTTAATCTGTGAAATGGTGGTGATTTCTTTGTTTCTTGATTCAGGGTCATGAGAACAAGTTTTCCATTTATGTGCATGCGTCGAAGAAAAGTCCTGTACATTCAAGTAGCTATTTTGCTGGTCGAGATATTCACAGTCACAAGGTAAATGAGACTATTATTGTTACAGTATTACACCTCTCAGTTTGTTTTATGCAAAACTGTCACTGACTAGCAGTGATGATATGATTCAGGTTGCGTGGGGTCAGATATCGATGGTTGATGCAGAAAGAAGGCTATTAGCTCATGCTCTCATTGATCCTGATAATCAACACTTTGTGTTGCTTTCAGATAGGTGATTGATTGAGTCATTTTTTCTTTAATATAGTGTATGCCAAGGTCGTAATGAAATGCTTAATTAATCATACTTAACCATCTTCCTTGTTGTTTACTGGCAGCTGTGTACCGCTATTCGACTTTAACTACATCTATAATCACTTGATCTTTGCAAACCTTAGCTTCATTGATTGGTAAGTTGTATTATTGGATCTGCAGTATACTCTATCGACCCGTCTCTCTGGTGGTATGTTTTCTCATTTTTTTGCATGTTTTCCAGTTTCGAGGATCCAGGACCACATGGTAGTGGTCGGTATTCACGACATATGCTCCCTGAGGTTGAAAAGAAGGATTTCCGTAAGGGCTCACAGGTATGTGTTATTTAATAAAAACCCATATATCCCCTGTTTTTGTCTTGCAAAATGTTTATGTTAGAAGTTTACTACACAAAAAAAGGTCATGTTTATATTGTAGTCATGGATATATCATCCCTCTGTTTACTTCTCATGCTTTATAATTTTTCTCTATAATCATATTTTCCAGTGGTTTTCAATGAAGAGGAGACATGCTATAGTCGTCATGGCGGACAGCCTTTACTACACAAAATTCAAGCTTTATTGTAGAGTAAGCAAAGCCTTCGTCTTCATGGTTTCTCATATTCACATGTGTTGATTAGTAATAACTTGTCATACCGAGTATCCTGTAGTATCTCCTAATATTCCGTCTGGTGATAGATAGTTCTTTCTCCCAATCTATCATATAATCTTTTATGTTCTGCACATTTGGTGATCAAACTTAATCTTCTAGACAAGTGAGACAATGGACCACCCATTAAGATTGTAGTTTATCCGGTATAGTTGTAATGCTGTGTAGTTCAAGAAAAAAAAAGACTATCTGTTTTCTTCTCTTTAAAGCATATAGTTGATACCAGTGGGACGCTGAGATTTTGCCCTAACAGCTTATTATGCTTTCTCTCAGCCGAATATGGAAGGACGCAACTGCTACGCAGACGAGCATTATTTCCCAACTCTTTTCAATGTCAGTCTAGTGCTTTCTTGCTTGCATCTTTATTTTTCTGTTACACTTGAGCCTTTAAAACTAGTCATTTCCATCATATCTTCACTAATGATCTCTTTGTTTCAGTTGATTGATCCAGGTGGAATAGCAAACTGGTCGGTGACGCATGTTGACTGGTCAGAAGGAAAATGGCATCCCAAGCTATACAATGCAAGAGACATCACTCCTTACCTCCTCAGGAAAATCAAGGTTCTTCTTCTTCTTCTCTTTCCCAAACGCTCAATCAGATTATTCTTATTCCGCGGTCTGAAATTGCGGTTTTAACCTGATATGCAGTCCATCCAACTTGCTTACCATGTCACAAGTGATTTAAAGGTAAAAACCTACCCTGCGTCTTCTTCTTCTTCTTCTTCTTCATCTTCTTGTTACCATGCATGTTTGGAATTTCTGTTGCTGATCCATAACCACTCTCTCTCTATGCAGAAATCGACGACAGTAAAGCCGTGTCTATGGAAAGGAGAGCAACGTCCATGCTATCTATTTGCTCGGAAGTTCAATCCTGAAACTCTGGACCGGTTGATGTATCTCTTCCCTAACTACACCTCGCTGGTTTGAATAGGCTTATCCGACTCTCTTATCATCCGGTTTTGGTCTTGGCTTAAGCTCTTACCAAAGCATCCGCCTTAGCTTGTGATAAATATTCGGACCATAATTCATATCGCTGTGATTCAAAGTTTGAACAAGAAGAGCTTTGGTGTTATTGATTTTGTTTATGGTTAACAAAAATTAGCGTGGATTAGTTGCTAGCTGATTACTCATCAGTATTGTTTCTTTGAAAATGATTTGGATGATATTTTTTTTTGGACAAAACAAAACCATTCACGAAAATTCTTTTCACAAATATTCAGGTCCTCAACGTAGTAAAGCTGCTTCTTGCTTTAGAAGTTAAAAAACGGCAAGTGGTTGTACCCTTTAGAAGGAAATCGCCACGGTGTTTCGCATATCACACCCACATGATAGTTCCTACTCGCATCGGTCAATCGGACGGCCAAACTCTTAAATTCGCATAGGTTAAATCTCTACCGTTCATTCAAATTACTCATCCAAGGTGAAAAAACAAAGAGGGATTTAATCTAGACCGTCCGTTCATATCGATCACTCAAAAAGGTAAAGAAAGAGCGGTAAGAGAGAGAGAGGCCATTTCTTCAGAAGCTTTAAGGTCGCAAACGGAGAGAAGATTTGCTTCTTCGACGAAAACCCTGTTTCTTTGGTTATGCTCCGTACAATGGCGCCGAGGAAGAGTGAAGGAGATGGAGAAGAGAAGGCGAAACCTGTGATAACGGCGTCGACTCGAGTGACTCGGAGCATGGGTTGTCGTACTCGGAGTGAGACTCAGAAAAACGGCGCTAAACCGTCTGGATCTGCCACCAAGCAGGTGAAGCTTGCGTCGCCGAAGAAGGCGAAGAGGAAGAAGCCAGCGATTGCGACTGGGAGAGCAAAGAAGGGAAAGAAGGAAGAGGAAGCAGTTGAGGAAGTCGAGAAGGAAGAGGAAAAAGAGGAGGCTGAGGTTGAAGACCCGACGAAACCGAAGATCGTGATAGAGCACTGGTAAATACGTTTTCGAATTTGGTAGAGGAAATGTTGATAGGGGTCAGAGCAAAAATTAGGTTTTTCTCATCGAAATTGAAGCTAGAGGCTTTGGTATTATTGAACTGGGTGCTGAGAGTTTTGTGTCCATGTAGCAAAATAGGGTTTCTTCTTCTCTTACTGTTAGGGTTTGCAAAGTGAGCTGAAGATTATTGGATTATATGCTTTCTGTTTGTTTCTTGTCTTGCTTAAGCTTAATTGCAATGTCTTCATACATTGACTTGTTCCTTCTGCAAATGGGAGAGAATTTGGATTTGGTTTTGGTACTTATATCTTGTTTTCTCACAGAAGGTTATTTTGTTGGTTGTGTTATTGAAGTAAACAATGCAATGCTTTCAAGACAAGGGCCATTCAGGTGAAGGAAGGTCTTGAGGGAGCTGTTCCTGGCGTCACTGTAACTCTGAATCCTGAAAAGGTATTTCTTTTACTCCAAATGAATACATTGTCATGAATGCTCACTATTCAAGATTGTGTTAGGATCATGTTTATCGTAATATTTGATAACAGAGCTTGTCCATTCATTTTTTCTTCTTCTTTTGATATGGTTGAACAGCCAAGGAGGGGTTGCTTTGAGATCCGGAAGGAAGGTGGCGAAACATTCATCAGTCTTTTGGTAAAAATTCCATTTCTAATTAAGCAAAAATCTCAAATTGTCTCACTTCTGCCTTAGTTTGTTTCATTTGAGTAAGGTTTATTGTCAGTAGATCCTTACTCGTTATGAAATTGGTATTATATTTACTGATCTTGATTTAGCAAAAAAATGAAGATTCTATTTATCTCATTATGTAGGAGATGAAACGTCCATTTGCTCCAATGAAGGCACTTGATATGGAAGAAGTCATCGAGGAGATCATAAACAAAATCAAATGAGCAGACAGCTGCAGACTGCAAATAGGCTCTTCTTGTGCCGAATCTGTTGTTTGTTTCTGCCTCTTGGCCTCATTTTAATCATAGTAGGATTCCATTAAAAAAAACTTTCTAGAGCAATGCATGATTGACTCGTATTTTGTTAGGTTCGCTTCTATTGTTCGGTGTCGTTTGTGGGATTGACTCTTATTTTGCAATGCATGATTGGCTTGGCTGATCTGTGTTTAACTCGGATTTGTAAGGCTAGTTTGATTTATCTCATTGCTTGAAGCAAAACTAATTCAGAAGCGTTTTGGTTTTTATTTAACACATTCTATGCATTTGTCAAAGTATGTTGTAAACAACTTAGAACTGTGTTACAAAACCAATAGGACAAACATCAATGACGCATGATGAGTAGAAAATCCACTACATCTAGGTTTCACTTCCAACGGTCGTGTCTCTCTTCATGGTAAAAAATAACTAGAGAGGAAATGTTTAGAATCTCACCTACCATTATTGTCTTCAACACACATCGCCTAGAATCAAGAATCAAGCAAAGCTAGTGAAAAATGCTAGCAAGAGAACAACAAGAAAGCTCAAACCAGCCTCATGACAAGCAGAAGAAGAAGAAGAAGGGGACTTTCCAGCCTTATCAGCAGCTTCTATCTTCTCGTTATCAGCGGTTGGAGCAGGAGCGGGAGAAACAGTCTCTGGTGTTTCTGTTGCAGGTGTAGGTTTTGGGACAGTAGTATCTGAAGCATTGTCACTATCAGCTGGTCCAGGAGCTGGAGCTGTCACCATGGGAGATGGAGCAGGAGCCATTGCAGCATCCATGGGAGATGGAGCCGGAGCTGGAGCTAAAGGAGCAGGTGGAGGTGGAGGTGGGAAGATTGCAAGGCTGAGTCCAGGAGCCACAATAGGCATGCTAATCTGGATTATAGAGAGGTTATATGGATTGTGGTATAACGTAGTGACATACTCTGAGCTTAAAGGTGAGCCAGTCACTTCGGATCCAAAGTAAACTTTTCCTTTAGATTTGGTACAGTTGAGGAAACCATTCATCTGTTCCCCTAAACCGGTGGTCTGGTACAAGGTGGTGAGCATTATGCTCTTCTCCTTGAGACCGTTAAGCTTGAGCTCATCGTAGTAGTCAAGAAGGACATGTGTCATAAGGATGTTCTTGAGCTCAACGTCGGATCTGTTAGTGATTGAGCTGATTGCGTCGTTGCTAACAGCGAGAATGGTTATGGTCTGGTATTTGCTGATGGGTACAGTGAGCTTGGTTTTGATGAAGAGGTCACTCATGGTGCTGAAGTTGGAGTATTTCTGAAACGCCCGTGTGACGTTATCGGCTGTAACGACCGTGGAGAAGAGGAGTAAGACGGCTAGAGAGATGAGAGAAAGGGAGGCTTTGAGACCCATCTTGTTCTCTTCTCTTTGAAGCTAAACCTTAGTGGCTTCACTCGTTTGGTATTTATGCCTAAGTGGGGAAGTTGTAGAGAAGAATGGGTTAAAAGGAGTGATTTTCTCTATATTTGGTGCTAAATCTGAACTAGTCTTTTTGGTGAGCTAAGTCTACTCTTCTATTTTTAGGGTGTAATAAGACTTGGCCGTTGAGTAATTCACTTGATTTTTCTTATAATTTTTGGGTTTTAGTTTTTAAGGTTGTGCCATATAAAGGTTTTGTGTTGTGTATGTGTTTCAGGTTTTAAACTCATAAGAGGCGTAAACCATGGTAGATTAATAGATCTACTGTCTGTTTATGGTATTTGAACTCATGATCTTGAAAACCTTCTAAATGATGCATAGAAATTAACTGATTATAGGTACATGCAACAAAATTAGCTAAAAACCCGTGAAAACCGCCTAATTAAATAAACAAATGACAATTGATATGTAATATGTTCACGTTCACAATAAATATAGTTTTCAGATCATTCAATATAATTGATGGATGAGGTCAAAGAGATTGTCATAGTTAATGCCGCATGTCTAGTTAGCCTACTTAGGTATATGATTATGAAATTGTAGAATCTATCAGATTCTTAGTATTCTAGCTAACATTGTATAACACGTTTTTATTTGTCGAACTTGTGCTCTAACTAGATGGTCTTTTACACACACACACATATTACACAAACACACGAATATTAAAAAATCTTTCGGAAAAAATATATTAAAAACTTCCGGCTTTGTGCCATTATTCGAATTGGCAACTCGGAGTTCTTATTCTCTTTGATATCTTTCGAGAACAATATCTCATAATTGAGTTGTTAATGATATCTTTATCTTGCGTACCATACAAAATATGTAATATTATTCATTAGCGTATACAATTATTTTTTAAAAAATCGACCTTTACTTCTTTTTTTTTTGTAATGACTTGAATATCGACCTTAACATCAACATGATGCGTAATGTTATTATAGTGGCAGTGGAATCGAGCTCAGATCTGTCATCTGTGTTAATATTTTGAATTTGAATGACCGGTTGAGGTATCAGCATTATCATTTTCTTTTTTTTTCAAAATCAGCATTATCAATGTATACTTAATTTAACTAGCATCGTACAAATGTAGGTATATGCTAATTCGTAGAAGAAATTAATTCTCTTGACAATGCTCCTAAGCGTTCAGTCAATCTGTTATAGTTTACCCTCCAAATCCAATGAGTCTATCTAGCATTCCTTACGTGTTTGAATAACAATGGAGTTGCCACATTTATTTTTCATAGAGCGTTATAAATTGTTAAGTTTTGAATTGGCGACACTAATATTTACAGTTCATAAAATTATATAAAACAGTACAAATTTCCTTGTAAACAAAAATCTAATATATCCATCATAAACGTTTTCTTTTATTAAAATTATCAATAGAAATAAAATGAGATCCTTATGTCGTGATCACTAGTTCCGAATCACATTCGTTGTGTAGGCTGATAAAAATAAAATAAAATATAAATACCAATACGATCTAAAATCAGAAAGGAAATGTCATTTTCTTTACAGAATTGTTCTAGGTTGTAGAATATAAAAAGTGACCTGGCACCAATCACTTCTACATTGGGGCTACTCGAGCATATCTTTCATTATAATAAGAATACCACTGAAAAAAACAGAACTAAATTCTTTTAACATAATTTTAAATCTAAATTACCTTAGATTATATCTTTGTACTGCAAAAAATTACTGAATGAACGCCAAAAAAAACTGCAAAGAAATACAATAAGCTTTGTAATTGGTTAAAAACACTTCGATTAACGAAAGTATATTTTTCTTTGTCAACATGTTATATCAAATTGTTCTCAACTGGTTTTCCTTTAGAGCTATAGAAAGTTATATATAATTCACAATTTAACAAACAAAAAAGGAAAAGGAAAAAGAGAAGTGGTAACGACTACAGATCAGTTTCGTAAATCTGCTAGTTGTATCAACTTGTATTGATTTAGAACATATTTTATTTCTTAACCTAGACTAGTTTACTTAGCTAAAGGCGTTTCTTCATCTTGATCACCTTGTAATATCAAAACGATATCTTTATGAAAAAAAAATGATGGAATGTTCATGACGCTCACACTGGATTGTACGTAAATACTAACCCATTGCTAACACTAACGTCTCAAGACACTAACATATAAAAACCTGATGTGGACACATGAATGAATCGCGATGACCGATGAGAACAATCTTTAGAAAGTGTAAATCGGAAGCCTATAGAAACGATATACATGTGATTAATATAAGATAATTGTTTCAAAACTTATTATTTCTATTTTGGTTGTGTAGGATACCTTTATGATGTTAACACTACTAAAACAAAGGAAAAGAACAAAGCAAACGATAAATGGATAGATGTAGCTATGGGTGCCATATTCGCATTGACCATGATGACCGTTTGGTGGAATGGGCATCGATATGGTTTTTGAGAACTGGTGAATCAATACCGCCAATATCAACTTGTTGTCGTTTGGATACACTGTGATGGGATGTAACCTTTTTTGACATAAATGCACTAAATTGTTTTTATTAAATCACACATGCAATGGGTTTTATAAAATAACCAAATATAAATGACTCCTACCGTTTTTTTCTTTTTTTTTATGGAAATATATGCTTCTCGATCGCGATGCAATTAGTTTATCCAGATATTGTAAAATTTATCTGAAAAGTGTAGAACGCTTTCAAAATATGAATTCAAGGGCAGAAATAAACTCCATCACTCAATCATTACACATAAATAAGTAAGATGGATAATATTCCACCACACATAATAGAAACTATAACGTTTTATGGTCTCTCTTACTCAAAATCGGTCGCAAAATGATCATTAGATTGGATCAAAAATATCCACAGCAGTTTTCAAAACCTAAATATGTATAGATATAAAAAGCATTCCCCATTTTCGTTATTCTTCAAAAAAGAAATTGTAATTGTAAATTGCACGAGCAACGTCATATAGTATAATATGTGTCAACTTAGGATGGACCGAAAACTGTAAGTGAAAAGAGGAACAAAGTGACTAAAACAAACTTTGTGGTTTGTGTTGAGTGTTGAAGAGAATAAGAAGAGTGAGTGACTGTGGCTCTGCATCACCTCCCACGAGGGCCTTCGCTCCCACTTCCCTCATTTTCTCGTCATTGTCTCTCTTTTTCGTCAATTTTGCTTTGCTTATCACTTTTTGTCAATCTTTCCACAAAATTTGATCAAAACAGAATACTGCATTATTACGAAATTATTGCTAGACCACCCTAAAAAAGAATCTGATGATGTTGAAGCTAGTCATTATCACATTGCAAATGTGAACGAAGACCAAAGAAATTACTTTTGGCGACTATTATGGTTGTGAATGGTGAACGGATAAAAGGTGGAATAATAGCGGAGCATACGCATTGTGTTTCCTCCACAACGTATTTTGCCATTCACCCAAAAAGTAAAATATTTGTAAGCAAAGGAACAGTAATGTGGTCAGACCTTCTTTTCAAAAAAAATGTTATTGTTTGGTCTTCGGTCAAGAACCACAAGTGGTTCATACGTAACTCTCCTTTTTGGGAGTGGTTCAAAGAAATCTACTTACACAGTAAACTGTTTTATGTAATAATTTAATATATTATAATTCAAAGATATAATTTATATATATTTAAAATATTATATTCAGTGATTATGTTATACATAAACATTGACAATAATAATAAATTATTAAATCAATAATTTTACACTAAAGTAAATTTTCATATTTGATTAATTAAAACATGATAGAGTAATTGTGTATAATAGAGTAACTGTGTTTTACTAATTAAAATTATTTTGAACTGCTATATTAAAACATAGCAGTCAACTGTGAATAATTGAAATATAATAAGTAATTGTGAATAATTAAAACATAATAGAGTAACTGTGTTTTACTAATTAAAATTATTTTGAACTGCTATATTTTTTTCAACATTCATTTTATATTCTATTGGCCAATTATAATATTGAACAGTTGTTAAAAAACTATATACATATTTATATTATTTAACCTTATAATTAATTAATATTAAATAAAACTTAATCATATAAAAATTAAATATTCATTTTAATCTCATATAAACCATAATATATATATATATATATATTGGAACGCTTTTTATCCGCTTTTCCCATTCAAACATATTTTTGGACTGCTGATTTGCTAGATCCGCACTTGTACCGCTTGATCCGCTAGAACCACAATAATTTTGCTTGATCCGTTTAATCCGCTTGATCCGCAACGCTTGATCCGCTTTCTCCATTCGGAGCTTATATATGGTTAATGAATTATACCATTATCCTTTAGAAAAAAGGAAATTTTAACATTATCCAAGTTGTATCTTTGGAAACTTATAATCAAGGATTTTCGGCCGAAACTGAAATTAATATCGTACAAGTCTTATGACCATAATTAATTGTAGAAGAATTTCGCAAGACATGACCATAAAATTGTACTTTATCGACTAAAGGAGAGAGTAAGGACCATTAAGTATTAAATTCCCACGTGATGCCACGTGGTCGTAATGACTTCTGCTGATTTGTTACATGTCTGCAGAACAAAAATAGAATTTTAAGAAGCGCTACTTAATTACTTTACAAACAAAGAGGAATAATCAAAACAAAAACTTATAAGTACCTGTAACAAATTTAAAGGGAAACTTTTTTTTCAAATGCAACTGATACAAACTTAAACATAGAACAATCATTCATGATAATAACTGCACCTTTTGGTTACAAAATTATAAGTTGGATCTTAACTAACCGATGTTACGTCAGGTTGAGCTCAAGCAAACTAGAAGAAGTCTTTGCATTTCATTCGACAAAAATCTTAAATTTGTGAAATCCTACCAAAGATTCTTCGACATAAGTTAAAGAAAGAAATATACCAGACACAAATAATTAGATGGAATTTTTAACAAAATAAAGAAAAGAATAATAAGATGAAAAAAGAGAGATTCCAAATTGAAAACTAGTATGAATTCATCCCTGCTATATGGACCCACTATGTTAGTATGTTCTATTATTCCGGCACCCGAATTAAACAAATTGATTATCCCATACTAATTTTGATTTATTTATCTTCTTGCGTATCGGAATAAGTCTAACTGTCTCAGTGTCATAGCTAGGTAAAATGCGACATTTCTTCTTCATATTTTTTGGCTCAGAATGCGGCATTTCTTACGTCTCTCAAACATGACGGCCAAAACAACTCAAGTACATTATTTAAGTATACATCTAGTTCGAATAAGAACAATACCTTTGATTTTATGGAATTTGAGTCATTCTTTTGTGTCCAGATGTCAAAAAAAAAAAATGGTGAAAGATTGATAGATAAGATTCTTCCCTTTCGATAATTCTGGAATTCTACATTTAATACATATAATAGATAAATATAATATAATAATCATAATTTATTTGTCAGTATCTACATACTCCCCTTTACCAACATATAAATAGCCCTCTCATGGTTTCGTTCTCCTCACCAAAATTAACAAACTCCTTGTGAAGAGAAATCATAAAAAAAATCTCCACACAAGAAAAAACAAAAAAAACCTAAAAAACCTTAGTTCGTAAACAATATAACATCATCATAATGTCTGGTGTGTGGGTGTTCAACAAGAACGGAGTGATGAGGCTGGTGGAGAATCCTTACAACCAGTCCGCCGGAGATTCGTCTGAATCTTCCTCCTCCGGTGGTAGCCAGCAACAGAGAATGAGGAGGAAGATCCTTCTCCATCTTCCAACCAACGAGGTTGTCTCCTCGTACGGATCACTTGAGAAGATCTTGAAAGGTCTTGGGTGGGAGAGGTACTACAGTGACGCCGATCATCTTCTCCAGTTCCACAAGAGAACATCGATCGATCTCATATCTCTCCCTCGTGACTTCTCAAAGTTCAACTCTATTCATATGTATGATATTGTCGTCAAGAACCCTAACGTCTTCCATGTTCGAGACATGTAGTCGATCATCAAAAACTGGCTCAATTTGATTCTCCATTAATCATCCTCGCTGATATATCTATCATGTATATATTTGCTATTGGGGGGTTTGTTTTGTTTCGTATGTACTTTGTGCTTGGTGTGGTCTCAAGCTAGCTAGAGCCATTTTAATAACTTGTATCATTTTGTGATTTAATGAACTTGTATCATGTTGTCAAGCTCTCTTAATATATATGAAATGGTAAAAGAATATATCAAACATTTTAGCAAAAAAATAAAAAATAAGAGAAGAATATATCAAACTTTGAACGTTATACGGTGCAATATATATTTGATTTGGTCCATGAGTAGCATTCCAATAGTATGATGCGTGGGGTTATTATGAGTAAATAAATCAACTAAATACTTACGACAAATTTGCAGATTTTATAAACTAACGATCAAGTAACACGGGAGATTAATAATTTGAGAACATTTAGAGTGATAAACAGCAATAGATAAATAGATTAAATCCATAGTCATACTGAAATACAATGATAATTTTAGTTTTCAGGTATGACGAAATCTAAAGAAGGAAAGTCAAAAGGTGACCAATTAGAGAAGGTCCCCCAAAGGTTGGGAAGACAACGGATAAAATGATGGGCGCACGTGACCTTTCATACCTTTTTACCCAACTTGGACAGGTGTCAGTTCCCCATTGCCCATTTCCCACTTCGTCACAGATTAATGTGATGGGCGCACGTGAAATCTAGCCTTTACGCGGAATCTGGGCACGTGTCGATTCCCCATTGCCCATTTCCCCACTTTGTCACTTCCTTATCGGTGTCGAACAAACTTTCTTTTCCCCCAAATAAATTCGAACATATCCCTTTCGTCTCACACGGCTTATATTCCGTGACCCTTTTCTTTGTAAAAATGTTAGTATAGTTTGTAATTTTGTGTTGTGTGATACTGTGATCTTTGTATACATCTTTAAAGGTCCTACCGGGAGACGAACCCAGCCCTCACTTGGTTAAGACATGGGCTACAATCGATGATATATAACATTCATGTTAATATTGTACTAACCGGCTCGTGGGTCTACGCTCGCAAGAATTAGAGTTCGATTAGAAAATAGAGAAATGTTAATTAAACTCGTTCCAGACCAAATCATATCATTTCCTAAATCCTAATGCAACAAGACACTAATGTTTGTAATCCAACTTTTAATTTATATAAAAAACATCTCGTATCATTTGGACAGCGAAACATTCTTTTCAAACATAGTGAAGATTATGTTAGAGAATTCTTAAATCAAGACGATGACTATTGGTTTGATTTAGAGGCAAACTATAATTTCATATCACACAAATATATATGTATTGTAGTGCCAAACGTCGCACCTTTCGTGGCCACACAACACTTCCTGCCTGACGTACAGAAAACAAACTGTGGGATGTACAAAGAAACAACAAAATGTTATTTTGGGTCGTTTTGCTAGAGATTACATTTGTTGTGGGCTTTTTGAAACGTGAGGTGGTAAAGTTCTTAGCTTACTGGAAATAATATTTTGTGGTTGGCAGTCGATTATAAGATTATTCCATTTTCAGTTATACTTTATTAATTTTCATTTTCATTTTCATTTTCATTTTCGTCCAACGGTTACGTATCCACTGTTCGTTCTCCATCATCCGATCGTCCTCCGTTCATCTCCGGGCATCGCATCGCTACTGATCCATGGAGTCGATTCACTGGAATAGTTTGGTAAACCACAATTTATCCCTAAATCAGAGTCTCCGGAGAAAAAACCGCGCTGTTATTGATCGGAGAGATGCTCCTTCGCCGCCGCGGAGCAGGACGTTCTCGGCTGTACGGACTTCTAGTTTTTCCGTTGCCGCGACGGCGACGGATGTTTCCCGGAGAAACGCCGCGATTGGCGGACAGAATTCTACGGACGCTGGGATAATGACAGCGGCGATGAGTGGGGTGGAGAGAAGTCGGCGAGTTGGGAAATCGAGCACCGCGCTGGAGCAGCTGGATATTGAGCGAGGCGTTTGCGTCCCATTCCGAAAGTATTCTCCTGAGACTGTATGATTGTCTCAGCTAATTTTTCTTTTGTTCCTCATTCAAATTTACGCTTTTGATTCAGTCGATTTCACTGTTGTTGATTCCCTTATTGAGCTGGTTAGACTTGTTCATCTTCATGGATTTGCTTGGAAATGTCTTAAAAGGATTTATACAGCTGGAATTTCACTGAATTTTGCCACTAATCAAAGGAAATTTAGCAGACGCCTAGCTAGATTCGTCCTCCTGTTAAGTAGACTGTTTGAATTGGAGTTTACTGATTTTCTCAGGTGAGGAGTAAAGTGCTGGAATCAAGAGGATCAGTCGTCTCTCTTGCTTCAAGGGGTGTGGAGATTGTTTGGACTCTGGGGTTGTATTGGTCTACTTTAATGTATGATTTTTTGGTTGGAAGGGATGAGGAAGTCGTCCCGTTCCGTGCTCGTCAACTTAGGAACCTGTTGTGCAACTTGGGGCCTTCGTTTATCAAAGCCGGACAGGTATGTGGATTCAATTTTTTGTTAGGATTTTGTGGATACTGGCATTAAACGGGTTCTGGAAGTTATCTTTTCTAATATCTATAATCTATTGTATGGGGAGCAGGTTCTTGCAAATAGGCCTGATATCATCCGTGAAGACTACATGAACGAGCTCTGCATACTGCAAGATGATGTTCCTCCATTCCCCAACGAGGTAAACAATCTTATCTTTTTGGGAACTTCATGTGCCATCGTGTGGTGAAGCTAAGTGGTGAAGGACTTTGTAGGTTGCTTTCAACATTATCGAGGAAGAATTAGGCCAACCTCTTGAGGCCTTATTTAGCAAGATTTCTTCACAAACAATAGCGGCTGCAAGCTTGGGCCAAGTTTATCGAGCTACTCTACGTGCTACTGGAGAGGATGTTGCTATCAAGGTTCTTCTAAATGGGAAATTTTTACTGTTGCTCCATAGTTTTTTTACTTTAAAAACGTGATATTTCATTCATATAGGCGTATCAAACTGAAACTGTTTCAAGCTTGACTCTGAAATTTATTTGTATGTCTATACAGGTCCAGAGACCACAGATAGAGCCCATAATATACCGGGATCTCTTTCTTTTCCGGACACTTGCCTCATTCTTAAATGGATTCAGTCTACAGAAACTGGGCTGCAACGCAGAGCTAATAGTTGATGAATTTGGAGAGAAGCTTTTGGAGGAGCTTGACTACACCTTGGTATGTCATATAACTGACAATTTGACTCTATGCTTTATTTATTTAATGAGCTGATTTAATGAGTCTTTCTATAATCCTGGTTAACCCTTTAAGTTCTTGCCTATAGGAAGCCAGGAACATTGAAGACTTTCTGGAGAACTTCAAAGATGACCCCACTGTTAAAATTCCTCGAGTATACAAGAATCTTTGTGGTCCGCGGGTTCTGGTAATGGAGTGGATTGATGGTATTCGGTGCACTGACCCACAGGTACGACTTTCGAATAAGGGCCCAACCAATATGAATTCCTTTATACCCTCCTATAAAGTCAAAAATAAAATACACTCTCACGAATTGTACGCAGGCCATCAAGGATGCAGGAATTGATTTGAATGGATTCTTGACAGTTGGCGTGAGTGCTGCTTTAAGGCAGCTGTTAGAATTTGGATTGTTTCATGGAGATCCACATCCTGGAAATATCTTTGCAATGCATGATGGTCGTATAGCTTATGTGGACTTTGGGAATGTTGCTGTACTGAGTCAGGTAATTTGAGTTTAATGCTTCTAATGTATCTAGTAACTTTAACAACCAACTTAAATCTCCTTCCTATAGTGTTTCTCGCATCTATATATATAGAGACTTTGTCATTCATAGTCTAACCAAATATTTTCTTCTTCAGCAAAACAAGCAAATTTTAATCGATGCTGTTGTCCATGCGGTTAATGAGGACTATGTAGAGATGGCAAATGATTTCACTAGACTAGGATTCTTGGCCAAGGGTACCGATGTTTCTCCTATCGTTCCAGCTTTAGAAGCCATCTGGCAGAATTCTTCCGGGAAAGGACTTTCAGATTTCAATTTCCGAAGTGTTACAGGTATGTACGGTTTCATGCATTTCCGTACAAGAAAATCGCTTTCCTTGAACATCTGACAGAATGGTGTCATGTTTTTTGTTGCAAGGCCAATTCAACAAGCTTGTGTACGACTTTCCCATCCGTATCCCGGAGCGGTTTTCTCTTGTTATTCGTTCTCTGCTTACACAGGAGGGTATATGTTTCACACTGAAGCCTGATTTTAAATTTCTTGAGGTGAAGTCCCATTTTGATTCCCCTCTTCAAATATAGGGGTTAACACGCACATAAATCCTGAAGTGAGCAGATATAGCTATATGCTCACTGACATTTCCCTTTTTTGTCTAGGTTGCTTATCCGTATGTAGCAAAGCGCCTCCTAACGGATCCAAATCCTGCACTTCGGGAACGCTTGATACAGGTTAATTGATCATTATGATGTCATCACATAAATGGAATGTTGAATTGTTAACTGCATCTGCTGAAATCAGAGCTTTTGTTGCCAACGCCGTGTCAGGTTCTATTCAAAGATGGTGTTTTCCAGTGGAAAAGACTGGAAAATCTCATATCTCTTGCAAAGGAAAACGTCGGCCAAATGAGTAGCAACCCTGCTCTACGAGTTAAGCAAGTGTAAGTAACATAATTGTATATAGCATTGCTCCCAAATAAATCTCACTCGTCACCCTGTGAAGCTTAAGTTCTTAACCCTTGTTTTTGATGTATGATATTTTCAGGGAGAGTAAGCTTGACTTGACAGATACCATCAAGGATGGAGCTCGTCTTTTCCTTCTTGATGAAGGCATTCGCAGAAAACTTATTCTTGCACTCACAGAGGACTCGAAGCTTCACGTAGAAGAGGTGAATACATTAAACACCACCAGATTTTATGCCCATTGACACTTGGATCTTTGAAGCTAAAACAGGAACTCTCTACTTTTGTTTTTTCAGCTTGTGGATGTATACAGGTTGGTAGAAGAGGAAGTAGATATTCCCTCACTCGCCAGGGAAGTCGTGCGAGGTATTAAAAAGAAACCCCATTTCGCTTTCCCTTTCTCTATATTTATCAGATGAAGCTTTTATACTAGTAAAGCTTTAGGGAGAGATGAGATTATTGAAGATATGAAAACATCTGTTTTTCTATTGAGACGCTTTAGTGCTTTTCAGCTGTTTTTAGGTAACCGGATCTAATAGAATTCTGCTGTAGCCAAAGTATAGATTGTTCACTGATCATTGGGCCATTGAGTTAGCACTTTCACAACGTAGGTTTGTATGATTCTGAGAATCTCATTACTGTATTGTTTTGATTGCAGATCTACCGAATGTTTTTCGGGATTTTGTGCTGTCGTGGAGCAACTCGGTATTATCCGACAGATGATTGTCAGCTTCTCACTTACTTTTTTTGGCTCTTTTGAAGAGGAAAGAGGAGGTAAATTTCAGGGAGTAGATATGTGAGGGAAAAGGTAGATTAATGCAGTTTAATCTTCGGTGCATATAAGTAAACTTAATACACCACAATACATACATGTAATTATATACAAACACACAAACTTCACTTGTTGCTCTTTTAGTCTTTGACGTTGTCTAATGTAATTGGGTATCTAACATTAATCGACGTCATCAAATCAAAGTTGTAGTGTTCGTATTCACTATTTGCAGTTGTCTTTGCCTCGCATGTCGTTATTTTTCACTTTATAGCAAGGAGACACATTATCTTGCGACTAAACCCTCCATACATACTCAATGATCCCTGAATTATGCTAAAACCCGCCAATGTAATTTTTCTGGTTTGGAAGCTCTTTGGTTTAAGAAAATAAAAGAATCGATCGACATAATCAAGGACGAATTCGATTTTTTTCCTTAAAAAAAAGAAGAAGATATTATTTATTGGAAAAGAGTGATTTCCCGTGGCGGCAAAACTTATTTATCCAAAAACAAAATTTCCCGGTGGCGCCAAAATCGCAGAAGAAGAGGAATCAAATGGCAAAACGAAACCTAAGAACAATCCCAATTCTCTAAGCAATGCAAGCAAAAATCAATTCTTTCTTCAAGGCCTCTCCTTCTCCGTCTCCCATCGCTGCATCAACAACCTCAGACACAGACGATGCTTTAGCCGTCTGGGAGAACAGTCGGAACACCATCGTCAACACCTACGAGCGTCGATCTGCAATCGCCGATAGGTATACGAATCATCTTTTGTGATTTTATTCTCTTTAGGTTCTTCGTATTCTTCAAAAGGGTCTAGGGATTTCATAGTTTCATGAGAGAGTCGAAATTAGGGATGGGGAAACAGAATTCCCGGTTATGATCAAATGGGCAACTCCTAATTTGTGTGTTTTCTCGATGGAAGCTCTTATGAGATTCTGGGGCGAGATTTTATTTCATATTGCAGCCATTTTCGATTTGGTTTCTGTTTAGAATCCCTTCTGTTTATGTGTTAAGTGCGTTTCTTAAATTTTCAAAACTTAGCATAACCTGTTGTTTACTTCTTGGGAATTCAGTAGTGAAGTGCTTAAGGAGAGCAACGAGAATCCACTGAGGAAAGGATCTTCTTTGGCATCTAAAAATCTGAAGAAGAAGCGCAATTATACCCAATTCCACTTAGAGCTGGGCCAATCTGATTTTCTTCTCAGAGAATGCGTAGAGTGTGGAGTGAAGTATGCTCCTGGAGATGAATCAGATGAGAAGAGCCATCAAAGTTTCCACAAAAACTACATGCTTGGAATTCCCTTTAAGGTTAGGAACGCCTGTGACCTTATGTTAAAAATACATTTTTCTTTGATTTGATTCCTGTGGAGGTTATTTGATAAAAGTTTCGGTCTTTGAATTGTTCTCAGGGTTGGCAGAACGAGAGAGCTTTCACATCACCTTTGTTAAACAAGAATCGCATTGTTTTGGTATTGGAAAATGATTCTCCTGCACACAGAAACAAGGTTTCTTCTTCACATTTCAAGTTGCGCAGTTTCCGGTACTGTTTCTTCGTTTAGAGGATCTAACAGGAGTGCAATTTACACTTGCAGGTGCAAGAGGTTGTGAAAATGATGGAGGTTGAGCTAGGTGAGGACTGGATCATTCACAAACATTGTAAGGTAAGAGTCTGTATCCACTTCTTAACAAACAATTTTGGACGATTTCTAGTACTTTAGGCCTAATACACTGACCTATTGTGATCTAATGTCTCTGGACTGTTGCTTTCCTTTGTGACCTGATTCAATATGATATTAGCCAAACAATGGTTTATGGAGCCTCTAGTTACAGATTTTTCAGTTGTTTCTTGTTATGTGTAGGTTTACCTATTAGTTTCCTCTCAGAGGATAGCTGGATGTCTAGTTGCAGAACCAATTAAGGAAGCGTTTAAGGTCATAGCTCCTCTTGGTGATGAAAGACAGTTAAAGAAAGAGAGCTTCTCTCCTTCAACCTCCATACAGTTTGGAAACATTGTGTTGCAAAGGCAAGTGTCGAAACGATGTCGAGCATCAGATAATAAACTAGATGATGGAGCCATTGTATGTGAGGAAGAAGCTAAACCGGCTGTTTGTGGAATAAGAGCGATTTGGGTGTCACCTTCTAACAGAAAAAAAGGCTTAGCTACACAGTTACTTGATACAACGAGGTAAAGAGCAAACCACCTTTAAACCATTTTTTAACTGTAAAAATGTTCCATTGTTCTGACGTTTTTTGTGTAAAAAAAATGCAGGGAAAGCTTCAGGGATGGGTGCGTTTTGGAGAAATCTCAGTTGGCGTTCTCACAACCAAGCTCCATGGGAAGAGCTTTTGGAGCTCATTATTTTGGAACTTCTTCATTCTTAGTTTATAAAGCTTCACTATGAAACAGGCTCATTATTGTAGAAAGGCCCAATTATAGCATTTTTTTTCCCTTTGGAGGAAAAAAAGACCAAAAAATAAAAAGTCAAATAGAAATTATATTTTAGTCTTAACTCCTAACTAAACAAAAGTTTTAAATTGTCTCAATCAAACATAAATGAAAAATCCTGCTAAACTTCAGATTTAGGAATTTTTCCTTTTATATAAAGAGAATCACAGTTAAATATTTTCCAATTTTAAACTGCATAAGAAATTTGAACACTTACTAAAGTACTGTTATTAATATTTTAAAGATTAACCTATATTTTGTCAATGTATATTTATTTGTTTTTATAAAGAAAGTTAAAGCCGCACATAAATATTTTAATCTAATCAAGGGAATATTAAAATATCGTAATAATTGTATTGAAAAGGCAAAAATGGTATGGGGATTATGAGGAGAGAGAAAAAAGGAGGCTTCGCTCTCTACCAACTGCGAAACACTATCCCCACAAGAAACCCCATCTCCTTGAAACTTGCAATCTCAGGTCAGCTTCTTCTTCTTCTTCCTCTTCTTCGTCTTCTTCGTCTTCCTCAACTTTCCGATTCGATCCTCCTCCACCAATTTCGCTTCGTTTTTTTCTCTGTTGATTACTTCTTCGAATCTGGTTGCTTACTGATTACCATCATTTCGCTTCATCTCTGTTGATTTTGGATCCGTTTCTCAATCAGCCTTCTTAGGGTTCTGCTCATAGTTTCGGTATGCGATCGGTCACTGAATCGTTTTGATTTTGAATCCGAGTCTCATTTCCATCAGCCTCGTTTCTGTTTGTAGTGTTTCACTAGCGACTCAATCATTTCTAATATCAATTCCGTTTAGGTCTTATGATGAGTCTCCAATCGAATTGTCTTGCATTCTCACTTTTCATAGACTGTTTTTAGCCTCTTGAGATTGTGAATGCTGAATCAGTCTCGCTTACATGCATGTGCAGCTACATCAAGGAAATGACGTAGAAGAGTTTCTCTTTTACATCGAGTATCTCTGATCACTGAAACTGAGTGTTTCATTTTCGGATCTTAGAGAAAAATCTGGTTATTTAATGGCGCTAGAACATGTTTGCGAGAAGCGGCGTCTTTGCAGCGAAGAGTTTCATCTGAAGATCAATTGGGATGATTTGGTTTGCCCCATTTGTTTGGATTCCCCTCACAACGGCGTCCTTCTCCAGTGTTCATCTTACGAAAACGGATGCCGAGCATTCGTCTGCAACACAGATCATCTCCACTCCAACTGTTTGGATCGTTTCATCAGCGCTTGCGGAACAGAATCGCCTCCAGCTCCTGAATCACCTCCGTCGAAGGTTCTAGAAGAGAATTGCAAACCGGTGTGTCCACTCTGTAGAGGAGATGTCACCGGCTGGCTCGTTGTGGAAGAAGCTCGTCTCCGTCTCGACGAGAAGAAACGTTGCTGCGAGGAAGAGAGATGCAGATTCATGGGTACTTACACGGAGCTACGCAAGCACGCGCAGTCAGAGCATCCGGATTCTCGTCCTTCGAAGATAGATCCAGCGAGGAAACTCGACTGGGAGAATTTCCAGCAGTCGTCTGAGATCATCGACGTGTTGAGCACAATCCACTCGGAGGTTCCGAGGGGAGTGGTTTTAGGGGACTATGTGATTGAATACGGAGATGACGACACAGGGGATGAGTATGAGGATGTACCTAACAATGAAGGAAACTGGTGGACGTCTTGTATACTGTATCAGATGTTTGACAATATAAGGAATGCGAGGAACCGGAGGAGATCGAGGATGAGTGAGAGCAGGAGAGGGAGTCGTCGCTCTAGCTATGATAACTCCAACTCTGATGACAGCTCGGTAGCGTCGATAGAGTTCACAGATTATAGAGTAGATGAGATCGATGATGAGTTCGTCACCACAAGTGGAGCCAACAGAATTAGTAGCTCTTTGCATCAAAGGTCAGAATTTTCTCTATTGCTTTAAGTTTCTCTTTGGTACACAATCGCTTCACACCACGAATTAGCTTATCATGTCTATGGCATATGAATGTTACGTGATAAACATTGCTTGATGTCTTGTTTACAGTTCAAGAAGGCGTCGTTCCCGCTTCTATGAAAATTAGGTATGAACTTGATCTTTCTAAGCTTTCGTTTATGGACTCTTGTCGATTGCTTACATTGATTTCCTTCGGGTTTCTTGTTTGCTTGCTTTCTCAGTCAGCTGGAAATTGAAGCGAAGTGAATGAAGAAGATCAGCTTATTCGTAGCCATTGTTCTTGGTTTTGGACGTCTCTTTTCTTTTTCGTTTTCCCAACACATAAATTTTCTTTTAGGTTTGTCTTGTGACACTACTCGCTGTCGCAGTCTTGTACAAAAATATAAACACAGTTTTTTGGATTTGTTTCGTTCTCTTCCTAATTTTATATGCATCTCTGAACAATGTAGATATTGAGAGACGTAAATCAGAAGTCGACGTTCGTGCAGCAATTTTAGCATTTTACTGTTTCAGTGAACAAATAACCTAAATATTGAGTATGTTTTACGCGGGCTCCATTAAAATAAAAACTATGTTCAAAGCTCATTCTTATTACCAAGTACCAACATAAACTTGGACAAAGTACATGGAATCATCATCACACAATCCAGTACATGGAATAAGTGGCACAAACACAGAAACTAATATGGGACATTATTGGGCAAGTTTCTGATGACATTACTCTTCATCGCGATCTTGTTACGCATTGTCTCGCCTCTCTTGTTCATCTCCTTGATCACTTTCATCTTCACTGTGTCCTCCTTCGATGGCACCGTCCTCAGACCCATGCTCTTGTACCTGAGATTTCACCATTTGTGTGAATAACCTTAGTTTGCTGATTGACTCTCTAGTTTATAGGTCGGATGATTAATGGGTTTGGAGACAAACCTTGAGGATAGAGAAGCAACAATCTGGTTGCTGTTTTGAGAAGTTGGACGCGGCTTCTGTCTGTAGTAACGCATGAATTCACGGGAACCAAGAGTCCTAGACGTTGTTGTGTTCTCGGATCTCTCAGTGATCACGAGCTCAGAGCCACCAACAAGTTCTACAGCGTTGTCTGTTTCACCAGATACAACCATCTGGTCTCCAGTTTTATCAACATAGCTGCTCAATACAAGTATATTCCAAAGAAAGATGCAATCAGATTTGGCGTAACAAGAGGAATAGAGTTGAGAACAAGAATAACTACAGGATATAGTTGAAACCTGCTGCTGTAGTCGTAGAACTCTTCTAGCTCAGCATCTTCATCATCATCACCATCACCGTAATGCAATTTGCAATGACTCTTTGCTTCCATATGCTTCCTTACAGCTTCTAAGCTGCTGAAAGCATGGCACAGCTCATTGCAGTAGAGACACATGAAGTCTCTCTTCACCTGAATGATAAAGCCATGTATATATATGTAAATCAATAGGAATAACAAAATTCAAAGCTTTACAACAATGAACACTACTTAATATTAAATTAAAGAGTCCGAACCTTAAGACCGAGATAAGTGAGAAGTCCTTCTGGATCTTTCAGATACTCAATATCAGGAATGAAGAAGCCATGGTACTTATGCATGTGAACCATACACTTCTCCAAGGTCTTATGCTTCTTGTCACACATCAAACAGCAGGTTGGATCCAGCTCATACTTCTCTACACCATCTTCATCCATATCTTCTTCCTCAGCAGGTCCGGACTCATTCACATTCAACTTAGACAAAGAATCAGAGACCAATTCCTCGTCTGAATCAGCTTCCACCCATTCATCTTCACTCTCCTCGCTCTCGTTGTCCTTGACACGGCGAGGAAGTTCCCTGATTATCGCTATATCCTCCTCTCCGTTGATTGATGTCCCTTGTGAAACCCGCAAAACGTGGCTCCGAGACTTGAGATGCTGCTGATGAGCCTGACTACTCCTGTAACCTTTGCTACAGATTCCACAAGTGTAAAGCATAGGTGCTTCATCTGATTTCCCTTTCTCCTGATCAAGAGCAGATTGTCTTGCCTCATACAAGTCTTCTGTGACTCCAGGAACTCCAGCCACCTAACAGTTGCAAAAATGAATTCTTAAACCCTTACGACAAAATTGCATAATCCAAAGATTCAAATGCATAGATTTACACATCAAGAATTAAAAATAATATCAACCCTAGAGAATCTCTTCTCTTCTCCTGCACGAGATACGAGTTCTAAAGATAAAACCATTTCGATTGGAAATGGAAAAGTTTGTTTTCGCGGATATTTACATCTTATCTAACCAAAAAACATCAGAATTTTCTCGAGAAAGCGAATAAATCAGACTTCTAATTCGATTCACAGCGAGAGAAAATCACCTTGCGCTTGAGGTTGTAGCGGTGCCAATCGGACTTGTAATGAAGGTTTCGCTCAGCTTCGTCCTCGAACTCCATGTTACACGCGTTACATGTTAAACCAGGCATCTCTCCCACAATCTCGATCACGATCGGAGCAAGAAAATCAGAGAAACGTTGTTCGAAGATAAGGATTGCTTTATGTATAGCGACGGCTCGGCGAAAGAGGGAAACGCCCAAATGAATCGATTGTGTTTGTCGACAAAAAGCGTCGATTGATTGCCGTCGAAATTGAAAAAAAACCCGATCGGGTCAGTTCCTGACCCGATATAAATGAGCCCATTTGTAATTAAAGTGGCCCATTACTTTAGCTTAATTTGTTTTTTAATGATACCAAATTTGTTGCAAAATGAAAAAATAAGTTTACAGAAATTTGGATATGGTGTCACACGATGTCGGATCACGATCTTACTCTGTAGTGATGAGTTTAGTCAGTCACCAAAATTTTCTATCTCAGTGTAATTTTGATTTTGCGTAATTTTATTAGGGGTAAACAATTTTCAACCGCAGCCCTGTAATTTAGGAAACTTCACCAAAAGAATAAACCACATCGAAGAAACAATAAAATAAAAAAAGAGAGAAAAGAGAACAAGAAGACGACAAATAACGAGAAACTCCCTATTTTCATTAACACTTGATTATTTCCTTCAACGAACTCTCTCCCTCCTCTCTTCTCCAATGGATTCCGACTCCGGTTATCCCGCCGGACCACGTCAACCTGGAGCCGGAGGCAAGATTGTTCGACCACGGCGTCGGTCAGCCGTCGTCAGGACGCCGTACGAGCGCCCCGCACCCAGATCCCGGGATCCTCCTGAACAAAACCCTAGTTGGATCTCCAGGCTCGTTTACAAACCTGCCAGCGTAATTGCCTCCGGCGCCGGGAAATTCATTTCTTCCGTCGTCTTCTCGGAATCTTCTTCGTCTTCTTCAGAGGACGAGGATTCATCTTCAGGTATGTGTTGGCTACAAACAAAAAATTTAGAATTTAATTTGGGTTTCAGATAAGATTAGTTTCCGGTAACGGGTTTTGAAAATTTTGAATTTTTATGGTTAATCTGAAACCCTACCGTTTCATTTGAAATGTGAATTTGATTTAAAGTTTTTCCCTTTTTTTTTCTCTTTCCTCTGTTATGGGACTTAGTGAAGCAGTGGTGAAGCACTGCTACTCTATTAATTTGTGAAGCTCTATTTTGTATAAAGATGTTCAGATTCAATTAGTTCCTTGCTGTAATGTAGTTCTGGGTTGAGAAGAAGAGGCCAGCTTTGCGTCTTTGTTCGTCTCTTTTTCAAAGTAGGTTTTATATGTTCTCCTCCTTATTTGCAGACATTGATGGTGATGATGATGATGTTGAGAAGAACATTACCGATTTTACTGAAGATGAAACAATGGTAGAGCCACTAACATCGTACTTCAATGGAAGTATGATTTCAGTTTATTTGTAGTGAAATTGTTGAAAATGATGTGTTCTTGTGTAATTAGGACCTTGTGAATGCCCAGCAATCAACTATCCAACGACTCAGTTCTAAGCGTGTAATTGAGCAGCTTCTCATGCAAGAAACATTTGCAAGGTATTTCCACAGTATCTACTTCTCTAGACATCATAAGTTGAACCTCCCTTTCGCCTGTACTCTTATATAAATCTCTTCATGCAAACGTATCTGTGGTATTTGTTGTATGAGCTTGCTGAGTCATTGATGTGTCTGTTATTTCAGGGAAGAGGGCGACAGATTAATAGATATCATTAAGGCCAGGGTTGTAGATCATCCCAGTGTCCCTGCTGCTGATGAGAGTGGTATGTAATTGATGGTAGACTGTGCAAGCAAGCAGACTGGATTAGTCTGTGTGATAACATTTTCTCGCTTTTATTTCTAGATGTGAATGTGGGTGAAACCTCCAATAAAGCTGTCATGGAAGCGAAAAGATGGTTCCAGGAGAAGAGATCAGCATCAAGTTCAAAGAATAAAGTAAGTTCTGGAAACCCTTCTGTATTGTTGAAATATCTTGTCTTTGTGCTCTGGGTCATATTGTTTTTTATCAAACAGGGACATCTTCTGTTTGTGTAAAATCCAGTGTGTGATTTGGTTGCTCGATACTTTCCTCATCTGATTAGAAATGTAGACCTCTATAGCGAAAGTAGGTTGTTAAGGATTTTGAGTAGGACGGAGATTATATCCTCACAAAAATTTGTTCATCTTCTGATAGTTATTGTTCACCAGTATTCTGCCATTTGTAGTTTCTTCTCCAATATGCTTTATACAACGATCACCACCTCATCCATTGTTTTCAATCTCCAGGCAACTGAAGATGGTGCTGGATCGCCTGTGGATGTGGCCAAGTCATATATGCGAGCTCGTCTGCCATGGGGTTCTCCAGCTGCGAACAGTTCAGAGTTTCGGTCACCATCACCAGCAGGGATGCATCTTCTTAAAGAAGGGACACCGTTTCCTTATAGCGCTGGAAACTTTTCCTCTTCCAAGGTACAACAGAGCCTCAAGTTTTCCAGTTTATTACGCAGTGCAGTGCATACTTTTCTTATGGTTAAATGTTGTTTGGAAGTCTGAAGTTGTTTCGTCCTGCTTACGATACAAAAATCTCTGTTTCACTTCATGTTCGTGTTAGTTATACTATTCAAAAGAAAAGTTGCATACCATCATGTATTCTGACTTTTGGTACAAAAAAATGCAGCTGAAAAGGAGATCCCGTTCTAACCAGTCATGGAATATCCACGATGAACTTCGCAAAGTCAGAGCTAAAGCAACCGAGGATATGCTTAAAACTGTATCCCCCAGTAGTGTAGCCTCGTTGGAACCTAAACGCATCTCCTGTAAGGAAATTCTTTTATTTTCGGTTCAGTAATAGATAACGTGACAAACTCAATGTAATTTCCCCTCTGGTTACATGTAGTAATTCATTTATCTGCTCTTTCAGCTGTTAGGAATGAGCAAAGCGGTCAACCAAATTCAACCTCTGATCAAGCCGTTGAAGAAACTGGAGTTTTAACTAGATCTCGTTAGTTTCTCCCTTCATCCTTTCTTTGTATTCACTATTTCATCTTTGGTTTTGGTTTTACAATACTCTGTTTCATGGATTTTATGTTTAATGCTTAGGTCGAGTTGGTTTGGACGAGACATTTATCTCCACACAAGGAATCAAGCCGTCTGCAGCTACGAATACGGCCCCTCCAAGGTTTTTACTGCGCATATATATCCCTATTCACAAAGATTGTTTCTCGTTTCTTCTGGACAGATTCCTTTTTCTGTATATCCATCTTCATAAGTTTTTCAACTGCATTTGATAGTGGAACTGGAGTAAATGACTCTAATGATCAAGATGACGACTTTATCCAAACTAGGTCAACTGTTGGAGACACCACAAATGGTAACACTCGAACTCCTTTGGTTTTGGATGATGTTTAGTGGTTCTCTTTATTTACTCTTACTCCTATTAATGCAGCTGTCTTGGCTCTTGGGGCAACTTTGGATCCAACTGGGAACTTTTGTATCCCAAAAGATGTGTTTGAAACATCAAAAGAAGCTGATGAGATGGGCGCAACACATCCTTCTTCTAACGGTTTCAAATCTTCATCACCTAGGTTAAAAACACAGCTCTTTCCGAAAAAACTCCTTTATATAATTTTGACATTGTTTCCTACTAAGCAAGACCTTACTTTTTCAGCTCACCAGTGGCAACCAAGGCTTCTCAGCCTATAGCTGAAACTCCTGGTGAAGATATCATAGCAGGGAATGGCTCAGATGGTGTGATTGAAAACGAAAACAACAACAGCGACTCGAGCGCCTCACATAACAGTTCAAGCACGCATGAAGAAGATTGGCTCCCAGGAGACCATTCTCTACTAAACTCAAACTCAGCAAGTAGCAGCCCAGGTACTACCAAGGTCTTGGCATACTCCAGAAGAGGAAGAGGCCGAGGTAGAGGAAGAGGTCGAGGAGCTCGAGGCAAAGGACGAGCCAAGTAAAACTGTAAGAAGAGCTGTACACAAGCAACAACCTAATGCAGTAGGAGAGTATTATTATTTATGAGGTAGGAGTATGTGACAATTCTCTTTTTAGATTACAATCCCACTCTGTTTATTATGTGTTTGATCACTTCGTTATCTTCTTTAGGTTTTCTTCTAGTATTTTGAGTTAGGAAGATTTGTTCTTCTGGAGTTATGTCGAATTGTGTCTCTGTTTTCTTAATTTCTGAATGTTTTTTGTTTATGCTGTAAGTTTGAAGCTTTATTTCGTTCTATCTGACAAAGCTTTGGAGTTTGCAAATTTCCTCCTTTTGGTTGTTCAATGCCAAATTTTAAATTTTTTTACTTGACCAAAAAGCCAACACATGATTATTTTGGGTAATCCTTTCATCTTCTAAATAGTCACGTCGGTCAAATACATTACTTTCAACGCAAATTCTGACATGATCCAATGTACGGCCTAGTTTCAGAATTAGATGAGGTCACTCAGATCAGAACATTGCAAAGATGACTGATAGGATTCAATCTAGTGTTGCGAGTTTCTGATGTCAACTTGATTTAATCCAAAGTACAAAAAAGCAATACGAGCAAAAACAACCCAATAAGCAAATTTTATCAAGACAGAGACGGAGAGAGAAAGAGAGAGAAAGAGAACACACCAAAAAATAAACAGACAGAACAAAAAAAAAAAGTAGAAGAAGAAAACGAACAAAACTCAATAAGCAGAGATCGAAGCTAATAAACACAGAAGAAGGAAAAAGCTCGGACATTCAAATCTGGAAGCAATACGAGGAAGATTATTCAAGGAGTCTGAGAAATCATTGGTTTGGTCGGAAGTTACTTCTTTTGTTCGGTCTTTTTTTTTGGTTTTAATTTGTCTGAATTCTGGTCAAGCTCAAAATCAATCTTGCAACACTTGTATTCCTGCTTACAAGCTTGGGTCCCGCTTCTCATTGCCCCGCTTCCTCCATCTCCAATTCGAATTTCATCTTTTTCACGGCAATTCGAATTCGTTGCTCTGTTCTCAAGCTCGAATCAAATTCTCCAACTCCACTGATCTCGATTTGCTCCAACTGGTGAAATCCCTGGGATTCTTCAACTTCTCAGCTTCCGAATTGGGGCGTGAAAGAAATGCTGCCTTTCTCTCTTCTGATTCAGTTTCTTCCTCTTACCCACTCGTGAAGTTGTCGAAAGGAGGTTAGTTGGTGATTCTTCCTTGTGACGGAATGATTTGGTCACTCTGAGCTAGGGTTTGTCGTATATTGAATCAGCCGAGATTGGATTTTCAGGTTCTTGGTGTAGATAAAATGTTCTCTAGGGTTTTGGATTTGGCTTGAAATGGTCCTGGATTTGAGTTTGACAAGTTTCAAGTTTATGAGCTGGATCTGTTGAGAGGGTGCAGCTCCTTCGTGCACTCCTCTTGACTGTTTTCATCTGGTTTAGAAGAAGAAGAAGAAGAAGAAGAAGAAGCACCAAGACAAGTATGCAACGTGTACAAGATCCACGGATTGATCTGGCAGAGATGAAACTGCATATTGTAAAGAAGATTGGTGTTGAAAGATGTAGAAGGTATTTTTACTACTTGGGCAGGTTTCTGAGTCAGAAGCTTACTAAGAGTGAGTTTGATAAGTCATGTCACCGTCTTTTGGGGAGAGAGAATCTTGCTCTTCACAACAAGTTGATTCGCTCCATCTTGAGAAACGCATCAATGGCTAAATCTCCACCACAACCAGTTCACAAAACCGGCCACGCTGACAAATCTTTGGTGCTTGGTCAAGAAGATGGATCTCTTGTCCCTAACCATAATAGGAACGATCCTGTTTGGTCAAACGGGGTGTTACCAAAGGTTCGGTCTGGAAATTGCGATAGGCCTAGTCCACTTGGGCCAAACGGAAAGGTTGAAACTCTGTTGCATCAGCCACTTTGTAGAGAAGATAGACACACTGTGAACGGGGATTTGGGTCCGTTGGCTTACCAAAGATCAGGCCGGTACGCTGATGAAAGAGGTGGTCAGGTCGCAGCTTCAGTAAGCAGAGAAGATGAAGCTCAAGAAGAGAGAGGTGGGAGATTGAATCTCTCCACGAGTCCTGTGCTTGCACCTCTAGGGATTCCGTTTAACTCCAGGAGAACAGTTCCAGTTTCGACGACGGGTGACTTTATCAGTTGCTATGACAGTGGTGGATTATCAGAGACAGAGATGTTGAGAAAGCGGATGGAGAGTATTGCAGTAGCACAGGGTCTTGGAGGGGTTTCAGCGGAGTGTTCGAGTATGTTGAATAATATTTTGGACGTGTACCTTAAGAAACTGATCAAATCATGCGTTGATTTGGCTGGAGCTCGGTCCATGAATGGGGTGCGGCCGAGTATACAAACTAGCAACCAACCATCTGACGTGACGCAAGAGCAGCATTCGGTGTCTTTGCTTGACTTTAGAGTTGCGATGGAGCTGAATCCGCATCAACTTGGGGAAGACTGGCCATTGCTTCGGGAGAGAATCTTCATGCGTTCATTGGAGGAACGAGAAGGGGTGTGAAATGAAAATGTTTGGCATGTTGAATGCTGCAAATTGTCTGAGCAAGCTGATCTGGTGGCTCATGATGGACCTGATGGCTGAAGAACACATCAATGTCCTGTAGCCGCAGACTCAGGGCAGCTTGAAATTAGAAAATGTTGTAAGATCAGTATTGATGAGGCCATCCCAGCGAGTTTCAAGCTGTGTGTGTAACGCGCAGGCCGATAAGAGGGAATCAAGAAGAAAGTTTTGGCAGAGATAATGTGGGTACAAAATAATCATGTAATAGCTGCAGTATTGCTGTGTATGTAACATAGTCATAGATTTTGCTTTAGAATTCATATCTTGGAAGACACATTGACATCACTTTTTACTTTACTTTTACATTTACATTTTTGTTTTCTCATTTCAATGCAAAGGTTATTTTCAAAGTCCTCGATGAATTGCCTCACTTTTTTTACATTCTACTTGGTGGTTTTGCTTGCCTGTTTCTTTTGCCTTGCTAGGGAACATGTCTAATGCTCTCTGGCTATAGAGATTTGTGAAATAACTTGATTCTTTGTTGCTTTTAACACAAATTGTCCGAGATTAAGAATTTAAGATGATACATTTGTTTGTCAAGTGACATCTTTTTCCACATTTCCCACTTTACATTTGCGGAAATAAACAGGAAACAGACGAAAAGACAAGGAAAAAGGATAGGGAGAAAACAGGTATGAGAAAGAGAGACAGAGCTGGTGTGAATTGGTATGTACAGAAAGGAAATGGTGAGACCCTTTTTAGGCAGGTTCCATTGTTTGTTCACATGCTTTAGATGAAAGAAATGCTACTACGAACGAACGAAGAAGAAGACGGTTATTTAGAGGAGGAGGAGGAGGTTTCTGCAGTGGCTTTGCAGATAGGGCACCAACTCTTCATCCGCAACCACTCTTGCACACACTTCACATGGAATGTGTGCTCACAGTGTAGCCTTCCAACTTCATCTCCTTTTGTATACTCTTCCTGAAAAACCACAAAGATCAAGCAAGGTATGAAGTAATCTAGGCAAAGAAATTTTCTGTTTTCTCATATCCATATCAGTTCTATATTCATCTAGCAAAGCTTGGTGAAGTTCACTAGTTATAGGAGCTCAAAGAGATTTTGCTTAAGATTTCAATTATTAAAGCCAAAAGACTTAAACATGACAAAAGAGACAGACCTGGCATATGCTGCATTTGGCTTCTTCCTTCTGATCAGCATCTTCCTTGTGGTCACAAGGACTTTTGGTGATAGGCCCATAACTGGAAGGCTTCTTCTGATAGATGCTTGTTTTCAAGCACTTTGATATTGCTTCTTCTGTGAGAGCAGTGCTTACTGTACCAATTCTCTCTTCTAGAGCTAGTAGCTCCTGTAATCATTCGAAAGAAAAGTCAAAACTGTACAGTAACTATGTCCCAAAGCGTCACATGGGTTTGAAAGATGTAAAGACAAAAACCTCATATGACATGTTATCGATGTCCAGCCTCATGTCTCGGTGTTGGTCATACAAGCTTAGTCCACCGAGAAGTAAACCCGTCTCCATGATAAGCAGTTCCTGTTAAAGGAGAGGAAAATTTTATGAGTAAAAATACACATCTCAATATCTGAATATAAACACATGTATGAAACTCTAACCTCGTAATTAAGCTCAATATCTTGTTCGATCCTATCAAGTTCTGGCAAAATCTGCAAAAACCATTCGAGCAAATAAAAAACAAGATTTCAAGATGTGAAAGTTGTAGAGTAACAAGGCAAATAGTCACCTCAGAGATCCCATCTAAATTGTAACTACGGAAACTGTCTTGACTCGATAAGGAACCAGAGAGACCAAACTCTGGAAAACCAGAGAAGAGCTCCAGAGAGACAGGAGAGTTGAGATTGTTGGATGCATCAGTTTGAGACATATCCGCTGTCGTAATAGAAGGTAAACCGTTTCTACCACTCCCTCGGTTTGAGAATCTAATGCGACCACTACTTCTATTCACCGACCTCTGACTCCCAACTAACGTAACATCATTGTCATCATTCAAAATGCTTTGTCTTCCCCGTCTGCTATCGGAAACAGGACCTCTCGGGTTAAAACCACGGCGTCTCTCTTCAGCTATCGGTTCTGTTATGTTCTTCCCTCTAGCTGAGGAGCTAGAACTGCTTTCTCCATAAACTTTTCTCTTGCTGATTGTGTCTGCCTTCCTGCTTAATCTTGTGTCCAATCCAAAACCACTTGGGATCACACCGGATAACAACGGGCTGCATCCCCGGTTTGCAGATGTTGGCTGGTGACCAGAAGGACCGGGACGAAACTCTTGCTTGCTCAACCCAAATCTCTCCCTGAAACCTCTCTTGATTCTTGAGCTTGATGGCAACTTTGAGGACTCTGCTTCGGCTTTTCCATAAACAACTCTTCTTTTATCACTTCCAAGTTCCAAGATCTCTTCCGTCTCTGCCTCGTCTTCTTCGCTTCCTCTGCTGCTCTCTGATGAATCAATGACTTGCTTCTCGCTTTTCACAGAAGAGGAGGAGCTAGAGCCACAGATCTTGGAGGAAGTTCCAATTACTTCCTTCCCATTTGGCGAAGAGCGGTATGAAGACAACACTGACTTCTCTTTCTTGTCTGAAGAGCCAACAAACCGAGTAAACTTCATTGGTTTCTTCTCGTCACTGCAAATAGGAACCTTGCAAGCATTGTTGTTAAATCTGTCTCTCAAAACAACACCAGCTCCTTTTCTAGAGTCAGGTCGTGTCTCAATGGCTCTTTTACCTGACCACCGATCCATGAACTTCTTAAATAGATGCAATACCTGTAACAAAAAATAAATTCATATCACATGTTGATGGTTTTTTAAGAAGATGCAAATAAAATTGAAACCTTTCATAAGATGATCCAAAAAGGATGTCTATTTTCACTTCTCAGTACATTAGAATCATCTTGACAACGAACTAATTTCAAAACTTCTAATGAACATAAAAACAATCAAATATCTTGAACATGAAGAGAAACAACTCTGTACTAATTTCAGTTTTTTAGACTTCTGTAATTTTTTCCATGTTTTATGACTCGAGAGAAACAAAACCGAAAATGTTTTTCTCACATGGTCCAAACAAGAGAACAAGTGATTCAGAATCAAGAGCAATGAAATCATGAATCTCCAAAACATTTTAAAACACAAAAGTCAAAATCGTAAAACTAGACCTCCGGATTATTCAGAGAGAACCAAAAATATTTGCCAAGGAGAAGGAATGGATTTTAGAAGCTAAGCTCGATTACCTTTCGATTTTGTCCTATCTTCTTCTTCCTGGAAATTGGAGCATGAAGAAAATAGAAGAGCGTTTCTTCTTCTTTGTTGGCGATATTTTTTCCTTCGGTTTTCAACTTTTTTTAATCAAATGTTTATTTTTATTCCATAAAAGCAAAATTTACATAAATTGACGATTATTATAAAAAAAAGAATCTGAAATGACGGAGACGCAAAGATCCTCGCCGTCTATATTGGGGCCGGAATATCTGACGGTTGGTAGAGATTGCGACGTCTCTAGGTAGTGGTAGAGAACTAAAGATAATAAACAAAGTTAATTTGACCAAATTTTTTTTTTTTTTTTATAATGAAACAAGAGAAGAACATCATGAGAATTCCAAGACACATCTAAGTATTTGATAACGAATTATGCACGACGAAGGATAATATATTTTAGTTATCTGTCCTCTATTAGGGCAACAAACATCTATCCTTGATCCTTGATTTTGTATTTTTTATTCACTTTACTTTTTAATTGTTTTTTCTAAAGCAAATGATTTGTATTGTTTGTTATCGTATTGCTTTTAGTATCTCTTTATTATTTGAGTTTTTTTTTCTTGGTAGAAAATAATGTTATATGTGACTTTATGGTAGAGCAACAAAATTCCTTAAATTAGAAGATGACAAATAGATCCAATGGATCCAATGTTTTCGAAAAATACTTTTGTTGATAGAATAAATACATACTAGAAATCATTAAAGAGTTACATGAACAAAATTTCGATTAATTTTCAACATGTTAAAACTTTAAGAAACACATGCAAAAAAACCCATTAGGCATTGGAAAAATATGAATGTTACGGAAAAAGATTATACCTAATGAGTTATGACTTACCATTCAAGATTGATAGGATAAAATTCTAAAGAGGTGAAAACCGTTTATTACAAGACTTTTTCGACATCGACCAAAGTCAAAAACTGAGTTTATGGGATTCGTAGGGGAGGAATCGAACCTATAACCTACAACATCACTTGCTTCTCTCATCTTCCAATTCCAAAAACGTTGAAGAAACTCAGCAAAAGAAAAAGAGAGCCAGCACTCTAAGCACTAGCAAGAGAAGCTTCTTTAATCCAATCATGATCATCATCTTTGTGTGACTCTGACCCTCCAGCTTCAAGAGAAGCTTCTTCCTCACCCTTCTCTTCTCCGCCTCCAAACATCTGTCTTCTAGCTTCCTTACGAGCCACCCTACGAGCATCTTTCTTAGCTATATTCAAGTCTTTGAATCCTTGTTCGAACTTGGCTTCATCCTCTGGAGTGAAGAAGGCTACTTCCATTTGACCTAGCTCTGCATACCTTTGCTCCACTTTGGTTTTCCAGAAGAGACCCATCTCTGTGTCCATCTTTTGGTACGGCGTTTTCAGAAGGTACTCGTCGATTCCTCCTGCTTTGTCGATGCAGCGGAGAGCGTGCATTGTCACTTTCACTTTGATGTGACGGTCGAATATGTAGCTGAACAATCGCTTCTCCTGAACGTTCGGTTTCCAACATCTTCTTGACCTGTTCTCAATTCATACCACAACGTTACAAGTCTGAGATCAACACAAAGTTACCAAAATAATGAAAATCACATATCATCTCTACTTCCAAAGCAATCAGAATTAAGAATCTAATTTCAGGACCTGAATCCTACATTGGCAATTTTCATCGCACCATGTATGCATTATTCAGAAAATTGAGAATCTTTAGAAAGGCATGACACTGAAGCAGCGCATCAAGAGCTATAAACAACTCATAAGGCACTGTTGAATCTCTAATCAGCTGATGAGAATTTGAAATGCTACTGAATAGTTTCAAACGCGAATCCAGATTTCATTTTCAACAATCTAAAAAGCCTAAATCACGAAAGCATTCATACAAACCAGCAATTAGCAGTGCAGATGCTTCATTTAGTGCCTAGTGCAAAATTCAACCATACGAATACGCATAAATGTAAACAGATTGAGAGGGATATAGAGTAAGAGAGACTGACTTGTTGCCACCGTCTTCGCTGATGCGGTTTCCGAACTGGATATGGCGGCCGGCGTAGAGACCGCGTTTGGCTCTGCCCATCACGACTTTGCTATCGGGAACACAAGCCTTGAGCTTCTCTTTAAGCTCCGGCGTCAGATTCTCCGCTCCCACTTTCTTCACCAGCTTCTTCATCATTTCCTTCCCTCTAAACGCCATTTTCGTTTCTCCTTCCAAATTCGCAGATCGGAAAAGCTTTTCTTCCCCCAAATCTATCGGCAAATGCTCTTCTCTCTGGTATAATAAACCTGGAAATGGGGGAAAAAGACGGTTTAGCCAACGATTTTAATAAACCGGAAGAAAATAGCCAATATAATCCGGTACGCTGTTTCGCCTAATCGGCTCGAATTGAAGTTGGGTTGAGAAATTTGTGAGACATGATCGTAGAGAAGCAGACCTGAAGTGAGCTAGGCCACGTAAACGACGGAAGATGTGCGAGGAAGCGACGGTCCAGCCACAAGGAAGAAGAAGCCTGAGTCGACGTTTTCAGCCGGCGATGAAAGAGATCTTAGGGTTCAGTTTCTGAGATTGGTTGGGCCTTCGTAGGCCCAAGTGAATTTCTCTCCTCTTAAATTATGGTCCGGTTTTCATTTCACACCCAATCTCAACTTGTGTGAATATAATGCCCGGTCCTCCCATCTCAACTGAATCGTAAATGAACCGGAAAACAATATGTAAAATCAAACACACTATATAAAACATCATTTGGTGTATATTTCCGAAAATTACAACAAAATTTTAGAGATGTTTACGATGTGATTTGTTATCTACACTTTCAAACACGCATGAAACTGTGTGAAACCGGTTCATTTCGGAATGGGAAATCGGTTCCAGTACGTTCAAGTCTCGGTTAATGGAACATATCGTCGTATACAATTACCAGATGAATTTGTGAAAACAAAAATCATACTACACAGTATTCAAAAGGGTGGTTGTCCAACAATATTACCCGGAGGATCATAATTACAAATGATAAATGTGCCACCACCGCTCTTGCAAAAATTAATTTCACACCCAATCCTCAAGCTCTTCTTCCACACAAGTTGCGTGTAATGCAAACAATCCCCATTCATGCATCGGTATGTCCTCCGGTCATAGTGGTTCTTCTCCGAGGCCCATGCAACCACCGCGTCTCGTGGGGTCCACCCTTTTCCGCTTCCCCAGAAGAGATTCTCTCCGTAAGGTCCACCGGAGTGGACAAGCTTGCAGTCTCCTAGGCGGGTTCGTGCCCACCTAGTCGCGTAGAGGGCGAGATTGTTGCTCCATTTGAGAGGAGGGAGACGAAGCTTGGCTCGTAAGGTGTTGTGTGGTCGGAGAAACTGCTGCTGAACGGTGTTGCGGACTGGAGTTTTGTATTGAGAAGAAGTTGGTGGTGGTGTTTTGCCGGATGAGGTTTGAAAAGAGAGACAAGGAAGGGGAGTGGTGATGATAACGATGATGATCAATATCAATATTTTGGGTTCCATTGGGAAGATGGGTTAGATTTGATTGTGACCCTATAGATCTACGACTCCATGTTTATATATATGTACTATACAGACCATTGTTTATCTTTTCATATTTGTAGTCTACATAAAAAAAAGAATCTAAACACATGCTTTGTGTTAATAATGTGTAATGACAAGTGCTAATCATTTCGGTGGAACATTGATTATTTGTAGGAATGATTCTCATAATTAAAGGTGAGGGCTATGAGTTTAGAAAAAACAAAAAAAAAATTCCAATTATTGTTTGCATCAAGATTTTGGTTCATCAACAGAGATTAAGACCTTATCTTCAGGAGTAAACATTATCTAAAGCTTCTCTGTCAACCAAGTGTTTAGCACATGTTGAAGAAGACAAACAAATACTAAACAAAACAGACTGTTCATAGTTTTACTTTTGAGTTTGGTCATCAGATGATGATCATCAAAGTGTTATTATAACAAATTAAGAGAACCGAAAGCTTCAAGTAGAAGCCTACGTTTATGGATACATGATGTTCTTGTAATAAATCATTCTCTACTTTGTTATAGACTGCTTGCTCTTCTTCTGTTCAATATTTTTCCAATGACTAATCATATACTTCGATCGGAATCGAGATAATTAAGATTCTAAATTTCTAACACAATCTTTTAACTTGATCACCATGTACTAAAGAGGTCATGAAAAGAAGAACCTTTAAATTTCAAGCTCCCAAATAACGTTTAGAATGAAAAGAAAAAAATGTACATATAAATGAAAAGCCATGGCGAGTGATAAAGCTCATAAGAAGTCACACTCACAGCAAAAACTAGCTTAGACTCTTATGTTATAAACCTGGAATCCACAGCATAGTCTACAAACGCATTAACTACGCAATCAGCCTCAAACGCTTCATGGTATCCTCCAACACCTCGGACTTGAACAGTTTGGAGAGTGTTACTTTCGGGATTGAAGTAGAAAACGTAAAACAAGGGTTTAGATGTAAACCTGTCCGACAAAACAATCTCACCTGTACTAGTCATCCCAACAACGAAAACATTACAGACGAAGACTTCATTCTCCGGCAAAGTGTAGACATATATTCGACCATCTCTGTTTGTTGACACTCTCTAGAACACACATGGTCAACACAATGGCATCATCATCATCATAAGTCAATTCAATCCCACCTAATTTACCCTTATAGTTGATCAATTTAGTAGCGTGTGGCACACGAAAGCATTTTGCATCAACAAACTTGAATACCTCAGTCCTAACATAAAAGCAAACTATCTGGCAAGACGTTTCACAGTTATTCTCCTCACCCATGTAGTACAAAACCCCATCTATGCATATCCCTTCACTCACAGGCACATGTTGTAAGATACATGTGATCTTCCTCCAACTCCTTTCTCCAGTTCCTAATGTCATAATTCTATGATCACCACCTTCGAAACAATATGGATAAGCCATGAACAATACTTTGAAGTGCTTCTCAATCGGACCATACCCTATAAAGCTATAGGACTTTCTGTACCTACTCAGCTCCGGTAAACTCGCCTGCTCTCCGGTGATAGGGTTATATATCAGAGGCTGTTCGCCTTCATCCGTCTCAGTGCAGAAATAGATCAAACGAGAGGTAAGGCCACGAAAGACTGGGCACAAGTCTTGAGAGATCTTCATGTGAAAATCAGCGGCTACAACAAGAGACTTCTCATGCTGTTTCTGATGAGGCTGAGGCTGCGGCGATGAGAAGATGAGAACTTCATCGTTGGCTCGTTGGAGCGCGAATAGGAGACGTGGACGGATATGTATTGAAGCATATAGCTTGGACACGCAACGAAACCTCGCGATTGACTTTATTCCCATGCAATTTTGGGAATATCTCCTCCAGAATGAGATCCATTGGTATGGAGGAATCAGAATCTTCTCCTCTATTCATGATCGTTTCTTTAAGAGAGCTTCGAGTTAGCGTCGCTGCAGCGTCCGTCATTGGTCGACTCAAAATCACACAATTCTGAAAGGATTCTACCAAGAAACCCTCTTTTTGAAACGCAAACCCTAGACGAGTTTCGTGCTTTACAAGGTAGCCCATTTTAAAGAAGGGGCCTGGTTTCACACACCACAAGTCATGTGGCGGTGCGAATACGTACATTATTTTTAAGCCAAAACAGCGAGGAAACAAAACCAAAACCCTAAATCATTGGACATCGAGAAGTGAACTAGCGTCAAATACCTCGTGTGCGATACGAAGCTCAGGAAACTGAGGTATGTTCTCGTCCCACTTAATAATCGCCAATTGGTTTTAAATTATGTAAGTCCAGAAAACCTAATATATTAGAAAAGTAGAAACCTAACTGCCATTAGTTTATTTCATTCTGATTGAAAGAGTCATCAACAAAATTCAAGTAATGGCGAACAACGAGGTTGCTGAGGCTAAATACGTGTATGCTCAGACGTGGGTTTGTTGGGACATAGAGTACTGTCCTGTTCCCAGAGCTTGTAAACCTGAGAGGATCGCCGAGCAAATAAGATCGGCGCTGGTTAAATTAAACTACCTCGGTCCAATCTCCATCTCCGCCTATGGCAACATGGATCACATCCCTCCTTCCACCAAGAAAGCTCTCTCTTCCACCGGAATCCTTCTTAATCACGTCCCTCCCGGTTAATCTTCTTTTATCTCTTAATTTTTATCATCAGTATATTAATTACTAGTACAAGTAAGACTATTTTTCTGATCGAGTCTTTTAATTATTATTATTTTTTTCTGCTATTGAAACAGCTGAATTTGAGTTACATATTTTCGACGAAATATTGTCTTGGCAATCTGATAATCCAGCTCCGGCTAATATAATGGTAATCTCCCGTGGCGAATTGCTCCCTGGTGATCGTGAAGAAGAACAATCGGACGACGGATACAACATTCTTCTCGCACATCCTCCACATCCTCCATACTATTTCATCGCTTCTGCAAAGACCACGTGGCTATGGAGAAGCATAATTGATGCATGAACCAGTAATAACCGACCCAATCTTGCCTTGATTTCTAAATTTGACCCCATCTTCTCTTATAGACATGCACGTTTTGGTTATGTTGTTACTTTTGTGTCCTATGAGTTTAGAAACAGAGTTATGATGACTTTAGACAGAGAAAAAAAAAACATAAACTGCGGAATCGAAATGGTTAAGATTCAACACCATCTTTTTATTTTGAACATGTACTAAAGCGGTCTAGAATGAAGAAAAGACACGCAACGTTGGATCAAACGTCGTAACACTCTCGGTCTCGGACATGTAAATGAAGAACAGAAAGAAAAATGTGAAAAATCCAACGGAGCTCAAACAAGCAAGTCATACCAAAAAAAAAAAAAAAAAAACTCTGGTTTAATCCTAAAGGTAAATCAATAAGCTCATTTTATAAAGTTTGGGCTTATTTCGTAAACATTTAAAACCGTAGGGCACTAATTTTCTCAACTTCAATTTAATTGGGCTTTTACATCAATCAAAGTTTGGGCCTCTAAATCACACAGAGGAGAATAAATATCGGATTTCGACGAGTGAACACAAGACGAATCCACTCTGTGCGGGAGAGTTTTCATTTCCCCTAGATCCAAATCTCTCTTGATTCCAAAGCATTTGTAACTCCGTGGATCTCTCCTCCTCTCCTAGGTTCGTCTCTCTGTTTAACTTTGACAAGTGGCTCAGATATTGTTTAGATTCATCCCCTTTTGCCTTTTCGTTTTTTGAAAATCTACAGTGTTCGATTTTCTCGGAAGCTATTTCATTGATCTCGTTCAATATTGATCCGATTGCGTTAGGAAACCGATTTTCGTGTTTGTGCAGCTAAGTGAGACTGCGAACTATGTAGATTCGATTTGTTGCTCTTCAAATCTGGAGATTTGAAAGCATAGAAATGGCATTTTGTTTTGATTTTTTTTCTTGATCCGAGGCTATGTTGTAAAGTGATGGTTATCGCTGAATCTGTGGATTTACATTGTGGCATTTTCTCTGCATCTTTTTTATCCTTGATTGGGCATTACCGAATTTTCATCTGCAATTGTGATGTTAGCTCATAAACCATGATTTTAGCCATTAAAAAAAATTACAGAAACTTGCTTCATTTTCTAGTATGGAAAATTAAGTCGAGAGATTATTGCTGAGTATTTTTGTTGATACTCTTAAGCCTCGTGTTTAGAATCTGCAATGTGCAGTGATGAGGAAACTAATAAGATTCTTGTACTCGGTAATTCATACTTGAAAGTTGAAACCGCAAGAAATATTAACATTTTGTATATCTTGTTCGTTCCTATGTGATATGTACCTCATTATGTGATTAATTAGTTGTAACGATCTGAAAATCTGATTTTGGGTTAATATTCTCTGTATTCACTTTCTTTCTTATGTTGTACTGGTATTTGTTCATGTATGCGTTTCCTTTTCATTTGTGTCTTTTTTTAATTTCGGTTTCTCATTCACTTTTTTGGCAGCACCGGAAAAGATGGACAAATCTTGCACCTTGCTTGTACACTACGACAAAGGCACTCCAGCAGTTGCCAGTGAGATCAAAGAAGCTCTCGAAGGGAATGATGTTGAAGCAAAAGTTGACGCCATGAAGAAGGCGATTATGCTTTTGCTGAATGGTGAAACCATTCCTCATCTTTTCATAACTATTATTAGATACGTTCTGCCTTCTGAGGACCACACAATCAAAAAGCTGCTGCTGCTGTACCAAGAGCTGATTGAAAAAACGGATTCTAAAGGGAAGGTGATGCCTCAAATGATTTTGATTTGCCAGAGTCTCAGGAATAACCTTCGGCATCCGAATGAGTACATTCGTGGAGTGACGCTGAGGTTTCTCTGCCGAATGAAGGAGATTGAAATTCTGGAGCCTTTGACTCAATCTGTGCTGCAGAATCTGGAGCATCGCAATCCATTCGTTCGCAGGAATGCAATTCTGGCTATTATGTCCATATACAAGCTTCCACACGGCGACCAACTCTTTGTGGATGCACCTGAAACGATCGAGAAAGTTCTATCGACAGAACAAGACCCGTCTGCCAAGAGAAATGCTTTTCTGATGCTCTTCACCTGTGCTGAAGAACGAGCAGTGAAGTATCTTCTGAGCAATGTTGACAAGGTTTTGGACTGGAACGAATCGCTCCAGATGGTGGTGCTGGAGTTGATTCGAAGCGTGTGCAAGACGAAACCAACAGAGAAGGGGAAATATATGAAGATTATTATTTCTCTGCTAAGTGCAACTTCTTCTGCGGTTGTTTATGATTGTGCCGGGACGCTTGTTTCTCTCTCGTCTGCTCCTACTGCTATTAGAGCTGCTGCCAACGCCTACTGCCAACTTCTTCTTTCTTTGAGTGACAACAGTGTGAAGCTTGTTTTGCTCGATCGATTACGTACATTAGTTTTGAGCGAAAACAGCAAGGAAACAAAATCAAAACCCTGAATCATTCATTAGATTCGTCCACTTTCTGATTAGTTTATTCGAGAGGTGTGTTCTCGTCCACTTCTGCTTAGTTTATTAGATTCGTCAATATACATATTAGAAAAGTAGAAACCTAACTGCCATTAGTTTGTTGTATTCAAAGTTCAAACGTTGTAATAACACATCTAGGACTTGTAAATGAAAACCAGAAAGTAAATGTGAAAAAATCCAACGGAGCTCAAACAAGCAAGTGACACTCATAATTATCCTTAGAGCACTTCCATCCATGATTCCGTTCTCAATCGTATTCGTATTAAAAAAAACTCTGGTTTAATAGGTAAATCAATCCCTAATTACGCTCATTTTATAAAGTTTGGGCTTATTTTGTAAACATTTTAAAATGGAGGGTGCTAAGTTTGCTATTTAATTGGGCTTTTACATCAATCAAAGTTTGGGCCTTTAAGGTTGTTGACTCGTTCTTTACTTTCTTCGTTTCCAAATCGAACAAAGAGGAGAATAAAAATCGGATTTCGACGAGTGAACACAAGGCGAATCACCACTCTGTGCGAGAGAGTTTTCATTTCCCCTAGATCCAAATCTCTCTTGATTCCAAAGCATTTGCAACTCCGTGGATCTCTCCTCCTCTCGTAGGTTCGTCTCTCTGTCTAACTTTTGACAAATGGCTCAGATCTTATTGAGATTCATACCCTTTTGCCTTCTCTCTTTTTGAAAATCTACAATGTTCGATTTTCTCGGAAGCTCTTTGATTGATCTCGTTCAGTATTGATCCGATTGCGTTAGGAAATCGATTTTCGTGTTTGTCCAGCTAAGTGAGACTGCGAACTATGTAGATTCGATTTGTTGCTCTTCAAATCTGGAGATTTGAAAGCATAGAAATGGCATTTTGTTTTGAATTTTTTTCTCGTTCCGAGGCTGTGTTGTAAAGTGATGGTTAGCGCTGAATCTGTGGATTTACATTGTGTCAATGCTCTGCATCTTTTTAATCCTTGATTGGGCATTGCCGAATTTTCATCTGCAATTGTGATGTTAGCTCATAGACCATGGATTGAGTAACAGCGATCATGATTTTAGCTATTAAACAAATTTACAGAAACTTGATTCATTTGTAGTATGGACATTTAAGTAGGGAGATTATTGCTGCTTGAAAGTTGAAACCGCAAGAAATATTAACATTTTGTATACCTTGTTCGTTACTACGTCATCTGTACCTCATTATGTGATTAATTAGTTGAAACGATGTGAAAATCTGATTTTTGTGGTATAGTGGTATTTTGTTCATGTATGGTTTTCCTTTTCATTTGAGCTTATAAGTGTGTTTTTTTTTCATTTTGGTTTCTCTTTCAATTTTTTTGCAGCACCGGAAAAGATGGACAAATCGTGTACCTTGCTTGTACACTATGACAAAGGCACTCCAGCAGTTGCCAATGAGATTAAAGAAGCTCTCGAAGGGAATGATGTTGAAGCAAAAGTTGATGCCATGAAGAAGGCGATTATGCTTCTGCTGAACGGTGAAACTATTCCGCATCTTTTCATAACGATTATTAGATACGTGCTGCCTTCTGAGGATCACACAATTCAAAAGCTGCTGCTGCTGTACCTGGAGCTGATTGAGAAAACGGATTCCAAGGGGAAGGTGCTGCCTGAAATGATTTTGATTTGCCAGAATCTTAGGAACAACCTTCAGCATCCAAATGAGTACATTCGTGGAGTGACGCTGAGGTTTCTCTGCCGGATGAAGGAGATTGAAATAGTGGAGCCTTTGACTCCATCTGTGTTGCAAAATCTGGAGCATCGCCATCCATTCGTTCGCAGGAATGCAATTCTGGCTATCATGTCCATATATAAGCTTCCCCACGGCGATCAACTCTTTGTGGATGCACCTGAAATGATCGAGAAAGTTCTATCGACAGAACAAGATCCGTCTGCCAAGAGAAATGCTTTTCTGATGCTCTTTACCTGTGCTGAAGAACGGGCAGTGAACTATCTTCTGAGCAATGTTGACAAGGTTTCGGACTGGAATGAAGCACTTCAGATGGTGGTGCTGGAGTTGATTCGAAGTGTGTGCAAGACTAAACCAACAGAGAAGGGGAAATATATTAAGATTATTATTTCTCTGCTAAGTGCCACTTCTTCTGCGGTTATTTATGATTGTGCCGGGACGCTTGTTTCTCTCTCGTCTGCTCCTACTGCTATCAGGGCTGCTGCCAACACCTACTGCCAACTTCTTCTTTCTCAGAGTGACAACAATGTGAAGCTTATTTTGCTCGATCGGTTGAATGAGCTTAAGTCATTGCACAGAGATATCATGGTTGAGTTGATAATAGATGTGCTCAGAGCCCTCTCAAGCCCTAACCTTGATATCCGCAGGAAGACACTTGACATTGCCCTTGATCTGATTACTCATCATAATATTAATGAGGTCGTTCAAATGTTGAAGAAAGAAGTTGTGAAGACACAGAGTGGAGAGCTTGAGAAGAATGGAGAGTACAGACAAATGCTTATCCAAGCAATCCATGCTTGTGCTGTTAAGTTCCCTGAAGTTGCAAGCACAGTGGTCCATCTTCTAATGGATTTCTTGGGAGATAGCAATGTGGCTTCAGCACTTGACGTGGTTGTTTTTGTTAGGGAGATAATAGAAACAAATCCCAAGCTAAGAGTTTCAATCATTACCAGGTTGTTGGACACGTTCTACCAGATCCGCGCGGGAAAGGTCTGCCCTTGTGCGCTTTGGATTATTGGAGAGTATTGCCTATCGCTTTCTGAAGTTGAGAGTGGCATTTCAACCATTAAACAATGCCTTGGCGAGTTACCATTTTACTCCGTTTCTGAGGAATCTGAGCCAACTGAGACATCAAAGAAGATTCAGCCAACCTCTTCTGCCATGGTGTCCTCCAGAAAACCAGTGATTCTTGCTGACGGAACTTATGCTACTCAAAGCGCAGCCTCTGAAACCACATTCTCCTCACCAACAGTTGTTCAAGGATCACTGACTTCTGGGAATCTGAGAGCACTGCTTCTGACTGGTGATTTTTTCCTTGGAGCAGTGGTTGCTTGCACATTGACTAAGCTTGTTCTTAGGTTGCAGGAGGTTCAGTCTTCCAAAACTGAAGTGAACAAGACAGTCACAGAGGCTTTGCTGATCATGGTTTCTATGTTGCAACTCGGTCAATCTCCTGCTTCTCCACACCCTATTGATAATGACTCATATGAGAGGATTGTGTTGTGCATCAAATTGCTTTGCCATATGAATGATGAGATGAAAAAGATTTGGCTGGAGTCCTGCCGTCAGAGTTTTGTCAAGATGATTTCTGAAAAACAGCTTAGAGAGATGGAGGAACTTAAGGCAAAGACCCAAACAACTCATGCTCAACCTGATGATCTCATTGACTTCTTCCATCTTAAGAGCCGGAAGGTAAATATTACTCTAAGCTATCCCTTGATTCATTGTCTCATTTCTCACTTTCAGTGAGGTACAGCGGAAGTTATTGGTGGCTGGTTATTGTTATTTTTTTCGGTCAATAGATCAAAATACTGATGATAAGTTTCTTTCAGGGAATGAGTCAACTTGAGTTGGAAGACCAGGTACAAGATGACCTAAAGCGGGCAACTGGAGAATTCACCAAGGACGAGAACGATGCTAACAAACTTAACCGCATTCTTCAACTCACAGGATTCAGTGATCCAGTCTATGCTGAAGCATATGTGACAGTCCATCATTATGACATTGCACTCGAAGTTACCGTTATCAACCGTACAAAAGAAACCCTTCAGAATCTGTGCTTGGAGCTAGCAACAATGGGTGACCTCAAACTTGTTGAGCGTCCTCAGAACTACAGCCTGGCACCTCTAACAAGCATGCAGATAAAAGCAAACATCAAGGTCTCGTCCACAGAGACGGGAGTGATATTCGGGAACATCGTCTATGAGACTTCAAATGTTATGGAGCGAAACGTCGTTGTTCTTAACGATATACACATTGACATCATGGACTATATCTCCCCTGCTGTATGCACAGATGTTGCTTTCAGAACCATGTGGGCAGAGTTTGAATGGGAAAACAAGGTTATACACTTTTACTTTTACCTTCTTCACTTTTACCTTTTTTGGTTTGTTCGAGTTTGGCATAACCATCTCTGTTATGTGGTCTTCATGGCAGGTCGCTGTAAACACCTCGATCCAAAACGAAAGAGAATTCCTCGACCACATTATCAAATCCACAAACATGAAGTGTCTCACTGCTCCGTAAGTTTCAGATTCTTCTTTCTTCCATTAGAAACTGAAACTCTTCTCTGTTCTTACTAATTAAATGCTTCTCTCTTTGCAGATCGGCACTACAAGGGGAATGTGGGTTCCTTGCAGCAAACTTATATGCAAAGAGTGTGTTTGGTGAGGATGCTCTTGTGAATGTGAGTATCGAGAAGCAAACCGATGGAGCACTGAGTGGCTACATAAGGATAAGGAGCAAGACGCAGGGGATTGCTTTAAGTCTTGGGGACAAAATCACACTCAAACAAAAGGGTGGTATCTGAGGTTAGCTAATATATCTTCTAGAAAAAAGAAAGTTCTCTCCTCCTTATGTTGAATCCTCACACTCCTTAACCGGTATAAATACCGGTACCATACCAATTGATTTTATAGGCTTGGAACGGGTGTGCGCAAGGCAACAGGCTTAGACTACGTACGTATCTCTCTTGGGCAATTTTTTGTTGGTTGATTCAGTTTACTATATGGATGGGAGAGAGGCGTTTAAGGAGATATGTAGTAATTTGTTTATCGTTCCTTAACCGGTATAGTTTCGGTTTTTACAGTACTTGACGATTTTGTTTTATTCGTACTGCTGCTTCTCTATAATGTCGTTTGTTGGAGAGATTAAACCGTTGTTTTTTCTGGCAATGATTTATCGATGGTTTATAGTAGATTCCAAGTTGCAAACTTGCAATGGTTCGGTTCCATTTTAGAGTCTCGTTCTTTCTTTATTTGGCAGAATGGATAAATGATAAATCTTAGTACTTGGAGAGTCCTACAATAGTTTATAGCATCTTTGTTAACATTTTCAACACCTATGTCATGCAAATATTTAACTTTCTATTGTTTCTCTACTATATAGTAGCTACAAATAAAGAATCAAAGAAGGACCACCACTTTTGAGCAGAAAAAAAAAATCAAAATATTTGTTCCTCGTGGTAGTATAATAAATCAATAACAATTGATGCGAGAAACACCAAAACAATTTGCTGAAAATCCTTAATTTTATAGAGAATCAGTTTAAGTAGTTGGAACAACATGACTCATGCAACGTCTTTCGTCAGAATAAACAGAAAAATTGGGAAACCTTATCCTTACTTCACAATCTCACCTAACCTTACCTAACCAATATTATGGAACACTTATTTTCCCTCAAATGATGAAACGATGTTCACAATACATGATTGTCTTCTAAGTACAGACAAGAAGGCCAACAAATATGATCAATAATGTCAAATCAAATCTACAAATAGTCAAACTAATTACAGTTATCATAAGGCGAATTTTCCACCACTTATTGTAAACTGAAACTCCTCTACTCTTGAAAAGGAAAAAAAGCTGATTATCGATCATCATCTTGAAAACTACTAGTTAAGCAAAAACAGCTCTGTGTTGGAACCATAAAATCTCTACTACTATTATTCGTCATCTTCATCCTCTTCTCTTGCAGTCTACTTGTTGTTTCCTCATCACTACTGTCATCATCATCATCGTTATCATAATTGTACTTGTGATCCTCTTCGTCAGATTCTTGCAATGCAAGTAAAGGCATGGAATTAGGGATAGTCTTGGAGTAGATGCTGAAAGAGGATAAAGATGATCTTCTCCTTAGCTTGTTAGCAATAAGTAACCTTCTCCTCTTGTTCACTGGACTCTCCACTTTCTCCAGATCCTTGGCTTTGCTCGCTTCCATTAAATTCCCAAATGATTTCGATTTCCCAATGTAATGGTTCGATAGTCCTCGTCTGTACAAAACCGGACATAACCATCAGCTTTCACACTAAACCAACTCTGACCATGTAATAATAACGTTCGTACTATTTAAATCGTAAGATTTAAGCGTAAGCAACAAACAATATCAATATCATAATTCATAAACACAGGTTGATCTTTTAGTTTATGAGCTTCAAAAAGCGGATATATTCAGGAGAAAATAAAAGAACAATTCGATATTCTTTTTTTTAATTAATGTTTAGGAATTTTAAGGATGATAGTTGAAAAAAGAAACGTACTTAATCGGAAGAGAATCTTCAAGAGAGGAACCGAACGAATCAAGCCATCTTCCTTGTGACGAAGCTGCGTCGTCTTCCTCCTCCTCCTTCTCGCTGCTTTCTCCAACCGACGAAGAGCTCTCCGATACCTCCACCGGCGGAGACCTACCGCATCTCCTTAACCCGATCCGGCTTCCTCCGCGACCAGATTCCTCCGTCAAAAACAGAGCCGCCGGTACAGCCTTATCCTGCGCCGAGCTACCAACTCCAAACGTCGAACCTCCCAGAAACTCCATTTTATCCGGTAGGCGCAGGTTAAGAGCTCCAGTAGGCGCAGGTTAAGAACTAAATTCCAGAGAGAAAAAGCACAGAGATTCCACCGATCGGACAAAAAGATAAAAGAAGGATCAAGTTTCCGTGTAAGAAGATTAAAAAAAGACCGTAGATTACGAATACGTATATATATACGTATGACTGACAGTATTTCGAGTCTCTCTGTGTATAAAAATAGTAACCGAGGGAAGGACGCTAACGGTGACTTTGACGTTTTTGACACGTTAATGATGACGTGGTGTTAATTGATTGGTTGTGTGTGTCGGACCTTACCCGGACGTTTCGGAGCGACTGTCTCCGTTAAATCCGATGCTGTTCATGTACCTAAAGTTCGGTGGTCGTTTCATTTATAAAAGTAATGAATATCTGTCAGTGAAACCAGATAAGATTTTAACTAATTGATAATGTACTATATTACTGATATATATACACGGGGGGTTTTTTTTTTTTTGTTAAAGGGTGTAAAATGATATATACACAGAGATATATCAGTAATATCTTCTGATATTCAACATAATTAGCTTCTGGATAATTTTGAAATAAAACAAAAAAAATCTAATCCTATTGATTTTCATGGTATACTGTATAACACAAAGATTTTAATAAAATTCAACGATTGATTTACATCACAAAAGTTGCTACTTTGGTATCATCAACTACGGTCCACAGAACCGCTTGATTTAGAAAGTTAAGGTCATCAACTTCTTCCACTTATCTTGCATACAAAGATACAAGAACATCTGTTCTTAAGCTTATCCCTCAAAAGAACAGAGCAAGAGAAGAAGAAAAACCATGGCTATCTTTCTCTGTTGCTTATTGGTTTTATCGCTTCTCGTTCCATTGTTCTTTCTCATGAGAAGGATCAAAAAAAACCCGAAATGGAATCTTCCTCCGGGTCCTTCAAGTCTTCCAATCATCGGAAACATGCACCAGTTTGCAGGATTGCCTCACAGATGCTTTCATCATCTCTCCATCAAATACGGCCCCGTGGTACTTCTTCGTCTCGGTTTTGTTCCGATGGTTGTGATCTCCTCTAGTGAAGCAGCTGAAGAAGTTCTCAAGTCCCATGACCTTAGTTGCTGCAGCCGACCGAAAACGTACGCCACGGGGAAACTCTCTTACGGTTTTAAAGACATCAGCTTCTCGGAGTACGGTGAGTATTGGCGAGAAATGCGAAAGCTCGCTGTCATCGAGCTTTTCAGCCTGAAAAAGGTTCAATCTTTTAAGAGCATCAGAGAAGAAGAGGTAGGGTTTATGGTGAAGAAAGTGTCGGAATCGGCTTTGAAAAAATCTCCTATGGATTTAAGCAAAACGTTCTTCTCCTTAACCGCAAGCATCATTTGTCGAGTGGCCTTAGGACAGAACTTCAACGAAAGTGGTTTCGTATTAGAGAGAGATAGAATCGAAGAGCTTGTGAGTGAGGCAATGTTAGCCCTAGGGAGTTTCACTTGCTCTGATTTGTTCCCCGGCGGTGTTGGGAGATTCTTGGATTGGTTTTTTGGAAGACACAAGAGGATAAACAAAGTGTTTGAAGAGTTTGATGCTTTTTACCAGCAAGTGATTGATGATCACTTAGCCGGAAAGAAAACTGTTGATTCTCCGGCGGATATCGTTGAACTCTTGTTGGATTTGATGGATAAACAAGGAAATAAGGATTATTTCAAGCTCAGCATTGATCATATCAAAGCAGTTCTCATGGTAATAAGCTCAATTCTTGCGTCATAATTTATGTGCATAAGTTATAGGTTTATGTTTGTGTGTTTGGTCAGGATGTATTTCTGGCGGGAGTAGATACAGGGGCTATAACTATGATTTGGGCGATGACTGAGCTTGCTAGAAACCCTAGAGTGATGAAGAAGGCACAAGAAGAGATCAGAACCACCCTAGGGCGCAAAAAGGAGAAGATCGATGAAGAAGACATAGACAAAGTTGACTACTTGAAGCTCATAATCAAGGAAACATTCAGATTACACCCACCACTTCCATTATTGCTGCCAAGAGAAACAATGTCTCACGTCAAGATCCAAGGCTACGATGTTCCTCCCAAAACACAAATCCAACTTAACGTTTGGACGATCGGACGTGACCCCACACGTTGGACCGACCCTGAAAGTTTCATTCCTGAGCGGTTTACTGATAGTTGTGTTGATTTCAGGGGACAACACTTTGAGCTATTACCGTTTGGGTCTGGGAGGAGGAGCTGTCCAGGGATGTCAATGGCGATGCCTAGCGTGGAATTAGGACTTTTAAATATGCTTTACTTCTTCGATTGGAAGTTGCCTGAAGGGATGCTAAGTGGCGAAGACATTGATATGGAGGAAGCTGGAAATCTCAGCATTGTCAAGAAACTACCTCTTCAACTTGTTCCTGTCAACGCAGTCACTTAAGCTTGATGCTTTGTATCTGTTTTTGTGTGTGTTTTCTCAGTCTTTATGGACATTGGACAGAGTCCGAGTCGAAAGTAAAGACTTCTACATATTCATGTGTTTTATACGAAATAATTGTATGGACAATCAACAATGCCATACATATGTATCAAGAAATTATGTTATCATAAACAGTTTATGTTATTATGCATGAACAATTTAAACAAAGTCTTAACAATGTAGTTGAGTCTAAACTTTCAGTCTAGCTCATGTATGGCTAAAGCCTCCTAATCTTGAAAACCTTTGTTGTTTCTCTGTTTTCGAATTATTTCCATTAACGAATGTATTTGGATAAAAGATATTTAAGCAAGTGTATAATTAACAGTTGAAGTATTTACAGTTGCTTAGTATGTGAAAATTAAGCAATAATTTCAGTCCTCCCTTTCAATTATAGTATGTAAACATATTAAATTTCACATACAAAGTGACAATAATGTAGTAAAGTGTATGTAATCCTTTAACAAAAAAAATAAAAGTGTATGTAATCCTGTGGTTATAAATATGTGAACAAAATTAAATTATGGCTCTAAAAAATATCTCAACCGTAACAGAGCTTCGCTCTTCCCTCACCGTCGAGGCGTCGACCATTGTGCTATTCATGGCTGCCATTCTCAGCTTTGCTTCTCCCTCTTACTTCTCGTCTCCTTCTAGGAAATACCCGAAACCCCCTCTCAGAATCCCTCTATTTACGTCCCTGCCACTACCATCATCTTCTCCTACTTCTTCGCCTGGCCTTGCTTCTCTCTTCCCGGTCAGAAATGAAACAACTTTGTCTTCATCGTCCACGCCAATCCAAGCTCTCACAGAAGAAGCCGTAGATTCGTCCGCTTTAGCCTCTTCTTCAAAGCTTGTACTTGTCGTCGGCGGCACTGGTGGTGTAGGTAGAGCCACAATAAAAACCACTCCGATTCTCAATTTCGGAATTGGGATTATAAATCTCTCAAATTTTGCATTTACTTCTTACTCTTGGGTCTATTGAAATGATGGTGAATTGCAAGTTCTTCCCTTTTTTATCTGTTGGGTATCAGGGCAACTAGTGGTAGCTTCATTGCTGAAGAGGAATATAAAGTCAAGGTTATTACTTCGTGATCTTGAGAAAGCAACCAGGTTATTCGGTAAACAGGATGAAGATTCTTTACAGGTAGTCAAAGGGGATACAAGGAATGCAGAGGATCTTGATCCATCCATCTTTGAGGTCCGTCTTCTTCCATTTATTCATCAAGTTTGTCCCTTTTTTGTGAGGTTCGGATTTTTTTTTCAAATGGTTTTGCTGATTACAATTGTTGTTTTAGGGGGTGACACATGTGATTTGTTGTACTGGAACTACAGCTTTTCCTTCTAAGAGGTGGAGTGGAGAAAACACTCCTGATAAAGTAGGTGAGAAAATCATTTCTTTCCAAGTAAGAACCAAACATCATTTCAATATGATCTTGTTCTGTCATCGATGATGTGGAATTGACTGAAACAAAGGGTCTCTTACATTGTCATGATTGATTATCCCTTGGGGGACTTATGTGCTCTTTTTCTTGTATTCAAAAAGATTGGGAAGGTGTGAAGAATCTCATTTCAGCATTGCCTTCATCGGTGAAGAGAGTTGTTCTGGTTTCATCAGTAGGTGTTACCAAGTCTAATGAGCTTCCTTGGAGGTGAGACTATAATATCTCTGTTATGGCAATGATTTATTTTCGAAATTATTGCGAATTTCCTTCATCTGATTGTCTCTACGTGTATGTTTTGTTTGACAGTATCATGAACCTTTTTGGGGTTCTTAAGTACAAGAAGATGGGGGAAGATTTTCTTAGGGAATCTGGTCTTCCCTTCACCATTATCAGGTTTGGAACAACAGATACTTACCAGATTATACTCCAAAATGCAAACAAATGTTTTACTGATTTACTGTATCATGATGATCTTTTTGTCTAGACCTGGTAGATTGACTGATGGACCATACACATCATATGATCTGAATACTTTGCTCAAAGCTACAGCCGGTGAACGGCGTGCAGTTGTTATTGGTCAAGGTAAATGTGAGATTTTTTGGATGTAGCAGTAACGAATTTGAGCTTGCTTGCTGTACATAAAGGTTTCTTGATAACAGGAGACAAACTTGTTGGAGAGGTAAGCAGGCTTGTGGTGGCTGAAGCTTGCATACAGGCACTTGATATTGAGTTCACACAAGGCAAAGCTTATGAGATCAATTCAGTTAAGGTATGACAAACAGTTGCGTTGAATGTTCTCTCTGTCTGGATATCATCAAATAAGTCATTTATTTCCAAGTAAGATTGTTTGGTTTTTTATATGTTTGGGAGATGTGGTTTCAGGGGGATGGTCCAGGAAGTGATCCACAGAAATGGCGAGAGTTGTTTAAAGTTGCAGAATCCAAATGATAGAAGAGGAGACTGTGAAATGTATACAGAGTTGTTACCGATGCATATATGGTTGAAATGTGTATACAGATACTTTTCTTTTGGTCTTTGACTTCAATACTTCATCTATAAATAGTGATATTTTTCTCATTTATTCATTTTTGTAGTCGATGAAACATCTACTTCAAAGCAATTGTTGCAGATTGAATGAAAGAAAGAAGAACAGGGAAACTGGTTTTCCTGCATTTTCCATTATTTCCTTAAAATTTATTAAAAGAAGTCACAAACGTAGCACAACACTAAGAACAAGAAGATTGCTGATTTTCTGGTTATCACATTAAATAAAAAAAATCTAACCCGCTTGGTCCCTAACATGAAAATCTTAAGAGATTAAAATGAACTAAAAGGGACTTGACCAATGACTAAAAAAGCTATACCTGATTGACAGTATTTATATACGTATATAAAGAGTACATCTGCTTCTCCATTGAAGATAAACTTCTCCAGGAGATGGAAGAGCAGACACAAATATGATCACATTTTAAGACAACAATCGATGTGTGAACAGGAAGATGTTCTCCAATCAGACAACCGCAGAAGTAGTACGCCTGAGGTCAACATCATTCTTGAGTTTCTCACTCGGCGGCGTTCCTTTGAAGCTTCCATACCTCATAGGTTTAGGCATGTAAAGAGAGCTCAGTATCTTCTCCAAAGCTACCACAGTGTATCTCACATACTTGCTTGAGCTCGCGTCTTTCTCAACCAACGGCCCATAGTTTTGCATATAGCTTCTGTAAACCGGCACAATAGCCTGAACTATCTGCTGGCAAACTCTGTCCCTCAAATCTTTCTCCGGCAAGACCCACGTGGATTGCTTCTTATACATCTCATCAAACGCATCGTTGAACGATTTCAGTCTCTTCTTGACAAGATCACGAGCCGTGGCATGTCCACCAGAGAAGTGTATAAGTCCTTCTCTGCTCAAATGGCTCGGGAGCTTACCCCAGCTGTCTCTAAGGAAGACGGTAGCGTAATACTCTTTGTACTGATCATGTTCTTTCAGCCATGAATCTCCCAACTGATCTCCAATCCTCGTACCCTTTAAGTTCTTGTATAAATGCCAGTGATTGTTCATGGCGAAGAAATGAGCAAGCGTTTGATCCGGATACGCTTTCATCCACACATCCATATTCTGCTCAATGGCTTTGATTATTCTCAGAACTTCAATCATAAGCTGGTTATCTTGGAACCTCTCTGATCTCCAGCTCTTGTGTATAAGCAGAACCTGAGTGAGTGTCGACTTGTACTTATCTCCTATAAGCTTATTGCAGTAATCAGTCACAAAACTGACTAATCTTGGAACACCACCATCGCTAGGAGGAGGGTTCTGCTTCTGAATCTCCACCTGAACCAGAAGCTCCCAGAAGATCTCCGCTGCACCGTCGATCAGCTTCTTGATGAGATCTCTAGTGAAGTTTTGGATCTCAATACAAGCTGCTCCACCAAAGAGACGGTTGAAATCTGCTCTCAGTTTGTTCAAGGAAGTAAAGATGTCCAACAGCTTCAGCAGCTTGATCGGATCTTTCTTGCTGTCAGTCACAGTCTTCCCAAACTGAAGAAACGCGAGCATACCGGCCTGAGCAGCGATCTTGGAGAAGCAATCCATCCAAACATTCGAGCCAAATCTCTCAAACACGTCGTTGCAAAGCTTGAACTCTGCCTCGAACAGATGCTTAACCGCAAACTCCAAATGATTCCCCCACTGAGCTATATACCCTTCTATGCTCTGCACATCGTTGAACTCAGAAACCGATATGTCAAGATAATCCAAGTCAAGCGCTTGAAGACTAGCTCTAACATTCGAGCTCCTCACTTCAACGTATATAGTAATACACTTTTCAAGCCTGTTATTAGCCCTGAGCCTCCCAAGAATGGCTTGCAGTTTATGGATCACAGTCACTGGCAGCTGAGATGGCGCAATACAAGCTTGTTCGCCGAGCGATGACGGAGTCGCCATTGGAAGTGGAACACTGTTATCCTTCAACAGCCTCCGAAACTCGTTCTCCAGCTTATCCAACGCAGCAGCTCTAAGCCCTCCGTCAAGTCTAGCTTTCTCTTTCTCTTTCTCTTTCTCTCCTCCGACGTTTTCTTGAAACTCCCTAAGCCCTCTCAAGGACTTCTTCAGATTGGAAAGATACTTCTCATCAGCGACATTGTGATCTTCCAAATACTCAACTATATCCTCCAACCACTGTATAGCTAACCCACAATTCTCCCCAAGAAACTTCAACGCTTCCTCTAACCGTTTCAACACCGCTAAGTAACCGGAGAGATCGTTCTTGGGATCTGATAGCAATGACTTCTCGAGTCCATGGACAGCGTCGAACACCTTAAGGACTGCAGCTGCAGGGCCAACAGCTCGGTTAATGTGGCCACCGACCGCCACGAGAGCTTCTCTATCAGCTCGTATCGGCCTCACCGCAGCTTCGAGCGACGGCAATCTCTGCTCAATCTCATCAAACCTAGGACCGGTTTTACCTAAAGCTAAACCAATTGCTTTAGATTTCTCTAGACTCGATTGTAACGACTTCCTTGCAGATATCAAGCTCTGAATCCCTCGATCCACCCCAACGGAATCCGCCATTGTTTAATTTCAATCAGAATAAAACCCTAGAAAACCCAGAAATCTCACTCCGCGAAATCAACAAGGTTCTAAGCTTTATTCCTAAGTTTAAAAATGAAGACTTTCGAGATATAATCGATTCAGAATCAGATGCAAAACTGCTTTGCATCAAAAACTTTCCCTTTTTGAATCGTCTCCTTTATTTATCACTCTCTTCCTTATTTTTCTCAGCAAACTTTCAGTAAATCAAACCAACTTAGCAACAAAATACAAACCTAGACACAGAAATTTCCACAGCTACCAAAACAAACCCCTGAGAAATTGGGATAATCGAAACCAGAAGAGTTCGAGAAAATAAGTCACTTTTTAACTGAGACAGCACAAACGAAAGAAATCGAGTTGAGATAAGGTCTTCTACTTTATTGAGCCACCGGCGCGGATTCGATTCGCCGGCGAGTTGATAGTTTGGCGGAAGAATCGAAACGGTGTGAGTTTCTCCGGAGAGAGAGATACCCAGAAGTGAAAAAATAATAACGATTTAACTCAGAACGAAAGGGAAAATAAATTAGAAAGAGAAAAAGATAAACTTTTTTTTTGTTTTCGACAGTTTTTTTTTTTTTTCTCGCGATGCCCGACGGAAACTGCCAAAGTGCATGACAGTCGAGCACAAGGTTTCACAGTATCACTTGCGACTTTGGTAAAAAAAACTTGCTAAATGATTCATACATTAATCAAATGATAATTACTACATAACTTTTTGTTTAATAATTAAAATTTGCGCTTTTTCTGACAACAGCATTGTGCTTCATTTTGTGTTCTACTTTAGAAAATGTGTTCAGATATTTCGAATCTTTTCTTCCAGTGATTTTCTGCATTAGTTTCATATGTACTTGTGATGATCTGCTTTCTCAACAAATAAAAACTTTGTGGTAACGTAAGAGTTATGCCTAATTAATTAAATCACTTGTAATTTAAAACTTACAACTAAAAAAAACGTCTAAGATGTGGCAAAAGTTCCCAAAAAACTATTGCGATAAGGTCTTTAAAAATCATATAATTTCTATCTGATACTGTATTAAAATTTCTCTGAGAGAATTACACACGTCAAAGAGAAACAATCAAACGAAGAAGATAAACGTCTAAACAAGGGAAACAAGTGCTCAAAATATGGAGACTTGCAACAGTAAAACATTTCCAAGATTAAACCAAAACCATCAATGTAAAGAATCTCCCAATAGCGGATACCCACCAAATGACTAGGAATCTAGGATATATCGTTGATCCATATGTTATGCATGACTACAACGACCGTGGAAGTCTTGATTGGTTGCGAGAGTTATGAAATTAACCAATTCCAATATTGTTCCGTATTCTAAGCGTTTAACTCAAACCCACACATTAGTAGGAATTACGATTGCCAAGACTCTTGCCAATACAAAACATTGATTTACAAAAACAACTCAAACTTATTTGGTAACTATTGAAATGACTATGTTTAACAAAAGAAGACCAAAATCAAGGCTTTGAAAAGTTATAAACTATAAAGTAATTTTGACTACCTTTTTCTATACTTTGACATTTCAGTAATCAAATTTCAAAGAATTTAAGTATATTAATAATCCATCAGAGGCTTCGGTTTAATCGGACAAGAATCTGAACCTTAGGCCGGATTTAGGTCAACATTAAAACTAATTCTCATGGACTTTAACTTTTAAGAATGATTTCTTTCCTTTCACTTTTGAAGCTGTTAAAACTTAAAAGTATTTGGTTTTGAAAGATATCGAGAAGAAAGATAGAGGAACATTTGTGGACCATACGGCTTACAAGCTCTTTGAGAATCTAAAGTGGGGACTTTTTTGTACCACATGATTTGGTGTGATCGTCTTTGTATACATGTAATTGATTGACATGGTTGTGTATCCTATTTTTGGTTGGTGGGACAAAGTGTTAATGGTCTTTGAATTTTTCTTCCTAACAAGAAACTGAAACATTGTCCCATTAAAAATACATGAGTCTTTCGCTCCCTTTAACATAGCGAGAACTTGTCTATCTCTAATTTTGTATACAACGTGCCAAAGTGTTTGTCTTATGAAGCGATGTTGAACTTTCGTATATGAATATTCAAAACGACTAAATGTATCGTCACGAGAAATTATAGATAGTACTATTGGCCACTAGTATTATTGTAAAAACAAAAAAAAAATAAAAACAAAAAAAAACAGTCAAAATGAAACTTAGTCCAATCTCAACTGCATTAATTAATACAGTTGACCCTTAACTTGTCTTGCACTCGCATAAGTTTAGAACTGAATTCACATTTATGATTTAAATAAAAAAACTCATTATTCAACACCCAAACCCAACTAACTCATTAAAAACTCATTGACTTTCTAATCATTCATCTATAGTCAACTTTACTTTTAAAAATTATTATCCAACAGCCACCACTCAATTAGTATTTTATAAAACAAAAGAATGAATCATGAAAAAAATGAAAAGAAGATGAAGAACATATGGGTGCGCAATTAATTCCATAACTACTACTTTAATACCCATATCTGCTAATCATCTACTAGCAATATTTATAATGCACCACGAGATTATTTTATAAAAATGTAGTTTTCAGGGTCATAAGATTACACCGGAGACTAATTTTCTCTAATTAAAATATTCTTCTTAGTAAAAAAAAATTTACAAACCAATCCTCTATAGTACTAAAAAAATCAAAGAAACAATACAAGTCAAAGTCATGCCGAGGCAAACACCAAATCATGAACGCCTTGAGAAGAAATGTTATCCTGCATCGCGGATTGGTTGTGACGGTGCTCTCCTTCGTACGTCACGATAAGCATCGCTGGATCATCCAGTGCTCGTTCCACGTGTTTCCTCGCCGGACACCCTCTAAGCGTACTGCACTTGTAGTAACCACTGGATCATCATAACAAATGAACACCGTTAGATCTTTAGATCGCGAATCAGTCAAATCAAAAACCAAACAAACACATCAACGCTTTGTACGATTGTTACCGTGGGTGTGGTGAGCCTTTGATCGGTTTTTGTCCGTACTTCCTCCACGAGAACTCGTCCGGTGGAATATCGGCGATCTTTGAACTTATCGCCGGTACCCTCACGGTTCTCTTCATCCGATTCTTTCTGCTTTAATTAATAAAAGAAACAAACATAATATTAATTAACGAAATCGTTTAAAGCTTAACTAAAACAAGAAAATAATAGTTAACGTCCGCTAAGTGGCTAAGTTCAAAGTCAACGTTCAAAACCAGGGTTCTCATAAATCTTAAACCGTCCCTAATCATTGTCGGCTTGCCATACCAAAAGATGACCGATATTATTAACCAACCAGACCGATGACCGGGAATTAATCGACCTAATTGGATCATTGCTAATTAATGAGGGTAATAGTCAACGAAGAGTTGAAAATTTGAATTAAATAACGGAAGTGTGTGGGTACTGGGGTAGTTGTTATAGCGACAGGTGGGTGACGTAACAGTACCTTTTTTTGCAATGGCATTTGCCGTGACCGGAGCCGGAGACCTTCCCGGAGAAACTCTCGGAGTGTTCGTGCTCCAGACATCTCTTTCTATAAGGATGGCCGGCCAAAGGTGGCTTTCCGGAGGAAGTTACAGGCTGCGACGGAGCCGACGCGAGGAAGATTGAGGATCCCTTGGAGACGCTGCCGTCGCCGGTTATCGCCGAGGACATGTATGAAGAGTTTAACGAAACGCTGAAGTTTTCCTTGGCGAATTCCAGCTCAGAGCTCTTTGATTTGGATCCGAAGACGCTTGGTTTAGTGAAATCGAGTGTTACGCTCGGCTGATTCGTATGAACGAAGCTCGACGGATTCACAGGTGGTGGAACGATATTCGCCGTTGTTCTTATCGGCTGAGAAACAATCGGAGCTTCCGACTGAGCGATTTTTACGATCTGACTCTGTTGTTTCTGAGATAACACTGGAGGAGATGCGAGTGCGACGGAGGAAGTGGAGTGGACTGGTCCGCGTCTGAACCGGGCGTGACCGGTACGGTTAAGTAGAGAAATGACGGTTTTGAATTTGGAAACGGTATAATCGGTGATCTCAGAACAGTCAACGTTGTTGTGTTGTTCGGGTCGGTTAGAGAGGACACGAATGAGATGGTCCATGCTCTGTAAACCTTGCGATGCAGCCTCCTGGATAGCCTTTTGATCGTCCATCTTAGGGAAACGCATTAGATCGACGGCCATGATTGATCGAATCTCACTGTGTTTTGTGTATTGGTGGTGTGAGAAATCAGAGGAACGTTGAAGATGAGAGGAAATGGTGGATGAGAAGAGAGAGGAAGGATGGCGTGATATATGGGGAAAGGAGGTGACCGGGTCAGTTTCTGGGATTTTAGTCAAACCGGGGAAGGTTTTGATCTAACGGCTGTGGTTGAGTGGAGGATTTCCACGGAATAAAGCAATCAAAGTTTGGTCTCCTCAAGTTCGAGGTAAACGGGCCCCACCTGGCATCCGAATTTTATCGTTTCTTCAAAATCAAGATATTTTATTTTTAACATAAGGTTTAACAAACACATTCAACAAAAATCACATAAATTTTCGCAGATATTTATTAAAAAAAATTCTATAAACAAACAAACTCTAGCTTAATTAAAGGTAAGTAAGACTCAATAAATTAATTTTCAAATGACTAATTGATGAAAAAAATGTCAATGATTTATTCACACAATGAAGACAGAGGGCCAGCTGGATTTTGGTTGAGGCAAGAAGAGAAGAGTTGTCAACGAGAGAGGGATGATTGATTTAAAAATAATAATTGAGATATTTGACTTTTAAATATTTTATGTTTGTTCCATTTTGAATCTTCTATATTCTTTCAAATTCTACGGACTATATTTGTCAACTATATTTACAATTAACTAATTCGATTGGTTGCCTTATACAAATTTTTGATGACCCTGTTAAAGGGTTTCCATAACAATTAAAATTTGGTGTGAGACTTTTACTTCTTAACAACAAATATTTATATCATCACCAAAAGAGTTAACAAGAACTTTTCATACCGTTCTAGAAACCCTCTTTACTTGACATTATAATAAGCAAAAGTCTTTATTTACATCTAATCCACTTAAGTATTCTACAAATAGTGTGAGTGATACAATTACTAATAATCATTCTGATTGAATACAAGCAATAATGGTTTGACTAAAGATTTTTAAAATTCTACTTGCACAGCGATTAATGAATACGACAAAGGAGGGTGAAAAGCTGACTATTTAAAATAAAATGAAAGTATTACTTCTACAGTAGTTATAAAAGAAAAAAGATTATCATTTCTTTAAATACAGAGCCATTGACCACCTCGGTAACCGGGTGGTCCCGCTACCTCGTATATGAACCATCAGATTTTGATAAAGGTTGATCCAACGGTCGATCTACGAATACTAGTGTTGACTATGTTTTATGATTTTGTGAACCTAAACAATCTCCAGCCAGCTATTTAGGTTCTCCTCACGTGTCGACTTTGTTATGTCTCATTTTAGTATTCAAATCGTTAGCTGTCTCGTTTCTTCACAAAAACAAAACTACTAAAATATAAAAAGCGAAAACATAAATATTTTCGCAAACTAACGAGTATGGCAAAACGATTGAATACATGTACTGGACATGACTTGCAAAATGCTAAAAACATATTTTGATTGGCGATCAGTAGATGTGAAGTTGCTTTTATCAATTTATAGTGAAAATAAACATAAAATATACCTGCAGTTTTTTTTTTTTTTTTTTTTTTTTTTTGATAATTGTGGATGATCCAAAACTTTATAGGCCCAAGACTAATCCCACGAGGCCCACAGCAGTCTACGTTTTCTTACCATTTAAGGCAGTCCGAGTGACCGGGGACTCGAACTCGTGATAGCGGGCATCTCAGCTGAGGCTCCATTACCACCAGACCACGAGGACCCGGTTACCTGCAGTTTATTTTTTTACGTGTTTTTTGTTATTTTTTTTCAGTTCATAGGAATCAAATTGTTTTGTCAATGCGATTTACTCTACATATTTTGGGGGTATTAGAATTAGACTACCGGTTAAGAAAAAGTATACGATTAGATATGTGAATAGAACGTGTTGTGTGTGCCTATAACGTGTCCGGGGTGCAGAACAAAACATGGATTGCTATTTAAAACACCTCTTTTTTTGTCAACGATTAAATTAGAACATGGGGTAGTTGACCCGACCGAGTTGTATTATTATTGTCGTGCACGTCTATCTTCTATATAGTTAAATTGCAATGCAAGAAAGTATCAGTGATCATTTTTTTATTTGTTGTTCTGTTTATAGATGAGTATAAATTAATGATCACATCCAAAAAAAGATCACATCCAAACTAGGAAAATGGTTCGGCTTTGTGTTTACTAGTTTTCAAATATATCAAAAATATAGTAATGTTTACATGTTTAACTAATTGTATAAAAAATTTAAAACATATAACTGAAACTAGAGATACTCGTTAATATAATGACTCAGTGCGCAAAATAAATCGAGATACAAATTGTTAACGAAATTTTGCTATTCCAACAAACGTCTTTGATTTTCGAGGCCATGTTTAGAAACGAATTCAGTAAAACAAAAACAAACTACAACATTGTAAACACATAATAAAACGGTTTCTTGATCCACCCGCATGTTCAATTGAGAGGACTGGTCTAAGCTAAACTAGCCATGAGTTAAACTCCATCCAAATCTACACTTAACCAATAACCATGCTGCATGCAGAACCTCGAAATACCAGTAACTCTGGGGCACCACTGTTTCACATATTGATAGCTTCACGAACAATATCACTATCTCTTCACCAGTACAATATCTCGCAACGTGTTCGTAATCGATGTCTTGTCTTTGCATTATTACTTACATTGTCACTTGTTCATTATAGGAAGGTGCGATAGAAGATTCGTATCAATAATATATCCAAATCATTCACATTGTCTACGTGTTAATATTATACGATAAGTTATTAGACGGTCCACATTTTATTCTCAACGTTGAAGTTAGTGGGAGTTTTTTTTTTTTTAAATTAACAATACATAATCTCCTTTATCGAAGAAAGAAGAAAGTGTGGCTCGATCATGATTTACACTATAATTGTTGTTAATTAATTCAAATTGAACTCATCTTATCGATTCCTTTGATACTTCAAGAAGATCATGGGCCCAAATGTTTTAACTTTAAAGTTCTAACTTTATAAAGTCAACCTAAAGATATTAGTCATGAATTTATTCTATAAACATTGACTTACATGTGTAGTTGTGTACACACGGATTCAACACGCATATAAGAGACAAATGGCTCTTCTAGTCTTCTCTTAACTTTTACGTGTCTACTATATTGTTTTAATGTTGTAAGTTATTACTTATGAGTTATGACAATGGTATGCATATTGTAAAATTCTAATGTAAAGCTTCATATGAAGATGATGGACGGGTGAAATTATTTGATAAAGAATCTCGTTACTAGTTTGCCACTCTCACATCCTTTAATTTTCATACTGTACTGCACCGTCTCTATTATAAAATTTGTTTACTTATGACAAAACAATAAAATAAATTTTGAGAGAGCCGTAAGAAAGAATATGTTAACGAAAAAATGAGAGTGGAATCCAATGTGGACTTCAACTAGATGTTGTATTATACCCATTTGTGTTTTTTTCCTAGATTACATTTGGATGTAACGTTGGGTGTCGAAATGTTTGCTTTATATTGTTCACTTTAGCGTTTAAACAAGAAGCTGCACATGGTGGTCTTGGAAGATGATGGAATATATAATCCGTATATAAAATGAAATGAATTATTATCCCAATAAAGAGAACTTCAAAAGATTATACTCTATATTGCTTGACTTTGTGTTATATATGTAACTATATTAAGAAATTACTTCTTTAACAAACATCCGAATCAATAGTCGTATCATCTAGACAGTTTGTGTAAGATTTGATTCTGGTTGAATAAATATATGAAACATGCTCCATAATCCATATGCTATCATATTCTTCTTCTTCTTTTGGTTAAAGCCATATGCTATCATATCCCCTAATATAATAAACGATGAAGAATATTTATCGCTATCGTGGCTTGTTTATCTTTTATTTACTCAAAACTTGAATACTTGATGCATTATGAAGTGAGAATGTTTGTTGGCTTTTCAGCAATTACATCAGCTGATCAGAAATTAAGAACCAATCCGACAATGTCGAAAAATAGTAGCTTCATAGATGTCACGGCCGGTTCAATTAGTTTAAGAGGCATTATCTCTATTTGGTATTATAGACCAGTCTCTCTCAATACTTTTGAAAAAAAAGGTGCACTATCACATTGTTTACAACTTTGCTTGGTAATATAACATTTTCTGTTTGCTTTTGCAGATTATACATTTTCATGTGTTAGAAATTATCCTGCTCTTACTGTCTCTACTCTCTTGCCACACTCCTCTAGACAAAAACAAATAATCATGGATTTTAGAAATATTTTCATTTGAGAATAATCTTTCTTTTCTTTTAATTTTCGTTCTCATGCAACTTGGTTTGGGCATATACATTACTTCATCTCAAAACGTTTGACTAATTTGGGTCAGGGCTATTTTCTCAGCCCACTGGATAAATTTCAGATTATTCTGGTCGGGTCGGGTCGGGTCGGGTTGATTTTATCCGACCCAAAATGATTATCCTTGCAGCTTGCCTCGCCAATCGTTTTGTTGCCAAATCAACTAACAAAAAGAAAAAAAAATTCTATGGCGAGTCTCTTCGTCTCTATCCCTATGCAACCCAGACAAACGGCCTTCTCCGCGTTACCACAGCCGCTACTCCCGCCGCCGACGAACAGTTTCCTCGATGGAGTAGGAGGATTGTGTCTTACCCGGAGAAACAGAGAGTGCTCCGTCGTGGCGCGAGCAGGACCCAGTACGAGTAGCTACTTGTTCGCGTTCGCCATTCCTGCTACTCTTATCGCCGCCACCGTATTCACTTCGATAAAAATCGCTGACAAGCTCGACGAAGATTTCCTTGAGGATGTAAGCTCGCCGTTTCCCAGAAAAATAATTCTTCCATCTTTGTCATTTCTAATTGAAATTCGATTTTTCGTCTGGTTTTTTACCTCATTGCTGGAGTTGCTTTAGGTCTTAGTTTCGGAATTGTTTCAGTGCTAGTTATAGGATTTGAGATCATCTTGGTGAACAAAGCAGAGACGTTATAGGAATTTCTGGAACGAGAAAAACTCAATTTAAGCGGATAATTTGGTTCAGTAAAAGTCTCTTAGGAGAGTGTTGATAGTCATTAGTCACTAATACATAAGGAGCTCTTTGTGATCCTTGTAAAAATGTAGAGTACATGAGGTGATCAAATTGTGATTCTTGTATCGAGCCTGAATTAATTCTTATCCATAAGGTCTGTTAAAAAATTAACAGCAAATATGATTCTTCCTTTCTGCAGATTGCGTTGAACCAAGCGATAAAAGCAGCAGAAGATGGAGAGAATGCTGAAGGTGAAATCTCACTGGACGATTTGATTAAAGAACCTGTGCTTCAACGAACCCGTCAACGGCCTAAACGTGAAGTTTAAGTAAACACATACATAAATTTCTTCTCAATGATCCGATTCCATGACTGTAATATGTTGTGTTTGTATAAGCATGTAATAGCATTTCTGGTCACATTTATAGTTGTAGTTACTAAAGTTACATAATATCATTTGATCATTTGTATAAAAAACAGATGATGAGTCAAATTCCTCATGAAACATCCGATTCATAGTGCTGAAACAACGATATTTGAAGTTCTTGTGCGGTAAATCCTCCAATATATTAAAGACCATACAGATTTGCTGACATGACAAGTTCTCAGTTTTTTTAGCTTCTTTTTGATTTATTTTAATTAAATTCTTTTTCAGTTTCGGGTTGGGACGCGGATCTTCAAGACATTGGGTCGGATATTTTTAATTATTATTGGGCTGAAGTTAGTTTTCTGTTTGTCTATTGGGCTACAAAACAATGACTAATAAGTGGGCTTGCATATCTTAATTTGAATAAGTTGGACGTCCATATCTTTACTCGAATAAGGAAACGAATAACGTGATTGAGTTATATTTCCATGTTTGAACACATCGTCTTGCGTTTTCTTCACGTTTTCCTTTTCCGGAGATAGGGAGAATCTTTGTGTCAACAATTTGATATGCAAATAAAATCTGCAGTAAATGCTTTCAATTTACCAAAGAAAAAAGGAATAAAAAATGTCTATAAAAATAAAGAGAATCCTAGGTATATTTCTTCTATAAATAGGTTCACCTCTTACACATGTTCTCCCCATCATGTCGCTTTCTTTTTGCTTTGTCATATATGTTTTTTACATTTTCGTTTTGATTTTCCCATTTTCTAATTTTGTTTTGATCTTCTGTTTCATGGTTTGCTGTATGTATAGCGGCTCTATTTTCAAATCCGTAAAGGTGCTGTGATCAAAGGTAAGAAAATCCTCTTTTCATCGTTTGCTCATATGTATGGTAGCTCTATTCTTATTGTTACTATGAGATCTAAGTGTTGTTATTTTAGCTTACAGGATTTAATGAAGACGTTATAAGAATGCAAATCGGAGAGGTTGCTCGCTTGAGGGTAACATCTAGGTAGTGTTTGTTTATATTGAGTGTATATGTATAGTTGATTTTGTTCTAAACTCTCAGTTTTATACAGTTGAAGACGTAATGTTCCTAATCGTAAACAATTTTTTGCATTTTTTTTGGTTGGAAGGTTACATACAACATGGAAACTGACCAGAGTCGTGGGTTTAGATTTGTTACAATGAGTACGGTGGAGGAAGCTGAGTTGGCTCATGTAGATCATTTTGGATAAACTGATTATTTAATCCAACCAAAGTTTTCTGGTTGTAGAACATCAGTTCTTTCTTTTTTTTTTTATCATAAATCGCATTGTTTGTTGGTCTTAACCCTAAATCAAGAACTCAACTACCTCTCATCGTTCGTTTGAATGTTCTTGATGTCTTTGTTTCTGTTTGTTTGTGCTATTTTAAAATTTATCATGAAACTGATCTTTGTTTCAATTTTGTAGGTATTTGAAAAAAGTTTTCCAAATAGAGCAAACAAGTACGGTGAAAAGCTAAACATATGAATAACCAACAAACAACATTCGATAAAGAAAAACACGTGTGGAACATCTTCTCTGATACTTTTAAATGTTCCACGAAAGTATCGATATGTGCTGTTTGTTTCTTGGATTCACATGATTGAGCTTTTTTTATTATTATTCATATATTTAGCTTTCAATGCATATGTAGAAAATTGTAGAGATCAACGAGAACTAACGGTTTCTCGGCGGGGTCCTAGAAGTGCACCTGAGCAATTACCAAGCTCAGCCGATGAAACCAGTTCGGAGAGAGTTTAAGACATACATGGAAGTTTCAACCTCCGAAGAAGTTGAAGAAGAACTTGATGCTCGCTGTTCAAAACGAAGCTATTGATGTGAAGCCAATTGAAAAAAAGACGTGTAGACATGTACCATAGAGATAGAAACAAAAAAAAAGTGTCCAATCTTTGGCTGATTACCATATGTTTTTTTAAAATGGATATTTTATTTTAGTGTGGTCTGTGAATATGTAAATCACGAAGGAAATAAATAAAAGCCTTTTGCCACGTGACCCCATAAGGATTCCTGAGTGTATGCTAAAGAGAAACAAAAGCATAAACTATTCAAATACCATTGTTTGTATAAGAGTCTATAACTTACATTTTCTTGATGTAAAAACTGTCCCTCCATAAGTTCTTCATATGTAATGATTCTCTTTGCCAAATCAACTATTTTCTCCTTTTTCCGACTTATACTTATGGATATTGCCTTTAACAAAAAAAAAAGACTAATGGAGATTGCATTTGAATGACACTAATACACGAGAATTGCGAATCAATCGTTCTTTATTTAGATTTGAGTTTTCTATTTCTGATTATAAGGAGAAGAATATCTAAGGTTTGACATGGATGATTATGAATGGATACTACAAGAAAACCTGTGATTTGTCAAACCTTGGCAAAAGAGAATATTCTTATAATCAGTCTACCATAAGATTTTATAGTTATACAATATTTGTCAAATCTTAAATATCAGACGTTAAAAACAGAAATAACCTTGCCAAGAATATTAGTATATATATGTAGATGCATTATCCATGAAGAAATATTACCCCAAACAAAAATTAGGTTTTGATCATATCGAAGATTAAACAAAATTGTCTGAGCTTTCATGTATACATATATTTTTGGTTTCTTACATTTTGATTTTGATTTATATATATATGCAAATAATATTCTATTGCATTGCTTATACCCTGAAACCAACGATAATTCGGTTCCTCTTTTCTTAACCGGAACTTCGATCAACAGACCACTTGGCACTACCGCTCCTATAAATCCTAGATACGCTCATTCTCATTCTCGCTCTTCATGGTTGATTTGAATAGAAGAAGAAATCGCTGCGGAAAATAAGAGAAATCAAGAGCAACCGAATGTACTTTTCAATTAAAAAACGCTTTTCTTCTAGAGGAATTAAAAGGTTTGCTTTTTTTCTATTCTCATTCCGTCCATGGATTGATAAAAAAACAAAATAAATATTAATAAAAAAAATGACATATCCAATCAATAACAATTTATTTTAAATATGAAAAATTTTAAAGTTAATTTAGTCTCACGCATTAGCGTGGGTAATTCCCTAGTTTGTAGTCATGGAAGAAGTAGAGGGGTGTGTTTGATATATGACCTGGCCCGTCTTGAATTGGGCTTTGAGGCCCAATTTGAGTTTTCGTCTGTCGGATGGAACTTTTGAAAGTTCTTCTCTTCAAAGCGACGTCTGTGTGAGGTTGAATCGCGTCGCGTTTTGATTCTACAGTTTTTTTTTTCTTTCCCCTTTCACTTTCAAACGAACAGAACACACCAGCTAAAGGCCATTTGCGTTAGATCTAAGGAGAGAGCGACGCATACGTTTCCAAGCAAATTGTCTACGGGCAACGAGATTAACGACGCGACGAGCAAATTCGATTTCAGTCTCCCTTGGAGTTCTCTGTTCGACCAATCGAGGGTATGGTTTAGCTCAGTTTCGGAAATTTTTAGCGTATTCTCGATTTTCTCTGTGAAATTTGATCTCTTATTGCGGGATTTTTTGGATACGGGTTTGGATTTAGCTTCTGTGTGTATTTCTATTGAATCTGGAGATTGATTTCCGTTTAGTTGCCGCACGATCTGTTCTTACTTATTATTGGATTTTGATTTGTGCTGTTTAAAATGAATTACAAATTTCTATGCCAAGTAATGTGTCGGTGGCTTGTGATATCATCATACAAGTTTGTGAATTTAGCTTCGTTTTTGTTGTTGTTGCTGCATTCTGCGTCATCAGGAAGTAGGATCTATGGTGATACAGAAAACTTGGTGTTGATCCACAAATATTCATTTGTGGGAAGAAGAATAGAGTGAATCGAATGGACAAGAAAAAGAACCGTTCCGATCCGCTCGCTGCTGGGCGCCAGAAGGTTTGTTTCACTTTCCTTAAGCCTACCTCTTTATCGTCTAAAGATTATAGTTTAGAAGGAACAATTGATAGCTTAGTTCTTGATAACAAAATAAGTTGGAAAGATAGTTCGCACCTAAAGTTATCCAACTTTGATTGCTTGTTTTGCCTTGTTTAATTGCTGAGTTTCTTAACTGTATTTCAGCTTCAACAATTTCGTCAAAAGAAGGCTGACAAAAGCACTGATAATAAAAAGGACCCCAAGGCCAGTACAAGCCAAGGAAAGTCCTCTAAAAAATCTGGTAAATCTGAGAAGCATGAGCGTAAACCTGACACAAGTGCTGTCAGTGACGAGGCAGAAGCTCCGTCTAATGTGGCTGCAGGAGGAGCTACATCTCATGTGAATATTGGCGAGGAGGTTGTTGATTCTCCACGAACTTATGCAAATGCATTAGCTCAAGAGTATGTTCCAGTCCATGGTTCGTCATCAGAACCTGATACCCTTCAGCCAGAAAACACAACATCAACTTCTGATAGCGGAGCTGAACTGAGAAAAGAAGTAGTGGATTCTGAAAATGATATCAGCATACCATTATCCACTGAAGAAGAGAATACGAAGAGCGTTGACAGTGGAGCGGCTGGGACAGTAGATTCTTTGACATCTGGCCCTGCAGATTCTGAGAAGGGAATTACACATGACGATGCATCTATCAGTGTTGACGGAATCAGTGCTGCTTCTGGAAACCTAGCGGATGGTGAAGGAGTTGAAGTTGCAAGTGGGTCCGGGAATGTGGAAAACCCGCATCAGCCATCCTCTCCGCATGCATTTATTCCTGATGTTTCCTTGATTCGTGCAAGGGGAGATCAGGTAACTGATGTAGGTTGTTCTCTCCTTCTCTTCATGCATCTCTCTTCAATTTTTTTCTTTATTTCTTTTTCCGTGATAGGGGTAAAGAAGTTATGTCAATTGCATGCGTTCTTTCGATGTATAATTTTATTCTCATTTGTTCATGGGTAGGGGAAATGCAGGAAGACGATGGTTCACACAAGGAGCAGTTTTCTGAATCATCTACAATGGCAGATGTGGATAGGAATGGATCAGAAGAAAGGCCAAAAAGCTATGCAGCCGCTGTGGTTTCATCTGCTTCTGATTCTCACTTTTCAGAGGGATCCTCAGTTACAAATGAAGAGAAACCAGAGTCATCATCTATTGGTTTTCCTGATAACAGAGATCACGTGCTTTCAGTTGAACCTGAGGAATTCTCTGTTGCAAAAGATCCTGAGAGCGTCAGTATCTCTGGAGTTTTGAGCCATGAGAAGCCTCGTAAAATTGACACAGATCCATCTGGAGAAGTTTCTGCTGCTCCTGTTCATGAAGGCCCGTCAGTCAGCTTCTTGCAGCTTATGGATATTGTACAGGGTCTTGGACAAGATGAATTTCAAGTGTTGTGCAACGCAAGAGAGGCTGCTTCCAGTACTGAGCCAGGAACAAGTTCACTGGAGAGATTAAGAGAAGAACTGTTTGTTTCGAGTACAATGGAAGATATACTCCATGTGCAACTCACAGAACAATCTCATCTACAAAATGAGTTTGATCACCAACATAACCAATTGGTAGCTGAAATATCCAAGCTGCGTGCATCATATAATGCAGTGACGGAGAGGAATGATTCTCTTGTGGAGGAACTATCGGAGTGCCAGTCTAATCTCTATGCTGCTACAAGCTCAAATGAGAAGCTCGAAAATCAGCTTCTCGCTACAGAAGCACGGGTGGAGGATTTCACTGCTAAGATGAATGAGTTGCAGCATAGCCTAGAAAAGTCCCTATTGGATCTATCTGAGGCTAAAGAAAATTTCATCAATCTTCAGGTGGAGAATGATACGTTGGTTGCAAATATTTCTTCTTGGAATGATGAGAAAAAGGAACTTCTTGAAGAAAAAGAATCCAAGAACTATGAGATTAAGCATCTTACCGAGGAAAGATATACTGTATTGGGGGAGGCAGAGAAGTTACAGGAAGAATTGGCAAATTGTAAGACTTTGGTCACCTTGCAAGAGGTGGAAAATTCAAACACAAGGGGGACGCTTTCTCTACTGACAGGCCAGCAGACTAAACTTGAAGAGGATAACCTGCATCTCAGAGAAGAAAATGAGAAAGCACATCTAGAACTGAGTGCACATCTGATCTCGGAGACTTATCTATTGTCTGAGTATTCCAATCTAAAGGAAGGGTATTCTTTGCTGAATAATAAACTCTTGAAGTTTCAAGCGGAGAACGAACATTTGGTTGAGGACAATGATAAACTTTCGTATGAGCTTCTTACTCTTCAAGAGCGTATGTCTACTGTACAAGAAGAGCGGACTCATCTAGCAGTTGAGTTGGGAGAAGCAATAGCGCGCCTTGATAAACTGGCTGAAGAGAATACATCTCTGAAAAGTAGCATCGAGGTAGAAAAAGCTAGAATGGTAGACATTGGTAAAGAGGATGCTTCAGGATTGATCAGTCAGGATTTATCTGAAACATCGAGTAGAAGTCTTGAAGTTGAGGTTACAAGTAAACAGAATGTACCTTTCTTGGAAAATACCTGCCAAAGTCCCGGGACACAGCATGCAAATTTGGAGGAGGTAATGGACGATTCTTCTGGGTTTTCTGCCTTAAACAAGAATCTGGAGACGGGAGAGAAAATGGTTCAGAACCTTGAAGAGGCAATTAAGCAGCTGCTCATCGATTCTTCATCAAGTAAGTCTAGCAATAAAGGAGTATCACAATTGATTCAGGCTTTTGAGCCAAAGCGGCAACAGGAAGAACATGAATCTGAAAATGCACAGTTAACTGGTGAGCAGTCAGAAGCATTTGTGTCTGTGAATGTGCATATTAGGAATTTGAGAGGCTTGCTTGAACAGTTAGTGTTGAATGCTAGGAAGGCTGGTGTACAATTCAATCAATTAAATGATGTCAGGACAGAGACAAATCAACGGCTCGAGGAGTTTAATGTCAAGTTTGCATCTCACCAGGATCACATTAATCTTCTGGAGGCAGATACAATTGAGAATAAAATTTCTTTTGAAGCTCTAAAGAATTACTCCTATGAGCTGCAACACAAAAACCACGAATTTGAACTTCTCTGTGAATCATTAAAGCTGAGAAATGATAGCATCGGTCTAGAAAACACGGAGCTCAACGAGAAGCTCAGTTCTTGCTTATCGAGAATTCATGAGCTTGAAATTCAGCTGGAAAGCTTACAGAGTAATTTAAGTAGCATGTCCTCCTCAATGGAAGAACAGTTAGTGGCATTGCAGGATGAATCTGAAAAGGCAAGGATGCTAGAACATGAATTGACATCATCAGTGTCTGAATTTGGTGATGCAGTTGCCAGACTTGATGATTGTTTGCTCAGATCTGGCACTGCTGAAGCTCAGGTTGGCTTAGATATAACCAAGCGTATGTCTCGTTCTGTTGACATGGCTGTAAAGGTGATTGGCGACCTGGAGGAAAAACTAGAAGTTGCTTACGCGAAGCATGAGTCCTCCTCAAACAAATATGAGGAGTTGAATCATAGTTTCAACGCTCAGCTTGAGAAAAATGAATTTGTAACGGCTACAATGCACAAGGTCTATGCTGATCTGACGAAACTGATTACTGAATCACGCGGGTCTGTGGAGATGGACAATCTGAAAGTTGAAAATCTAGTTGTCTCTGATCCTGTTAATGATGGTAATTGTGAGAATCTGGTTGAGGCTGTGCGGCACATTATTTTTGAGAGGCTTGAACTTCAGTCTGCGATTGACAAGCTACAGTTGGACTTGTCGAGTAAAACAAATGATATGGAGGTACTGATGCAACGGAGCCTTGATCCCACTTCACTTCGAGAGTTAGTTGAGAAAGTTGAGGGTGTTCTTGAACTTGAAAATAGTGAAATTAGTTTTGAATCTCCTAGTTCATATGTGGAGTTTCTGGTTTCCCAACTTGTTCAGAAGTTTATAGAAGCTGAGGACTTGGCTAGTCTTTTCAGAAAACAGTCAGAGGCGAAGGAGAATGAGCTGATAGAGATCCAGGAGAGTTTACTGCACCACAAAACTGAAATGGGTGGTCTCAGGGAAAATTTAAGCCAGGCAGAAGAGTCCCTTGTGGCTGTACGATCTGAGTTACAAGAGAAATCAAATGATTTTGAACAATCAGAGCAGAGGTTATTATCTACTAGAGAGAAGCTTAGCATAGCTGTTGCAAAAGGAAAAGGTTTGATTGTTCAGCGTGACAATCTTAAGCAATCGTTGGCCGAAACCTCTGCTGAACTGCAGAGGTGCTCAGAGGAAGTGCAATTGAAGGACACAAGGCTTCAGGAAGTAGAAGCAAAACTTAAGACGTATACAGAGGCAGGTGAACGTGTGGAGGCATTAGAATCTGAGCTTTCTTACATCCGAAACTCAGCTACTGCACTTCGAGAATCGTTTCTTCTCAAAGACTCTCTACTTCACAGAATTGAAGAAATTTTGGATGATTTGGATCTCCCAGAGCATTTTCATGCTCGGGATATACTCGACAAGGTGGAGTGGTTAGCAAGATCAGCTAACGGAAACTCTTTGCGTCCCTCTGATTGGGATCAGAAGAGTTCTGATGGAGGTGCGGGATACGTTCTCTCGGAACCCTGGAGGGAGGATGGTCAAACTGGCACAAGTACTGAGGATGACTTAAGGATCAAATTCGAGGAGCTCCAGGGGAAGTTTTATGGGTTGGCTGAACAGAATGAAATGCTGGAGCAGTCCTTGATGCACAGGAATAATTTGGTTCAGAGATGGGAAGCGCTCATAGGGAATCTTGATATGCCTCCGCAGCTAAAGTCCATGGAAGTGGAAAACAAGATTGAGTGGCTTGCAAGTACAGTATCAGAGGCTACACATGAAAAGGATACTCTCCAACAGAAGATTGATAACCTTGAAGTCCATTGCCAATCACTAAGTGCTGATTTGGAAGTCTCACAAAAGCAAGTGGGTGATATCGAGGCAAATCTTCAGTCGGTTGATAATGAGAGAGTGAATCTTTCTGAACAACTGGAAACTCTAAATGGTGATCACGAAAATCTTTCTGCCAGGGTCATTCACCTTGAAGCTGAGAATGAGGAACTGCAGAATCAAGTGAAAGATCTGCATGGAAAATTGGTTGAGAAACTTGGGAATGAAGAACAACTTGAGACTATCGAAGGAAACCTTTTGAGTTTGAGGCACATGATTAATGATGTTATACAGGAAGATGGCTTGCAGGATTTGGCTTTGGCAAGTAATTCTGAGACCTTGGATGGGCTTCTGAGAAAGCTGATAGACTATTATAAGAATTTGGTGAAATCTAGTTTGCCACGTGAAAGAGATGACAACCTCTGTGAAACTCGTCCTCTAAATGCTGATGTTAGAAGCGGAGAGTCATTGGGTACACATGAAGCAACTTCTCATGGACACAATCCTGAATTGACCGATTCTAATATAGTGGAAGCAACAAGCAGAGACATCGCAGTAGTAGAGACACCTGATGTAGCTTCCCTAACAAAAGATCTGGATGAGGCATTGCATGTTCAAAAGCTGACAAGGGAAGAAAGAGATTTGTACTTGGAAAAGCAGCAATCCTTGGTTGCTGAAAATGAGGCACTTGATAAGAAAATAATAGAATTGCAGGAGTTTCTTAAGCAAGAAGAGCAGAAGTCAGCTTCTGTAAGAGAGAAGTTAAACGTAGCTGTCAGGAAAGGGAAAGCTTTGGTCCAACAAAGGGATAGCTTGAAGCAAACTATTGAGGAGATGAGCGCTGAGCATGGTCGCCTAAAATCAGAGATTGTCAACCGAGACGAAATGCTCCTGGAAAATGAAAAGAAACTTCGGGAGTTGGAATCTTACACTATGAGGATAGAAGCCCTAGAGTCTGAGTGCCAATTACTGAAAAATCATTTGCAAGAAACAGAAAATATTTTGCAGGAAAGAAGTGGTACATTGAGCACGACACTGAATGCGTTGAATAGCATTGATATTGGTGATGAAGGTGATAGATATGACCCAGTTCTGAAGCTTCAACGGATCCAACAACTGTTTCAGAATATGAGTACAGCTGTGTCTTCTGCTGAGCAGGAGTCGAGAAAGTCTAGAAGAGCGGCTGAGTTGCTACTTGCTGAACTGAATGAGGTTCAAGAGAGAAACGATAGTCTGCAAGAGAAGCTATCAAAGTTTACATATGAAATTGAGCAGCTTTCTAGACAGAAGGATGCAGCGGAGGCTGCAAAAGTTGAAGCCGTGTCACATTGTGAAAATTTATCAGTGCTCAACAACGAAGAAAAGAAGAAGCTGTATGCTCAACTGCTGTCCTTCGCAACTAGTGTGAACGCTCTGGGGAAAACACTCGCAGGTACCAACAGCTGTCTAGCTGATATTTTCACCGTGGATATGGAGTTTCTGCATCATTTGAAGGCAAATATGGAATCATGTGCGAAGCAAACTGGTACTAATTTGTCTGGCTGGCCTCAATTGAGTACAGGGAATTTTGTAGACAAGGTAGATCCTTTCAACAGCTTACTATGGTATATTTTCAAGGTTTTAGTGCCATTGACTGTTTCTGAATATTATTTTCCCTTTTTTTCTTAGGAAATCTTTTCACGCTTGAGTGCTGCCTTGCCTAACGTCAACTTGCATGAGATTTCAAGTGGTGGAAACATAACCGAAATTTGTGGTTCTCTCTCACGCAACCTTGATCAGTTTGTGGCCGTTAGTAACCATCTCGAAGAGAATGTAAGCAAGCACTTGGGAGCATGGCACGAACAGGTCAACATTGTATCCAACAGTGTGGACACCTTTTTCAAGTCAATAGGAACGGGAACAGATTCAGAAGTTGCCGCTTTGGGTGAAAGAATTGCCTTGCTTCATGGAGCATGTTCGAGCATGTTGGCAGAAATTGAAAGCCGTAAGGCTGAACTGGTTGGAAATGACAATTTCAATATAAGTCCCCATCAAGTAGAAGGGGATGTCTCGTCCATGGAATCAGTCAGGTCAATGGTAAATAGGCTATCGTCAGCTGTTAGAGAGCTTGTTGTAGCAAATGCTGAGACTGTGGAGAGAAATGAAAAGGAGATGAAGGTGATCATCGCCAATTTACAAAGGGAGTTACACGAAAAGGACATCCAAAATGATAGGATGTGCAATGAACTTGTGGGTCAAGTTAAGGAAGCCCAGGCTGGTGCTAAGATCTTTGCGGAAGATCTTCAATCTGCAAGTGCCCGGATGCGTGATATGCAAGGCCAGCTGGAAATTTTGGTGCGGGAGCGGGATTCTATGAAGGAGAGAGTAAAAGAGCTGCAAGAAGGACAGGCCTCACACTCAGAATCAGAGGAGAAGGTCACATCGCTTAGTAAACTACTAGCTGCAAAAGACCAAGGTAAATTTTTAATCTAAATATTTACGTTTTCCATCGTCACACATAGATAGTGCCTAATACATAATTGATTGCGACAGAAATCGAGGCCTTAATGCAAGCGCTCGATGAGGAAGAGTCTCAGATGGAGGATCTGAAACAAAGGGTTACAGAATTAGAACAGGAAGTGCAACAGAAGAACCTAGATTTGCAGAAAGCTGAAGCTTCTCGTGGGAAGATTTCCAAAAAGCTATCAATTACTGTGGATAAGTTCGATGAGCTTCATCATCTCTCTGAAAATCTCCTTGCTGAAATCGAGAAACTTCAACAACAAGTGCAAGATCGGGATACCGAGGTTTCTTTCTTAAGACAAGAAGTCACCAGGTGCACCAATGACGCTCTTGTTGCTTCTCAAATGGACACTAAGAGAGGCTCAGAAGAGATCCAAACTGTAATGTCTTGGTTCGACGCAATAGCTTCACTACTTGGTCTAGAAGATTCACCTTCGACTGATGCTCACAGTAATGTAAACCGCTACATGGAGACACTTGAGAAAAGGATTGCATCGATAGTAACTGAAACAGAAGAATTACGGTTGGTGGGACAAAGCAAGGATTCGTTGCTGGAAGCTGAGAGGAGTAGAGTGGCTGAGCTCAGACAGAAAGAAGCAACTCTTGAGAAAATATTACATGCGAAGGAATCCCAACCAAATATGTCAACAAGCTCGAATTCAGAGATTGTTGAAGTGGAACCTCTAGTAAACTTTCAGAGCTTCTTTAGATAATTTAACCATTTTAGATGCTGCCTCAAAACGACAACATTTCAAATTGGGTTTCTTTTCTTCTTCTTTTGTATCCCAGATAAACAAGCGGACGATGAGTGGAACATCGACCCCATCTCAAGTCCGGAGTTTGCGCAAGGGAAACAACGATCAAGTCGCCATTAGTATAGACGCAGATCACGCTGGCTTAGACGAAGATGATGATAAAGGTAACTAAACTTGTACGTTAATTACTAAAGTTAATTGGGGATACACGTTCTCTTTGTAACATTCTCTTTTTGCGTTTCTAGCTCATGGATTTAGATCACTCACCACGTCAAGAATCATTCCTAGATTCACAAGACCAGTGACAAACATGATCGATGGTTTATGGTTAGTTGGCTCTTCCTCTCTATATATATTTGATTATCATCTGGTTGGAAATTCTTAATCCCGGTCTAATGAAAACGATATTTCCAGGGTCTCTTGTGACAGGACGCTAATGAGACAACCTGCCTTACGGTTATGCATAATGATTTACTGGGCGATATTGCATGGTCTTTTGGCTACATTCGTGGTCTAACCAAAACTTCTTCTGATTTCGTAAGCTCATTGCTGACTTCTTCCCAAATCAAAATGCCAAACAGTAGCTTCTTCATTTACTAAGCTTTGATAATGTCTTCCGCAGCTGGTTTGACGTTTTGGCGCGGGCTCAAGTGGTGTGTTGTTTTCACTATATGTACTTGTTGGATTTTTTTTTTTATATTCATTGTTTAGCTATTATTCACCAAGCAAGATGTGGTTTCGCCAGTTTTATTGATTCGAATCACAAACTGCTTGGCTTTACACCCGAATAATAAAAGAAGAAAGTTTATGTAGTACTGTTGAAAAGCACTAAACAATCGAAATGACCATAAGTTTGTTTTTCTTTTCCCTTTCATACTTATCAAGTATACAAGGCAAAAATGGACGAAAGAACATAAGATTTATCACCGAGAGTGGGAAGATATTTTTCCAAGTATAATTCTTCTAAACGCTAATACTGAGTTGAGCTCAACTAATAGGCCCATATTTGAGCCCAAGTTATATCTATGATTAATTTTGGGCTTTTATCTGTTTGTGTGAAGAAGTTACACGCTCCTACAAATCCTGTTTCTTCAATTTCAGAATCAGAAGCCCTAATTTCACCGCGAAACAAAAAGATTTTTGCTCCTTCTCCTCTCTCGCGGAGCCGCTTGAGTACTTTCGGCTCTCTCGTTGGTAGGTGACGCCATGTTCCTCTATCTCTATTTTGCTCTTAATTTACTTGTGGGAATGTTAATCCGATCTGTCAAATTTGAACTGCTGCTTTTTTTTTTTCTTTCCTCACTCTCGGTTGAATTTTCTTTTGTTGGTTTCAATAGTGATCAATCTTCTCTTTAACACTAGTTTATGCCATTGACAGGTTTGTAGAGGATAATGTCACGCGTGTACGTTGGAAATTTGGACCCGCGAGTGACTGAGCGTGAGCTCGAGGATGAGTTTCGCGTGTATGGAGTTATCAGGAGGTAAGAATCGATCAGTTCGATACTTAGATTATTGTTTTTCGACTTTTTGATGTTATAGTATCTGATTTGCATTTTCTCTAATGTTCTTCTATTGTATTTGCAGTGTTTGGGTTGCTCGTAGACCACCTGGCTACGCTTTTCTAGATTTCGAGGATCCTAGGGATGCTCGTGATGCCATTCGTGATTTAGATGGTAATTCATCGTTTTGCTTTGTTCTCTAAGAAGTTTGATCAATTGACATTAACATTGTGGAAATGGATAGGCAAGAATGGCTGGAGAGTGGAACAGTCTCACAACCGAGGTGGAGCTGGTGGAGGTGGCCGTGGTGGTGACCGTGGTGGAGGCGGCGATCGTGGTGGCCGTGGGGGGCGTGGCGGTGGTTCTGATTTGAAGTGCTATGAGTGTGGTGAGCCAGGTCACTTTGCACGTGAATGCCGTAACCGTGGTGGCACAGGAAGGCGTCGCAGCAGGAGCCGTAGTCGCAGTCCAAGATACAGGAGAAGCCCAAGCTATGGACGGAGGTAAATTTTTCTGCTGATTTTAATTTACATTTGGTCCCTTTGTCTTCCTAGCTTTCTCTTGAACGGATTTGTCAATCTCGTATTTTGCTGTCTTCAGGAGTTACAGCCCTCGCGGCGCAAGGTCCCCTCCTCCTCCAAGACGCCGTAGTCCTTCTCCTCCTCCTGCTCGTGGTCGCAGCTACAGCAGATCACCACCTCCGTACAGAGGACGTGAGGAACTTCCATATGCTAATGGGTAAAAACTTCTTCTGCTTACTCTCTCTCGTAATACATTAAGTTGATGGTTGACACGATAATTGAATTCTTGATGTTTGTTCATTGTTCTTGATTGGGGATTACAACGTTTTAGTGAATCAATGTGGCTAATTCAACGTTTGATCTTGTTTCTGCAGAAATGGGCTGAAAGATAGGCGCAGAAGCCGGAGCTGAGAGTTTATGCTTGGATGATGACGAAGTACTACTTAAGGGCAATTACTATCATCTATGAAATTTTCAGTAAGAGAACATGTGTAAGGTGGGCTGGATTTGGATATGAAGCGTATGTAGTTGTTATCTTCCCCTAGGTAAAACTACTTTCTAATTCGTACCCTAGTTTCTTAAAGACGCAAAAACATAATGTTTCGTTTGGAAATTCTGCTAAATGCCTATGCGTTTCTGTTTTTTTTCTTGTGTTTTCACTGCGTCGAGGTTTCTTCTACTACTACTACTGCTTATCTACTTGCTTCTCTACTCTTCTCCTATGAAGCATCATTTAGTTGCTCCGCCTGCTATGGGAAAGTTAAACCACTATTGTGGATCCTTTCATGTCTTGCTTCTGCTTCATCTTCATTGTCTTGCTTCTGCTTCATCTTCACTGTCTGCTTCTGCTTCGCTTCACCTTCTGCTTCTGCTTGATTTGTCTTCGTCATCATGGCTTATCTTGCATGGCATATCTTTTCATGAACCATCGCTGGATGTTGTGATAATGCCAAGTCCTTAAGTAGATTAGTTGTTATAGGCAGGTCAAGATTCGAAAAGTTCTTTTTATGATTTAGGAGCCTAATCAAACGGGTGTCGATTTGGGGTTTTGATCTAGTGTTAACTAAACTAAAAAGATGTGAAACTTTACGCCTTGTAAAGTGTTATTCTTCCAACATTTAATCAAGTGGAATTTGCCTAAGCTGGAGATTTGATTGTATAATAATGTGGTTGCTCTTTAATGAAGTTAATGTGGATCCGTTTCCGCAACTAAAAATCCCAAACAAAAACCACTGGCCACGTTTTCAAGTTTGTAGTTGACAAGTAGAAGAACTAATTACTACTAATTATTTGAATAACAAAGTGTGCATTGTTTTGGCATAGCCACAAATAATGAAAGCCTAGAAAAGCAAAAGAGACAAGATCATGATCCTAGTTCGGTCCCAAATCATCAACAAACCCACCAAATTAAAATCTGTTTGGTCCCATTCTTTCACTTCCACATCATTCAATTGATTGTTATGTATGACCTAAACCTCTCTGTTTTTTTCTGACACACACACTTTATGCGTCGTCTCATTCCACTTTCTCCTGCCGACACTTTTTTGCCTCCACGTTTCTTCACTTTTCACCGACACTAAGATGAGAAATTCCTAAGATCAGAAACCAATAAATGGTCTCTCTTTCTAGTCATCAGAAACTGGTTCTTGTTCGTTATTTACAGTTACAGTCTCTTTCTTAAACTACAAAATTCTCTGCAATTGATTTGACATGGAATCTTGTATTAATTCAAGACAAAAACTCTTTTTTTTTTTTAAACTGCCAACATGTTCCAACTTTACAGATATTGTATACATGTATGAATCTCTGGCTCACACTCTATCACCTAACAATGGAGGAATCAAACGAACATAAACAAACAAACAAAGAAACAAACCGGTAAATTAAATTAATGCCTATCACTATGGTTCCAACAAATCTCATTACAGAGGATACCATTGAACATAAGAGCAAATGTGGGAATCAAACTCACTGATTTATTGACCCGAGTGACGTAATCTATGAAGCTTCCTCTGTTCTTTTCTCTTCTCTTCTCAGCTCATCTGTTCGCCTATGAGATCAAGACCCACGAGAAGAAAGGTGACACCTTGGAATAGCAAGAAGTAGAAATGCACTCCTTGAGCTGCCAAGAGACTCCTAACCGCTGCAGTGAGCAAGAGAAAGGCTAACGCGAGCTCTTTGTGGTATATCTTGTTCGTTTTCTTGACGGCTTTCTTTGAGACAGCTTGTTTCTGTTCCTCGAGTTGGCTCAGCTCCAAGAGCTCGCTGTCGGAGACTCCCCTTAGCAACTGGCTTTTCTGGTTTGGTGTCTCTTTCTCGGCGAATGATAAAAGATCCGACTCTGATGATCTTCCAGCTTTCTTTGTGACAATCCACTCGTAAGAGCTCCCCAGCTGGAATAATCCGGACACCATCGCGTTGAACTTGGTGACAGACATTGTGTTCTCGAACAAGAGGTAAGGGACGATGAAAGGGAAGGACTTTGGAGATGGAAGAAGGTTGAGGAAAGACATGAAAACTGGTATGTAGCAGATGACCCAAACAGGGAGCTCAGCTTCTGGAACAAACATGGTGAGTGGAAGGATAATGCAGAACAATGTGAAGGAGTAGAAAGGAAGTATGAGTTTCCTTAGAAGGAAGAAGATAAGTATCATATTCGCCTTCTTCCATATCGCTATCTGCAAGAAGCAAGAAGAAGAATCTCATTAGATCAAAAAACTTAAAACTTTGAAGAAGAAGAAAAGAGTTAGTAAGCTGTAACACTACCTTAGAGGTCAAGATTGCACCAAGGCACAATCGAAAAAGCTGCATAGGTCCTGAATGCCAACGGTGTTGCTGCTTCTTATATGCTTCATAAGACTCTGGAACTTCACAAAGGACCTATATATATTGTTCTCACTCCAGTTTAGTAAAATGGTTACATGAATATGGTTATGGTTGATAAAACAGTAGTGTACCTTGACATCGTTCAGATAGATGAACTTCCATCCATGGAGATGTGCACGGACTGCAATATCCATATCCTCAACAGTTGTTCTTTCAAGCCAGCCACCAGATTCCTCAAGGGCTTTGATTCTCCAAACTCCAGCTGTTCCATTGAAACCAAAGAAGTTGAAGAACACGCCGCTCACCTGCTGCTCAACCTCAAAGTGAAAACACAGATTGATGTTCTGAAGACGAGTCAGCAAGTTCTCATCTTTGTTCACAAATGTCCACCTAGCTTGAACCAGACCCAGCTCTGGATTATCCTGAAAGATCAACCACATTGTTAACGAGTCAAAAATCTCCCCACACATGTCCATTGTAGAAAATGAAACCGATGTCTATACTAACCTTGAAATGTGGAACTGTTAGTTTGAGGAAATCTGGATTAGGTTGGAAGTCCGCATCAAATATTGCTACAAACTCATATGCTTCCACGTAGTCACAACCCATAGCAGATTTGAGGTTACCAGCTTTATATCCAGTTCTAACCAAACGATGCCTGTAGATTATGTTCACTCCCTTTTGGCTCCATTTGGCCACCTCAGCTTTGATCAAGTGTTGGATGCTTTCATCATTCGAATCATCCAGAACCTGAACCAGTATTCGATCTTTTGGCCAGTCAAGTTGACACACAGCAGATATAGATTGTTCATACACCTAAAACAAGAAGAAGACCAAACAAAGATCATTACATTAAGATATCAAAGTTGATGCCAAAGATTGATGCTTTTTTTAATGAATGAGCATACCTCTCTCTCATTGCACATTGGAATCTGAACAAGAACCATTGGATAAGCAAATCCAGATCCCTCGGCATCATCATTACGGAACGGCTCCTCGTCGAATCTCGGCTTGATTTTCTTAAACTTGATCCAAAAGCAGCCCAAGCAAAGAATCAAACGATCTACTGACTGTATAATGAACAGGACAATACAAAACTTGGAGAGAGCTTTGATTGGAGGAGCAATATAATCAGCTCTTAAGCTCAACCAACCAACATAGACTAGATGAAGCAAGCTCTGGATCTCAAGTGTGCTAGTGGGGATGTGAAGACTAGGGTTTTGAAAGTAATGCCATCCACTGAAATAAGCAACAATCTCGAACCCGAGAATCAGTAAAGAAACAGCTATGAAGATCTTAATGGTCGAGAAAAGCCATCTGTCTCTGCCGAGTTTCTCAGAGCCGAGTGGGTGAGTGAAGCTAAGCCGTCTCTTGATGGCGCCGAGGAGTGACCAGAAGACAGTGGCGAGCCAAGTGAGACAACCAACGGCTCTGTGAGCTTTGAGAAGCAAAACCCAAGTCACTTGCTTTGCGTTCTTGCCTCTGCTCTTCTCCACTGGTCTAAACGCTGAATCTGGACCCTCGATTTCGACTACAGAGTAATTTGGGTTCTCCATCTTCACCACAACTGGTGTTCCTTTCCTCGTATCTTTCGCCCACCAATCTGAAAAATCCAACCTTGGAGCCATTTTCTTCCCTCAGACTCTAAATCTCCCTGAGAAGTGTGAGAAACCCAGAAGAAAGGAGCAGAAAAGTCGTTGAATTTCTTAATGTGGTAAGGATCCCAGAAAACACCCAAATCTCAAAGTAGGAGAAAGTTTAAGCAAAACCCATTTCAGGAAAACTAAAAAAGGAGGGATTTTGATTATTTGAGTGAGTAAATCTTCGAGAAAGGAGCCAGCTTTCTACTAATAATGGAAGAAATATCAACACCCAGATCCCAGAAACCGGAAATCTAGAGACCCCATTTTTATTTTATTTATAAACCAGACAAAGAAGCATCCACAGCTCAAGGCTCATTTATAGTGGACCTTTTTTAGAGAATGACAGAGAGAGAGATGGGTTGGTGAGAGAGTGGAGTGACTCAGAGAGAGAGAGAGAGAGAGAGAGTATTAATACTTGGCTTTAAGAGAGAGAAGCAAAAGAGAGGAAGAAGAAAGGTATCTGTGAAGATTGTAAGATCTGTCCTTACACTTTCATGTGTGTGTGTTACTTGTTCAGCTACTTCTTTGATGGCTTCAGCATGCAAAATTCATCCCCTTTTTATCACACTCCTGTAACTTTCGCCAGCACTTGTCATGTCATGGATCCTCCTAGAGAAATAAATTTTATTTTTTTCAAAAACCAAATAAAAACATTTTTCTTAGGGAAAATCCATTTGATGGATGATGGACCATACCGTTGTTTGGCAATTTGAAGTGAGGACAAATTCCAATTTGAGAGAGAAACTCCTTAAATTGGCACAAGTTTATAAGATACCAAATTGGATTCAAAGTGAATCACTATCATGTTCTCACCGCTTTGCCTGTGTGCTCCCCATGTCACTCTCCATGTGTTTCATCAGATTCAGTTTTTTATATTTTATACATGTAGTAAAAATCTCTGTTTTGGTAGTCCATTCATCAACTTATAATCTTTTGTTACCAAGTGTCACAACTTCAGAATTTTGACGGGAATGTTGTAAAGAGTAAAGACAATACATGTGGCTGTGTCACTAAAACTTTAACCTTTTTTTTTCACAGACAAATCCATAATTTAATGAGTCAGAGCCTTGATATTCAGAAAAATGGATGCACCGAATATACTCAAATTATATATCATACATGGTAATTAGTATGTAAGAAAACATTGAGTTGATGATATTGTTTTCCTTTGACAAAGTATACCAACGAACAAAACAGAGGGTCAAGTGTTGACTAATACTTGTCGGAAACTCTTAAAATACTGCCGCTAATTATGGCCCTTTTGTAAAACAAAGAATAATTTAGTGGTGTCTTTGAGAAGAAGAAGTATACGAGAATATTACACTCAAGTGGACTTTTTCACTTTACAATTACACTATGAGTGACTTCTTGAAAGTGGTATACTTTGGAGAAGTGAGTTTACACAGATGCCCTTCGTTCTTTTGTTTTCACCTTACGACTAGATTTTACTCACTCTTTTTTATCTCCGACCAAAAGAAAACTCCGATTTCAGATCCCTTTTCTTCCTACGGCGATACTCAGAAACTCATTTTCACATCCCTTCCCGATTTGGCATTCTCTTCGTCTTAAGTAAAACCTTCATTTTTCTGTCTTTATATTTCTCTCTTTTCCCCTTTTTCTCCGCCGTGAAGCAATTGTGATGGCTTTTGGCTTCTTTAGATTAAGTTCAATTTTTACTTTGCTACTCAACTTGGACCTTTCGTAAAGCTCTATAATTTATTCTTCTACTTAGTTTTGTTGAATATTTTCTGTGTGGATGCTTTTATTGGAAAAATCGTGTTCTTAATTTGGGTCATCCTTACCATCTTTACCATATTTTGTGTGTGAATTCTTGGAAAAGGTCTTTTAGCCGTCGATGCTTTTTATACATCTACCTGGAAATTTTCTTCCTGGATACTTTGAAAACACAATAGGATGCTTTACTTGTGGATGCTTTTTAGACTTTTTCTGTTGTTCTTAAGAACTCTGTGTAAAGGCGATCTGAATTTTTACATTAAATATGCTCCAAACTGGTTTCCAGATATATTGTCATGTAGAGTGCGTTTGTGTCATTGTTCCATTTCTCATGAAGTTTTGCTTCTCAACAGGTCATCTTTGGGTACAAGTCTTTGGCGTGGTTCCAGACAAGCCTCTGGATTCTGCTGTTCTGAGCCGTATGAAGCAATTCTCTGAAATGAACAAGTTCAAGAAAATGGCTCTTAGAGTAAGCGGATTTCCTCTTCTTCTTGTTATGTTGAAAGAAAGAAAGAAAGTTGCAGATTAAGTTTATCTCTTTATACCTTGTTGTAGGTCATTGCTGAGAGCTTGTCTGAAGAAGAAATAGCCGGCTTGAAAGAAATGTTTAATATTGGTAGATGCCGACAAGAGTGGTCAGATAACTTTGGAAGAAATGAAAGCAGGACTAAAACGAATTGGGGCGAATCTCAAAGAATCTGAATTCTCGACTTGATGCAAGCTGTAAGTTTCGGTCCCTTTCTTCTTTACTATCTCTGGACTTTACAAATCTTTCTTCGTCCAGTGTTGTCCTTAACTATGATTAAGAACTGGGTTTCTTGTAGATCCTAAACTATTCACCTGATTCTGGTTATCGGATTTGCAATTAATCTGTGTATGTTATTCAGGCTGATGTGGACAACAGTGGAACAATAGACTACAAAGAGTTCATAGCCGCAACATTGCACCTAAACAAGATAGAGAGAGAGGACCATTTGTTTGCAGCTTTTACATACTTTGACAAAGATCGTAGCTGCTGGTGTTTATCACAGTCTCGCTGTCTCAGGTGCTTATCACAACCTGCAAAATCCTTCACCTCTGATGAAGAAAGGCCAGTACATCACAGAAGTCCACCTCTGATCAAAAGTCCCTCTTTTTGTAAACAAAACTCAAAAAGTCACCCAAAATGTAAATCACTCATAAGTATATATTTATCGATTCAGTAGAAGGATAAACACATTTTGGTTCAATTTGAAAATTTCCAAAAGTTTCAACCAACTATTAGGTTACGCGAGTTATTTGTCGGTGGCGATATTAACACATGCAGAGCTTTAGAAGATAAGAATATTCGTTGGCATTTTTAAGGTTTATTCTACGATACAATACCTAACGTTTGCAAAAGTATTAGTATAAGAAAACTAAGAGAAAAGGGAAGGCCGAAAGAGAAAAGAATTATATTATTACTTACGTGTAATTAGTTTTGTCAAAGTATACTTGTTCTAGTACTTTTATTTTGTTTTGTTTGGGATGCCTACAAATCCATACACGAACCAATCGTGATGAATGATGATGCAGTAATTAAAAGTTTGTTATGTAGATCGAAGTGACAGTTTGAATCTTTCAACTACAATGTCAATATAATTGGTCATTATGAAATATAATAGATGACAAATATCAGTTTTTCAATAAACTACGGAAGTATTATGCTTTTTGGGTTGATTCCCCGGTTACAAACAAAATTCATACACAATCTTGCCCCAAAAATATTTTGTACTATGAGTATAACTACGATGATTATAAGGGAAACAATAATTCACAAATTATTGGACGTAGTATATTTAGTGAGCCAGGTGTGTTTTAAAACGTATCAGGATTAATCATGTATATGTTAAGATGATGGATTATGTCATGGTGAATGATTATTAATTATCACTTATCAATTATGATATTCTTTGAACTATGATATAATTTCATTCCACGTACAGTGCTTTACACTCTCCACTTTATCGGTATTTATTCAAATAAATGTAATTAGTGGATACAATCATTCAATATTCATTTTTCTGAATAAAGTTTTGATATATTTTTTTGAAAGTGGCTTCTTAGAGTTTTGATATTGTAATGTAAGGTTTTTTGTTTATCAACAATTCCAAAGTAACATCCTGCTTTTCTGAATTTGAATTTTATAAGCAATATATAAACTCTGTCTTTGGTAATCAGACTTCTTAAAATATGTAGGTTTATATACCGATATTTTCATCAACCTAAGAAATTAGATTATGTAACAGTGAGATCTAAGAGATATACACCCGGTTTCAAAGTTTTGTTACATAAGACTTTCAAACAAATGATTGATCTGGTTGAATTTTTATATATAAACAAGTTTCATATCGTTATTCCGTTTAGTTAATTAGTTGAGATACGTTATTTAACTCATTTATCAACAGTTCAACACTGCTTCAGTTTCATCACCGAAGAAAATAATTATGATAAAACAAAGCCGTTTGAAGCAGTGTTGAACTGCTGATAAATGAGTTAAAGACTCAAAGAAGTCGTTGTAATTGACTTATCAACCGTCGCTTTTCTAGAGTTTTTTTTTGTTTGCTAAGATAATTTATTGATTTCGGACATTATGTTGTAGTATGTCTAAATACGTGGAAGATCATAGGCATATACAGCCTTTTTAGCTTTTTTTTGTTTGTTTTCTCTCTGGTATCTATTTTATAACAATTTAAGTGGCCACGGGATCTTAATTTAAAACATTAATTGATATCAATTTCATTAGGTCACAATCACACTTTACTGATCGATTATACGTTGTATCAATATGTAGTGACCACTATCATTGTTATGTTGCTTTATGCTATTTGTATCTAATGAATATATTTTTCAAAGTTATACATGAAAATAGCATGATCAACGGCCATATATCAACTGGTAAGGTTTATAAACTTTAGATCTCAAAATTAATTGATAATGGCTTTTCAGTCTCACTCTAGTAGATGACAGGTCAATTGAGAAGAACAAGATCCGAAGCTGTCGTCTTTATTGAAAGATTCTTTGTTAAGCCGGATTTCAACTAAATAATACATCGTTGCGTTCTGATTAACCGGATTATCCTCACAAAAGGAAACCAAACCCAACTTGAATCAGAGGATAACTATTTTTGGACAATGGCATATTTATGAGGAAACCGAGTCAGACCGGAATTTCTCATTTTCTGTGAGCTTCCAAGTCAGAAATTAGCCTAACCGGTTTAGCCTTCTTCTGCCTGTACTTGGCGTACGAGTACCACACACCACCAGCTGTGTTGACCACTAATCCGGACACGTTCAAAGCATGTACTTCAACACCACCCAAGAGAACAAAACCGAGCGTCTGGAAGATCAAACAAAGATAAGTAAGACTCAGAAAAATGATTTGCCTACAAAGACTTGAAAACCAAGAAGAGTGTGTATACTCACGGTGGAACCAACGCCTTTGAGGACACCAACGATGGTTGTTGTTAGTGCAGAGTTCACAATGGTGCAAAGGAACATGGTGAAGTTAAGGACAATGCCCATAACCAGTGAAAGAACAAGAATCACCAAGAACGGCAAATAAGAACACTGCCAAAAGAGAATTTTGCCTTTTTAGTGAATAGTTCATGAGAAAATCCACTAGCTATGAACGATGATGAAGTTTCTAACCTTTGCAAGTAATAAAGATACAGAGTTTGGGAATTCGCCGGTAACTATGATGAGGAATGACAGAAACGGGAGGGAAAGGAAGCTGTTATAGAACATTATCTCGATCGATGAAAGTCCGTCTTCTGCACCAGACTTCTCAACCAGCACAAGGTACATTGTCTGCAAGCGACGAGCCAGGAAACAAATACTTGTTTTATTATCATATGGTTAATGGAGCATTGATGCAAGCGAAGGATAAGAATAAGTGAACCAACCTGGAAAAAGACAGACGTTAAAGCCAAACCATACCCGAAAAGATCAAATGAAAAGTCTCCAAGAGCTGCAATCACACAACCTGCAGCTGTCAATAGTACAGATAGAGCAACCTGAAATTTTAAACAGGAGATTCAGAGCTTGAAACATTATAAAATCACAAATCATTATAGTGTTGTTTATGTACCTGAGTTGTTGGTTTGCCTTTACCACCAAAGAGATAACCGGCAATCAAAACAGCGAGTGGAGTGAGTCTCTTGATGGCGATATACATTGGGATATTAACTCCTTTCAAGCTTGCAAGAGCAAACGCTACATTAGCATTGTAGAAGATGGAAACAGGGAGAAGCTTTTTCGCAGTGGACAATTCAATTCCTTTGGCTCTCGTGTATCCCATTCGTCTCCCAAAGTGTATAAGCAACGAAGTAGCCAATTGCTATATACACACAACCCAAAGAAAAAAAGCAAAAAGGAACGAACTTTACATAACTACCACTTTGAGGAAGTGAGTAATCAAAATGCTGAAGAATCAACGTAATTTTCATGGGTTGAATCAGTTACCTGTAAGGTAAGAACAGTCATTGAGTGTGGATACTGCATAATCACAGCTTTGTTGATGAAAACCATTGCCATTGAAGCAATGCCATATGAAACAGCTGAGACTAAACTGCATCATAGAACAGAGATAAGCCCAAGTAATCAAGCTTACTTAAATATAAACCAAATGCTCTCTATTCATTCTCTGCAAATCTCGAGATCCAGATCTACCCAGATGAAGAACCGCAATCGAAATTTCCAAATTTCATAACTTTAACAAGCAATTTATCCACGATCCCTACGTACTAAATTGATCAAACTCAATCCTAGAAAGTAGAAACTTCCATGATCGAAATGAAAAACCCAGTGATCAAATCAAAAAAAGGAGAGAGTACCTAATGGACGAGCTAGGCTCCATATCGGCTTGAACCTCCATGGAAAGAAGAATGATTCGATATATATAAATAAACCAATGGAAAATTTGAGTGGCTGGTATGCACAGAAATCAAAGAAGGGAAGGAAGAAAAATGGCGAAATGTTTCCCTCAGGGAACACGTTTCTTGGCGGTTTCAACGTGATTCAAACGCATTTCGAAAAGAAAGAGCTTTTCATTTCAGTTTTGAGTTTCGTTCACTCCTGTAATTTTTGTTTCCCTTGGATTGAGGATCTTAAGCGAGCTCGAGCAAGGTTGAAGAAGCTTCCTCGGTTGATTACCGAGAGTGGAACCTGGAGTGAGTCAACACTAAAAAAAGTCAGAGACCTTCTCGTTTAATGGGCCTGAAAGGCCCAACTGAAAATCAGGTCGTAATAGTGAACATTCTTTTTTTTTTTAAATATAAAACATTGCAATAAAAATCTTAATTACATATGGTTCAGTAAAAATATTTCAGACACAGAAATGATTTCTCTCTTCCACGTTTTTTATGGACGAATGAATTTCCAGTTTCTTTTGGCTCTACTGTCTGAGAATCTGTGAGAGGTTATTAAAGAATCGTACAATCAAAAATCTACTTTTTCAGTTTCTAGTGTAGAGTCAATAGACTTTAGATTTAGATTGTAGTCCTCCTTTTTCATAGGGTGATGGCGATAGGAAGTAGATTGAAAGAAAAAAAGATGATGGGTTGTGAAAGATTCACATTAACTTTCAATATTTTCATAGATTCATTTTCTTCTGTAACGTAATTACAAATTAAAAAGAACTCTGTAACGTCATAACTGTAAGGAGTTTGCTTTGCTCTCTTTCTCTCTCTCTACCCTGAAACTTAATCTCTCTCAGAAATTTCCAAGTGTGTTAACAATGGCGAATCCTCCGAGTTCTCTATTTACGCAGAAATTTCATACTGGACATAAACCACTACTTGTAACCTCTGCTTTCTCTTTTAAGATCTGTTTGTTAAATTTACTCTGTTTCTGCATCGTTAAAAACTGCTTCTTTTTTGTTTTGTTCTGTTTTGTTGTTGTCGCAGAAGCTTGATGATGACTTCTTAAGGAACCACACGAAAGTGTTACTAACATCGGAAGCGTCGGACAGAGTTTGGGAAGTGAAATTGGTCGGCGACAGGCTCGCCGGCGGCTGGGAAGAGTTCGCCGCAGCTCATAATTTCAGAGACGGCGACGTTTTGGTTTTCCAACACGGTGGAGACGAGAACTTTCGTGTATCTGTATCTTCCCGATCCAGTTCTGGTGACACAGAGCACGCATCGCTTACCAACGTTGATACTGAGGATGACGAATCTGATGATGATTCTGATGATGAAGAAGACGAATGTGATGATGATAGTGACGAGGATGACGAAGGTAAGGTGTCTTGTGAAACAAGATAACTAATTTCCGTCTGGCTTTAGGGTTTAATCTAAGTGAGAAGATCGTTGATGTGTTTCAGGGAACATTTCTGTGAAGAAGAATAAGAAAGCAGAAGCAAATTCCTCCTCTTACCTGAGGGCACGTGTCACACCTTCTAGCCTCCGTAAAGATCGTTTGGTGATTACTGGACTCCACTTTTACATATTTTGTAACATGGAAGAGTTATGTTACTGTGAGTGATGTGTTTGTTTTACTTTTACCATGGATTGTTATTTCAGGATCTTTCCAGAGATTTCACACCTGTGTCGTTCGGTGAGGAAAACATACCGCCTGAGATAGACCTTGTTAACGAGCAAGGAAGAAGATGGACACTGCTTCTTGCCAAGAACAAGTCAAGTAATGTGTTTTACATCAGACGAGGATGGCTTAACTTCTGCTTCGTTAATGAGCTAAGTGAAGGCGACTCGTGTCGGTTTAGAATCATCGAAAATGGGGAAAGGCCTGTCCTTGTGTTGTGTCCACAGGAGCCTAGCGATAAGAGCTTGTTGGGTGAAGTTTCAAAGGGGAAAGAGAAGATGACCCCATCGCCATTTCTTGAATTTAACTTTACATCTAACCGTTTAACGACAGGACAACTAGTAAGTTACAAGAACATGTCGTTTTTAGTTCAAGAACATAATTAACGAGAGGTTACTGATTGAATCTTGTTTTATATTTTCAGTATATTTCATCACGTTTCACGAGGGAGAATGGGATCAACAAGCCTGGGGAGATAACTCTGCTGAACGAAGATGGAAGAAAGTGGACATCTTATCTGAAGATGACGGGACGTGAAGGAGGCGGAAATGAATGGTTTTACTTGAGAGGAGGTTGGAGAGAGATGTGTAAAGCGAATGGAGTGAAGGTAAATGATTCGTTCGTGCTGAAGCTGATATGGGAAGATGCTAATCCTATGTTCAAGTTCTACTCTAAGGTGAACAGCAACACAGTTTTTTTTGTGGCTTGCTTAGTTATACAGTTAGAGCTAAAGATTTGTATTAAAGAAGGTAAATGTCACTTGAGTGTTCATTTCAGACTGAAAACAAGGGAAAAGGAAACCAGAGAACTCGTAAGAAGAGAGCTTGTGGGACTGTGGAAAAGACTTCAAACACTAAGGCAAGAAAATATCAGCGGTTGGGACCACAATCTTGCTCAGTTTGGGATCAGGTGGCTGCTGCGAAACAGAGCATTGTAGATTCTCTGAACACGGTGAGACAGTGTAGGAGCGAGCTTGAGACAAGGGAACGTAATCTGAAAGCTTCTTTGCAGGCAATTGACGCCTTAGGTGTGTTCTTGAATCAAGATTTAGTTGTTTTTTGTTTGTTTCCTGGAACATTAAATTTTGTTCGACTTAGGTTTTTGTTTTTCTAACGTTTTGATGATGAAACCAGGGGAGAGGATATTGGGAATCAGCAAAATACTCAACAATAATCTGGTTTAAAGTGAAGCGAAGAAACGGAAAAAAAAAATGACAAGCTTTGTTATGACTTGCTTTCTTTGGTTGTATCAGCAATTTGGACTAGTTTGTTATATCGCTGAGTAACTAACGATTAACGTTATGTAATGTATTAGTGGTTGACTGGTTGGTTACTTACTTACTTCCGCACGTACTTAGACATTTTGATTTTTGGTAACGCGATAAAATTTCGCGGCAAAGGGATTGCACATCACCACGTTCGGTCCCTTGTAACAACATACCAAATCTTGAGCCGGTTCACAAATGTTAGTTAGATATAACGAAAGATTAGTTTATAGAAAAAAATGCCTCAATTAGTAGTGATTCACACTCAAAATATCCTTCAATCCTTTTGTTTTCCAGAATTTGTGACGAAAAAAGGTTTAGTTCATTATTTTAGTAGCTGAAAATTGCCAGTAACTTTTTAGACTTGAACGAGACAATGGCACAATGCTACACTAACATCTCAAATATTATCCGGTTAAATACTTAACTCCACGGTCCATTTTTTTCTGATCTTCATCCAGCTTTAGACTTGACTAATGTTGAAGAATTTGCTGATTCCCGTGATCTTTTCCCCTGTTTTTTTCACATTTGTCAAAAAACCTAGAACCAAACTTGAACACACACAAAAATAAATAAAAGAACAGTGATCATCGGTTGTTCAGATCATACCTAGCGCATCAATTTCAAGCAGCGAGGCTTCTAAATTATGTTCCTTAATCTTGAGCTCCGACCGGAACCGTCTTACATCGGTTAAAGTCTCCACAATACACTCTTTCACCTTTGTCACTTGATCAGAAATTGAGCAAGGTTGAATCGGTTGCTTGCCTGGCAAGTTTCCTTGATTAGCAACAGTATCGTTTGATGGTTTCGTGCGGGGACATGATCCTCCTCCTCCTTCTGCAGAAACTCGACCTCTCTTTTGGACCCGAGTCTCTGTTCCTTCTTCAGCACGTAATGCTTGAATCGTCTGTCGGACACTCGTCTCGGGAGTCTTATAACCAACAACTGGTGTTCCTGCTTCCTTTATCTGAATATAACTTGTCTTAACAAAGATTCCTAAAAATGCCAAGAACTTGGAATGTAACTGATTTAATGTTATACCTGGGAGCAGATCTTGAGAATAGGACTAGTTCCTCCTCGAATAAGCTCCAATTTGAAGGAATCACCAACTTTCTTTACCCCATTGGCTAAAAAGCAACCTTTCATACTTCTTATGTAAAACTGTCCGCGTCCCTTGATGTTAACTAGATGTAACTTCCACTCTACGCCGTCGTTGTTCACTACAGTGATCTCTCCAGCTTCCTTGATCCCGTTCTCTCTCGTGAACAATGCAGGAAGACGCTGTACAAGTTTTAAACCCATTTGAGCCAATGAATGACAAAAACAAGATAAAAGACTTACAACACTTGTGAAAAGGTGTTGGAGCTTACAAGTTGACCTGTCCTGAGCATGTGAGGTTTAAGTTCGAACGTCAGAATCTTGTTCTGATTCGTTAAACCAGTCTCTGAGGGATCCTGATCAGTTTCAATCTCATCATCACCTTCACTTTCAGGATCATTCCGCTTTCTGTTTGATTTGGAAGAGCTTCCTTGTGAGGGACACAACTGTAGGGCAGGTTTTGTTCCGGTTTGGACAAACTTAAACCTACAGGAAGATCCGGCTTTGATCTCATTTTCTTTGCAGAAAAGATTCCAGCGACCGGAGATATAAGCCTGACCAGTTGTTTTGTTGTGTCTAAGATCCAGATTCCAAGATTTGCCATCTTCATTGATTAGGTCAATCTCACACTGTCTGCCTTTCAGACCATTTGAGCTCGCAAATTTGCTTACAAGACCCTGCAAAATCTCGACTTAATTAATAATAATTAAAGAAGAGAATGAAAATTTTAGGTAAAGAGACAAGTGAAGTAGTAAACCAGATGATTTCGGGTTAGGTTTGAAGCTGTGACGTGCGCAACAAAATAAGATTCATCTGATGAAGACTCTGTTACTGTTCTTGCTCTCTTCTTCGTCGAAGTTCTCTTCGGATGTATATCCTCCTCTTCCGATGTCCAAACGTCATCATCATCTCCAACATCGGCATTGTGGTGGTGGTCGTCGTCATCGTCATCAAGATCATCATTTTCATCGTCAGAGGTAGAAGAGATGGACTGTATCTGATGAGAGAACCTGCGTCCGAAGGGTGTAACGTGGAAGACCATGTCGCCGTCGTGCCTGAAACTCAAAACGTCGTCGTTACGAACACAGTGGTGGACGGAGAAGTTTTTCCACCCGTCGGCGAATCTCTGACCGTCCAGTTCCACTTCCCATGCTCTGTTCGTAGCGTCAGAGGTCAGTTTCAGTTTCGTAGACTGGATTTTACCCTTTAAGTGATTCCTAATAAACGAATCAGGAATGATCTGCAGCAACAAGATCAACAGTTACGAAAGACAAAACCGATTGTTACATTGTAAGAAAGACAGAGATAACAGAGGAATTAGATGGTGAGGTAGAGTGTGAGAGAAGGTACAGGATTTGAGTTTTGTGCAGACAGATCTACGAAGAAGGAAGATTTGTTAGTTAGGGAAGAAATTACTGGATCCACCATTGTTGAACAACTCTTGAGAAATTCTCAACTCTGGAAATTTGTTTTATCGAATTCTTCTTCGACGGGGCTCTCGCATTATTAGGGAATCGAAACTCCGTTATTCTTTGTCATTAATATTAAATTAATGACAGAGATTGTTTGAATCCTTCTTACTCGAAACGCCTTGACGACTTGTATTCCCTCTTATTAGGAACCAATGGATCATCATTGAATGAGCATTTACATTATTGAGATTTGAGACTCTGTTCCTGTTTTATAAGTTGGATTTTTACCCTGGAAATAAATAACTTAATTAGTAGATAATCTACGCTTGTGTGGAGCTTTGATTTTTTAATTATTTTTTAAATCTCTCTACTCATGGAGATAAACTGATGATACTTGTAGTTCATATACTACTATATATCACATGTATTAATATTACTCTGCCTCCCTGACATGCCACGACCTGAAACTCAACTACATTCTTGTGTTGGCTTCTTTAAGTAAAACAACTTCTATTTCATTTTTACTGTTAATTTTCAAAAAGGAACAAAAGAAGATTACTACAGTAGTACTCATAAATAAGTGTACAGTAATATTATTAAAGAGATTAAAAAGTTAGGTGGAAGCGTGGAGCTACTCTCATAATTACACTAGAAAGAGGATGAAGAAGGAAGAGGAGGATTACAAAAAGACATTTTCTCATAAACTTGAGCCTTGGAGGGTGATTTCTCTCAGCTTTCTAGGGTTTTTTCTTATCGTCAGAGCTCTGTTTTCACATCTATTAAAACAAGGGAGGATCAATCTCTTCAGTCTCCGACAAATCCACATTTCTTCCAGCCTCTTCTTCCCGGTTTCCACTCCCACCTCGTACGTCATCTCTTCTTCTTGCTCTTCTCTCTCTCTCTCTCTCTCTCTCTCTCTCTCTCTCTCTCTCTCTCTCTCAACGTTGTCTTTTTCTTTACGGCTGTGTCAGTTTGTTGCAGACCATTCCGTTGAGGTTCTTTTCAGAACATATAGAAGGAAGAAACAAGATCAATACAGTGAAGCTAAAGTCGGACGCGTGTGAGAAAAGTTGGAAAGTCAAGATGGAAGGACGGAAACTCACCGTCGGCTGGAAAGACTTAGCCGACGCACACGGTTACCGAGTCGGAGATATCATTGTTTTTAGACACGAAGGAGACATGGTGTTCCACGTCACGGGTCTTGGGTCTAGTTGCTGTGAGATTCAATACGGACAGTCTAGCAACGGCGACAATGATAGTGACAGTAATGAGGAGGAGAGCATCAGTAAGTTGTGTTCTGTTTTTCTTCTGATTATTATATTGACATTTTTAGGTTTTGAAGAGAACATTGTAATTTAGGAAACTTGCCAAAGGAGGAGAATCTAAAAACAGAACAAGAGTCTTCATCGGACCAATATTGTTTCGTTGCACATGTAACAGAATCAAACATGCGAGTGGATACACTGGTTGGTACTTCAGTCAGATCTACTGTTGATTCTATTTAATTTTTGAGCCATGCAGGTTTCATAAATCTTTGATACTCATGTTTTAATTTTTTTTTTTTTTTTTATCTTTGCAGTTTCTTCCGCATAATTTTGTTAGTTCCTATGCTAAAGGAAGCAACAAGATTGTTTTAATGAATGAAAGACGAAGAACATGGATGCTTAAGCTTAGGTTTAGGGAATCTAGTAGAACGTTTTACTTGAAGGATGGTTGGAAAAGTTTATGCCATGAGAATGGACTTGAACCTGGAGATTCTGTTGCGTTTAAACTAGAGATAAACAACGCAAAAACGCCTCTTCTCTGTTTCTCTAGTTCGGATACAAAGAGTGTTTCCACAAAAGATAGCAGCAAAGAAAAGAGAAAAAGAAGTGGCGAGAGTAGTCAACAAGTGCCATCATTATCATCTTCGCTAAGTGGTAGCCGATTTGTGACACTAACTGCCACACTAGCCGGTCTAAAACAAAGTAGACTTGTGAGTTAAAACAACTCCCTTGAAAGTTGTTTTGTTCCCTTGTGTTTTGATGTTTGGCGAAGTTAGTAATAAGCTTATTTTTTTCCTTTTTTGTGCAGTATCTTCCAGTGAGCTTCACTAGGTTTAACGGATTGGAAAAGGCAGGAGGGAAGAAGATAACTTTGTTGGACAAGCATGGAGGAGAGTGGCCAGTGAATCTCGGGATGCAAAAGAGGTATACAAGGATGCGTTTGGGTTCAGGGTCGTTAGAATTCCTCAAGGCTGTTGACGTTAAGGCATGTGAATCTTTTGTGTTGGAGTTGGTTTGGGATAACACAACCATTCCTCCTAATCCTATGCTCAAGTTCTGCTCCAAGATCAAGACCTCCCTCTAGTTTGCACTTAAGTTGGGTAGTAAGTATGGCACCTTTTAAGTGAAGTAACCTATGCAAGTGTGAATCTAATGTTCTGGTTAGGTAAGAGTCTGTGTGTCCAAATAAAAGGTTGTTGCTTCACTAACAGAGAATCAATCATATCTGTTAAAGAATACAGTAAGCAAATTGACTCTAGATTGAAATGTTAGAAGAAAATATGCAATTGGGTTATTTTCCTTTGCCTAAACAGAACAAAAAAAATGTGAATTGTCTGAGACCATGTGGCTAAGGTGAAACACAGCGTTGATGATACTTTAACTGGTATCAGAGAGTTTCTTGCAGTACTCGAGAAAATGGAACATAAATTACTCTGACTCAGCCTCATCTAATGATAAGCCATAAAACTAGAGTAGAAAAAGAAGGTCTGATAGACTGATACCTAATTATCAGAGCAAACGAGGCGTTACCACTGCCCAATACAAAGTTTTCTGACAACTGGTTAACTTTAACTTACACGCCAAGTTTCTTTTAAAGCCACGATTCGAATTTGAACCAACTTTTTTCTCTTTCTGATTTCTAAGTAACAACATTCTTATTATGGACTAAACATTTGTGATTTTATTTCTGTTATCTTTGTAAAGTTATAACTACAGTAATTTTAATTCACCAAAAATAACAAAAGAAAACATTTGATGTGGGTTTTTACTTCTTTTTAAAGTTTTGTTTTTAATGAAAGAGAAAAAATTAAGGACTCGTTAAAACTTAAAAAGGCAGCTAGAGCTCTCATAACGAAGAAGGTAGAGAAGAAAAGGATTACGAAAAGACACTCATAAACTAAGGCTTCAGTGAATTTTTTTTCTTTTTCCAAATCGTTTGATCAATGGAGGATCAAGTTCTTCAATCTCCCACAAACCCACATTTCTTCAAGCCTCTTCTTCCCGGCTTCCACTCCCACATCGTACGTAATCTCCCTTCTTTCTCTCTCTCTCTCTCTCTGTATATCTTTGAACGTCTTCGTCTTTATGAATCCCATGTGTCTGTTTGTTGCAGAACATTCCAATGAATTTCTTCTCATTACACATAGAAGGAAGACAGGAGAGAAACACGGTGGAGCTGAGATCCGACGCTTGTGACAAAACATGGAAAGTTAAGATGGAAGGTCATAGACTCACCGTTGGCTGGAAAGAGTTTTCCCGCCAACATAATTTCCAAACCGGAGATATCATCATTTTCAGACACGAAGGAGATTTGGTGTTTCACGTCACCGGTTTTGGACCTAGTTGCTGCGAGATCCAATATGTACAGCCTTGCAACAATGACGATGGTGTTGATGATGATCAGGATAGCATCAGTAAGTTAGTGTTCTGTTTTTAATTATTCCCTTGAAAATTTGCATTTTAGTTTTAGAAATCAGAACGTTTTAATCGTTATGAATCAGGAAACTTGTCTACAATGGACAAAGCAAAAACAGAACCAGTGTCTTCACAAGACGATGATGATAAAGACAACATGGGTAAGTCAATGTATATACGAGTCTTGATTTGTTTAGTGTTTCAAGAACATCTACGAGGTCTAATATGTCAGAAATTTACAAAAAAAAAACAGGAAATATTCCGAGAAAGAAGCATACAAAGAAGAGGAATCTTGCAGAAGCAAAGTATTTTTCATCAGACGAGTCTTGTTTTGTAGCAACCATCACAGATTCGAACCTACGAGAGGATAAAGTGGTTAGCACGTCAGATCTAAAACTGCTGATTCAACTTTTGAGACATGCATGCAAGTTCTTACTTTTTTGATTTTGCAGTTTCTTCCACGGAAGTTTGTTAGGCCCGATGGTCTGAAGAAAAGTAGCAGCAAGATTGTTCTAATGAATGAAAGACAAAGGACATGGACGCTTACTCTGAAGTTTAGGAAATCAACTAAAACATTTTACATGGGGACTGGCTGGAGAAGTTTTTGCCATGAGAATGGTCTTCAAACTGGAGATTGGATCACGTTTAAACTAGAGAGAAACAACACAAGAACGCCTTTTCTCTGTTTTTCCTCTGTAGAATCAAAGAGTGTTTCTACGAAAGAGAGCAGAAAAGAGAAGAGAATCAAAACTGGTGAGAGTAGCCAAAGAGTGTCGTTATCATCATCTCCACAAAGTGAAAACCGACTTGTGACACTAACTGTAAAACCAGCCAGTCTAAAAAAGGGTAGACTTGTAAGTTGAAACAACTCTCTTGGGGAGCTTTGTTACCTTGTCTTTGTGAAGTGCACACAGTATGAGCTTAATTATTGTCTTGTTTTTGTGCAGCATCTTCCAATGAGCTTCACTAGGGTGAACAGAATGGAAACTGCAGGTGGGAAGAAGATAACTATGTTGGACAAGCATGGAGTAGATTGGCCAGTGAATCTAGTGATGGAAAGGAAAAATGGAATGATGCGTTTGGGTTCAGGGATAAAAGATTTCTTAAAAGCTAATGGCGTCAAGGTATTCGAACCTTTTGTGTTGGAGCTGGTTTGGGAAGACAAAACATCTCCTCCTATGCTCAAGTTCTGCTCCAAGATCAAGACCTGACTCTAATTTGCGTCAAAGTTGTTAACACTTGTGACCTGGTTTGTAGCGAACTCATAGCTTATGAACTAGTTATGTAAAAGTCAATATGTCTGTTTAAGTAAACAAAATATATAATCTACTTGATGATTCTCTATCATATGAATTGGCAAACAATTTGGGAATTCACCAGCAAGATCATTTGATTTCTATATATATATAATCAGCATTTAGAACCATAAGTCACAGTGTACACTATTGTAAGCTAAAGGCTCTTTTTATTTTCTAGTTTTGTAACATTCCACATCACTGAGCGTCGATCATCTCGACGACCATGCCTCTCACCGGGAGTTTGGATTTTGAACAAACCGATGGAGTTGAAGCTGAAGTTGTAGGGTCCAAACAAGAATCTACAGCCAGATTTTTCTCCACCGGATCTCTGTTCCCATTTGCTGCATCATCTTGATGATGATCTGTTGCAGAGTCATCACTTGAAGAGTTTGACTCAGAATCCAACGTATCAACACTCTCGACCTCCCTACTACATTCAGAGGTCACTACAGATGGTGATGAAGATGAAGACAATGATGATAATGACGATGATTCTTGTTCGGATTCAGGGTCTTCAATAGCTGTATTGATGATGCTTCCGCTGTCAATAGCTCCCACCATTGGACTCTCAACTAACTCTTGTAGGGAAGCTTTCATGTCCAATGTATCTGTTTTATTCTCGTCTTGAACTTCTGATCTGAGACTCGCACATGATGATGATGATCGAGCTTGAATCCTGCACAGCATCAGAAAAAAGTCTCAATGAAAGGATGGTTAATATTTCATCTAGCCTCAATCTTGTGGTTACAGATTAAAACTTACACAGAGATCTCAACAACAAACTAAGAGGAAGAGAAAAGCTTTACCTAGTGTAGAGGAGCATATAAGCTCTTTGAGAAAGGACATCTTCTAACTCAACACTTTCTATCTGTGAGTAATATCCCATAAGAGTTACAAAATTCATCATGATAATTTCAAGCCGGTATATGAACAAGAAGAGCGAGAAGTAAAAATTTAGTAGTTACCTCGGAATCATCTATTTTATACCAGTTCCCACTAAAATCTTTGACGTAGCATATGTAATGGCCGAAGAATGATGCATTCAACATGTCTAAATGGACAATCACAGCGTAGAGTTTGTATACATCTGATCCTTCTCCGCCTTGGCTCATGTAAGGGTCAAGATCCAATCTCTCAGGAAAACTTATTCTTTTGTTCAGTTTTCCGTAACTTCCTCCCTGCACACAATTTAACAGATACATTATAAAAAAACTTATCCTAGAAAAACTTTAGCTAAAAAGAAAGGAATGCAAAAAATACCTGAAATCTCTTTAAGGCAATCGTAAGAACGTTTGGAGCGCGCCGAATCGTAAGACGCTTACATGCCTTTACATAGTCACTACACCTGGGAGAATGCAACCAAACATATAGTTGATTTCTCAAATAATCAACTAACACTCTCTAATGGCTTTTTGGATTTAATGAAGTACCTATCACATTTGTACATGTTATCTCCATGAAGCCACTCTCTGGCTGTAAACTGATCAAGACATTCCTCCAAAGACACAGCATCCCCATGAATCTCAACGGTTAGATCCATCATATTCTCATATTGATCAGAAACGTTACTGCATACAGTACATTGGACCTGGAAGAAAAAAAAGCTCAAGAAAGAGAGGAAACTTAGAAACTTACTTAAGTTTATCAACTGAAGACAAAGTTCCATATGACTCTACATTCTGATGGTGAGATCAAGAAAGATCACCTGTGATTGGAGGAGACCTCCAAATATATACTGAATCAGTGTTGTTTCTTGAGAGCAAGGAGGCACCATTTTTTCTCCACCGAATTCGTCAAGGCAAACAGATTGCATCGTATCAATCGCATACCTGTAAGTAGTATGTGAAATTCTAAATCCATCAGTTTGGAGATTCACAGACTACACCAGCTATATTCATGAGTAATAGATACAGACCTCATAAACTCATGAGCATCCTCTTGTCTCCCATAACCAAGAGTTCCACCAATATTAGTTAACCGTGAAATGATGTTCATTGGTGAAAAAGGGAACCGACTTTGACTCGCTCTCTCGACATGGGTTTGAAATTCACAGAAGAAGCACCAATCGTTGTAGCGCATACCTATCACTCAAAACACAGATTCAAAGCTTTAGTGAAAACCAAATGAAAGAGAGTTTGAATTTTTTTTTATAACTTTACATTCACTCCTGTGGCCGTTCACGAGAAGGTATGCAACAAGAGGACGAGTCCAGGAAAGGCATTGCAGAATCACATTCGCAAAACAGCTGAAAGAGGATTAAATAAAGTCATTAATCATTCAGTTGATGCTTTAAAGCTACCACTAGAAACCAGATGAGCACAAACCTGTTTCCACAATTCATGAGCCCACATGGAGCCAATTCTTGATTGTCCCACTTAAAATAATCAACAAACTCGTCATATGGGAAAAGAACCTGCAGAAAATGCAAAACAAAAAGTACAAGTTAGAGTTTTCACAATCATTCAATCATAAGAGTGTCAACACAAGAAGAAGAAGAAGAAAACACATTACTTCTCTTGGCTTAAGGCTAATCTTGTCTCGTCTCCACTCCGCTGAGCTGATAGCAAAGACCACAGTGATTAAGGAACTCATTTAGAACATGCACTCAAATCCAACTTAAAAATCACAGCTGATCCAAAACAACTTCGAACCCACAATTCTACAGTCAAAAAGCTCAAGACTTTGACACAGTTACATCTCCCAAACTCACAGCAAACAGTAATATTGCTAATCCAATTCTCCACAGTAAAGCGAAAAACCCCGGTTAAGGATTATCGGAGAGCCATATAGAGATTGAGGGCATACCAGTATCCGAGAAATTTGCAGCGGGAGCATTTCTCGAAGACAGAGCAATCCTCCGCCGCGAATTCCCTGTCGAAACATTCCGAGTCGGCGGCGGTGGCTCCGATGTCGAAGTACTTAGCGAAGGTGTTTCTGAGAAAGTAAAAGACACCGACAAGGAGGAAGAACAGAGTCGGTACCAGGCGAGTGCAGACGGAAATGTCCACCGGAAATCCAACTTCATGCATTTGATTTGTAAATAATCTCCGTTTCCGTAATCATCGATATCCTCTAGCTCTTCTTTCGAGTTTCTTCTGTATATTTTTACTTGAAGAAATCAGTTTTTGTCTTTTTTTGTCTTGTGTTGCCGCTTCGCTGATTTTGTTGCTTAGTAGAGAAGACAGTAGTGTTCTATGTTGGATTGGGCCTCTTCTGTATAACAAGATTGGACCTTTACGCATTTTTTTGTCTTATTATTATTACCAAATCTCGCAATATATTTCTGTTTTTGGCTTTTCTTCTTACAAAGCTAAATTCATATGAATGATGTCCAATTGAAAACCAAATATAAAGTCTCAAGTCTCCCTTAACAAAGGAACGTTTTAACCATCAGCAGATTAACACAACATGTCAGAACGAAAGAGAAAAGAGAAATAGAGAGAAAAACATAATTAAACTCCATCTTCAAACAAAGTCTTAAAGATAAAATGGAGGTTACAAAAGTCCGGATGATCTTCAGTTCCACATTTCAACTTGATTATTACTTGATGTTGAGGTTGTTGTTTTATTCCCATTATACTCTCCTCTCTGTTGTGCCAACATGAAATTGTTAGGAATTGACTAAAGCTAAACTAAAGAACTAAAGATGGATCGATAGAACAATCAAATCACACATTTGTTACCTAAGTTGCCGATTCCAGGCAATGAATCTTCAAGTTTCTTTTCCATTGTCTTGAGCTCGGTCTGAAACCGTCTAATACTAGTTAAAGTATCTACAACACTCTTTTTCACCGTAGACACCTGATCTGAGACAGAGCCAGGTTCCGTGTGCTCCAAGTTTCCTTGATCAGCACTGGATTTGTTAGATGCTCTAGTGCGACGAGAGGACTCTCCTTCTGCAGGTGTCTTAGTCTCCCCACTCCTTTTCTGGAATCGAGATCGCTTGTGTGCCGGAGCCTCTGCTTCAGATGGTGATTGTTCCACCTGCGTACAAATCAAGTTTAGTAACTTCGTTTAAGTAAAACCTATATAACGTGAATTGCAAGTCATATGGTGCTCAACTGACCTTGGAGAAGAACTTGAACAAAGGATTTGCGCCTCCTGGGATCAACTCCAAAGTTAGAGACTCCCCTGGGCCTACTTCATTCGCTGCGCAGAAACTTTTCCAAGTACAGCTCCCAATATACATCGCTCCTCTCTTGTCAACGTTAAGCTTCATCGACCACTCGGTTCCCTTTTTGTCCACCAGAATTGTTTTCGTCGGCTTGTCGAGTCCGTTCACTCTCGTGAAACTTACGGGTAGATGCTGCAAAAGATTCAGAATTAAATAAAACAAAAACCAACGCGTTGTAGAGACCCGAGAGAGAGTTTCCCAAAAAGTTACCTGTTTACCAACCGCAAGGCTGTTCACTGAAGGAGTTAACTTCACAAACCGGGTTTCTCGGGTTTTGTCAGGTTCATTCTCTTCCGGGGACCGAGACTTCTCGTTTTGCCCCTCCTTTGTGGGTCTGGAGAGCCGAAACACAGGCTTTGTGGCGATTTGGAGCAGTGTAAATGGGCAAGATTCTCCAACTTCTAGATTATTTGCGGTGCAGAAACTTTTCCAACCTCGAACTATGAAAAGCTGACCAGAATTCATACTCTTTACTTCGGATTCCCATGACTCCCCTTGTTCGTTCATCAAAAGTATCTCCTGACTTCCTTTGTCCAATCCGTTTTGCTTAGCGAAAGCTATGGGCACAGTCTGCATCAATCATCAAAATGCATATATAGTGGATTATACTTATACATACACTCAAACATACACTAAAACAGATTTATGTAACATAGTAATAATAAAGAAACCGCTAAAATAACTAACCACTCTATTAGCTGATATGTTCGAGGCTGTCACGGATAAGTTGAGATCAGGTGAAGAGTGATTAGATTTTGCGGTCAGATTCTCATTCTCATCATCTTCTTCCTCCTCAGATCTGTCCACACGCTCTTCTTCGTCTTCGACTTTGAGGCGGTCACCAGGCGTTATCTCACAGCCACCGGGTCCTAAAGCAGTGACGTGGAACTTCATGTCCCCTCTGTGTCTGAAGACGACAATGTCACCGATTCGAAGATCATGTGCCTTGACGAACTCTTTCCAACCTTGGGTGAATCTTTGGCCTTCCATCTTCACTTTCCATTTTGTCTCCGACGCATCTGATCTCAAACTTACAGTCTCGCCCTCGTGTTTTCCCTCTATGTGGTCGGAGAAGAATTTCGCAGGAATTTTCTGCAACAGACAAATAGAACCGTGACATGCATGAGACTACAGGTTCAGAGAGATCATATTAATATTAAGACTAAAACAAACTTAAAGTTGAGAGAGATCAGAGACAAAGATAGAGAGATTGCATACGAGGTGGCTTTCAAAACCGGGAAGGAGACGCTCAAAGAAGTGTTTGTTTGCCATTTCCGTTCACTGAAATTTGTTAGTGGAAATATTATGAATAGAGATTAGATAAGAACAATTGTATTTATAGACGGACTCATACTCTTTCTTCCTCTATAAGTTGTTAAAAAAAAAATACATGATATTTTAGTTTATCTCTGCTCCACACAAATAGTAGTGTTTTACTAAATTTTTGGAGATATTTTTAATTAATATTAATAAATTACAAACTTTTGAAATATTATATTTTTGAATTACTGTTAGATTATTTTCAGAGCAGTTGGTGTGGAAAAAATAATGCAATATTAAATATTTTTTAATTAATGTGAAAAAACTGAAACATCATATCATAAAAAACAGAGGAAGTATAAATTTTCACGTTTTATTATAAATTATAAATTAAATGAGCACATTTATCAATATATAACTACACAAAAATTTAAATTAATTCTCTATTAATCTAATTACACATAAAGTTTACAGCTAAATTCTTTTATTTTTATTTTCTTTATAGATGTAAAAAAGAAATTCTTATATTTATCAATCCAACTACATCAAAATAAATTGAGTTCTTACACTTATTAATCTAACTATACATAAATTTTAAATTCAATTATCACATTTTTATCATTCCAACTATAGATATACGGGCAAAAGAATCTATAATTCTAGATTTATTGTATATTATGAACATGATAAAGTAATGTTGATAAATACAGAGGTATAATTATAATTTTACAGTAACAAATATTTGAAAGGACAGTCACGTGGTTCTAGAATCTAGAGTAGAAAATGAAGTAAAAAACAACCTACAGATTTTGAATCCAGACAATATCTTTTGGTGTCGTCATAATTTTTTCAGAACTTTTACAAAGCTTATCCAAGAAGCTTTGTATTTTTTCATTTTTACTCTGTTCTGTAACTGTAATTGTATTTCTTTTCAATCCTATATTCCTATTACTCATGATCGATGACTATAGCATAAGCATCTACACCAATACATAAGCTAATGATCTATCTTCATCTGTGACGAACTCTTTAGTCTTGCCTCGACTTACGCTGTGACGCATAGTGAATTAGTGATGCTTCTCACATGTTAAAATCCTCAATTCATATAGTTTTTAATTTAATCATGATAAAAAGAAGGCAGTCATTTTTAGAGCGTGGTTGTTTAAATTCAGACAAAACAAAACAACTATTGGGGTGAGAGAGGCTCGAACTCTCGACCTCAGGATCACTCAGTAGCTATGAGACCTACGCGCTAGCCAACTGCGCCACCACCCCATTGATGTTCTTACTGTAATTTTTCTATAAAAAAAGCCTTATCCAAATATCACACAATGTACTCAACGAGTAGGTTGTGACCTCTGACTGAAGAGTAAGTTTTCTCGCAGTAATTTGATGAATTTGTGGAAAACAAAATCTAAAGTCCGCCTTAACAAAGAACGTTTTAAGCATCACGATATTTCACAACAAAAGAGAGAAGAAAAACAAAATGAAACTCAATCTTCAAACAAAGTCTTAAGATAAAAGTATCCGGGTGATCTTCAGTTCAACATTTCAACTTGATTGTTACTTGAAGTTGTTGTTTTGTTCCCATTGTCTTCTCCTCTCTGTGCGCCAACATGAAATTGTTAGGAACTTGAATAAAGGAAATATTTTTTTTTTGTAAAACCAGAGACTGGTATCAAAGAACATTCAAGTTACACATCATACCTAAGTTGTCAATCTCCCGCAATGAATCTTCTAGTTTATTATCCATTGTCTCGAGCTCGGTCTGAAACCGTCTGACACAAGTTAAAGCATCTACAACACTCTGTTTCGCCTTAGCCACCTGATCCGAGACAGAGCAAGGTTGCATACGGGGCAAGTTCCCTTGGTTAGATGCTCTAGTGCGACGAGAGGATTCTCCTACCTCAAGCTTCGGTCTAGTCTCCCGACTCCTTTTTTGGACTCGAGCTCGCTTGTGTCCCCGAATCTTAATTGCTTCAAATGGTAAGTGTTCCATCTGCGTACAGTACAAGTCATGTTTGATAACTTCAAATTTGGTAAAACCTAAAACGTGGATTGCAAGTTATATGGTGTTCAACTGACCTTGGAGCAGAACTTGAGCAAAGGACTTGCGCCTCCTCGGACTAACTCCAAAGTTAAAGACTCCCCTGCGCCTACTTCATTAGCGGCACAAAAACGTTTCCAACCATTACCATTACTAATATACATCGACCCCGTTTTATTATCAATCCCAAGCTGCATCGACCACTCAACATTATCTTTGTCTACCAGGATTACTTTCGCCGGCTTGATGAGTCCGTTCAATCTTGTGAAACTTCTCGGTAGATGCTGCAAAAGATTCAGAATTAGAAAAGCAATGTGTTCAAGAGACCCGAGATAGAGCTTCCCAAAAGTCACCTGTTTACCAAGCGCAAGGCTGCTAGGTGAAGGAGTTAATTCCACAAACCGGTTTTCTCCTGTTTTTCCAGCCATATTTTCTTCCTCGGACCAATAATTCTTCTCTTGCTCCGCCTTTGTGCGGCTGGAGAGCCGAAACACAGGCTTTCTGGTGTTTTGGAGTAGTGTAAATGTGCATGAATCTCCAACTTTTAGTTTATTTGCGGTGCAGAAACTTCTCCAACTTCCAACTATGAAAATCCGACTAGTTACTTTTACTTCAGATTCCCAAGACTTTCCTTGTTCGTTCATCAAAAGTATCTCTTGACTTCCTTTGTCCAATCCGTTTCGCTTTGCGAAATCTCTGGGAACACCCTGCATCAATCATCAAAATGCATGGTGGATTATGTATATACTCTCCCACATACTTCACCTATAAAACAGATTTATGGAACACGACAACAACAAAGAAACCACTACCTAGAGCTAACTTACCACTTTATTTATTGATAAGTTTGAGGCAGTGACAGTTGGACTAAAGCAATTGAGATCAGATGAAGACTGGTTAGATTTGGCTGTCAGATTCTCCTCAACTTTCTTTTCTGTATCAGAGAAGGAAACGTTTCAAGAATAGAAAGAGTCTCAAGAACCGAAAATACACAATAAATGATGATTCAGTTATATACCGATTTCATCACTCTCGTCTTCGTCTTCGTCGCGGTTACAAGACATTGGGTATTGGATCTCACAGCAACTGGATCCTAGAGCAGTGACATGAAACTTCATGTCTCCTTCGTGTCTGAAGACGACAAAGTCACCGATTCGAATAGCATGTGCCTCAACGAACTCTCTCCAACCTTGGGTGAGTCTTTTGCCTTCCATCTTCACTTTCCATGTTCTCTCCGACGCATCTGATATCAACTTTGCAGTCTTGCCCTCGTGTTTTCCCTCTATGTGGTCGGAGAAGAATTCCACAGGAATGTACTGCAACAGACAATTAGAACCATGACATGCCACTATAAATTCAGAGAGATTATGAGAGAGAGAGAGAGAGAGACAAAAGATAGAGATAGAGAAATTACTTACGAGGTGGCTCTGAAAATTGGGAAGAAGAGGCTGAAAGAAGTGTTTCTTCTCCGTAAAGGACATTGATGCACTCGCCATTTTCGATCAATTTGACAAATTCAAAGTTGTTTTGGCAATTCAGTGAGAGTTGCAAAATACAAAGAGAAACTTTTTCCTCTTCAGACCACTCCACTTTCTCAAGTCATAAAAAAATAAAAAACGCTTCTGATCTTATTCTTTTCTTTTGCGTAATGAATGACCTGATAGAGACATATGTATGGCGACGTGTTGTCATAATTATTCAGATCTTTTTCAAAGCTTATCAAGGAAGTTTTGATTTTTCATTTTGTTTATAAATTATGTAAAACACTAAATATTAATAGAAAAACTAAATTCAAATCATATAAATGTATCTTAGATTCAGTTACAGTCGGTGTTTATACTTTATAAATCACATCAATTCTGATATGCAAAACAGTAGGAACTAAAATAAAACAAAAACTAAAACGCCACACTCTCTGCCTTCTTTTGTTTAAAGTGTTCTTTAGTTCAGTTTTCGTTTTAGTTTAGTTTAGTTTTTTTTTCCAAAATTGGTTGTTTGAATTTATTTCCAAATTTGGTAGACATAATCACATAGTGATGCTTTTCATTGTTCGATAATATGAGATATAAACGGAGTGAAGAAAAAAAAGATTATATATGTACATATCTTAAATATAAGAGAGAGAGAAAAAAACAAAACATATGATGGGGTGAGAGAGGCTCGAACTCTCGACCTCAGGATCACTCGTAGCTATGAGACCTACGCGCTAGCCAACTGCGCCACCACCCCATTGATGTTAGCTCTATATGTTTTGCATAAACAAACCCTTGTCCAGATTTAAGTATTTAACCCACTCTAGTCAATGTGCAGGTCATCTATGACTGAGGAGTGAGTTTTCTCGCAGTAATTTGATGAATTTTGTGGAAAAGAAAATCTAAAGTCCGCCTTAACAAAAGAAGGTTTCAAGAGCCGTCGTATATTGTCCTTACAACTCTGTTGCCGTGTTACCATGTGAGATTTCCGCTCGACCGCCCTTAGGATAAAACCAACTTTTGGTTACCATTCATTGCATTGATTTACAAGTCTAGCTTAACAAAAGAACGTTTTAAGCATCAGCGAATTAACATGATATTTCACAACAAAAGAGGAAAAAAAAAAAAACCCAATCTTCAAACAAAGTTTTAGGATAAAAGTATCCGGATGATCTTCAGTTCCACATTTAAACTTGATTGTTACTTGAGGTTGAGGTTGTTCTTTTATTCCCATTGTCTTCTCCAGTTCTCCTCTCTGTGCGCCAACATGAAACTGTTAGGAACCTGAATAGAGGAATTTATTTTTTTTAAACCAGATTGGTATCAAAGAACATTCAAATGACACATCATACCTAAGTTGTCAATCTCCCGCAATGAATCTTCTAGTTTATTATCCATTGTCTCGAGCTGGGTTTGAAACCGTCTGACACAAGTTAAAGCATCTACAACACTCTGTTTCACCTTAGCCACCTGATCCGAGACAGAGCAAGGTTGCGTATGCGGCAAGTTCCCTTGGTTAGATGCTCTACTGCGACGAGAGGATTCTCCTTCTGCAGTCTCCCTTACCTCAAGCTTCGGTCTAGTCTCCTGACTCCTGTTTTGGACTCGAGCTCTCTTGTGTGACCGAGCCTTTATTGCTTCACATGCTAATTGTTCCATCTGCGTACATTACAAGTCATGTTTGATAACTTCAAAATAGTAAAAACCTAAAACGTGAATCGCAAGTTATATGGTGTTCAAGTGACGACCTTGGAGCAGAACTTGAGCAAAGGTCTTGCGCCTCCTCGGATCAACTCCAAAGTTAGACACTCCCCTGCGCCTACTTCATTCGCGGCACAGAAATTTTTCCAACCATTACCATTACGAATATACATTGATCCACCATTATTACCAACCTTAAGTTTCATAGACCACTCAACACTATTTTTGTCCAGCAGGATTAATTTCCCCGGCTTGTCGAGTCCGTTTACTCTCGTGAAACCTAGCGGTAGACACTGCAAAAGATTCATAATTAAAAGGGCAACGCGTGCGTTCAAGAAAGACCCGAGATAGAGGTTCCCAAAAGTCACCTGTTTACCACTCTCAAGGCTGTTAGGTGAAACAGTCAACTTCACAAACCGGTTATGTCCAGTTTTTTCAGCCACGTTTTCTTCCGCGGACCGAATCTTCTTCTTTGGCTCCGCCTTTGTGCGGCTGGAGAGCCGAAACACAGGCTTTTCGTTCTTCTGGAGCAGTGTGAATGTGCAAGAATCTCCAGCTTTTAGTTCATTTGCGGTGCAGAAACGTTTCCAACCTCGAACTATGGAAACCCGACCAGACACCATGCCCGTTACTTCTGAAGGCCATGACTTTCCTTGTTCGTTCATCAAAAGTATCTTTTGACTTCCTTTGTCCAATCCGTTTTGTTTAATGAAAGCTGTGGGCAAACCCTGCATCAACCATCAAAATGCATAGTGGATCATATATGTTCATACTCACACATACTTCACCTATAAAACAGATAACAAGAAAAGAAACCGCTAAAATAACTAACCACTGAATCTCTTGATATGTTTGAAGCTGTCACAGTTAGACTCAAACATTTGAGATCAGATGAAGACCGATTAGGTTTTGCTGTCAGATCCTCCTCAACTTTCACTTCTGAATCAGAAAATGAAACGTTTCAAGAATAGAAAGAGTCTCAATGCTCAGTGAATGATGATGATTCAATTATATACCAGTTTCATCGCTTTCATCTTCGTCTTCGCCGCGTTTACAAGACATGGGATATTGGATCTCACAGCAACTGGGTCCTAGAGCAGTGACATGGAACTTCATGTCTCCTTCGTGTCTGAAGACGACAAAGTCACCGATTCGAAGATTATGTGCCTCGACGAACTCTCTCCAGCCTTGGGTGAGTCTTTGGCCTTCCATCTTCACTTTCCATTTTCTCTCCGACGCATCTGATATCAACTTTACAGTCTTGCCCTCGTGTTTTCCCTCTATGTGGTCGAAGAAGAATTCCACAGGAATGCTCTGCAACAGAGAAATAGAACCGCGTGACATGCGACTACAAATTCAGAGAGATTGCGAAAGAGATAGAGATATTGCTTACGAGGTGGCTCCGAAAGCCGGGAAGAAGAGGCTGGAAGAAGTGTTGCTTTTCCGGAGAGGACAGTGATGCTCTCGCCATTTCCGATCACTTTAACAAATTCAAAGTTTATATGGGGATTCAAGGAGAGTTGCAAAATACAAAGACCCAACTGTTTCCTATTCAGACCACTCAGTTACTGTAATTAAAAAACAAAAACGACTCTCCAGTCTTTTCTTTTGCGTAATGATTGAATTGACAGTGACTAATTATGGCCACGTGGCTTATAGTGGTGTTGCCAAAGTTTTTCAGATCTTTTCCAAAGCTTAACCAGGAAGCTTTCCAATTTTTCATTTTCATTTTTCTAATGATGTAAAATATGCGTACATGTTTGCATTATCGGAGTGAAGAACATAGAAGGAAAAAACTTTATAAAGATGAATTAAAGAGAGAAAAAAACAAAACAAACGTTGGGGTGAGAGAGGCTCGAACTCTCGACCTCAGGATCACTCAATAGCTATGAGACCTACGCGCTAGCCAACTGCGCCACCACCCCATTGGTGCTCTGTTTTCTGATATACTACTCTTTAATACAGTTTCACTCAAATTTTACCCACAGTGACAAGTCAATGAGATGACCCCTTTGACTGAAGAGAAGTACTTTTCAACTTCAGAATCATTAAGACTTGATTTCCAAAAAAATGATGCAGTAAAGCACCGAAACCGGATCCATTTGCCCATATTATGTGCTCCCTCTTAACTTCAAAAGTTGCAGCTCCAAAATTCCAGGAATGACAGCTAGTGCATTAACATTGTCATCGCCATTTTTTGGTGTTTAGAACATTGTGCCTGGTTTAGTTGAAAGATATGCAAACTCTCCATATATAGCAAGTAATGGCTTGAATCATACGTAAAAAGAGAAGCAAAAATCGAGTCGATAATGGTCTTTTAACTAAAAGAGCATAAATCAAGAAACACAAGGTGGTGTGTACCAATGTCACGGAACAACAACTGAAACTTCTTAAATGCCAGACAAGCAAAAAGAAAACAAAACAAGAAATGTGATTCTCAAAGTTTTTTAAGCAGTAACGGCGGGCTTGGCAGCAGCAGAAGAAAGTCTGGACCTCTTCTTTGCCAAACTCTCACTCCTCCTGTCTCTCTGTTCCTTCAACCTCGAGGCAAGGAGCTTCTGGTACTCGGCAGCATCAGAGGTAGCCTTCGCAATCCTCTTCTTCTTGTCAGCAATTCTAGCTCTCTTCCTCTGAAGAGTCAACGGTGTCACAAGCCTCTGGATCTTAGGGGCTTTGCTCACTTCCTTGCCTGTTACAAACCCCAAAATACAAGAAACAAAGTCTCAGATAACCACAATCATTTCTCAAGTTTGTTTGAGATTTGGTTCTGACTTTTACTCACCCTTCTTGTTTGTGAACTTGCGGCGGTAAGTGTTGACGTAGGTCCTCACATCATCTTCCTTCTTGAGGTTAAACAGCTTGCGGATCTTTGAGGCTCTCTTAGGTCCTCTCATTCTTGGCTTCTCGGTATCGGTAAGTCCCGGAAGCTCGTGCTCACCCTTCTTCACAATCACAAGGTTGAGAACAGAGAGGTCAGGGCTCACAATGCAACCACGGACGGACTTTCTCCTCCTCTCACCGGTTCTCCTTCCATGTCCTCTGAAGCAAGGAGTTCCTGCTCACGCAATAACCAAAATCATGTAAATCAATATCAAATCAAAACACAGCAAAGATACCAAAAACAGAGATGGAAAATTCGTAAGAAAGCAAGTTTGATTAATCACACCTCGGTGAAGCAAAAGGCGAACACGGCCTGGAGTCAGAACTCCCTGCTTCATTGGGAAACCTTGCTTGTCGCAACCACCCATGATCTTGAAAACGTATCCCTTGAACTCCTGCAATGACACACATTTCACAAACACAATGTCACCATTTGATTCCGAAATTGTAAATCTCACAATCATGAGCTTGACTAAATAAGTTAAAGAGTGAAATTGTACCTCGCCCAAAGCATCTCCACTGACTTCCTGGGAGAGCCTCTTATCATAAAACGCACGGCTGCATCAACAAATGTCAAAGCTCAATAACGATTTATACCTCATAAGACAACAAAACTTTAACTAGAATCCGAAATGTAACTCAATTTTCGCATTGAACATGAGAAGAAGATCCAAAAGCGTTTTTAGCTAATAAAGGCAAATTGGGGAATAGTAGACTTAGAATTTTCGAAGCTAGCATCGGCATACATCAATCAGATGAAAAATGGTTCCGAAAATCTATCACGGCAGCTAAAACAAGAGAATGAAGGTGAAAGAGGAGAGTAAGGTCTTACAGTTTCTGATCATCGTCGATCTCGAGCTTCTTCTGGCACCCAGTGGTTGGATTAGCGACGTTAAACTGAAACACGGAGAGGTGAAATGTTAAAGCAAAACGACAAAATCAACGGAAATCTAGACCATCATCGCCGCCGCTACGTACCTTCATCTTCTCAGGTCGACTATAGCCACAAGAGAGAAACGGCTTTCACAATCGCTTAGGGTTTCTTCACTAGAGCATAGCCAGCCATTTATACGGGGAATAAGGTTTATTTGGTTTTTAGTCTAATGGGCCGTTCGGCCCATTTATCATTTTATTTTTTGTTTTCTAAATTTTAAATGAAAATGAAACAGAAAAAAGACGACCGTGTTTTGCATTTCACTTCCGGCGCCGATAAGCGTTTCCGATTGGATCGAGCTTATTCTTCTTCTACTTATCGGAATGCTTCGATTTCGTTTCTTCGGGTAAGTAATTAGCTGTAGATTTGGTTTGTATTAGAGAGGAAATTGAAGATAACGAAATTGGTTTATTCTGTGCTGAATGTTTGACTTGGTGGTTTCGGGAATCCAGTTAAACTAAGTGTAAATTTTCTTCTGCAAAATGTTCTTTGAATTCATCGTTTTCGCTAATTGGCTATCATGGTGTATTGGTGTTAAAGGTTATAACGAGAGCATAGCTAAAACGTTACGTAAATCATAATGGACATTGGACAATTGATCATCAGAATCCTAGGAAATGTCTGTTTTTTTGTTTGGAATTGAAAGATGTAACGAAATTTGCAGGAAAATAGGGAAAACGATATTAAAAAAGTGCTAACTTTGACCGCCATTGTTTGTTTCTTCATGGTTACTATTCTCTGGCGTAACTTGACTTGAGGTGGATTTACTTTTCGTCACTTCGTTTATGTATGAATTTTGATCTGGCTGAAGAAACCTTTTCCACAATTCTCGCAGGTTTCTTTGATCCGGGTCCTCCTTCATGAAGTAAAACACAAATTTCCCCAAAGCTATAGCACAAACGATGGCGGCAGCAAGAAACAAAACCCAAAAGCTATCAATGCCAAGTTGGCGGAAGGACACAGTGGGATTCGGGTCGGGGTTTGTGAGTGGATCTGGGCAACTTGCATCAATGTTCTTGAACCATGCGTTCTCAAGTTGGATCGCCTTGCTCGACTCTTTCACTTTTAGAATGGCCCTTGAAATGTCAGCCACTAGAGGGGATCCAATGGGAAAGACCTGCACAAGAAAACCTATGGTCTTAGCAAGTTAGCATTAGGTGGCAAAAGACTGCAAGAGAGAGTTTGGTGCAGAGCTGTGGACTTACGAAGCCTAATCCATCAACCTTGAATGGTGTTTGAACCATTTTATACTTGTTACAGTATTGTCCGAGAAAGACTCTCACATATGGTACTTCCATGAAAGCTGCAGATATACCTCCCTTTTGGTGTCCTTTGCTCAGTAGCTCGTCACACTCTTCTGCAGACCCATAGGGTACAAGACTGGCCTGTGAGAAACCTGATTCATTGAGTCTTCGCGACATGAAAGAACTTCTTTGATACCCCACAAGCTCTCCTCTTGCCAGCAAGCTGTTTATGTTGGTTATCGTTGGATGAAGCTGCTGTGATGTGAGAAGGGACGCCAAACTTGCGGTGTAACTCTGAGTCAATATAAGCACTAAGAAGTACCAGATGATAACCACGAGCCTCGCCCAGAAGCTGAGCACTCTTTCTCCTGTTACATGCATTGAGATATAAGCAAGATGGTGTTGGAGAGATAAAAGTATGTGAAAAAAACGAGCATTGGCGTTGCAAGGAGAGAGTGAGCATACTCGGCGCAAACACCATGATGGAGAACGCAAACCAGAATATAGTGCTGATTTGGAACTCGCCAGGCCCACCAAAGGCTGGGTTTACCCTATGTTCAAGAATCCATACGACAAGGCCAATGATGAAAAAGAAGAAAAGGGTGATTAACCAAAGTTCCACCGTCAAAGGCATCAGAAAGATGGTACTGCTTCTTTTAACACTGTCTTTAACAGGGACGACCAGACCTATCCCTGATGGTGTGTATGGCAATGAGAAGTCAACATACAGCGACCGATTTGCCGTTATTGTTGTATCTGCCACCACAGCGTCGTATTTCTGCTCAGAGCATAAAGAACAAGGCCGTTTGTTAGACAAACCCAGCTCAGTGAAGGTTAGGGATACAAAGAAGAAATGAGATGTATGCCTCACCCCGAGATTCACTTGGTAGACTAATGTATCATAAGTGACACCTTCTACAGGAATGAAGTCATAGGAAACATCATAGGGCATGGCTTGAATTACAGCCTCAAAGTAGTCGATGCAGAAGCCGGTGAAAGTTGTTGAATTGGTGTTAGAATCCCTTGCAGCCTTCAAAAATTGCTCGAAATCGTTATTAACTGGGACTGCAATCTGCAGCTTTTTCCCATTTGTCGGGATCTCCCATCCTTTGGGTACGGAAGTGGTTTCTCCAGGCCATATAATTGGTCTTAGTCGATCTTGCCAAGTAGAGAAAATGGTAGCTGGATTGTGGTCCACGTTCTTCAAGAGACCGTGTTCTTTCATCCAGAATCCTATGGTTCTTCCTCCATTCTCATTCACGTTAACAATCTCAAACACTGACGGCTGCAGTTCTCCTTTGATAAATTGGAAGTCACCAGCAAGACCTTTGAACCGAACTTTAGATAGTGTTTGGATAAGGTTTTGACCATATTGGGATACACCTAGACCTTGAAGTTCAGACATGTTCCTCATGGCATCTGTCTTGACAAAAGTCAAATCTGATGTCCCAGCTTCTTCGATGGCCAATGCCAGTGCAGTGGTGGCATCATAAGCCCACAATCCATACACGCTCAGGTCAGAGATTGGGAACTGCTTCTTCCATCGAGATCTAAATGTTTGAAGCTCATCGGATCTTGGGACATAAGTCTTTACACCCAATACCCCTTGCATTGTTTCCATTGCCGCCTCGTTAATGGTGCTCAGAACATCGGAAATGGCGTTTGTTAGGATCCAAACATATCCTTGTTTCATCAAACCAAGTTCCTTTGCTTTGGCAAAAACTCTGAAGGCGAGCAATCCAAAAAAATGTACTACAAATACTCTAGTGGGTAGAGTCATCATCCGGAGAAGTTCCAAGGAGATTTCATCATCTGTGGCGATGGGAGAGATCACGGCCCTATAAGGTATATGGACGTTAATCTCTTGTAAAGCATCGGTAAGACGAGGCATGATGCCTTCTCCAAAGGTGTTGTCAACGTAAACAGGAGCAACCTCTCTCCACCCAAAAACTTTGATGATTTCTTTAATGGCTTGCACTTGAGATGAATCATCATACGTAGCCCGAAAGAAGTATGGACTGTGAATGGAAGCAAGGAAGGGACTCGTTGCAGAATATGAAACAATCGGCACCTGAGATTTTTGTCCCACCTCAATCATGAATTGAGCCTGCATCGAAGTCCGTGGCCCTATAATTGCTTTCACTTCCTCATTCGTTATCAGATCAAGAGCTGTGACAAAGCCAAATGCCAAGGAATAAGGAATCTTATGTTATGCACAAAACAAAAGACAAGAAGTGTGTGTAGTCTAGAAATGGGAATCTGTGTACCTGCTGCTGCTGCTGTAATAACGTCGGTTTTGGAGTCAACAATAGTAGTTACGAGCCTTGTCCGGGTTTCTGGATGAGAAGAGTAGAAATCAGAGAGAGACATGTTGATACAGAGCAAACTCATGTTGGTGGTTGCCATTCCGACATCGTACACGATTCCAATTTTAACTTCGGTTGCCGTAATCTGTGCTTCTCTGACTTGCATCAGGAAGAAGAGTAAGATGAGAACGAGGTGGTTTTCTCTCTTCATTTTTCTTTCTTCTTTTTGTAGAACTTGCCGAGAAAGAATGGAACTTGTTGTGTGGTGTATATGGTATGCTCTTTCTTTGAAGTGATTTGAGAGTTTTCTAAGTAGAAAAGTCATGACTCATGGGGGTGTCAAAGATAAATCAAATATACTCTCCAAATACTTGAAAGAGACTATCAGGTCTCAATCCAAAAATTCGTACGTCATACATAAATGCTCATATTGGTCGGATCCGTGTTTCCCTTTCTGTACAGCTTGAAATTTATTTGTAGATAAATAAATAATAATGCTCCTACAGATTCGTAATGACCACCATATCAATTACGAACTTTCCCTTCACTTGCTTGACCCATTGACTCTGATTTCAAGTCTCCTCTCTTTGAACTACAGGACGGTGTGGCTTTGGGGCTAAACACACACAAAACAAAAAGAAGAACAAATCTTTCAAAGATGTTTCATCAAGAAACAGAGTCACATGTAACGATCATGAGAGTGGTTAACTTACCGTTGGGATTGCCTTGCTCATAGAAACATTTGAAAAGAGAGATAGCTTCATCTGCCATTATTCCTCCTTTGCACTTGTACCCTTTTCCTCTTTGAGCTTCTTCACTATCAAAAACAAAGATAACACAAATTCCACTAATAAGACACTGTTTTTCTAAAGATTGTATGTAGTTATCGTAGGGACATACATGTTATCTGACTGCTGAGAACTGCCTAAATGTAGCGGCAAGATTGAGCCACATCCTCCAAATTTATCATTTGGACATCCATAATACACTTCTTTTATACCTTCAATTAAGAGCAGAGTTATCATCAGAAACAGTTTTTTATTTATATAAAACATAGTCTAATTTACCTTAAGGAATCATACCTACAAACGATAAGGCTGATGCACACATGATGCAAGGTTCACATGTTACGTAAAGAACACAGTTGGAGAATTTCTCAGCGACTTGTAAAGGCGAGAGTCCGTTTCTTCGCCATTGTCCAGTAAGTTCATCGATTGCTTCCATCTCTGCGTGTCTTGTGGCCTTTTCAAACAAAACCCTTAATAACAGAGATGAATATATATATATATATATGCATAACTGAAGAAACTAGCTGATGAATATATATATATATATGTGTCGACGTCTCGCAGATTTTGCCGATAATCCGCCTACTCTTGCTGTGTTTATCTTTGGTAATGCAGCCCTTTGATAAATATAGATTTGATCATTTTTTTTGGGTACAAATATAGCTTTGATCTTGTTTGTTTGGTAACTGTAAGTCAAAGTGAATCTGATTTTAAAAGGAATAAAGGTTTCACTACAAAAATGGATTCCATGAGCGCTGATCTGATGAAGGGTTTGGAAACTAGTCTCCCTAAGTTGTAAGTTGTTTTCAACTTTGTGGTTGTTTCTTGTGGATGTATATAAGTTTTTTCTTCTTCTTCTTGTTAATTCCTTTGTGTTGCAGTTTCTACTTCGATAGAGAACACTTTGGTGCATTGCTTGTTAGTGGCGACATGGATGGAGCCCATATTTATCTCTCCAAGTTCACCAACAAAGATTCGAATTATCAGTCAAACCTCATGTTCTACCTTGTTCATAGGCAGAGATACTGCAATTTTCTTATCGAGTAAGGGCAGGCTTTTGTTTTCCTTTGACGTATATACAGGGGCGGATCTAGAGAAAATATATAACAGGGTCAAAATTTGGAAACTTATAACTAATAGGGGTCAAAATCATTAAAAACTAACCAAATAATCATTTTAAATTACAATTATATACCTAAATTCAATAAAATTTAAGAATTAGTGGGGTCATTTGACCACCTAAGTGCCTTATTGGCTCGGCCCCTGCGTATATATATATATATATATATATAATCAAATCATTTTTCTTTTTCTTTTTTTTTTTTTACTGCAGAGGCTACTTCCCAGGTGCAGGATTTTGTATAGCCGTCGGCCCAGATGCGTTGCACAGGTTTGGAACAGCAGAAACGAAGAAGGATTTTATCGCTAATGATCTCCAACGCCTTTACTCTGTACACAGAATGTAAGTCTGAAGACAAACCTAATCTTTTCTTTTAGCGATTAAACTGTTACTATATATTAACACTTGAGAGAGTTTGCCATATGTATAAACAAAGTTGGTGGATGCTCGAAAGAAGGGATACACTTTTGATGTCGCTACGTTTAAAAATGATACCACCAATGAGATGTTTCAGATGCTCACTCACCTTATTGCCACCAACCCTGATCTGCTCCACAAGAAAGACATGACTCTTCTTCATGCTGCTACTTAGCATCTAGGTTCTGTTTTAATGGTCGAAAAATGATATTTTTGTTTTCATGGAGGAAACAAGTGAAACCAAAGCTTACTATGTTTTTAAAAACAAGCAACAACATGTCTCAAGACACATTTGACTAGGCTTTCTTGTGGAACTTAAGCACAGGAGTTGCATGTTTCTCCCGAATGAGTTCCAACACAAAGGACTCTTCTAACTTTACGCCATGAGCTTTACAGAATCCTTTCCACTCACCTCCTAGTCTCATTCTTCCTCGTCTATTCTCTCTCGCATACTTCACCATCCATTTTGCTCCGTCTTGACCCAACAAAGCTATCACCCCTGGCTTCGTGATCCCATTCCCCTCTGTAAAACCTAATGGAAGCCTCTGCAACAAAACAAAACAACATTTGATTGAGGCAAAACCATTGACATCTCAGAAAACATATAGACACAACCTCTGATGACTTACCATTTTATTGCTTTTGACACAGTACGGTGTAATTGTTAATGTCACAAACCGGTTTTTAGCTTCCCCTCTCAAGCAACACTTACATTTCTCTACATTCAAACATTTGTCCTCGATGCTCTCCTCTTCGCTTTCCTCCTCTACACTGATCTCGTCTCTGCTCTTCTCTTCACACTCCTCCTCTGTTTCACTACTCTCTTCTCCGCTGCTATCATCATCTGTGGAGATGGAAGTTACCTCGTTACCTTCTGAACACTCTACTTCCTTTGCGTCACGTTTGGATTCTTCAGAGCACAAACAGAGAACAAGCTTCTCTCCATCTCCAACTAGTTTAAACTTGAAGCTGTCTCCACCTTTGATCTCGTTTGCTTGGCAGAAACTGTTCCAGCCTCGTGTGATAATACTAGATCGTGTGTTGTGCCTCATAACTAAATCCCATCTTTCACCATTTTCATTCATCAGAACCACCTCATTCATTTTTTCCTTCAGACCATTTGACCTCACATACCACTTTGGAAGATGCTGCAACATGAAAGTCATACTAAACATCTCTGTAAGGAAATAATTAATAAAGCGAAATCTTGAGACTCACCAGTGCATCATCACGTATGCTTGAAGGCGTGAGAGATCCAACGAAACAAGAAGTATCTGGTTTGCATGGATTATAATCTGCTTGGCACAAACGGATTACAGGTGTTCCTGAATTTCGGACCAGTTTGAATGTGTAACGACCTCTGGTCATCATCCCATTGTCCCTGCAGAAACTTCTCCAGCCATGTGTGAGAAGAGACCTCATGCCGCTTTTGTGGTGGATCAAACTCAAGTTCCATTGTCTTCCCGTTAAGTTAAGAAGAACAATCTTACAGTTTGTATTGCTCAGGCCGTTTGACCTCACAAAACCAGCTGGAAGATACTGTCACAAGTTGACAAATTTCAAACCATTAGTATGAGATTATTATTGCTCAATATTAAAGATGAGATTTTTCGAGGGATTTTAAGTTTGTTAACCAGTCTATCGTCGCGGATGCCTGAGACAGAGACAGTTGCTACAAAACAAGAATGGTCTGATGAATAATCTTCTTCTTCTTCTCTCTGAGGATTCTTCTTTGTTCTCTTCTTCCTTGGTTCGATTTGTGAAGCTACAAAAAAATCCAAATTTCACAGGCAAAACATCATCAAATTTGCTTCCTTCTCTAGAATTTCATAGAGAAAAAGACGGAGAATTTACCGATGTTGTCCTCATGGTGGTCACCGCTGTCATCATCGATGTTGTGAGCTGGTGTATATTCAATCTCACAGCAGCTGGGTCCCAGTGGAGTGACATGAAACACCGAATCTCCTTCGTGTCTGAAAACAAGGACATCGCCAACACGAAGATCATGAGCTGTGACGAATTCTTTCCAGCCTCCGGTGAGACTCCGGCCGTCTTCGATTTCCACTTCCCAAGTCGTATCTGAAGCGTCTGATCTCAGTTTCGCAGTCTTGTTTTTGTTTCTTCCTTGGAGGTGATCTGTGAAGAAGGCTACAGGAATGTTCTGCAACAACAAGCAAAAGAGTTTTTAGAATAACGAAACCAGTTTAGTTGTAGAAGGACGAGACAGAGAGAGAGAGAGAGAGAGAGAGAGAGAGAGAGAGAGAGAGAGTACGAGGTGGGAGTGGAAGCCGGGAAGAAGAGGCTGAAAGAAATGTGGGTTTGTCGGAGACTGAAGAACTGGATCCGCCATTGTCGTACACCTCAAGGAGACAGAAAGAAAACACTAAAAAAATTGTCTCTAAATAACAAGAATTTTACTTTCTCAATCCGCCATTGGTCAAAACTCCTCACAACAGTTGTATAGGGAGAGAATTGAAGAAGAACAAACTGCTCCAAAAAATAAATAAATAAAGTTTACTTTGTCAGAAACAAGAGGCAAGAATCTCGGGGCGTGATACATTGCAGACAAGTTTTAATAATAGTGACTTCAGGTACGTACCAGTGTATAAAGTATAAACAGCTACCTTTATTTTTAAGATAAATGTTTTTTTGACAATTTTTTAGAGTTTCGAGGGAGAGTTGATGGTAAAAAGGCTAAAGACCGATGTGACTACATGTTCACAAGGCCTGTCTCTGTTCTTTATTATCTATCATCATCATTCCCTCGTTGAATAAAATGAAAGTAAAACAGTGATAAAACTGAAAAAAGTTTCAAGTTGGATCAAAAGAAATTCGGGTTTACTACGGTTGATTGAACAGAAAAACAAGAAAAGAGAAGCAGTTTAACGATGATCTGGCTACCCTCCAAAACGCTGTCGTATTCATGTTTGTCAATGGCCTAGCTAGCACACAACTCGGAACAAATGACTTGTCTTTAGCAGCTTACTTGTTAAACACTTAACCATTAAGGCTGTAACTGAGACATTGTTTAAAACCACAAATACTTATGACATATTTAGAAGCTTGAAACGTACTTAACTTTTGTTTACCAACATTACTGTTTTTTTTCCCTGGGATTACAAATAGTACAAGGAAGTGAAATTAAAGCAGATTCATACAAAGCCGACATAAAAAAAGTGTTCCAGTGAACCAAGCTTAAATGTTTACAACAACAGTCTCACACACAACTTACTTTGTTGCAGAACTTAAGCACAGGACTTGCATCTTCCTCCCAAATGAGTTCCAACACAAAGGACTCACCTATTCTTACGCCATGAACTTCACAGAATCCTCTCCAGTTACTTCCTAATCTCATTCTTCCCCAGTTGCTGTCTTTCACAAGACACCCACACCATTTTACTCCGTCTTGACCCAACAAAGTTACCTCCCCTGCTTTGTTGATACCATTCACCCGCGTGAAACGTAATGGAAGTCTCTGTTGAAAATATTTAATTTAGCCAAAATGATTGACGAGAACACATCTCAAAAAACATATGGAGTAAGTAACAGACGACCTAAAAACTTGCCAGTTTATTGCTTTTAACAGAGTATGGTGTAACAGTTAATGTCACAAACCGGTTTTGACTTTGTGAAGATGAAGCTCCCGGTTCCGAGCAATACTTCCATTTCTCTACTTTCAAACATTCCCTCAAGCTGATGCTCTCCTCTTCATTTTCCTTCTTCACACTGATCTCGTCTCTGCCCTTCTCTTCATTTTCCTTCTTCACAATGATGTCGTCTCTACTCTCCTCTTCTTCAATTTCCTCTGTTTCGCTACTCTCTTCTCCGCTGCTATCATCTGTGGAGATGGATTCTACATCTGTACTGTCTGAACACTCTACTTGCTTGCCTTCACGTTTTGTTTCTGCAGGGCACAAACAAAGAACAGGTGTTTCTTCGGTCCTAACCAGTTTAAACCTAAAGGGATCTCTAGCTTTTAACCCGTTTGCTCGGCAGAAATTTCTCCAGCCTTGTCTGATAACAGTATGGTTGTTTGATTTGTGGTGTCTCATAACTAACTTCCATGTTCCACCATATTCATTCTTCAGAACCATCTCATCACAATATCCTTCCTTCAAACCATTTGATCTCACAAACCCTCTTGGAAGATACTGCAACATCAAAAATAAACACATAAAGTCATAAACTAAACATTTCCTACTACCACTTTAGTTTAAAGCTGTACTCACCAGTGCATCTTTACGTAAGCTTGTAGGCGAGACAGATCCAACGAAACAAGAACTATCTGATGAAGAAGATTCTGCTCTGCATGGTTTATATCTTGCTTGGCACAAACGGATTACAGGCGTTCCAGATTTTTGGACAAGTTTGAATGTAGAGCGACCTTCTTTGATCCCATTGGCACTGCAGAAGCTACTCCAGCCATGTCTGAGATAAGCCCCGCTTTTGTCATGATAGAAAGTTAAGTTCCATGATCTTCCCATTTCGTTAAGAAGAACAATCTTACAGGTTGTTTCCCTCAGAGAGTTTAACCTCACAAAACCAACTGGAACATACTGTGACAAACATGCATGCATGGTTTTAAGTTAAACTAATAGTGTGAGACTTTTGCTTAACTAAAAGATGAAACTTTGGTAGGAAACTAACCAGCTTATCATCGCGCAAGCTCGCGATCGAGACATTTGCTACAAAACAAGAAGCGTCTGTTGAAGAATCTTCTTCTCTCCTTGGATTTTTCTTGGCTCTCTTCTTCATCGGTCTGCTTTCTGAAGCAAAAACAATCCAAATTCCATTTTTTTTTAATTCAAAACAAAAGAAACTTCTTTCTCCAGATTTTGAGTACATTTCATAGAGAAATAAAGACAGAAAAATTACCATGATGATCATCACTATCATAACCAATGTTGTGAGCTGGTGTATAATCAATCTCACAGCAGCTAGGTCCCAATGGAGTGACATGAAACACCAAATCTCCTTCGTGTCTGAAAACAACAACATCACCAATACGAAGATCATGAGCTGTGACGAATTCTTGCCATCCTCTGGTGAGTCTCCGGCCGTCGTCAATCTCCACTTCCCAAGTCATGTCTGAAGCGTCCGATCTCAGTCTTGCAGTCTTGTTTCCGTTTCTTCTTTTCATATGCTTTGAAAAGAAGGTTACAGGAATGATCTGCAACAACATGCAAAAGAGGTTTTAAAATGAAACCATATGCTTTACTCGTTGAAGAGAGACAGAGACAAGCGTACGATGTGGGAGTTGAAGCCAGGAAGAAGAGGCTGGAAGAAATGTGGGTTTGTAGGAGATTGAAGAACTGGATCCGCCATTGTTGAACAACTCAAAAAAGAAAACAGAACAAAAGCTTAAGCTACTACAAAAATGTTATGTTTTGTCAGATAGATACAACCATATTTCAAGACTTGTGTCATGAATCTCCTGGCCAAGAGTTAAGAAAAGTTTCAATGACTTTTATCAGTGACCTCGTAAGCCTCGTCCAGCATTTATTTTACCATTGACTCCACAGACACATATCATTGAATATCAAACTTGTTAAACAAATCCTTAATCTCAGTTTTATCTAATTCAAAGGAGACAATAATTAATTACTCTGCTCATCCAAACACACACAAAAGAAGAAAAACATGAATGGCTTGGTTTGATATAATACTACTAATCTTCAGAGACAGAGATTGGTTCGATCTTGACCTTGGAGCAAAACTTGAGAACAGGAATTGCATCTTCCCAAATCAACTCCAACTCAAAAGGCTCACCAATCTTCAACACGTCATTAGCATGGCAGAAATCTTTCCATCCTTTTCCCAGTCCTCTGCTTTTTCGTCCATTTGTCAACACATTCGTCAACCGCTTCACACCATGTTTATCCATCAGAATTATCTTTTTGTGCTTGTTAATCCCGTTGATTCTAACGAATGCATTCGGAAGAATCTGCACAAGATTTGGATGGAAAGACAGACAGGTCAAAACAGAGAAAAACAAAAACAATATAACATAATCAGAACCAGCTTTAACAAGATCTTGCTTACAAGTTTCGAGTTTTGGATATTGTAACGTGTGAGAATGATTGTGACGAATCGGTTTTGCCTTGAAGATGATGAAGCTACCCAATTAGGACGCTTCTTTGTCTTCTTACTCCCTCTCGTCTCTCTGCTCATTAGTTCCGAACATTCTTCTTTGGGACAGATACAGATCATTGGAATAGTTTTCCCGTCTCCAACCAGGTTAAACATGACTGAATCTCCCACTTTTAGTCTGTTATCGCGGCAGAATCTTCTCCAGCCTCCTCTCATGTAATAACTTTTGTCTAATTCTTCAAAACTCAAATTCAAAGTCCACGACTTTCCATCTTCGTTCACTACTATCATCTTGTGACATCTTCTGTTCAGAGCATTCGACCTCGCAGCTTCCACAGGAAGATTCTGCATTCCCCTAGTTATTATACATTGTGAACATGGATTATATACGTGTGAAAATAAAATGAAGTAAGTACTCACAAGTTTGTCCCATTTCAGATTTGAAGCAGTGACTTGTGCTACAAAACAGTAGTCGTATGATAAATAAGTCTCTGGCTTCTTCTCATTCTCGTCTTCATCATCATTGTTGTCATCCTCTTCCTCGATGATAGGAGATTGTGAATACTGAATCTCACAGCAGCTAGGACCAAAAGGAGTGACATGAAACACCATGTCTCCTTCGTGTTTGAAAACAATAATGTCGCCAACTCGAAGGTCATGTGCTGTGGCGAAGTCTTTCCAGCCTACGGTCAATGTCCGGCCTTCTATCTTAACTTGCCAAGTTTTGTCTGAAGCGTCCGATCTCAGCTTTGCCGTTTTCTGATCGTTGTTTCCTTGTATGTGCTTTGTGAAGAAGGCAACAGATATTGTCTGCAATGAGGCAAAACTTTTTCTTATGAAAAAAAAACAGAGCCGAAACTAACAGAGAGTGACAGAGAGAGAGAGAGAGTGTGTGTACGATGTGAGTGTCGGAACCGGGAAGAAGTGGCTGGAAGAAATGCAGATTGGTTGGAGACTGAAGTGGTGGATTCGTCGCCATTTCAAATGCTTCAGAAGAAAACACTCAAGAAATCTTTGAACTTCTTCTTTCTGGGCAGGAAGAAAAGACTAAACACTTTGCTCTTTGACAAAATGTAGTAGTAGGCTTTTTATAAAAGCATATTTTCGTTCAAAGGTGATTACTTTATTAATGGTATAAAAGCTGTTGAATTTTGGTGCTTTCTTGTTATCTTTTGGGGAAATATAAAAATGACCAAGACAAATTGGGTTCACCAATAAGCTATTGATAATTCCAAAGTTTTCTCTATAATGATTTCCAAGTAAACAACTACTCTACTAATCTGTGCCAAAAGAGACCAACCATTCTAGTTGTTCAATAGTGTACATTACCCAGTTAATCAGAACTCAGAAGGATGCTTATCTTATTATCACGATTTGAAGACTTACAAGAATGAAAGATAAGCGTTGTAGGAAACCAGATATCTCAAGTCAAGAAACAAACAACAAAAGGAATATACATGTAACTGGTGACTAGGAAGAGAATTGAGTTTTTGATTGTTTTAACTGAAACACAGCAGAAAATCAGGGATCTCACATACATGATCATCCTTTCTAGGCAAAGTTGATAAAGACTTCCTCTGGTTTCTATTCGTCCCTTGTCGCAGGATCCATTCCGGTCGAAGGGCTATCCGCAAAATATTCTGGATGCTTCACGTTCACTCCATACTGCCAAACCGAGATTAGTCATTGATTAGCTTTTCACAAGATGAAATAGGAAAACTTAAAATATCTTCCTACACTACTGCAATCGACAATATCAGAACTACTTGAGCATATGGTTCTAAACTTTTTTGTGTCGATTATGTGATACTGATTACTGACTTAGTTCTATGCCATTTGTATATAAAGTAACGGTCAAAGCCTCATTTGCAGCTTTAATTAATAACAAGAAGCATTTACCTCACGCAAAGCTTTTGAAAGGTCTTCCATTGTCAATATCAAACGCTTATCCTTTTGCTGTTTTTTGTCTTTCACAACTGGTGCTGGTCTAGCCTTGCAGTGCCTGTATATAATTCACAATTTTGAATTGCTCATGTCACCAGGTTTATGAGAAAATCTAGCTTATACATCTCATGGGCCGCTTCTCTTTGTCAATTACAAGTCAAATGTGAGAAAGTGTATGCAAAATTTCTGCAGAAGGGAATGAAAACTTACTGAAGGGCGTCGCTTGCAACATCTGCAACAAACTTTTGTGTAGCCACAGCAACTAGTCTTATCCTGTCAAAACAGTACAAACAACAATATCAGCACAATCTGGCAAGAATACATACAGAAAAACATTATGTATAACCAAACTACTTAAAATCCCAGCAATGAATCCGATAATAGCAACTAATCTGGCTCCTATCTCACTGAAAGTATCACATGAACTGGACGGAAATACCTACAATCGAACGTCGGGGCACTGAAACCCACTCTTAGCCAAGTAGTGCTCCACTAGATCATCAGGAATCTGAAGGAAGGTAAAAAATACAGAAACTAATCATTACACTGGAGAGCCTGAAAAAATTCTAAAATAGTAGGAAAAAAAAGGAAACTTACAGTAGGAGTATAATCCATCAGAGAAGCAAGGAACTCTGTAAGAGCAGCATCATCTTCATGCTTTGCCTCGCCAGATTGTTGGCCGTGATTCATCTCTCCCACCACCAAAGTACTCGAGTGAAGGTTCTGGCACAGATACATAAAGTAAAAAGGTTTTCAAAACCAGATACATTAATATAAAACCTCCGAATTTGCTGAAATATCGAACTCAGATATGGAATTGCTAGACTAGAACTAGCATCTACCCCAAAATTAGAAACTTACACGAAACATATAAACATAATGTAATTGCTATCAGCTAATTCTGCTTTTCCTTGATCCTTGTGATGCATAAAAAAAATTAAAAAATTGAAGCATAGCGATAAGAAGGTCTCTGTTTACTCAAAAACAAGAGTGTATATTCCTGATCAAATTTCCTACCACGCAACTGAAAATTTCTACCCGAGAAGACAAAATTGAGCTGAATTCAAAACCAAACTCGACAGAGTGAGCGAAAATGCGAACCTAAACGAAGCCGTCACGTGAAAGGAGTAGAGAATTGAGCTGAGACGAGCCAATCGATGCTAAGGAAGAGGAGCTTCGACGGATTTTCGCCGGGAGAAGAAGGGATCGGAGAGTCGACTACTGAGTCCCCGTCGTAACCCTAAATCTCCGACTGGTTCTCCAACTCGAAGCACAGCTCCACCGGTTGGAATTAACAGGTGAGAAGAATCTTGATATGGGCTAATGGGCTTCTATAGTTAAACTAGGCCCAAACATCTTCTGCTGATTTTTAAAGCTTTAATTGTTTTATTCCCGCGAGGTTATAACTACCCATTTTGTTTTTATTCTTCCCATCAAATCAAGTCCAAAACAATGTATAAGAATATTCCAAAAGAATTTGTCAATCAATAAAATCCTGAGATTGTGACTTAGTGTTCTTCAATCTGTATAATGAACTTCTTTTTTTTGGTTGGGAGACAAAGAATATGACAATGAAAGCACTCCAATCCACCATCTAGACCGAATATATAATGACTAAAGTCCTACAAAAGCACTTTTGTTTCTCTTTTAATTTGTCAACTAATAGTCTTATTAGATAGACGAAAACAAATGAGAACAAAATTATATAGAAAAAGACTTTGATTGAATGTAGTTTTATTCTACGAGAGGCAGGTGTAAATTCAGTCAAGGTTCTAACTACAAAATAAGTGGTGAAAATACAAACGTTTTTACATCTTTTTTTGTTAACATGTAAACACTAAACAAGAATGATGTAGTGTAGGCGTGCGTACGAGTCGCAGAGATCACTATCGCAAGATGCGGATTGGCATTTTGCAGGACACTTGTTTTATGTGAGCTGTTTTGCTATACCTTATAAAAAGTTTTAATTAGCTCTCTGTTAGAATACAGTAACGCCCTGTAACACTTTTAGCTTAAAAAATGATATTAGTTGATCAATATTCAATAGTATCTCCTATTCTGTTCAGACAAAAAAAAAAAAAAAAAAAAACTGATCGACAAATCCACAAAATTATTTAGTGTAGGGCACATATTAGTGTGGTTTTATATATATGCAAGTTTGTCATCTGGACGGATTTATCATTTGTTAGATAACTATGTAGAAGGATTATAGAATTTCAAACATTACACTAAGATAAAACCAAGTAACCTTTGTATAATAATAGCAGTTAATTAACAAGTCGTCGTGACTCATGTGTTGTTGTAGGGCTACTACTTTAGACTTCCTCTTTCTTTAATCGGTCTATTAAAAATTGTAGTGCATAGTTTAGAAAATTTGTAGTGCATAGTTCCTTATCTAGAAGAAGAGAAATTTGGACGTCACCAAACACCACCAAAACTCAAGTTGGGAATATGTTCATTTGCTTTTTAAAATACTATTTTGTGTCCCTAATCCTCAATTAACTAACTTATAATAAAGTCCGAATACTAACAGCAACGCTATAGTAATTATTATTTATGTGGATGTAATCTGACACGAGCTTTCTTTGTTTATTGGTCGCATTTCGCCAACAATTTCTATCATCGTTAGAAAAAAATGAATGAAAGCCACTAATACGAAAGAAATGGCCGTTCAAGTACAAAAGTGGAATCCAGTTATCCACAGAAATTACAGTTAAATATTGGAGATTTGTTAGGAAAAAAGGTAGGCATGCTGTATTTTATATGATTATTTGCAGCGAATAAAAGTTTGTGGAGTATTTCGAATCCAAGTGGCCTTGCCTCATACGAAACTTGCCCTTTAGTAAAGCAAATAAACATACGAAATGGATATTGCTTAAATATTTGAAGTCTGATAACTTCAAATGATTTGTAACAGCTCAAGCATCATAGTTTAACATCTTTTGTTACAACTGGCTCAGACGCTTAGTAATATTTGTTACAAATACCTTGAGATTTGATTGGAGCTATGGCAACAAACAAAACAAAAACAAAAAGATGAAAGTATCAAACAACAGAAACGAAATATATTAAATTAGTCGGATATTTTATTTTTCGGCTATCATCTAACATTTTTTTCAATTTTGTTCATAAGAATCATATCGTTGGGATTGGGAACGTTCATATTTCTTATACAATGAACGAAAGTAGTGAAGATAAGTACTAAACGATGAGCGGTGATTGTCCGTGCAGACAAAACTTGTACTCTCTACTCTGCTAAAAGGTGCGAGTGGAAGCTGACGAAACGTGGGACACAAAGAAATAATACAAATATTATTTTCTTCCCTTATAATAATCAGTAGTGGAATGCCAAATTACCAATGAACAATATGTCCCTCTTAATTTTATTTTAATATATCTAGGCGAAGAGTTAGTTAAAGATAAACCAATGAAGAAAAAAATGCATGTACGTTTTTCCTTTTAACCGTGGATATTGGGTAACTATACAGTAAAATAAACTAATAATCATATGATAACCTGAATAAACATATCAATTCTACATCTGCAATAGAAAATTTACTAAAATTTGAGCTACAACTATTTTGAATCAGACATCAAATTACACAAAAATCTATACGAATATGATCATAATTCATAAGAATGGGTGTTTCACCACATAATAAACAACATGAGATCTTTTTTTGGACGAAAACAACATGAGATCTTAAATAAACATATCTTATCCATATCTCATAATGCAAAAAATGGAATCATCACATAGCCTGGCTAGAGAAACTAATCTATATATTTGTCAAATCAAAACCCCAAAAGCCAAATGAAATTTTGGAAATGAGGAAGAAGAACAAAATGAGATTGTTGGCACTTTAACCCACCACAATCTCTCTCTTTCTCTCAAATCATATTTTGTTCGCTCTTATTATCGTGCAAACATTGTCATATTCCACTACACCCCAATCTAATATGCTCTTTCACTATTTCCTGATTAACTACATTATAATATTGGAATGTCAATGTGAGCAGATGGATAATACATCAATTTCAAAATATGCCTATATCTGTACGGACTATGTATTTCTCAACTCTTAAATCACTGTATTATAATGAAACTGAAAAGAAAAAAAATGGATAACGTTGATACATGAAATGAAACTATGAACCATAAGTTAACAACCCTTTCCCTTTTTAACACTGTACGTTATATAATTAACACTCCCAACGAGAGATTTGGTATATAAACATCTAAAACCGTACTTTTACCACATATTTCTTTCTTAACTAAATCTCAACATGTGAAAATCTTGTTCGTTATTACTGATCAAAATCATAGTCAACCGTCCTTTTTTACCATGACATAAATCACTAGATTACGTGTTATAGACTTATAGTACAAGTTTTTCTATCAACTTATTCTTATAATGCAATATAATTTTACCGTTCCAGTTAAAATAAGGTTACCAAAATAGATAAACAAACTCTTGTAAAACTTAAGATAATTTAATGGTGATGGCGTCTAGAGGCATGTAAACGTATTGATTGTTGTAACCCTTCGTAAACTAACCCATGCAAGGTAAAAAAGACTAATGAACTATATCTTTTAGGATGTTAAGAAATAAAGCTAGCACTAAAGTTTCAAAAGAGAGTTGATTTCACAATTTCACCAGTAAATTCTATTAATTAAATATAATTAATCGTTCACTTTAATTTGTGCCCAAGTTGCTTATACGGCTAGACCTATAAATAACTCTCATTGCCTTCCACATTGGATCATACTCAGCTTTTCCACATTAAGTGAGAATATTAAGAAGAAGAAAAAGTTGAGAGAAAATTATCTCCAAACAACAAACCAGAGAAACACAAAAGAGACTGAAAACAAAAAATGAGACCGTTGAGCGTTCAATCGAAGTTGGAAGATTTGGCGACGCACGCATCCTCAGGACCGTCGTCATCCTTCGTGAATAACCACCGAGTGGCGCCGCAATCGCCGTGGCACTCACCGGTCCCTTACCTCTTCGGCGGTTTAGCGGCGATGCTTGGACTCATCGCGTTTGCTCTTCTCATCCTCGCCTGTTCTTACTGGCGCTTGTCTTCCTCCGGCGAAGAAGACGGCCAAAACGAAGGAGGAGTCGACGAAGAGAAAGGGAGTCAGTCTGGGAATAAGGCGGCGAACGGAGCGTACGAGGAGAAGTTTCTTGTCATAATGGCCGGAGATGATTTGCCGAGGTTTCTCGCGACGCCGGCGATGAAAAAGTGTACGTGTGGTGGTCATGAGGGTAAAATGGTAGTTTCTCAGGAGGATAGTGTTGTTGCCAAAGAGGAAGAGAAGATGAGAGAAGGTGAAGAAGAGAAAGTTAAAGACACCGGAGAACCAACAACAAGCCACTGAGCTTTTTTTTGTTTCACTTTCCTTTTCTTTCTTAATTAATATCTTTTTCTTCTTCTTCTTTTTTGAGATTTTTCTGGCGAATTTTTCCTTCTCATGATTCCCCAGGAATGTAAATTTTACTAGAGAGCAAAATTTTGGGTTTTAATATTTTGTAATGCTTTATCTTTTCTTATACTACTATTACATCCTTATAACTTTGATGAAACATGTGATCACTTCACCCACAAGGCCACAAACTATTTTTTTGGTAAATGTAGTTTCGTACGTGTACATCCGTGCATTTAGAAGTCGATTGTTTCAACTATTTCCTACATCTGGGTTAATATCTAAAAAATACAAAGACCCCCAAAAAACTTGCAATTTAAAGAATTTTGGAAAATGTTATTTTAGAGTTTAAATGCTTGGAAAGATACGTATTATCAAACGTAAAAACGAACGCCAACCCAAACGAATCACTAAACCTTACAAGCTTTAAGAAAATGTGTTTATGAGATGATAAGGTAGGATCATTTTTCCTCTTTTCTAAAGTTAATTGCTCGTTTTATGTTTTTTCCTTTGAATTGGTAATCTATTGCCGCCTTCCATTTCATTACAACCTCTGAAGTCTGATATATTTATTACATTTCTTTAATCCTCTCAAGTGAAGTACCAGCTAAATCAGGAAATTCATCCGGTGGTTGAAATTTGAATAACAGTCACCAAAAACTATGTCCAATGGAAGTTTTATATCCAGTGGAGATTAATTTTCAGCATCGATCAACATGGTAAATCATTACAACCATTTACAATGATTATATTAGATAACGTTATGACATGACATTAGCATAAGTATAGTTAAGTACTCTTTCAAAGCTTGAATTACTATTTGACTTGGAATTAAAGATGGTGATTAAAGAAAATACAATTTGACTTATCTCATGAACATATTCAATTATTGAATATACAAAAATACTGTATTCACTTGATGGATTCGTGGAGTTGTTTATAATTAAAGTTTAGCAAATCTTATACGGAAACTGGTATCCTCCATTTCTTTTCAGCCAAATTGAAATTCTTCACTTTCTATTATTTCTTTTTAAAAAGACTAATATTCTCCATCAATAATTCAATAAGAACAACTAGCTAGTTAACAAAATTATAAACTAGCAAATCATTTTCTGTTGCGTATCTAGTTTAGCTATTCTGTGTGTCAAAGAGTTAGCAGATATATCGACACGTGTCGAATAGGGTATCGGTTAAGTTATTTATAGCAAAAAGAATAGATTCTGTTTTGACATTTTGACACCGTCGGTCCTTCGAGGCGCCGAGTAGCCGCGTCCCCTTTCCTAAAGAAACTTCCAAACTCCAAACTCCAAACTATTCTCTTCCATTTAATTATCTTTCTTTCGCTGCTTTATTTTTATTTGATTTTACAAATTTACATTTCCGTACGTATACTTTTCTTCTTCTTCTCAACCTTGTATTAGATTTAAGCAAAAAAATTGTACTAGTAATTAGCTATACGGTTTAGATGCAGAGACGTTTATATATTAATGATGTGATTTGGAAAAAAGTGCTATAAATTAATTAATGAGCGATAGAGTTGTTAGAACTTAGAACAACTACATCGACTTTCTCAGTGGAGCCACAGAGATCCTTTCTGGAACCGAGCTCGTCGAACAGCTTGCACTGTTGGGACAGAACATGGGGGACTCAGAGAGACAAGACAAGAGATGTAGTACGGTTTGGTCTTAGTCAGGTGGATTTGGTTAGTCTGGATTTTAATAAGCTAATCTAATATCATAGAGAACAACAATATTTGATACAATCCTGTAAACCATGTGTATTAGTATGCATAAGACTACAAATACTCAAGCCAAAGGAAGAATGAATCAGAACTTGTACCATTCGGGGATGAAACTCAAATCCACAGACCTGTTTTATGTTTCTCTACATGCCCAAGAAACAACGGTATAACAACAACAAAAGAGACACGAGACATAAAAAACGTTCGTGTGAGAGACTTTTCTGAGTTGTGTCTATATATGCATGTAAAACCTTCGACCCTTAATTTAAACAAATATATAATCCTCCAAGATTCATTTTGGTATTTTGTTTGGGTGATATCTGAGATCCAAAGAGCCGTTTTACCCAAATGTTAAAACTAGGTTGATGAGTCACCGGAGCTTCTGTCCGGTATAATACCATGATCGATGGGGACACTATTGCTGCTGGAACCTACTCCTTGGTCATAAAAGAAACGTACAACGACACAAGTTATGTTGTCTGCACTTCCTCGTTGGTAAGCTTCCATCATCAGCCTCTTTGCACCTTCCTCAGGATCTTCTATCGTCTTGATCATGCCTACGGCTTCCTGAGAATAATATCAAATTTGAACAGGGATTGGCTTTTCAAGTCTGAAAGCAAAGTTTTGAGATTAAACGATACTTCCTAGTTAGTTCCTACCTCGTTAGATACAACGTCCCAGAGACCATCACTTGCAAGTATGAGAAACTCGAGAGAGCTATCCACTTTCTCCTCCTGAAATTTCCATATATGTTCATTAGTGAAGTCATTCTAGAAACTACAGTCCATGTACAATGGTGCAAAGCCCATACCTGTATCTCCGGATCAGCAACAACGTACTGCTTCAACAACCTATCGCCAAATGCACGAGAAACAGCAAGAACTCCTCCAACTCTCCATGTTCCTTTTAGCAATATACCAAAATAAAGTAAATGACATAAACACATTAAAAAGAAAGGTTTCCACTAAACACTTTCTTACCAGCCCACATGACAAATCCTCCGGCATCCTCAATCCTTTGGCGCTCATCACTTTGATCAGGCTTGTGATCTCGGGATACAGCAATAGCTTCAAAAGAATAAATATATTAGTACCAGACAATACAGAACGACTAACATTCACAATCACAATGTTCTTTCAAGAGCTCTAATTTCCTTTCAAACACCAAAAAGATATAAATAAAAAAATTGAACAAGCATTACCATTGCCACCTCTGCATATAACAGCTCTAGAGTCCCCTACATTTGCAACAAGTAAACGGTCACCAACTAAGATGGCTGTTGACGCCGTCGAACCAGCATCTCTGTTCTGGCTATTTTCTGATTTAAGAAACTCCTCGTCTGTTTGGTTGTATGCATCAGCTGAATTCAGAAGCAAGCAAATCACAAGGTTAAACTAGGCATAGGCACCTTGCTGCGTCTATATAATGAATCATCATCTAGCTAACAAGATCAAAAGTGAAAACAAACCTATTGCAGCTGTGGTATCAGAGATAAACTTTGGATGCCTGATAAGATTACTGAACAGATTCTGCTTCACATATTCAGCTGCACGTGCCCCTCCATGTCCTGTAAATAGACATTAGCTACATCACTACATGAAAGATATAGTCACCAATACATTAGTTGTTGTATATTAGTGAGAAATGTATACCATCAAAGACTCCAAATAGACCAACTATTTCCCCTTCAACACCATCGATTCTAGTCTCATAAAAGTCCTCCATTGAAGATCTTTTACCGGGAGAGCTTGCATATCCATAGCTGAACTTCCCGTTCTGACTGTACATATTTAAGTATATGAAAGTTGTCAAATTATAATACTTATTTACATTAACAGCAGCACAGCATCTACAATCAAAGCTTATGTAGACTCATAGCTCTTTTGTATAAAACCAAAGGTAAATTTTAAGTACTGTAAAATGTCAGTTTGTGAACGGTGCCAATGCCTTAGCGTATATATAATCACACATCTAAACTGCAGAGTTATATATTATTTATTTATTATCAATCTAGATCGAAAACACAGCTACAAAGCTAAGAAAGATACTATGATTCTAAGTAATTTATAATTTCCTTTCGCATTATTTAATCATAGAGCTTTTGCAACAAATCCAGAACAGCACAGAAATGATAAAACTGGGGAAAAGGAAGAAAGTCAACCTGAGACCGCCGCCGCTAACAGGTCCGTCGTCGGAGTGAACCTGGCTCGAAGATGACAACACAGAATTCAGATATCCCATAGCTCCAAGCCTCTTGTCTTCCAATCGGAACAAAATCAAAGATCGAATTCGATTTTGAAGCTGATCAAGCTTCGTTTTCCGCCAATCAAACCCCTGAAACAACGTCGAAAACATGTAAATTTGTCACGAATCACCAAATAAATGCTCACCAGACAACATAACAAATGATGAGATCGAATCTACTATAGTCATAAAGCGAAATTTGACTATGTACGTTAATGTATCAATGACCAGATAATCGGAAATTGCAATGGATCGAGCATGAACAGAGGCGCGCGAAATCGACCAGATCGGAAAATGAGGAGAAAGAGTAGTTGGGGCGTACCAGAAGAAGAAGAAGAAATGGTGGATGGAGAAATATTCAGATTTGACGATAATCACTGGAAGATATGTAGATTAAAAGCCCGACAAGATTGACGGATCCTCCAATCGCTCCGGTCTTCGTTTTGACAATCTGGAGAGAAAATGAAGAAATAAATGACGAAGAAACAAAGTAGCTTTTGAAATCTGGCATCAATTAGCAAAGACAATTATTATCTACTTTACATTTTCCTATATTCACTGTAATAAACAAATAATGATGATTGGATCAAAGTAATTAACGATAAGCTAATAAGAGAAATAAATATACTTATTTCCATAAGCAAAGGAGAAATCTCGTGGGGCCTCTATTATTTGGCTGTTTTTGTTTTATCTCGAGTTATATCGAATTTTTGGAGAAACCAAGATATCTGTAGGATAGTGACACGTGGTATGGATCAAACGTATATCTCTGTAGGATTATGACACGTGGCTTTCATGCAGCGGAGGGTCTACGGTTGATTTTTCTCACTACTTTAACGTGTCCTTACCGCTTAACGACGCAACAATAACCCTTACAGATAGCCAAAAGTCAGTGTAATTAACAAATGGAAAGACATTTGCATCTTACACGCTGATCATGAATTTCATGGTGGAAAACAAAGTCTAATGCAAAGAAAAGCAACCAAAACGAGTAACTGAATATAAACTGGGACAAATGTGTATAATTACGGTTACAAATATGTGTTTCTTAATTAACGGAAGAACAAGAGCGTCTTATTTCACCATCTTCACCAACTTTGACACCAACCATACTCAGCTTCACAAACGACTCTCTCCATCTCTGGGAAAAGCTTTCCTCATCACTCGCAAGATCCTCCACCAACTTCCTCGTACGATCATCCTCCATTAGAGCAGAATCCGTCTGAAACAAACCCTTGCGCGCTTCAAGATTCCTATAGTACTGATTATCGAACATCGATGACGTCTCTGGATCGTTGCTCACCGTCAATGAGGACGATGAAGCACACTGTTTCATTAGCGTCTCTGCGTAGGAGTTGTCTAGAGACGCGTCGATTAGCTCGAGATTTCCTTTTGAGTCTTGTTTAAACCTTCCATTGAATGCATTACAGTGCGAAGCCCCAATCGTGTGTGCTCCTGATGAAATTAATTCCTCTAGTGTTTATCAAAACATTTTGGTAAATATTTTATTAACAAAATTTCAAGAAACATATTGGTACCAGAGAGGACGACAAGATCTTGAATGGACAAGCCTTTAGAGGAGAAAGCATCGATCATCTTATCGAGACTGAAATCTGTATCAATTATGTTCGGTCTGACGTCATCAGCCACCGATACTTTCCCGTCTCTCCTCCCGGTTGGAATCTCAACCACCGGTCCTCCAGCCTTTTCCCACAAAAAGAAAAAAACAATTTCTTAAATCTTTTAGGCCAACCGGTTTACTATTGGTTTAATATATTTTTCAAGCCTTTTGTATGAGTGGTTTCGGTACAATTGAGGTTGGTTAAGCCGGATTAGATATATCCCTAACTCCTAGTTTTCAATAGTGAAGTGAGAGTGGTGAACGTTACAGCTTCGACGGCGTCTCTAGCAGCAAGAGCAACGATGTCAGCGCATGAAACAGTGGCCGGACAGAAAACCTCGATGGCATTCTTGGCTCTCTCTATGACTGAGAATCCTCCCAGAGACGCGTTTCCAGGATCGCTTCTCTCCGTGGTATTCCCTTGTATCAACACTGACGCATCACAACCCTTCGCCAACAACAACAAACAAATAGTATCAACGTAAATTGTTTGAGTTTCTCTGTAATGAGTAGTGAGTGCGTCATTGTACCTGGACAAAACAGTCGTGGAAGAGGAGTCGGAGGAGTTTTCCAGGGATAGTTGGATCGGAGGAGGAGGCAGATCTAACGGTGTTTCTGACGAGAACCTCGGCTAAAGGACAAGAACCGGCGTAGAAGTTAAAAGAGAGATTGGCAGAGCAAGTGAGAAGACTAGAAAGTAACACAAGGATGTTTAGTAACACAAACGTTGATGCCATATTTTTGTGTCTCTTGGTTTGGCTCAAGAAGGAAAGTAACAATGATGATAGTATACGATAGAGAGAGAAGGATATTGGTAGTTGTCGTGATAAATTTATTACTGTTCATAGCATTTGATGTTCGTGTGTTTTGTCAGAGAGAGAGAAAGATGGTTGAGGTGATAGGAATTGAGTCAACGCATTAATGAAGATTCGTTGGTGGTCGTGTAATAGTTGAATCCCATTTCTCGCTATCATTTCATGGCGATCATCTCAATCTTCGGAAAACCGGATTTGTGTTTGCGCATAAAAAGTCAAAGGTTTTAAGTGATTCCGACATCTCTCTATGGCTTTGTCGGAGTGTTACTTCCAAAGCCAAATAGCCAATGCATGCCGGAGAACTCCAGGAGAAAGAAAACAAAGTGTACAGCTTTCAAGAAAAATGAATGAACATAGTAAGAAGTACATATATTCCCAACTTTTCATTTCTAAAAACAACATTTTTCTATAACATCACAAATTAAAAACTTATGATAAAAAAAAGGAAGAAAAAACCTGATTTTCCTATTCACAAAATCTCCACTAGTGTGGTTGTTTTCCAGCTTGACAATTAAGCAGTCAAAATTTAGCAAGAGAACAAAGATTCCGACCACTGGAATTAGAGAGATTCATCATTCATGCCTCCTCTCTCGTATGCTCATCTGCTTTTGCTTCTGCCATCTCTTCTATTTCATCAATATCATCAATGTCATCAATCGGGATTTCTTCGCTATCAAATGTCGGAAGATCTGCAATACGCAAAACATGTTTTCAGTCTTAACACGGCACTAAGCATCTCTGCCAAGGCAGATATAACTAAGAAAGCCATGGTCATACCTGATGGAGCCTGCGAAGCAGGGATCTTGGTTCTTTCTCCTGTTATCGGTGATGAATCAAGGAGATATGGGAGGCCAAGGAGCTCTAACAAAGACAGTGTCTGAGGATTCTGCGGGATCTCTACATAATTCCACGAGAATAACAACATTTTAAACTGATTATCTATGTAAACTTTACATAATCCTCTGTATCCAGTAGATTAACTAACCAGGTATGGGATCAAAGCTACGTTGTGAAGGGTTATATACAGGGACCGTCCTCACAAACTCAAAAGGTTTAAATTGCCTTTCTTCTAGCTTCTTCCTCACCCACTCACGGCTCTCTTGTATATTCATTTCAGCAGACCTATTTTATATTATCAAAGCAATACCTGTATGTGAGTAGAAAAACGAATGGATAAAAAAAGCATAAACAGGACTAAGCAAAGTAGCTTGGTCAAGATAGTGTTTACCTGAAATCTGCGTTTCTCCCTGTTAGAGGGAAGACAGAGTTAAACTTCCGTGTTATAGCTAACCACTCTTCATCGTATAGGACCTCAAACGGACCAGGCTCTGATTCGATGTCAATAATCTAATGAACACTCCAAGAAATTAATAAGATATCCTTTTTGTTTCGAAAAAGAACAAAGGTAGACAGAAAGGAAGGAAGAAGAAGAAGAACCTGTAGAAACTTTTTCCCTCGAATGCATTTATCAAGGGCAAGAAACTTCGTCACAGGGCCATCGTCTCCGTGTTGAACAGCAGCAGCAAATTTGCAGTGTAAGTGAGCTGAAAACCAGTACCGAGGCTTCAGTTTCTCTAGCAGAAGAGCCGCTGGTTTACTTCCAAGAGTTCTCGTCTCAATCTGTAAACAAATTCGGTTCCAAATTCATTGCAATCATCCCAAGAAGATGTAGAAACATTTTCCAATTTTTTTTACCTCTTGAACAAAGTGCGGTTTTTGTCTCATCAGTGCTTGTGAGTCTCCGTAATCAGTGATCCCAACAGGCCAATCGTGTGAGAGAAATATATCAAGCGGCTCTTCAAGCTGCATCAGCTTCTGTACATCATACTCACGAACATGATACACCGATCTGATTGTATTCGCGTTATATGGCGGCCGCTCGTAGTGTCCTGCTCACAAGAAATGACAGATTTCGCTTAATTTGGCACTTGAACAGAGAGATGAAGAAGCAACAAAGAGAACAAACCTGAGCGGTAATCTTGCTTTTTGTAAATACCAGAAAGGCCTCCAATTCGCAGATTACCAAACTTGACAACTCCGGCACAGCCGAGAAAGTAGATATTGGTGGCAGCCCAGCCTCCATAGTACCTAGAGAAGCATCCAGAAACCATCAAAAACACATTTTTTTGTTTTTATAACAAGGAAGAGTGGAACAGTAGAAGGAAGCTTACAATTCCCATAAGTAGTTTGAGGCCTCGTGATTCCCACCGATGAAGATTGTGGGAATTGGGGCAACTTCTTGGCCGGAGTAGTACTTCCAGAAGGATTTCATCTCTTTGTACCTGTTGGGTACGCTAAGGCTATCCATGTCTTTCTCATTTCTCACAGCCTATATAGCAAAACGAATTTTTTATCACACTGAAGGAAGCAGAATCGAATTGGAATTTTTTTTTCCTGGAAAACTGATATTCAATAAGGTTGTTTACCTGGAAATCGCCGCAGCAGAGGAGGAGATCGATTTTGGTGTTGTGAATCTGTTCATGATGTTGAATTGTTTTGTAAACAATGTCGAGGTCTCCATGCATACACCCTTCAATTGCAATCTTCATCTCTCGCGCGGATTTGAATCTATGGATCCTGGGGTTTTGCGAATTGGGATTCTTCAGTGCTTGAAGAGCTGTAATTCTGTTTTTCAAAATTTCAGTTAGGGTTCTTCAGTGCCAGAGGATCGAATTGGGAGTTTGTGAATAATCAAAACGCGACGTTTTATTGAGGTTTTAGAAACGAGGTCGTTTTAAAAAGGAAAAATCCGCGGTAAATGTTTGTATACTACTGCGAGTAAGCCCGTTTCATTTAAATCCACTGGCTATAAGCTATTATCCATCTTCTTACCAAAGCCTTATTAACATGTAGGGGATGCAATAACTTTGTTCTTGACCATGATTCATTGTATGATCCTCAAAGTAAACACGACGAGTACCTTAATTAGACTTTTGTTCCTTCTAATCTAAAACCTTTTTATTACTACTAATAATATTTATTTCTAGCGTCTCGGAAGTCAGAACTATAGTAGAGAAACGAGCGGAAATTTGGAAGCATGAAAAACATGTGAAGCGAGCAGCAGGAAGCCAACGTTGATTCTTCTTATGCTTTTAATGGTGTTTTAAAATGAGAAGAGTCGTTGACTAGTGAATCACTTTATAGTACATGAGTTTCGCAGAGGTTTTTTTTTAATTTAAAACCGCAAGTGTGTTTATAGTAGGTACACAATGTTTCTTCAAAAAGCAAAATGGCATCTTATTAGTTTTGAGTCCTAGGTTCATAGTCTTCTTGTATCGGTGACTTTTAGTTTTATGTAATTGAGTCAAGAAACATGATAATTGAGGCAGACTATATTATACAAAAGACATACTACAATTCTTTAATCATCATCAAGTTTTGAATAATTCATAATTTTTTCGCTTGTTATCACAACGTGGATAGGAACACCTCGGAGAACTAGCACACAAGGAGAAATGGTAATCTAGATTCTTAATGGTGATTGATAACAGATAAGAACCAAAAATATGCTTTTATGCTAAAGAAATGGGCTCTGATAAAATGCACTACAGTTTTGGTCATAATTTTGTCCATTACGCCGACCATCCGGGTTCTTTTTGCTCCGACGCCGACCATCCGTTGGTGCTGTAATTTTGACCACGCAGAGATGACATACAAATTACAATCTACTTATTTTATATTTGATTTATTTCATTTTGGAACTATATTATTTGTGCACACGATATTTACATTTACATAAACTGGTTGATTGGTTGTCTGGATTTTGGTAGAATTGCCAATAGAATATTCGGATAAGTTTCGGTTTAGCGAAAGCAATCTTCTTCTTCCTATATAAAAAACAACAAACTCAATCTTCATTTCATCCTCCAAAAATCCCATCTCTCCGTGGCTGCAATCTCTCCATTTCCCTCCGTTGATCGACGCGCTTGATCATCCATGGCGCTAAATCACTCCACGAATTGAATCTCTCTCTCCCACTATAGCACACAGACTCTTCTAATCATCCATCAACTATGCAAAACCCTTCAACAGTAACACAGGAATCAGCAGCACCCGCTTTTGATTTCTTCACACGGCTGACCGGTTTAGCCTCCAGAAACCGATCTCCGTTTTCGAATTCTGATGGGTTTGCTCTCTCAACCTCCAATGTCTTGTACTTCAACGGCTCCCGGACTTTACACGCCCAACGGAGGCGAAAAACCCTAGCTTCCCTGAGCTTGAACACTAAGAGCGGTGCCGGTTCGTGCCTGCGTAAGTTTATCAGCGATTTCAACAGCTTTATTAGGTTTCACTGCAATAAGGTGGTTCCGGAGACCTTCGACACCGTCGGAGGAGTCGGGTTGTCGAGCGACGAGAACGTGGTTAGGGAAGATGGGTCCGGTGGGGTTTTGGGTGAGGAGGGCTTGCCATTGAATGTCGTCGAAACCGATCGGCCGAAGAAAGTTTTGATTTTGATGAGTGATACTGGTGGTGGTCACAGAGCCTCTGCGGAAGCCATTAAAGCTGCTTTCTTTCAGGAGTATGGTGATGAGTACCAGGTTCGTCTTGAAAATCTCCTTCCATTTTATTTGGTAAATTGATTTCACTTTGAGACTCTTACAATTTGACATTGCGGCTACATTCAATTGAGTTAATCGATCAAATGCGTTGAAAGTCTGAATTTTTAAGCAGTGTGAACAGTTGTTGATTGGTTCTGTACATCAAGAGTGATTGCGCAGGTGTCTATTACGGATTTGTGGACAGATCATACGCCCTGGCCGTTTAACCAGCTTCCCAGGAGCTATAATTTTCTGGTGAAACATGGAACTCTGTGGAAAATGACTTACTATGGTACGGCTCCACGCGTTATCCACCAGTCTAATTTTGCAGCTACTTCGACTTTTATTGCCAGGTGAGGCTCTTAAGGTCTATGGTTTGGTTACTCCTTAAGGTCTATGGTTTTCTTGTCTAGTCTGATACTGTTTTGTTAATACTTACAGGGAAATAGCGCAAGGGTTGATGAAGTATCAACCAGACATTATAATAAGTGTTCATCCATTGATGCAACACGTCCCACTTCGTGTGTTAAGATCAAAGGGGTTGCTTGAGAAGATCGTCTTCACCACGGTTATTACAGACTTGAGCACTTGCCATCCCACGTGGTTAGTTTGTTTGTTTACCAAAAATGAGTCATGCTTTTAGAGATTTTTGTGGGGTCTTTTGTGGTTACATGACGCTTGTTTTTGGTTGTTTAGGTTTCATAAGCTTGTGACAAGATGTTATTGCCCATCAACAGAAGTGGCGAAAAGGGCACAAAAGGCCGGACTTGACACGTCGCAAATCAAAGTTTACGGCCTTCCTGTTCGACCTTCCTTTGTCAAACCAGTTCGCCCAAAGGTCAGTTTTTTTTAGAAAGTTTTCTTTCTTGGCTGTTTCAAACACATTAATATTCAATAGTGTCTATTTGGGTAAATCACAGGTTGAGCTAAAAAGGGAACTAGGGATGGATGAGAATCTTCCAGCTGTTTTGTTAATGGGCGGAGGAGAAGGAATGGGTCCAATCGAGGCAACAGCAAGAGCTCTTGGAGATGCTTTGTATGATGAGAGCCTCGGTGAAGCAGTTGGTCAGGTTCTTATTATATGTGGACGCAACAAGAAACTCCAAAACAGATTAAGCTCCTTAGACTGGAAAGTCCCGGTCCAGGTACTACTCTCTATGCTTCTTTACCTTTCAAACCAAATCAGCAAACTTTAGGCATTCGATTCAAGTCAATGAAACGGTGTTTCTTATTTTCACAGGTTAAAGGATTTATAACGAAAATGGAGGAATGTATGGGTGCTTGTGACTGCATCATAACAAAGGTAAACTAAACATAACCAAAAACAACAACCATATATAAGTAAAATAATTGTTTATTTTATTTATGTGTTGTTGCTTGGTCTTGTGCAGGCTGGTCCGGGAACAATAGCTGAAGCTATGATAAGAGGGCTACCGATAATATTAAACGGCTACATCGCTGGTCAAGTAAGTTTAACGATAAACCTCACATTTTTTATTTCCGGTTCAGGTTTTTGATTTTGTTGGGGTTTGATTGTGAGCGCAGGAGGCAGGGAATGTGCCGTATGTGGTGAACAACGGATGTGGGAAGTTCTCGAAATCACCAAAAGAGATATCGAAGATTGTAGCGGATTGGTTCGGACCGGGGTCGAAACAGTTGGAGATCATGTCACAGAATGCGTTGCGGCTGGCTAGACCGGAAGCAGTTTTCAAGATAGTGCAAGATATGCACGAGCTTGTCCGACAGAGACATTGTCTTCCTCAGCTATCTTGCACTGCCTAATTATTATACTCTTGTAGTAACTCTCATTCATTCGACCAAAATGTTCCTTCTTTTGGTTCTTACACAAACAAGAGTGTAATAATAATATCATAGTTTTCATTTTTGCCCTTAAATGCGAATTACTTAGGGCCGAATGTTCACTTTTTAAACTCCCAATTAGACACGTTTATTTTCTGGCATGATCAACTTCTTGCGTGTGTTGAAGACTTGAAGCTCAAGTGCTCAACCCTGGTCAAGTTAATGTCAACTCCAAAACGACGTAGTTTCATTGGATTTAAAAATTAACAGAAGCCAGAAGGCAAGTGACAATTAAATAAAAAAAGTAAAAAATTAACACCAAAGGGTTTTGACTTTTGACTTTCTTCTTCTCCTTCTCCTTCCTCTCCTATCGGCCATTCGCTGAGATTTATCGAGTGAGCTCTCTCTTTTCCGGATTTTCTACGCACTTTATCAGGTAAACTCCGAATTTCAGGGAATTTGAACCTGAAACTGTATGGATATATTGAAATATTTCGATTTACTCGTCAGCTATAGATCTTCTTTGTCTTTAGATCTAAGTTCATCAACTGTTCGTTGTTCCTCTGCCTCTAATTTTTCATGTGACTATCTGAATTGAGTGATTAGCTTATGTTTAACGGGTTTGGTTTTTGTGTTTAGCAGATATGTTGTACATTATAGGATTAGGTTTAGGAGATGAAAAGGACATAACCCTGAGAGGACTCGAGGCTGTGAAGAAATCTCAGAAAGTATACATGGAAGCTTACACTTCTCTCTTATCCTTCGGTCTCTCTCCTAATGGCCTTTCCAATCTCGTAAGTCTCTCAATTGGATTCACTAGCTCCTTCCCAAATTTCCAATCTCATCTTCTCTTTTCCGTGATTCGTTTGTCTCAGGAAAAGTTCTATGGGAAACCAATCATACTTGCTGATAGAGAAATGGTCGAAGAAAAAGCTGGCGATATGATTGCAGAAGCCATTGACAACGATGTCGCTTTTCTCGTTGTTGGTGATCCTTTCGGGTATGATTCTGTTATACAAAATTCGAGCTTTTAATCAGATTTCGGAGTTATGTATGAAATGTCTGAAATGGTTTTGTTTGCAGAGCAACAACGCACAGTGACCTTGTCGTGCGAGCTAAGAAGCTCGGTGTGAAAGTAGAGGTAGTGCACAACGCGTCTGTCATGAACGCGGTTGGGATCTGCGGTCTGCAGCTTTACCATTACGGAGAGACGGTTTCGATCCCGTTCTTCACCGAGACGTGGAGACCCGACAGCTTCTACGAGAAGATCAAGAAGAACCGCTCTCTCGGGCTTCACACGCTCTGTTTGCTGGATATCAGAGTGAAGGAGCCGACTTTTGAGTCTCTCTGCAGAGGAGGGAAGAAACAGTATGAGCCGCCGAGGTATATGACTGTTAATACTGCGATCGAGCAGCTGCTTGAAGTTGAGCGGAAGCGTGGTGGTTCTGTTTATGGTGAGGAGACGGAGTGTGTGGGGTTTGCGAGGCTTGGCGCTGAGGATCAGAAGATAGTCACGGGGACGATGAAGCAGCTCGAGGGTGTTGATTTTGGAGCGCCGTTGCATTGTCTTGTGATTGTGGGCGAGACTCACCCTGTGGAGGAAGAGATGTTGGAGTTTTACAAGTACGAAACTGCGAATTGAAAGACCAAAGATCACTGAAGAAGGGATTGAAACTAGGAACCGATAGATGTTCTTTGTTTCTATTTACTATTTTTCGTTTTGATGTTACATAAGCTATATGTGATGTGTCTTCGAATATGAGAGGTGGTGGATTTTGAAATATTTATTTGGCTCTGGTTTGAGTAGGACATGTTTTAGAGCTTTGTTTCAGAGAGTTTCAACTTTGGTGAGAGGAGAACATGTTTCAGTTTGTTGTTGTTGGGTCGATTACAAGGTTATTCATCACTCTAAATCATACATCAGTATTCATCAAATTCATTGTCATCATCAAATGTGGATATAAAAGATGAAACTCATGTGTATAACAGAGAAAAGATGTCAGTGCAAATCTATAAGTTAAAGTTTTAAGAACAGAAGAACTATCTTAATGGTATTGTTACTTGAATCACCAAACTTAAATCCATTTTGCGCGGATAAATTGTTACTTTTCTAGTTTTCTGTATGTTGGGCAAAAACGATTGTTGCTCAAAATATCTTGGAGTATACTGTATGTTTTTGTAATCATGTGCACCAATATTATAGATGTAGACTTGAATTATTGGGTTTGCCTGAAATTTCATGAGCATTGAAATCATTTTATAAATATATTAAAATACAGAAAAACACAAGTAAGCAAATACATAAATACATCTTAAGCGTAAACATGCAATTAATTAATCATCCTATAATTTAGACTTTGGCTAGCAAAGTTGACATGGAAAACCTATCCCACACGATCTTAAGTTTGAAACCCAAATATTCTTGAAGTTAAGATTCTAAATCATGAATCTTGTTTTTTTTTTTTTTTCAAAAGTCGTTTAATTTCTCACCGCTCTTTCTCCCATTTGGGACCCACCACTGTAGTTCGTGAGTAAAAGTTTTAAATGAAAAGTTATGTGGTTGATCAAAAAAAAAAAAAGAGATTTTAAATCATGAATCTTGTTTTTTTTTTTTTCTCAAGGTTGGGTCGAGTTTTGGAACTAATTAACTGGAGAGAAACAACAATTTAAAAAGTTGTTAGCAATTTTGTTTTTGGATTAGTGTCCGGGTAAAAGTGAGCAGATTTTTTTGACAGGAGTCTCCGGAAATCCACTTCAGATAAAACACCAGGACCAAAACTCAAAAGTCTAGATGGCTACACACGTTTCAAGTTTGGTCAGCGTAAAATATCGAACCCAAAGCATTAAACGAGTTTACGTGTTAAAACACGAATCCGCCACCAAAATGCGGTTACTTTTGTAACAATTCCACATCAAATTCATTTTAAAGTTTGACAAATACGCCCTTTGACAAAGCAAAGAAACAAACAAGACTAGGATAAGCTGTATCCATACGTGATGCATAGACGATGACGTAGGCCTACTTACGTAACGATGCTGTTGAATCATGAATGCATCACCCACTATTCAGAAAAAGACACAAGCAAATGATAATGAAGGATGGAATATTATTTTGGCTGAAAGCTCTCGTGACTTGACCAAACTATAGTCTGGGATTTATACTTACAAACACTTCGATTTGGTCCATTTTTAATCTTCTTTTAATGAAATGCACATGCGATTTCAAGAAATCAGAAACAGATTATATTATGCCATTTTGTTTTAACTTTTAGTTAGCTTGACCCATCATCAGCTTGAGTCTTTTTTAAAGATAGCACATAATATATTTCTCTGTATATTATATAGATATATAATGGTCGTTAGTCGTTACGCTGTGAAAAATGTTGGTATATAGTTAAGCATTAGCTTGTTTCGTATACACTAGCTAATTTAATAGCATCTTCCTTTGTCATAATATTTGTTTTTTTAATAAATAATTCCATACTGTTCTGAGAATGTGTGCACTACTAGTCTACTACTCTCCTGGTTGAAGCCATTTACTCAAATTCACGTAAACATTTGACATAAATCTATCATAAGAGTTAGGTAACAATTATCCAAAATATTATTCTGTTTATGAAATTGACTCTAAAACTCGGATCAGCAAATTATGATTTCAGGAGGTGTGAAGTCAGTCGATTTTTCTTTCTCTGTTTTTGGCATGTTTCTTTTCTCGTTGAAATATTCAAGATGGGATGTAGACGAACGTGGTTTGGTCGAGGAACAAGCGTAATTCACACATGCTTAGAGGTGCTGATCAGTGATGACTAATGAGTAATGACGTAATCATGTTGACGTCGTCATTTTGATAATATTTTTTTCTTGGGTCAATCAATAATTAAGCTGATTAATTTTTTGTTTGTTTTACGAAATTGGAATTAGGATTACATCAGCGTTTAGTTATCTTTTGTGTCAAAAAATTAATCTCAAGATCATTTTTTCTTGTGTGTTATATAGAATTCTGAAATTGGAGAATACTAATCAAGATTAGCAAGACATGGAAGGTTTAGAAGATGCTTCAGCAATTGTAGAACCTCCTGACCCAGACATTCTTGAAATCGACCCAACTTGTCGATATATTCGGGTAAAAAAACAAACTAATAATCTTTGTCTCTTGCATGATTGTTTCAATTTTTTTCGTAAGATATTTACATAACATTAGGCTCGATCCACCAAACTTTTGTTTGTTTCTCCTTTTTTTTTTTTTTTTTTCCTTAACCAATTAATGTGTAACATTTTCAGTACAAAGAAGTGATAGGAAAAGGCGCATTCAAGACAGTGTATGCCTTTTTTTCTGCGGTTTTACATAATCTCTGTTTTTTTTTTGGGATCTTTTATGCATGAGAAGATCTTAAAATTCACCATTTCATTAACACTCTTACACAAAATAATCAGATATAAAGGATTCGATGAAGTAGATGGGATTGAAGTTGCGTGGAACCAAGTAAAGATCGATGAGCTTTTGCAATCACCAGACTGCCTAGAGAGGCTATATTCAGAAGTGCGGCTTCTGAAATCATTGAAGCACCACAACATTCTAAGGTTTTACAACTCGTGGATCGATGACAAGAACAAAACCGTTAACATAATCACCGAACTGTTCACTTCAGGAAGTCTCCGCCAGTACGTATTAACCACTCACTCTTTTGCTTCCTTTTGCTATATTTGTCACGTTGAAAACTTTTGTTTTTGGTTTCTTGTTGAAGGTACCGTAAGAAACATAGAAAAGTGAACATGAAGGCTGTGAAATGTTGGGCGAGACAGATTCTAACGGGGTTGAAATATCTTCACAGTCAAGAACCGCCGATAATTCACCGAGACATTAAATGCGATAACATTTTCATCAACGGTAATCATGGAGAGGTGAAGATAGGAGATCTTGGTTTAGCTACTGTCATGGAGCAAGCTAACGCCACAAGTGTGATTGGTATGATTTTTGTATTTTTTTTTTATTAATTTACTCTTCTTTTTTCTTTCGGTATTAAAATGATTGAAATTGTTATAACCAAACAGGAACTCCAGAGTTTATGGCACCAGAGCTTTACGATGAGAACTACAACGAGCTCGCTGATATATACTCGTTTGGGATGTGTATGTTGGAAATGGTTACATTTGATTATCCTTATTGTGAATGTACAAACTCCGCTCAGATCTTCAAGAAAGTTTTATCCGTAAGTTCAATATTTTCTTTTGTGATTTTATTTGATTACCAAATTTTTTTTAACTAACTTTGGAGTCTTTTTTTGTAACTTAGGGTATAAAACCAGCTTCACTATGTAAGGTTAAAGATCCAGAAGTAATGCAATTCATCGATAAATGTCTATTGCCAGCTTCGGAAAGATTATCAGCAAAGGAGCTTCTGATGGATTCTTTTCTCCAAGTGAACGGTTTAACTCCTTTACCGCTTCCGGACATTGTAATGCCGAAAGAAGGTGCGTTCGGAGAACGTTGTCTAATGTCCGAAGGACCGGCTACTGCTCGAAACCGACCATTGTCGACCGATCTTGATGAGGACGATAACCTTCCTATTGTTACTTCAAGCAGCAACGATTCAGGATCAAAGTGTGTTGAGGTGAGACGTGCAAAGCGGGGCAACTTCTTTGTCCTTAAAGGTGAAGAGAACGACGAAAACTCTGTTTCGATAATTCTTCGTATAGTCGACGAAAACGGACGTGTGAGGAACATTCATTTCTTGTTCTATCAAGAAGGCGACACAGCTTCCAAGGTGTCGAGCGAAATGGTCGAACAGCTCGAGCTGACGGATCAGAACGTTACCTTTATAGCGGAACTGATCGACATGTTGCTCGTCAATCTGATACCGAGTTGGAAAACTGATGTATCTATCGATCATCTTATTCATCCGCAGCAACGGAGCCAGATCTCTAAGGATCATCATCATCAAAATGGTGACTGTGTTCCTCAGTCTTTGTCCTCGGATTATTTCCAACGATCCGATGATGAGGCAAACATAGCTGGTGCAACAACAGGAGATCAAGAAGCAGAGAAAGCAGGAAGCTTGGAGGAAGAAGAAGATGAGGGGTTAAGAGTGGAGTTAGAGGAGATAGAAGAACGGTTTAGAGAAGAGATGAAAGAGATAACGAAGAAAAGAGAAGAGGCAAAATCCGAGACGAGAAAGAGACATTTTGAGAAGAAGAATGTGCTTCAAGTTGAGTGATGTAAACATACTAACACAAGCATCGTCTCTGTTTTTGGCATCCTCTGTTTTGCTTCTCTGTTCGTTTTTAGTTTGGTCAAAGAAGAAAAAAAAAATACTGTTTTTGTTTGAAGCACTATAATCAATATGTAAGTAATTTATCTTAATATTTATTTTTTACATTGAGACATCACGATCTCAACTAAGAATGATAAATGTCATAATGTGCTTATCAAGCTAGAAAAAAGTTGATCTTTTAGTTTGTTTTGGTTTTGTCTCTCTTGTTTTTGTAACGTATTGGCTTTTGTTGCAAGTTAGAGAAGTTGCAATCGTGGCACTAAGTCCTCTTTAATATGACAAAACTTGTTTTATCAGTGTTTTTTAATACGACGAATCTTTCGGATCATACTCATATAGTGTCGATAGGGTTAAATCAAGGAAGATAATCGGATAGAAGTTTTCGTATCGCTACTTTTTAGTTTCTTATCAGTTTTCATATACACTTTCAGTTCAGTTTGGCTAACTTCTAGTTCAAAAAAGTTATACATATATATAAACTTCGTAAATTGAAAGTGTATTATTAACTCTCTAATCTCTATAGTTTATATATGTTTTATCTTTCTTTCGTTGTGGTCTTGGACATAGTCCTAAGAACACGATTTCAAAGTAACAATATGGAAACAGGCTTTCGAATGATTTGGAGCCGATTTTTAACTTTCTACACAAATGTTTTCCTTTTTTCCCCCTTTTCTCTGAGAAATGTTTGCTCCCAACCATGTCACCTCTTCTTTGGAAATTAGGTTGTTGGGTTTGACAATTTATCCACAACATATATGACAAATTTACGGAAAACCAACAACTCCGGAGAAGCATCAACGCAAATAAGAAATATGTATGCCCAATATTTCTTTGCACTTACCTTTCACCATTTATCGTTTTTCACTTACACATGCTTCATATCTCTTCGCAGTTATCTTTCTTAACATTTATTCACAATCTATCTAAGTTATACTCGTTTATATTAATTATATAAAATCTATCTAAGCTCAATATTCGTTTAAATCAAATTTATATAAGATTTAACTATTCATTGGGTTTTCTCCAACCACTCATCATTTGATGTAGATTGTAGCGTATTTGCTATTGTTGCAAGACCATTTTTTCCCCAAAAGAATACCGACAGTGCGTCTATCTGGTTTTATAATTTTTTTTTTAATAAAATGAGAGAAAAATATATAGATATGTACCGGTAAAATCTTCAGAGAATTTTGTTTCTCATAAATCTGAACTTACTTTTTTCTCACAATTGGAATATTTTCATATATCCCGAGTCGGAGAAAGACTAATCTCCCGATTTCTTTACTATATTTTCAAAATACTTTACTTTCCAGAATATATCTAAAGAGGAATAAATTACAAATAATGAAGAAGAAAGGAACAGCAAGTTGGTCGTCCTTACCATTTATATACCACCCAAAGAAAAAAAAATAGGGAAGCTCCTTTTAAAACTCTCTTCAACAACACAAGTTCGATTCAAATCATTCCTCCTTTAATTTTACGAAATTAATAATACAGATCATCATAAGGTACGATGATGAATAATAACTACGTTTTCTGTTCAAATTATTTTCCAATGTTTCTCGATACAGAGGTTTTTTTCTTTCTCAGGCTCTATCACGAAATCAAAACTCGATCAGTTTTGTGTTTTTATATTTGAATACATTTTTTATTTTACCGTTGTCTCTATCACAAACTAAAAATTCGATGAGCTTTAATATTTTATTTTTATTTTTTTGTAAGATTTATTTGCAAAGAAGAGAAACAATGATCAATGGCAAAGAAGAAGAGAAACACACAGAGAAAATCGATATCAGCTCGATGAAATCAGTCCGTGTAGTCTGTAATGATCCATACGCCACCGAATCCTCTAGCGAAGATGAAGCGATCTCCGGAAACAATCCTCGCCGTCCGATCAAACCAAAACGAACAAAACCGAAGAAGCGTTACGTCTCAAAGATCTGTGTCCCGACGCTGATCGAGAGGCACGGGAAAGGAAACGAAAGTCGGAAATCTTCGTCGGGATTCAAAGGTGTACGGAAGCGACCGTGGGGCAGATACGCGGCGGAGATAAGAGATCCGTTCCAGAAAAAGAGAGAGTGGCTTGGAACGTTTCCTACTGTTGAAGCAGCAGCAGAGGCTTACAAGAAAAGAAAACAAGAGTTTGATGAGCAATTAGGTCTTGTAAATCAAACCGATTCGGTTAAACTGGAAGAGGAGGAAGATTTAACCAAACCATGTGTTTCAAGGAAACCGAAAGAGAAGGAAGTAGAATTAGTTGTGCCGTGTAATTCAAGTAAACATGAAGAGAAGGAGGTAGGTTTAACCAAGCCGTGGGTTTCAAGCAAACCTAAAGAGAAGGTAGTAGAGTCAACCAAACCATCGGTTTTACGTCCGTCGACTGCGTATAATGTTGTGGAGAAAACCTTCGGTTTTGGTTGTGATGATCGTGATGAAGAAGAAGGAACAATTGGTAGAATGTTGGAAGATCCGTTAATGACATCGTCGATTTCAGATATTTTTGGAGCTACGGCTATTGAAGCAAATGATTTGTGGGTGGATTTTAATACAGCGGAATTTAAATCGATTTTTGATGATTTTAACTACGATTTTGTGGTGAAGGATAACCAAATTGAGAGTAGTATTAAAACGAGTAAGAAGAATGGCAAAAGAGCAGTCCAAAACTTGGAAATCGAATCAAGGGTTGCAAATATTGTCGATGGATCGAATGATTTTCAGTTGGAACTTGAGTTTGATCCGATGGTGGATGATTTTCAGCTGAAGGATTTTTCTGTGGACGATATAGGAGAGGCTGATGAAGATGATTGTAATTGGTTTAACAGTAGCATGGATTGGATCGATGTGAGTTTTTGAATCTTGTATTTTTATTTTTTTGTCACGGTGATGGCTATACACTATACCAATACAAATCATTACATCAAAATGAGCAAAAATCTTTCTCTGCTAAAATAGGTCGAAATTGGACATAGAAGAACCAACTCCTTGCTCTAACTACCATTTCAACGTACATTTAGTAAAATTCTTCACACTGACTTT